TTAAACTTAACGTTACGAACGACGATTAGCCGATTCCGTAGTCGAAAACGTAATATCCGTTATCGTTATATTTTATAATAACGATAAATAAAGCCTAAGGTTAGTCGTTTAATATTATAGAACTTAATTTACGAGGGTTTATCTTTACGTATAAGTAGTTTTACGTCGCTCTATCGAGGGTTACTAACGTACGGAACGTTACGGTATTAGTTCTAAAGAAACGGAGGAGTACGAAAATATTAAATATCGTTTATCCGGAGGTTCTTTTCCGGTAAAGTTAGCTCTTTACTACCTTTTCCTATACTAGAAAGGGCATTAACTTTTACGTACGTTATAAGTCTTACGAAGATATACGAAATTATATTAAACGTAACTTTAATTCTTATTTATATATACTTAAGAATATTTTAAGCTATAACTATACGGATACGTATATAATTTATCCTAAATATACGGAACTATATTAAATCTATTACCTTCGTATAAATTATTACTTTTACTTACGTAATTTACGCTTAGCCTTTTTTATAACGTATATCGCTATACGGAAATATTAATCTTTATATAATAATATACGGATCCGTACGATATATACTAATAGCTTACTACTAGCGGAACGAGATTATACGATATATATTTTTATAGTTATCCTTAGTAACTATATCTTCGTCGTCGTCGTATTTCGCTCGCTTATTAACGCGGCCTAGATTAATACTACTTATTTCGTAATTATTAATACGGATCTATATAGTATATATTATATTAAACTTATTATTACCGCTTACCTTTTCCTCCTCCTTCTTCCGGAAGGAGTACCCGGACGCGTCGCTACCGTAATAATAGCTAATATACGTACCCTTACCGATACCGTTTATTATTACGTATTTTAAGAAGTCTCCGTTAAACTTCGTATAGCTCCGGTAGGGAACGGCCGAAAGCGTATTAAATATATATCCGATAGCGGCCTCGATATTCTATAGGCGGGATAGGTTTAGTTCGTATAGGAGCTACCGGTCCTTAATTTACTTCGTATAAAGCTCGAGATTACGTTCGAAGGAAAGCTCCTAAATATATAGATTAATATACGTTTATTATTCGTAATACGGATACGTACGGAAACGCGCGCTAAGAAGCGCTATACCGAGTTATTTTACGTTAAGAAAGCGGCTTTAACGAAAACCTAGCCGTTTAAAGCGGGGCCCTCCGACGGCTATTCCGCCTCGCCCGATATCGTACGGTCGATAGCGATATCGTCGCTTATTATACTATCGCTCTCGGCTTCGTTACTTATCGTATAGGAAAACCTTACTTTATACGAAACTAAACGGGTTTATATAAAACTATAAAGGATTATCTAAATCTATATAAGAAAGTTAGCGCGTACGGGTAGGAGCGGCTACGTACGAAACCGTACGAAAAAGGGCGGAAATTATAAGCTTTAAAAAACTATATTAATTTCGTAAACTAAAAAACTATTTCGTATTAATACCGTACGCTTCCGTATACGTATATAAGATTAATATATAGGATATATCCTTCCTAATCTTAGAATCTAATTTCGTACGAATCCGAAATTATATATCCGAGATAATATAAAATATACCTTATTATATAAAAGAAGGATAAGGAAAGGAACTAAACTTATAGTTATTAGTAAGCCTAGGAGAAAAAAGGAAAAAGGAGAAAAGGTTTAATATACGTAGAGGTATAGGACCTTATAGAAAAAAAAATATTACTTACTAAGGATTACTAAGCTAAGCGAAATATAACCCTATTATTACGAAAAGGTAAAATTCTAATTAATTATAGAAAAATTTAAACATACCGAATATAATATTTTTTTTTCATTTAATTAAAGGGAATAATTAAAATAATTAATTATTTTAATTCGTTAAAAATAGGACTAAGTTATATAGTACCGCTATACATAACCTTATTTTACGAAAAAGGTAATCTTATTATTAATTAGAGAAAAATTCGTACATATTAAATATAATATTTTTAATAATAATTACGAAAAGAAACGGTTAAAAAATTAAGGTTAATAATAATTACGAAAAGATTAGGATTAAGCTTTGCATCCACGCCTCCCGAAGGGAGGCCCTGGCATGCTCGTTGTGAATCTGACGATGGGGGAGGCACCTGGCTCAAGTATGGCGTTTGTCAAGTTACCGCTGCTCAGCACGGTTGATCATCACCTCTGCTCGAAGCTACAAACAAACTGATCTGCAACGCTCCCAACAACTTGCAGTTGAACGAAAAAAACCTGTGAGGACACCAAAGCCAGGCCGAAGAGCGCCTATAAGAATGGGACCTTGTCTGAGCCGAGACCCACAGTTCCACGAGACTGCAGAGGCTTGGCTCAAGACGTACATAGAGAGCTTCGACTCTGACGGAAACCCTATCTTGACCTACGGCGCAAAAAGGTTCATCGCCAAATCGCAAAAAAAAAGTCAACACCAAGGCTAGGAAAGCAGTAGCAAGAGTACATCCGAGTCTCTACAAGCCCGGTAAATGGGACATGGATTAGGATTAGGATTGGGCTTGTAAACGGATTAAGGGGAGCCCCGCAGCGCCTCGCGAGAGGACTCCTGACTCATGAGTCTCTCGTATCCTTATTGCCGCTGTTGAATTTCAGGGGGATGGGTTCTTCTACGAAGATGTGGTAACATGAACTGTGCGGTTTAGAGCCCCAATGTCGTGGAGTCGGGTGTCACGGGGATGTATGCACAGCCAACAGGCAGAGGCATCCCACGTTGGACAGTAAGGGATCGCACGAGATATTTCAGGGCCAACACAGAGACGCACATGTAGACTAGAAGTGAGACTTAGCAATTCCACCGCATAAGGTAATTCCCACGTGCAGTGAAGTGCGTCGCTTGCTATGTGGATGCAGCCGCTGTACGTACCTAGAAGATAGGCCTATAAGGGATCATGACCCACTGACAGACACACATTGCTGAACCTGGCGCTGACCGATCCACCAAATTACACAGTCAGAATCACCCTACGAAGGCTTCCCCCATCGATATAGGTATAGGTATCCTATCCAGGTTGCTGAGGCTGTCCCCGTCTAGACTGTCTGCGAACAGGCTGATAAGCCTCAGGCATAGGTAGCCGTTCAGCACCGACCTACTATGGCCACTGTGAACCCTATCCGCCAGGGCTTCCCCTAATCAGACATGGCTCTGTGAACTGTAGGTATCGCACCTCGAACATAGGTGAGCTTGAAAAGTCTGTACCCCAAGCCCCAACTCCTCGATTCTAGGAGGCGCCTGCCTGCCTACTCATACCTAGGTTATAGGTAAGGATTACGTAGCAATGTATGACGCACTTTCCCGTAACTGCCTGCTGCCGCACAGCTTAGGTATAGTAGGGCAACCACGGGTAATTACCTAGGTAGGTAGCAGGCACCAGGTAGATCCACAGTGTGGACCGATCCCAGCGTGCAAACGCAGCAACCGCGACGTGCCTGGTGACATGCCTACCTTCACATTCTCATACTACCTCTCCTCCGTGCGTAATAGATGCATAGGCAAAAACCCACATGGACACATGCCTGCCCGCCTGCCTTAGTAGGCGATCCATACGTTCTCCTCTCGTGGGAACTCCCCCGGTATCAATCCATCTCGTGGTGCGGGTGGGTGTCGTCGTATTGGGTCCGCCTGGATCGTACACGACACAAGGCGGATGCCTCTAATATACCACGTTATATATGTACGTATATACAGACATGTAGGGCCATGCTTGTGGAGGTCCCAGTGCTCCTTCACCCTCTCGGATCCCCATTCCTCATCTCTAGGCAGGAGGTAGTTAGCAAACGGACTTCTTGCTGTATGTCCTGCCCTAGTTTCCATTGCTTACCGCCCCCGCCTTCCCCCCCAGTCTTCCCCCCCTTTCCTCCGCGACAGGGCCGCCCACTCTGGTCGAGCCCGTCAGTTGATTACGACGGAGCCCAGCAAATTAGCGGCCCTCCTCTAGACACCCACCATCGACAGCAAATTATATGAGTAGATCGGCACCTAGATATGCAACCAATCCGTGCTGAACCCGGTGGCCGCGGCATAGCCTCCCGTTTGCATGTATGTACGATCAATGTCTTGCGAGGTACGGAATATCGCGGCACGTTGCATCAACCAGTTGCGTGGTACGTACCTACCAATTATACGCCGCGGCACATGGGTTAAGGCCTGTTCTAGCCTCCGGTAAAGGTAACCCGGCTACCTCCTGCTATACGCGTGTCTGCACCTAACATTGATACGGTCGCTTTGGTATATAGGTACCTAGGTACCTAGAGATATGTCGCACCACCCAGGCTTCGCGGTACTGGCCCAGTCCACGATTTCCCAACGTCACCGGCCTCCAAGTAGGTTAGGTAGGTTCCTAACGGCTTCCAATTTTAGCATGGCATCAATCCGTCATCGATACCAGTAACTCGAAGCCCGTCGTCCTCTGGCGCGTTCTCATATCCGGAAAACGCCTCCGGAAGATGTTCTGCTATAAGCCGTCCCATCCCGGTTCGGCCAATTAATTCATCTGGCGAGTAGGGACAGCAAGAGGTTAATGACTACCCGTATCAGTACGGGAGTAGAAGCGGTTGGTTCGGAGTGGCAGCTCCTGACTCTGTACCCACTCCGGCGTACGATGTTCGGCCGTGCCTCCACAACACATCTCAGGCGTACACGTACACGACGAATCCGTCTCTTAAACAGCTCCCAGGACACATGAATAAGTACATATTCCATTAGATACTACCAGTAAATGTCTTTGTCTACGTAGTCTGTGCACCCTATCTCAAGTTTATATCACCGCCTACCAGCCGAGAATAGGTCCTCTTGCTTCGTGACTCCATGTCATCTTTCCCTAGGATATGGTAGGACTCGCACCCCCTCTTCTCCTCTCGGCGTGGGTCTCGCCTAACTCCCCAGGTTGGCATGCTGTATACGTCGCTCTAGATCCACTAGATCGCGACATGGCTCCAGGCCCTCAATATTAGCACTCCAGCATGCCGCGTTCCGATCATCACCGCGCGATACAAAACGTTCAAAAGCGAGAAGAGCAGACGTTGCCGTCTTAATAGCTCGGCACAAAACGCTCCCCACACGAGAGCATACTCTTGACGTCAGGAGCTCGGGCGGAAGATCTTCGACACGATCAGGTGTACCCACGATCATCGGAAATCGTACGGCTAATATCAGCCCTTCTTTCGGGATTTGGCTCCCCTTCCAGCGGGGCGAGTAGTCATTGTTCCGTTGCTACCTGGATTTGGCCATGATGGTCTGATGGGTGACGACGTCCAGAGTGTCGGGCATACTCTGCATACTTGAGAACATCTGGCTTAAGAGTTCGATATGGCTGACGAAACCGCCGGTCTGGTTGGCCTGATTCAGCAGGGCTGTCTCGGCGGCCCAGTCCGCACCCCAGATGTCTGCCGGTATGACCTCGCCCTCGTAAAGTGCGATGCGCAGAGGCCACTGCAAGCGCGGCCACCACTCCTCGTCATCCGGGTCGAAGAGGGATACGATACCCATAACTTCACGGCGCGCCACGCCCTTCAACCACCATACGGTATCCAGGCACTTGAGCAGGCCGAAATAGCTGGCGAGGATCGCGAGGGCGCGCGGACGGCGGGACTCGAGCATTTCTACAAAACGACGAGAAACAGTCGCTAGAAAGACCAGCGGCGCGCCGGTATGAGGTATCTTGTGAGCCCAGTCGAGAACAGCGACGGCGTGCTGGTACGCCTGGTGGGTGAGATGTTGGCTCGCCGGATCCTCGTCGAAGAAGACCTCATCTTCGAGGCCGTCTAGGAGGTGACTGAAGAAATTTGCCTTTTGCCCCGAGAGGTCGAGGTTCAGCGCGGGCTGGGACTCGATAATCGGCACTACGATGCCGCTATTTCTGAGCCATTGCCAGCTCGAAGCGACGATCGCCTTGACGCCCTGGAAGGAATGGAACCAGGAGAGCGGCAAGACGTATCCGTCAGATCGCTCCTTCAGGTCGCCGCTGTCATCCCTAGTGAAAATGCGAGACGCCGTAGACTGGAACGCGATGAGAGCGGCGGTGAGAAATAAAGCCTCCGCGTTGGATTCGTTGATGCCTTTATTCAGACTCGCGCCGTATTCTGACAGGGTAGACGCCATATACGCGTGGCTCGCGCGTACAAGGTCCTGGTCATGGGGAGAGCGGTAGCGGAGATGGAGCGCGGAGACGGCGAGCAAGGCATCCGCCAGAAAGTCGGCGCCGGTGAATGCAAGATTCGGGACCGTATCCCGCCAAATCCTCTCACTCACCGGCGATGATATAGCAAGGGTTTCACAGGTGATGGTAGTGTAGTGGTGGAGCAGCTTCAGCTCCATCATCCGACCGCCCTTCGAGTTTGAGGTCAAGGGGAGCGTCTCAGGGTTTCGGTACAAGGGGACAAGAGCGCTCGAGGGCACCGACGGCGTCGGTGGCAAGGTGATGGTCGACGGACTGCCATAGTTGCTGGTCGAGGCAGACGTTGGCGGACGCGGAGTCTCGGCTGAGGGGAGGGCATCGACAATGTCGGGGCGCTCGAAATCGCAGGCGACGCCGTGTTTGGCACAATTTCCACAGCGGGGATGAACTTCATCACACTATAAGCCATCGAAACGCCATCAGTTGTGACGGCTCTCCTTTTGCTTTTCTTTTGTCCTCTCCCGTTCTTCTACTCCTGAGGACGACGGGTTCGCAGGCGAGCAAAACATACCTTGATCTTCCTAGCCTTACATCTCCGGCATCCCGCACGGGACTTCTTGTGTGATCGTCGAGGGGGCATGACGGGTGTACCTGGGCAAGAATCATAACCGCAGGTGGCAAGCGTCAGAATTAGATGTTGCAGCGCAGTTCAACCTATAAGGGCACATGAATGAAGCCATCGACAGGGACGTGTCGAAGCAAGCAAGGCCTGCCAAGCGTACTAATCGGGAGCCCGGAAGCGGAAACGGGGTTGAAGTGGAAGAGACCTCGATGCACAAATCATATGGTGAGGGACTTGGAGAAGAAGGCGAGGGAGGGAGGGAGTTTGCGGGTTGACCACCTGCAGAGGTCTTCTTCCGCTCACCTGCTGGTCGTTTGCGAGGGCACACCTATGTGGGGCCGAGAATAATTACCTACCTACCTGTACTAGTAGGAGGTAGGTACCTAAAGCAATGAGCCAGTAGCATTCCATTGGGCACCTAACCCACCTATGCCTCTGAAAGATAGGTACGCGCCTTACATAGGTAGGTACCTCCTAGGTACCTCCTTAGGTGCCTTAGATTTGATTGACAACTTGGTGACGCGCCAGCTGGAGATATATCGAGGTCAAGAGGCGTGTGGTGAGACGGTAATAGTAAGGAAGCCAGAAAGGGGCCGTATAAGGGAAAGGAAGGACTTGTTACCCACGGCTTCGCCTCAGATCTCAGAGCGGTGCAATTTCCAGCCAATTCACACATGCTAAGCCACCGTCAACTTACGTGGTAATCTGGAGAACGTCGTTGATTAACCCAATCATATCGATCGTAACCAACTACCTAACCCAGTCTCGGTTAAGACTTCCAGCAACCAGAGTGCATAAGGAGGCACCTCTCATATGGGACACTAGGTACCTACGGCCTCACACCATACAATCAGGGCACTCCGCACATAATCCTATACACGGGTATCGGGAGATGTCAGCAAGTAAAGGCGTAGAGGTGCCTCCGTGATTTACATTCCCATGCCTAAATTTGAAAAAAAAAAAAAAAAAAAAAAAAGCTAGGTAGATAAGTCTGTACGCCAAGTATCAAGTACATTAATGGGTCCCTACACCTACGTAGCCCCGGCAGCGACGGGTATATATTGTACCTGCCTATGTCGGGATGCTATTGTACACCGAAACCCATGTCGGCGCCGACATTCTTACCTAGGCTGAGTACCTAGGTACCTAGGTACCCAGACCGTCAACTATTAGGAAAGTACCTTAGGTACCGTAACCTACTGGTAGATAGGTACCTTTATAAACGCGGGAGACACCTCGCCTCCCGGGGCATCGACGCTAGCTATACCAGATAATTCGATAAATCCCCACGGGCCTTACCCCTACTATGCATACCCATTCTACTTATGTATAAGTTGTGCTTCGTGGCTGGTCCGCTTCCTGTAACTCACGATACCAGTTAGTATCAACTATCAACTGAGGAGCTAACTAGAGTCCTAGGATAACGCAATTGATGGTACCGTGCGTTGTGCGTTTACGTCTCGGATCTACGTTAATCCGTGGGCCTACATATGCATATTCTAGGCTATCACGTCAGGTATGTACGTACCTACCTAGCCTACTAGTAAGTATATGTACATACTAGGAGGAGGTAGCCTTCGGCATTCTAAAATCCCCCGACTTCCCGACCTGCCGTTCCCGGACTCCTAATGGTACGCATGTCCCCGCAATCTGTCTATTTCCTCGCGCTTCTCCCCGCTACGGCTCTTCCGGACCCCTCGATTCAACGCCCGACCCGACCGCTGACGACTACTACCCACTAGTCGATATAACCTTACCACGCATTTTCACTAGATAAAAACCAAGCTCAGGACCGGTCGAGCATGACTGTTGAGCAACTGCACTTGGGCGAGGTACCTAGCATTTCAAGATCTGGCCTGATTCAGCTTCAGGGGTTGCAGCCTGTTGACTCGCTGGGAAGACCCACGAATGCTCTGGCTCGAGGATACGCGCCCCCCTGAGGCCGCCCCACCGATCCCCGACGACACCCGAGCCGAGCGAGCGCGATGGTAGGCTTCACGAGGCGGCTGGCATGGCTCGCCATATTCGTTATCGTTTGCCTTGCGCTCCTCTATAGTCAACGCTATGCGCCTTACTCATCTAAGCTCTCTAGCCAGTTGTGCTCGATCTTGGGGGCTTGTCACGGGGATACGCCGGGACAGTTCTCGGTCGAGGAGACACCCGTCACCCTAGAAGGATACGGAAATTTCACGGGGACGACTATAAAGTCCACCCTCAGTGGTGTGTCGCTGCCGGGCTCTGTAGATGCTTGGCTTGGCATCGACTACGCGACGCAGCCCGTCGGGGAAGGCCGTTTCAAACCTGTCGACTGGCCAGCCCCATTTGACGGCGTCAGGGCGGCCTCTCAGTACGGCATGGCATGCGTACAAGACCCCAGATACGTGGGCATCGATGCGCAGGGCGAGGCCTGCCTCAACTTCAACGTCTACCGAACACGAAATGTCCCGCTTAGCATCCGGCTCCCCGTTTTCGTCTACATCCACGGCGGCAGTTTCAATTTCGGCACCAGCAGGAGCTTGGACGGTGCTGCATTCGTCGCATCTTCGAGGGCCCCCATAGTCGTAGTCAGCTTCCACTATCGCCTCAACTCCATCGGCTTTCTCCCTTCCATCCTTTTCAGCCAGGAGGGGCTCCTCAATCTCGGCCTGAGAGACCAGTACTTCTTTTTGAAGCATTTCGTGCAGAGGCATATAAGCTCCTTTGGCGGCGATCCCGACAACGTGACTCTCGGGGGCCGCTCGGCGGGCGCTCACTCCGTAGGCATTCATTATTTTCATAACTACGGCGAGGATACCGGGAAACCCTACTTCGCTAGAACGATCCTCCAGTCGGGGTCTGTCACTGCGCGTGCGTTCCCTAATGCGACCTATCCTCTCTATGTCCAGCAATTTGAAGCATATATGGCGCATCTCCGCTGCCCTACCAATAACAATGCGGCAGCGCTGGCTTGTCTACGCTCCGCCAAGCTCGTCGACATCAGAAAAATCAGCATGAAGCTGTACGACGACTCCCAGTATAACAATACATGGCCATTCCAACCAACACAGGGCGGTCCAATGCTGGAGAAATTCGGTTCGCAGTCCGGATACGATGCGACCTTCTTCCACGTCCCGACGATCACCACCAGTGTCACGGACGAGGCCAGATTCGCCGTACCGCGTGGTATGAAGACGAACGACGAGTTTCTGCGATACATGCGCAGCAGCTCCCCCCAACTAACGACAGACGACCTCGAGGCACTCACCACCTTATATCCAGATCCGGCCACGGACCCTACCTCTCCCTTCCAGGACACCTCGACAGGGGTGCAGTACGCGCGGCTATCTGCCGCCTGGAGCGACTACGCATACATCTGCCCTGGGCAAGAGACGGCATATAGGATAGCCGCGGCCGGTATACCGACTTGGAAGGCCCGGTTCAACACAAACAACAGCTTCCCAGCTTGGCGCGGCATCCCTCACGCCGCCGACGGGAGGTATACCTGGCCCGAGCCCAAAGTTCAGCACCCCGAGGTTGGCCGCGTGCATCACGGTTATCTATCTAGTTTCGTTGCGACGGGCAACCCCAACACGCACAGATACCCAGGCTCGCCTGAGTGGCCGAGGTATGAGCCAGAAGGATACGGGCTAGATTCTCCGCCGGCGCTCCAGCTCGTCGTCCAACCCCATAATACTCAAATTGAAGCCGATGACATTCGTCGAGCGGCCTGCCTATATTGGAGAGATCCGAAGAGAGCGTCGCGACTCAACAAGTAGACTCGAATATGGAACCCCCCGTGCGTTTGTTAGCCTCTACACTTTAGATACCCTCGCCTATAAGAGTACCCCTCCGCATTTTGATACGGCGTCGATGCCGACCCAGTGTATTTGAGCTGTTATATTTAAAACTGTTTAGTATGTCTACGAGTACCCATTCATTATATATATTATATATATAATATACGTATGTGTACACCGTCTGTGATGCACGTGGTCGAAATCAGGATCGGCGTGGATAGAGAGAAGACACCAAGCCCAAGCGAGCTTGGAGATACGTTGTGGTGGGCGACCGGAATGACGTGATTGAGACTTTGACCGCATTGGAGAATAACGTGCCAAGACTCTTCCTATGCCTCGACCTAAATCATCTTTACCGGAATCATATCCTCCATGCGATGGTGCCTCATACTAGGCTTTATCTTCTGACCCGTCATCAATACGACTGCCTCATCAGTGCTAAACAATGTCGACTTCATTCAGTGAAATTCCCATTATTGACCTCTCGCAGGCGACTGAGGATTCTACCAAGCCCAGGCTGCTGGAGAGCCTCCGTTATGCCCTCACCGAAGTCGGCTTTCTCTACGTGTCTAATCATGGCGTTCCAGCGGCGGCGGTAGATAGCTTGGTGAAGGCCCTCCCGACGCTTTTTGAGCTAGACGACGAGGCCAAGAAGTCTGTAGCTCTGGAGAATTCCCCTCACTTTCTCGGCTACAGCGGCGTTGGGGCCGAGAACACGGGTGGTAAAGCGGACAGGAGGGAGCAGTTCGAGTTCGCTACAGAGCTTGCGGCGACCTGGACCTCGGGTGGCCCATTGTACGAACGCCTACGCGGTCCCAACCAGGTCCGTCTACGCTTTGAGGTCTACATCCGCGAGCCGCGCTAATCTATCGAACCCAGTGGCCAAAAGGACATCCGGAACTCCGATCCGCCGTAGAGGCTTACATTGGCGAGCTCACGCGGCTTGGTGAGCGATTTCTTGATCTAGTTGCCCAGGCTCTGTCGCTCCAGTCGGGGACATTCCAACCCTTCCTGTCGGATCAGCACCGGCTGAAACTAGTGCACTATCCCGCATTGTCACCGGGGGATCCCGCCGCCTCGCAGCAGGGGGTTGGCCCGCACAAGGATTCTTCGGGATGGTGGACCTTTCTGCTCCAGGCGTCGCCGCCCGAGGTGAAAGGGCTCCAGGTCCTCAATAAGGCGGGCGCCTGGGTGGATGTACCGGTGGTCCCAGGGACGTTCGTCGTCAACATCGGGCAGGCCTTCGAAGTAGTCACGAACGGCGCGTGCAAGGCGACCACACACCGGGTCCTATCGGGCTCGCACGAGAGGTATAGCGTGCCCTTCTTCCAGGGCGTACGCCGGGACCTCACGAAGGCCGAGGCCGTGGGAACCTTGGCGGATCATTTCGCCGGCCTCGCCGCCGCAGGCAGGGAGTCTGAAGAGGGCCACGCGATCGATTCGGCCTTCCTCAAGGGCAAGTACGACACCTGGGGCGAATCCCAGCTGCGGACGAAAGTGCGGAGCCACCGTGAGAACGGTAGAAAATTCTACCCTGAGGTTTACGACCTGTACGTCAACGATGATGCATAAAAAATAAGCGAATAGGGCCCTGCCAGGTCGCGAGCTCTCCGAATTCTACGGGGGCAGGTAGGGAAGAGCGATGCTGTTCCTCGCGGCACCTTCGTTGTCTGTCGCCGTAAATATATGCATATGGGCGGTCACTATCCATTCTTATCCTCATATTTTTCTACTAGCAGCTCGAGTCCGCCAGATCACCACTACATTATCCCTATCTAGTCGTAGTACTTGGCCGCCTTGCCGCGGATTATCTCCTGCTCGGCCACCTCGCTCCGCGGCTTATCCTTGGCCACGCCCTTGCGTACGCGTGCCTTAACCCACTCGCCGGCGGTGATTCCGACAGCGCTACCGTCGGTGGTCTTGTCGTAGCCCAGGCGCTCGAGGACGCCGCTGACGACGGGCCGCAGCTCGAGGCTGTCCTCAGGTCGGACGAAGTACAGGACACCGAGACGGTCAACCTCGGCTTGGTCCGGCGGCGGGGCAACGACGCGGTGGATGCTGCTCTTGAGGAAGCCGTTGGTCAGGAACTCGAGCGAGTCGGCGAGGTTGACGGTGATGCTCTGCGGGTACGGCCTGACCCACTTCCACTGGCCCTCGGGCGTCCGTACCTGCAGCGCCGCGACGGGCTGCCGGAAGAGCAGTGTCAAGCTGCCGAAGTCGGTGTGGCCCTTGACCCAGACGTTGTCGAGGATGCGGTTCTGCTCCTCGCTACGGTGGTGGTACTTCATATACCGCAGGTGGCAGTCGCTCTTCTCCGTGTAGCGGTGCGTCTTCAGGAAGAAGTCCTCTGGCAGCTCGAGGATGATAGCGAAGAGCACGAGCAGCTTGCCGACAATCTCATCGTTGATGTGCCGCGCGAAGGCCTCGATCTCCTGCCGGTTCTCATTTATGACTGCTGGGTGTGGCCTCTCGAACGCGGGGATGAACTTGGGGATGTTGTAGATTTCAGTGTTATCATATACGCCCGGCTTTACTTCCTATTGGCAAGTTAGTTTGGGATCTCGAAGGTTGTCAGGTGGTTCTACTTTCATCGGCGCCGACGATAACGAAGATACACGCGGCCGCCAGCTAACCCTCGTTACTTACACGGAGTCCGAGAGGCTTATAACCATTGTAACCGCCGTTTTCGAGGTCCGCCCGGTACTTGAGCTTCTCCTCTGTCGGCAGCTGGAATACTTCCCTCCCGATCGCGAATTGCCGGTCAACCTGCTCCTGGGTCAAGCCGAAGCCGATAATGTAGAAGAAGCCTAGCAGGAGCCACACGGCTTATGAGACTTCCGAACGAACCTGTATGACCTTGAAAGTATGTGGGGGAACTAACCTATCTTGTGAATGGCATCGAATAACTGCGCCGCGAGCTTCTCTTTCCCGTCTGGCTGATCGAACTGCGAAAGGTCCAACGTTACGAGATCCGCCCAATCGACTATGGGTACGTGACGCATACCCAACCTTGTCAGCGCATGGTTCGCGTTTAACGGAGGCGTTTCACACTGTCTTACGCTCAAATTTCGTCTCGGGGACTTGGTAGTACGCGGGGATCTCTGTTTTCCCGTGGGTGGCGCTCGTGGCGACCGCTGCCATTTTTCTTGTTCTTTTCCTTTCTCCCGTTTTGATCCTACCACGAATTCCACAACCGCTGTAGTGCACGCCGTATGGCGGGTATGCTGTGATCTTGTTACGGCGGCTCCGCAGCCGAGGTGTCGCTCACGTTATACCGTCTATGTGACGCCGCCACGCGGACGAGACATGGAGTCGATTATATGCGTCGCGTAGTTACTAGGCGTCGGATCCGATGCCGACGGGCTCGACGATGGCGCGATCTGGTTACGATCAAGAATTCGAAACGGATTCCTGGCTAGCTATAGAGAGCCCAAGAGAGGCGCCCCGGGACCCAAGCCGCCGGATTCTGCGTAGCACGCGGGAGTGGCGCCAGGCATGCAAAGTCGCGATCATCCCAGCCGATGACGAATCTCGGAGGAAGCCCTCTGATCGGTCGAGCACCCTCAACCCCAGCCTGCTTTCAGACTTTTCGTCGGAAAGGGTCCCGGCCTAGATAAGCCCATCGCGTGGGCGTTTCCCCTCCCGTAACACTCCCATAGGAGGTGCTCGTCGTCGGCATTCCTCTTTCAGTTCTAGTCGCCCAGGCATCGGGTCGGCCAGCCCCCCATCTCCGTCGGCTCGCCTTAATTCGAGTAGCGAAAAGCTTGCCAGGCTTAGCTCTACCTATCTCTTGGCGGACGGGAGTTGGATATTCGTGATTTGGGAATACTATGGCTCCATGTGATATTGGGGGTTGTTGCTCGTCGGATCCTCTACGTCGCTTCTCGCTACATCTGTGCCCGCAACGTTTAAAAGGGAACCGGCTGTCTGGTAACGAATCCTTCTGGATCAAATTCTTGTAGATAGAAGAAGCCTACCTATTTGCCGGATCCAGTCATATTTCACGAAGCGGGTTTTCTTCTTTAGTGGGGAGGATCTGGCCCAGATATGGCGGCCACAAAGGCTCCCGAGGTTACGGCCTCCGAGGCGGCGATCGAGTCGAGCTCTAGCAGTGTCGACGATGGGTTCCACCGCGTCCAGCGCGGCGAGGGCGCCGGCAACGTCTCTAACGACGAGGACATTGCCGGCTACGACGCGGAGCGTATGCGTGCGAGGACGGCGCTGACAGCGGAAGAGGAGAAGAAACTGATCCGGCGGATCGACTGGCACCTGATGCCCCTGTGCTCCATCATCTTCATGTTTAAGAACCTGGATGCGGATAATGTGAGTTTATATCATGTCACCTCGCTGTCGGGGAGAACGAAAAGAGCGAAGCAGCTAATCATAGCCATTTCCTTCTAATCCGTGGTGGTAGGTCGCGAATGCCCGTATCATGAACAGGGGGACGCCCGAGAACATCATGACGCAGTTAGGCATGACGTCCGATCAGTACGCTCTCGTTGCTGCCTTATACTATGTAAGAAGCTCTTCCTGTCCTGGGTACCCAGCAATCATAGCAACAACTAACGTTGACAATCAGATTCCATACATCATAGGCGAGGCGCCGTCGAACCTGCTGCTGAAGAGATTTTCGCCTTCGCACTGGCAGTCAAGGATTGTAAGCGAATCCTACACATGCGTTCTATCCCTCGTTCTAGGCTCTACGGTCCAGAATCAGTGTTTCTCCGGCCCATTATTCGCATCCCTCCATCGGATCTCAGCATGTCTCTGCAAGCAGACGCTAACGGCTTGTGCTATAGATGGTCACATGGGGAATCGTGCTAGCATGCCACGTTGCCGTCAAGAACAAGGAGGGTTTATATGCGACAAGATTTCTTTTAGGACTAGGTTGGTACCCTCCTCTGATTCAGGATCGTGTTGTTTGGGATGCCTTCTAACTATCACCGCAGCCGAAGCCGGGATGTTTCCAGGGATCATATTGCAGATGACATACTGGTATAGACCAGACGAGATGTCTCTCAGGCTCCTCTATTTCTGTACGTGTGTGCTGACGGCGAAAGTGGTATCCCAGCTAACGGTGGGCGGACAGATGTTTGCGGAAATCTTAGCGGGATATTCGGCGGCATCCTGGCCTTCGGCTTTGATCGTGCCTCGGGAGCAAGGGGCCTATCTGGATGGCAATGGTGAGAGAAATTCGACGCAGGAGTCCCCAGACCCGAATACGTAGGACTGACAACTAGCTACTTGTTGTGAAGGCTGTTCTTGGTTGAGTCCATAGCCACGATATTCATGGGAGTCGCCGTCTGGTTCCTCTTGCCGGACTGTGAGTTCATAGCCCAAGGGCCAGCAGCCGAGCTCGAGTATCGATACTGACGAGAACGTAACAGTCCCCCAGACCGCGTCCTGGCTCACAGATAAGGAGAAGGCTTTCATCCAGGCGCGGCTACCACCGAATGCGCCGCGAGCCGGAGAGCAGGATTTCAAACTCAGCGAGATCATCGCTTCGTTGAAGGATAAGAGACTGTGGCTCTTTACGTCCATCTGGGCCTTTTTCACGGTCGGTACCTCGGGAGTGCGTTTCTATCAGCCAACAGTCATTGCCGACCTTGGGTTTACGTGAGTGTGGCCTCTCTGTGTGGATGATGCGGATAGACAACAGAAAGGGGGCTCCCTTTGACTGACGAGATCTATCTAGCACCATCGCACAAGCGCAGCTTCTCAACCTCCCCATAACTATCCTCGGCCTCATCGTGATTGGCATCACCGGCGTGTTTGCGGATAACGGCCACCTCCCCCGGCCGCTATATCCGCTGACCTTCCTCGTCATCATCCTCGCCTGCTACGGCGTGCTAGTGGCCTACCCGAGCACCGGCGCCGTGTACGCGGCGACCATGATCGGTAACGCCGTGACCAGCGCGTGGTTCCCCATGATGTGGCCGTGGCGCGTGCAGACGACCAGCCGAGCGACCGGGTCGGCCTTCTCGATCGGGTTCGTCAACAGCTACGGCCAGATCGGCGGCGCCATCGGCCCGCAGATCTTCCGCAGCGCCTACGCCCCCCGCTACCAAGTCTCGTTCGCGTCCGCGATGGCGCTCGTCGCCTGCTGCATGGCGAGTACGCTGGTGACGTGGTGGGTCACTCGCCAGACGGAGAGAGACACCCGCAAACTCAAGCTGGCGAGGGTCGCCGCCGCGAAGCGGAACGACGCCATCCTAAATGATGTGGTGGACAACGACTTGAAGAAGAGGCGCGAAGCTCCCGCCGAGGTCTAATCGTGTATGCGTACGGCGGGATCACTGTGCTTTCTTTGTTTGTCCGAAGGAGGAAAAAAAGGGGGGACCAGGATCGTAATATGCCAGCTCGACTGGAACAAGAGTCGAGGCAAGGCATGCCTCTTAATTAAGAGAAAGGGGCGAGTACTCCAGCTAGGGGCCATCTCACTAGATATATACCCTCCCAGGGGATAATCGAAGAGGACACCCGCAGTCGACGATTTCTAATCAGCTACATTTCGATCCAGCCTTTTCCCCTGAGCTAATTTCCCCGTGAGACGAATGGAGGGAGAAATAGTTCAGGTCTTGGAAAATTCAACGACCTTGTAATGCAGAGCAGCACATTTCGAGTCGTCCTATACCGTGTGTAGATGTACCACTCGACGGCGCCGCCTTTCCGGGGGATCGGCGTCTCACATGGCCATAGTACTACGTGCTCTACGGCGACGCATCCCATGGCGAAGGGGAAATGTCGGTATATTGGCTCTCTCGTCCGGGACCTACTCCTACAGCTTACCACAACCCTCCGCGAGACAGGCTGGCGCGCATGTAAGATATACCTAACGTATTATGTCCTGCCATCCCGGCCTTCCCCGTCCTCGGCCCCCCCCCTCAACGGACTCCAGATCCCGGTGTCCCGTACATATACACCTCCACTTATACCCTGAGCCGCCCTAGGAGAGAGAGGCAGCACACGCAGCCGTGATGGACCAACACGCGGAACGCACGGCTTGACTAGCTGTTGGGCTTACCCACCCCGAGACAGGACCGGCATGTTTACGCACCTGGGTTTTATACCGCACCGTATCCGGACCCATAACGACCTTACTCTCGGCGATAGTACCCCTCTATATATCTATCTCGTTATCGTCACCCCACCGGAACACAATGGTGCCATCGACTGTCGCCGGCATCGGGGCTGAACCACGTTTGTCGGTACTGATGTGGCTACGTGGTTCCTATGACTAAAACGACAAGGTCGGCGGGCGATGCTGCCGAGTCTCTGAACGCGAAGACGGAAGGGGAGCCAAGCACCACGTCCTACTGCTCGCAGTATGCCCATAGGATACCAAGGAAGGGAAGGGAGCGAAGTTATCTCCCTCCTCGGCCCGCTGCGGTGTTTCCCGTCCTCGTCCCCCCCCCCGCGGCGAATGTCTGTCAAACACAACCATGAATGTCGCGGGTGGGCGGAGACTTCTTCACGAGACGGGGACGAAGGAGCGCTGCTGCGCAGCCGGCGCTGACGCTACTGATGCTGCCGCCGCGTGCGATCACGACCTAGGCACGAGCTTGCGCAGTACGCCCGCGTACGCGTACCTGTGTGGAGGGCGACAACAGCTGAGGGACACGTTCGCCGCCAGCCAACTCGGGCTATCGTGGCCGTTGCTGCTCTTCTCCGTCTTCCCCCCTTTCCATCTTGCGCCGAGGTGCGTCAGCTTATGGGTAAGGCAAAGGGTAATTCGACACGTGCCACGCAGCTAAGTCTTGTAACCGGGCAGGCAGGTTGGATGATTATAAGGGAAGGCGAGCAAGAAGGCACGGATAGATGCTCTCGCGGACCGACAATCGCCTCACCCTTGCCTACCCGCCGGTGCCCATCAGCTCTGGTGATAGAACGTGCCCTTTCTTCTTGATTCTATTCTTGAACTCCTGCGTATTATCTGCGGGGCGAGAGCGAGGAAGATACACACAGAGAAATATTCAGCAGGAAAGCCGGTGCGACACCATCCGCGAGTCCAGCTCCGGGGCGATCGTGCGCTTGCCCCCGCGCCGCCCAGACCTGCTCCCTTACCCGGAGGAGCTGCCGTCGTTCGGACCGCCGCCGGGAAGCCCGAGAAGCGCCAACCCAAGCTTACTCGCTTGGAAGCGAGCTGGAAAGCGACCGGGGGAACGTCGATGATGACAGCATCTTGCCCGGCGCCGAGCGGTTCGTTTTCTTCCCCACGGGTGGTCCTACCACGGCCGACGAGCTAGACGTCGAAGCCGGCGAGCGCACAATCTTTATGGGAGCTGCTTCCAATAACGAAGGCGGTGCGGCGACGTCTGATTCTATACCAGGCAATCCTTCCCCGGAGCTGCCTCAGCGTGATGGTAGCGGCGGCGGCGGAGACAACAACCCGGAGAAGCAGTTATCGCCTCCACCACAGCACCAGCGGCCGCAAGGAGAGACCGGGCAAGCCCTAGTTGTTGGCTAGTACGGCGCTGCGGAACCAGCAAAACCCGGGAAACTGGTCCCTGGGCCGGAAAGGATGGGTAACAGCGCAGACGAGCCTGTACACGTTCGCTGTGTACGTGGGGCCACCGCCGTAGGCGCCAGGCGAGAGCCAGGGCGCCGCTGAGCTCGACGTCGACCGTCCCGCCCCTCTACGGCTATCCCCAGAGCCGGCTGTTCGGCGCCGGCGCGACCGCATTCCTGGTGCTAGCTGGGCAGTTTGTGTTTGGTGAGCGCTGAACTCTTTCTCTCCGTGCTGCCGTCCCTCCATTTCACGCCAGCGACGACCGAAGGACAACTGTGCTTCGCCAAATGCACCCGACCTATTATTCTTCGGCTAAGCTCGCCTTGGTAAGCTTGGGCCTCGCGGTCCGAGATCCGCTGGATGAGAAGCTGGGCGTGAGCGGCGGAGCGGGCTGGTTAGGCGGCCTCGCGGTCCTCTGCGCCGGTGGCGTGTTCGTCCTATACTGTTATGGCGGCGGGCTGGGGATTAGAAGTAGTAGATTCGCCCAGTCTTAGCTGCTCGTGGATTCGTGTTGTATCCGAGCAGCGGCGGAATACTGTTTTCGGCCGCTCACACCTTTGCGACCAGGTTAACATTCCTCGTCCAATTCAGAAAAGATGACAGAATGAGAAGATTTCAGGAGGGTCAATCCGGTGGAATACAGGCTTGACGATGGATGATGAAGGCAACGGAGTCAGCAGGTTTGAGCCCATTCCCGGCCATATTATATGATCCTCATTGTGCGGGATAGTATGATACAATACCTCCAATACAAGCCGATATCAGTATATCGCCCTCTCCCTTCCCCCCTTCCCCCCTCCCCCCCAATTCGACCCTTGCCTCCGTAGGAATATCTCTTGAAGCCTAGTGCACAATCACGGAATTAAGATATCAAGCCAGCAACGTCGACGTATCCCTTTTCAAGTCTAAGCCGGTCCCATAGTAGGCGTGTCCGTAACCTGCCGTTCCTTAACGACTATGTTCGCGCACGAGGGTATGTTGGGGTATGATGATATAACGAACTCTGATCCCGAGAGGGGAAACTTGATTATTTTTTGGCTGGCCTTACCAATGTGAACATTTCCTCAAACTCCAAAATGCGCTTCCCATGCAGAAAGAAGGTAGGCGAGATGAGAGAATACCCGTAGCCCCGTCTGAAGATGCGGAATCATATACACGAGATCCAGGAGTCCTCCCCGGTGTCGAGATGGATCCATGGCTCGATGGTGAATGTGCCATCAAAGGTGGAAAAATAGAAACTCCGAACTCCACGTCACGTCCTGGGATATATCCGTCTTATAATCTGCAAGGCCCGTGCTACTACAAATTCACGCAGATTTTGGATTGCCGAGTATGATCCAAGCTCCGGAAACCTCAAGGCTATGTGGCATTCGCCTTGCAAATCATCCTATTTTTCTAAAGCCCTCTACCCCAAGAGCTGGCACCTCAACCTCGCACAATCTCGGAACACCCTCCTCTCGTCTTCGATCGACGAAGCTGTTGCATTCGGCAACGACCAGACTCCATTCCGCCAGGGCCCGCCCGGCGTACTTCACACCCATGGCGAAGGGACCTTTGGGCTCAGCTGGCACAACGATGGGTTCTTGGGTATGAGGAATTTGGCCCTGAAAAGGTAGCTCGTCCTTAGCCAGGGTTTCCGGACTTTGGAGCTGCAGTTCGTCACTACCCGGTGCGGTAGGGCTCCCTGGGCTCAGGCTATGCCCTCGATCGAAAGACAAGGAGAGGCGGGGAGGCGACGAAGGAACCCCGGAGGCGGAGGGATCGGCATTCTTCGCCGAATCGACGAGGCCGAGATGTGAGCTTCCGGAGATTGCTCGGGTCGCAGCGGGCCGGCTAGCCGGCGGCAGCGGCGGGCTCCCCGTCCGAGCTTTCGCCGTAACCCAGGCCTGAGCTGGGGTCGGCAGCCGTGGACGAGTGAGAATGCGATTGGGTGGCGACATCGTACCGGCAGCATTCCACGACAGCGTAAATTTGAACACAAACAGGGCTTCGTAGGTAGGTGATGAGCCTATGCTGTCGGAATCGGAACCAGACGGGCTTGCGTTACCCCTTGGTTTAGGGGGCAAGGCCGGGCGACCGCGGGATACTGCGGCCTCACGTCTCATAGTTTCCAAATCGTTTGCGACGGTAGTGCTTCCGGTGAAAGAGAAAAGCCTCCCTAAAAGACTGGTCCTCTTCTTTTGGAAGCCAGGCTCCGCATCGTCAATAGCGTCCATAGATTCGAAGTCAGTGGGCGGGCTCGACGATGGATCGGACGCCGGCGAAGCATTGGAAGAGTCGAAGCCCACCATGAGTCCGGGCTGTGCCGGTGGGAGTTCGGTGCGGATGATCATGAATCTCTTCCCTGGGGTAGGATAGGAGGGTGCTGTCGAGGGCGGGAATTTTCCCTGCTGCTCAGCCTTCTGCTTTAACCAGAGATAATGGGACCAGACCGTCTTCAAACGCGAATAGACCACGAGGAAAACTTTACTGGAACGGAGTGAGTAGAGCGGCCAGGAGGTGGCGGGAAAAAAAAAAGGAGGGAGGAGGGGGTGGGAGGTATCCTTACGTATCCAAATCGCTGGAGCTGCCAGCATCTCTACATACCCTCCAACAGAGAAGGCGCATGTAGTATGCTCTGACCATGGGGCACCAGTTGTTGAACAGCTTGTTAAATACTTCCTCCGTGAGAAGCCAGCCGAGAGAGAACATCTCTTTACGGGACGGGTCGCCTGCGATCACTTCCCATATTGAGAAGAGGAGAGAGAGAACTCGAATCTCCGACATCGTGTTGCTCGAATCCATCATCTTCTTGCAGACGTCCAGCCAAAACGGCCAGTCAACGTAGTTTGTCTCGGGCTTCTCGACGTCGACGAAATTGTCGTAAGCCACCAACGATTCCTCGAGAAAGTCGCAGAGGGTAAAACATGCGTTGTGGTCGAATTGCGAGGTTCGTTTCGCAGCCGCTCTCATGATTGCCGTGAACAATTTAGCGAACGTGTGCCGCGCGCCGACGAAGAGTGTCGACGCGGGAGAAAGCATATCCTTCAGGAGAAGTATGAGGCGGTTCTCGTTCATGCCTTTCATTATATTGTTATTCGGAGCGGCTGGCAGAGCCATGGCGGACGCATCCGTGCCGTGGACCGCATCCGTGAGCGGAGGCCCCAGCATAGCCTCTACGGCCGCCTGCCGATGGATGGTCGAGTCCAGGATGGAGAGGACCTGGGCGCTGACGAGGACGAAACCCGGAGCGCGAGCTTTCTCGGAAAGCGGCCAGTCTGCCGGCATGAACTCTTCCGCAAGTATGTAGTAGTACTTGCAGAAGACGAAGAACAGGTCGGTGTCGCGCCCGGTCCACCTCGAAACCCACGGCCCCCTCCACGCGATTTTAGCGGCGGTCAGCGGCAACTTAGCGGCTTGCTTGAAAGACTCGGAGAGGGCCTTGGCCGAAGTCCAGCACAGCTTGTCGACGCAGTGGGGGAAGAGCGCCGTCGCGTCAGCTTCATCCCTGCCACGGCGCGGCAGGCCGAACTCGTCTGCAACTCGGCGGATCTTATCCGGCGTCAAGGACCAGAGCCGCACGAGTATGTCGGCGATACCCGGCGCGAAGAAAAAGGCGTAAGCGCAAGCCTTCCCGGCAAAGTTGACCAGGCTCAGAGGCGCGTGTCGCAGGGATAGCTTGTCCACCACGATAGCCATCTGCGTCACCAGATTCGTGACGAACATGGTTTTGACATTGTGTCTCGCGGATTCGGCAAGATAAGCGGAGTCAGTCGAATCCACCGACGTAGAAGACTTGTCGCAACTAGTGCGCGAGGGTGTTCGCAAACGCTCCCTAGGATTGCGATCTGGTAGCGGGGAGAAGTTGGCGCTGCATTGGCGCCACTCTGGCCGCATCATGAGCAGGGTTATAGCATCGAGGAGGACAGGGCGGTCGACTCCGGCAACCGGTTGCTGCGTCTTCCCATCCAGCAGCTCGAGCAGCGCATTCCACCACTTATTCAGGATGAGCGCCCGCCGCTCTAGATCCTCGTAGTGTAACATCCTGTTCGACGAATGCCCGGCGTAGCCCTTCAAAAACGGCACGAGGATGGCCTTGATCATGCCCGTCTTGAGACTGGTGGACTTGGTCTGAAACTTGTGAGAATCCGAGTCCAGGGCCTTGAAGGTAGACCAGAGGGGGTCCCTAGCTTGCGGCATCCTGGCCAGCGTACCGTCCTCGGGGAAAGTGCTGTTGCTGGTCTCGGAAGCATGCGACTGGCGGGTATCGAGGGACGGGGGAGCAATGCTAGCGGTGGAGGAGGCGGGACTATCCCGATCGCTATGGAGCTTTCCCTTCGAGAGCATGGAAGGCGGTCGCTGCTTGATCTTATTCAGGTAGGTGCCAAACTTGCCAAGAGCAGGAGGATCTGCCGATTTGTTGTTGCTGTCACCATCGGCAGGCGATGCTAGTAGTTTCCGCGGAGCTTTCCTAAGCTTCATGATCGAGCTGTTACTAGCAGACCGCTCACGACCTAACTGAGCGTCGGATGCTGCGTCCAGGCCCTCGTCCTTCTTACCAGGCGAGGGTGACCGAGATCCCGATATCCACGAGCGCTTGGTTAGACTGGTTAGCGAGTCCGGGACACTCCTATGTCTCTCCTGCGTGCCTGTGCCTACGCCTGGGGCCAAAAACTGCGAATCGGTCGTCTCCTCGCTATCCGCCACAGGTTCTCTTCCCGCATCCTCCTCAGGGCTGGTCAGAATGCTCAAGGAAGGCCTGGACGAAGGCATCCATGACTGTGGCCGGGTTATTGATGTCCGTCTCTTCCCATCCTTGCCCATCCTAGGCTCAGGGCCGGCCATGCTATCCTGGTTGCCAGCTACCGCGGGGGTTTCATCCGTATCGTCTTTCGAAGTCTCGGTCGAGGAGAAGGAAAATGTAGTATCGAAGTCGGGGCCGAAGTCAAAAGAGGGGACATCGAAAGCCGGTGAGCTGGTGTGGGGGATGTTGGCGCTCAAAGACCGTCCGTGCGAAGGCGCCACTCGAGGCAAGAGCGTGGGGGCTTGAACACTGGCGTTGTCCGAACTGGACTGTCGGTCTGTCGGAGAGGGAGAGGGACGCGCAGGAGGCGCCGGAGGGCTGGGAGTCGGAAAAGACGGCTGGGTGGACTCGGCGGCTGGTAAGACCGTCACAGTCAGAGTTGGACCACTCATTTCACGGCATGTGTCTCTGCAGTCCGGTGGACCAGCCCAGCTGAGGCCAGAGAGGAGAGGGTTAGTGGTGAGATCGGGTAGATCTACTGGCGGCTGGCCCTGAAGATCCAAAGGGGAGTGGACTCGAAGGAGTTGGGCAGAAGGCGGGCTCGGACAAGTTCGGACGAATGCCTGGCCCCTGGGAAGAGGGAGAGAGGGGCAACGCTCTCAAGGCTAGGCTCAATCCAAGGATTGTCACCTTAAGATCATTAGGTTATTGTATGCAGTATGTGGATGCAGCAATGCCTAGGTAGATCAGAGCAGCCTAGAACCATACGACCTCCCCGGCGAAAGATGAACAGGGCTAAGGATGGACAAGAACGAAGGAAAAGAAGCTGGCTCAGTTCCTCCTTTTTTTCTTCTTCTCCCCTTCTCCCTTGGCGGCAAGCGGCGGCAACAAGAACAATGGCAGCGCAACGCAGAGAAGAGGAGGGGTGCCGGGGAGGGAGATTGGTGAGAGAAAAGAATGACCATGGATAAGGTGAGAGGGAGGTGATGTGTGTATGTGTGGTGTGTGTGTGAAGTTGGACAGATGAGGGACTGACTAAAGAACGGCTGAGCGGGTCGAAGGTGTGTGCTCATACTAACAAACTGATGTTTCAAAGGCTGAGGACGTGCCGGGTCCCCTAGTGCGACCCACGGGTCCCGAACTGTAGGTACCTCAGGCACCCACCTAGGTACCTACCCCCTAAGGTACCTACCTAACCTACCTAACCTTATGCACCTACCATCTGTAAACGAGATGGGGAGACTAGAAGGCAGCAAAGGACAGCGCCTAGATGCCGGGTTATCCACTAAAGCCACTAAAACGTTTAGCTGATGAGATACCTACGGTAGACCGCATAATAGGGTCCTACAGGTGGCTCCGAATAGATAGGCAGCATGTAGACTCGCCTAATTGAGGCAACAATTCATTAGCAGAGGGCAGCCTGGTGTTATTATGTTTTAGAAGGTACCTAAGGAAGTATTCAGGAGGGTCACATCTAGGTACTTGTAACCATCAGCCTACCCAAAGTACTTCATGTACTTCATGTTAACCCCTGCTCCCTCTACACCCACATCTCACAGCCGGCCAACGAAGGTGCATGCATGCATGCATGCATATGGCACCAGAAGAAGAGGGGGAGAGGTCGTTGGGGGGGGGGGGTTATGAAGGCTGTTGAGTGCCCGGGTTCTAAGCTAACTTTAGTTGATCTGTGCAACACGTAACCTTCTACAACCCTAGGCTGTAGGCACAAAGACACCCACCAATACTTGCTCTAACCACCTGTCTGCCTCGGTATGCAACCTTGGATTTACACATACACATACATATACCTATCTACCTAGAGGTAGGTAGATATAGTAGGTACGTAGTTGTTCATGCCTACCTATCTGGCACCTTAGGTACGAGGTAGGTAGGTACCTAGACCTACCGATTCCATCTGACGGCCCTATGCAGGATGCCATCCACTAATCTCGGATGTACCTACATGGCTGCAGTACTGCAGTGGCCGCCTCTGTATAGTACCTGAGCCCCACCATCCTGCATTTATTTAGGTAAGTGGCGCTTCGAGGTACCGACCTTGCTCGTACTCGTATGTATTTCAAGAGGTACTCCCAGATGAGCTAAAGAACGAAGACTACCAAGTAGCTCTGTTAGGAATCGAACCTATCCTTCCTTAAGTAACCTACTGATCTCTCCCCCTTCTAAATTCGCCTTTCTTCAGGTGGCTTACTTGAAGGCTCCTGCTAAGTACTTGCATATTTTAAATCCTAAAAGTTAGGTACAAGTATTTGAACCTCAGGTACCTAGGAACCTACCTCTAAGTGTCCTACCGCACTACCCGCCTAGGGTAACGGTCTCTAATGTTCTAATATAGCCTCCTCCCCCTTAATAACCCCCACATCTCTTAAATTCAGTCGACCTGTATTAATCAATCATGTACCCCGGTACTACCCTCCTGTTTATCTTCCTTTCCTTTCATCATGCCTACGCAGGAGACGTCCATGTGGTCCACCGATTTACTCCATTTGTAGTCTACGTCTCAGGCACCCGAATGTAGATACAGGCTCGTCACTCCAGTGGTGTGGCTGGGAGCTTATATCTCCATAGGTTGCGCTCGCCTCCGAAATCCGTACACCCACATATATCCGTCCCATACGTAAGGTGTGAGGTATCTAGGTAGGTATATATGGATTCGCGTATCCAACTCATACGTGTTTGAGCGGATGGATATTCGTACGTACACGCTCGCCTATTTCACATAGAGATCGGCAAGCCTACCGGCCTGCGGGAGCCGGGATGCCTCCCGTAGAGGCAGGATCAAGCGAAACCGACTCCAGCGAACGTGCTGCGGCCGTGAATCAATATTCGCGCCCCGAAACCCCGGTGCAAGCCTGCCTGCAGAGCTGCGGACTGAGAAGAGACCCAAGCCGGAAGGGGGACCAAAAAAACATGCGTCTTCGAAAAGGGGGCCTGCGGTATTGTTTTGATCATCTATACGTCGTGCAGGTCCCACAATTGGTCCCAGACCTACGGCGCGCTGAGAGCCGAGAGCTGAGAGACGGGCAGCGCGAGATTGTGTCTCCTTGGCACGATATCTTCTGTCCCGTGCTGCCCGCCACTGCCCAGTGAAACATGGAAAGCAATACAGAAGGTCGTGCATATGTACATACCTATATACGTATTACACTTACATCGTAGCCTACTCCTGGCGACGATGCCTACGTGCTTGGGATTTACCCACGGAACTGGTGAAGGGATCCGAAAGCTCAAGTGCTGCACCGTCTGGCGCGCCCCCTAGTTTTCCGTGACCAAGCTAGCTGAGGCCGGGAGCCTCGGAGCCTCCCATATCTTTCCCCAACCCAACTCACCCCTCACGCCCCTCTTCCTCTCTATCCCCTGCCTAGGGCGTCCTCAAACCGGACACCCCATGTCGAAGTCCCGCGGGCAACATTATATTGGGTTGAGATAGGCTTGCCTGACGGCATGGGTAGCTGAGCACATCACCCATCAAACCCTCTTGCGAAGCCTCGACGGTCGGCCTGACAGCAGAATCTTCCCAACCGCTCAGCACGTGCTTCGCCTCGGGACCTGGAGAAATCCGGAAGACGTGTCGCTAGAAATCAAAAGCAGGTTTGATCTGTCGCGGATCATCAGCAGCAACCCATGCTAGGGGGAGATGGGTCAGTCGCGCCTCTCGAATTCCCGGTCGGCAACATACGACTCGGACACAAGATTCAACCGGGGAGACTTTCGACAATTAAGACTTGACGATACTTATGCGAAGATAAGCTAGAATAAGAAGAGAATAACCCAAGTATATTAAGGTCTTATATTGCGCACACCGCCTCCATCTATCGAGCCTGGCTATATGTTGTGTTGCGTCGATCATGCCGACCTAACCGCCCAATTGCCCTGAGGACCAGAAGAAACAGCTGATATTTGGAGAAGACTAGCGTAGAAACTATAGGTGCCTACCTTATCTCTCATGCCCGTCGAACTCGGAGTAGATGAGACACCCTGGATGCATATGCCTTAGTGCTCCATGTACCTGACGTACGAACATTATAAGGCCCGTTACTTCGAGCGGGCCGACATACATACCTAGGTACCTCCCGCGCACCTTGCCTCTACATATTAGGTACTCAATAGGGTTAAGGTGGGTGTAGGCATCTGCCTCCCTGTCGGAGGGTAGGCTCTCGCTGAGCGTAGACGAGCCTACAATGACGTGATGTGGGGGGGAGTCAATTGGGGCGAGATGATTCGGCGAAAGCGCCTAATGGCATAACTAACACTGGTTAGCTGCAAAGGTAGCCCTACCAGTCCGCCCCAGCTGAGGCAGGGTCTAGTGTTTTTAGGTTATTCTGCTATCCGGGATTCCCCCTTTCCAGATATTCCCCGCACAGGTGCGTCCACTAGCGGTATCGTGGGAGATAATCAGAATTAATTAGGATTCTTTGCAAATAAGTACCTCCGTTAAATAGCAGGCTTAACTTATTTTGGTAGTCAAACCCCCAATCATCTCAGGTATCGAGAAATGCCCGCCTTACTCATATCGTTCGCCACTAGCCAAAGCGGTATCTCCTCTCGTCTCCGAACTATCCGATGTTTATTCAATCCACGGCCTATTTCACTGCCTACCTAACATTAGCCACCGCCCCTGATTAGAACCGTGTATGCCGATGTCGCAGTAAAAATTTTTTTTAAATAAAATAAATAAAATGACAGAGACGGAGGGGGAGAGCGGAGGGGTCAGTTATGCCGTGTCATAACAGCTGCTCGTCTTGCCAAATGGTCGAGCACACATAGGCGCCTCCTCGCTATCCCCTCCCCTTTTTATCGGTCGAGACCCTAGAGACTCCCCAAGACCTCAAAAGCGGGGACGAGTAAACAAAACTGGGAGATATATCGAGATACCTATGTGTATCTGGATTCAACCTGACATGCGGGAAAACGTCGAGAAGCCCGTCGCCGATGAAGTCGAAAAGCGAATAGAATTCGACCCAGACATCCATTTGCATCATATGTGGCTATTTCCCTCGACACATCCTCATAAAATGATCTAGCTACCAGTGCAATGAGGGGGTATTCAACATCCCATCGCTAGGCCCGTCCTAATCGAGAGATCTCCGACCATCCTTGCGAGGGGCAGCCTAGTAGTCTTTTATAACCAGGTGGGCAAGATAGAGTAGGTAGCACCACCTAAAACATAATTCCTCAGTCAAGCATCGGATATCTTTCTAGATTTTTTACTGGTAGGGTTATTCGGCCGCCCCTGCTCCCGCCCCTCCTCCTCCTCCTCCCGATCCAGGTCCCGGCTCCGTTTCAGCCCCTTCATCTTCCTAGTCTGCAGCTCGCTGAGATCCTGGCGGCCGAGGTGGATGCGGCCGAGCTTGTCGCCGACGGCATCCGTCGAGATGTTCTTCTTGGTCTTCTCCTCGCCCGTCTTTGCTACCCGCATCGCCTCCTTCCAGACATCCGCGTCGGGTTCCCGCATCCGCCCTACGCGGAAGTCCATGCGCGGCCCCATCTCCTCGACTTCCACACGGGGTAGCCGCTGCCCGCTGCGCCGCGTCGATATGAGGTAGACGCGCAGGTGGATGGCCGGCTTGACGGCTTCGCCAACCGGCTCCTCGGCGGTGACCGCCACGATGTATTGCAACCCTTCGACGTCGATCTTGTTGCTGTCGCCCGACGCCACGTCGCCCTTGAACAAGTCGATGAGCAGGCTCTTCGCCATCGTGTACTCGTCGGCTACAGGGCTCTCGAACGCGGTCCCCGAAAACAGCAACATCGGCCGCAGGCCGACTGCGAACTTGCGGCTTTTGAATTGGGCGAGCTGTCGGTAGCTCGCTGGGTCTAGGTACAGCTCTAACATGTCGAGAATCTTGCCGTCGAAGGTACGCGCTATCGTCAACGTGTGCGGCCGCTTCTTCGAGCTGCTGCCGAAGACGAGCAGTGACGTGTCGTTCTTCTCGCTGAAGAACTCGAGCGACGCGGGGTCTTCGAAGGGGTGGATCGCGTTCTTCTTGGTGAACTTCTTAGCAAGCGGTTGCCGCAGAGAGTAGAGGTCGGTTAAGGCATCCTGTATGATTTGCGAACACGTGGTTCCGCGGCTAAGCCAGGTTAGCGCCCGTTGCCGGCAGTTATACCAGGGCACCAAGGGGAGACACACAGGAAGAGAGCGATCTTGGGGTTCTCGACCACCTTCGGGGCTTTCTTCTCGACGGCCCGCCTCGAGCGTGCGTTACGGGGTGTTCTGGCACGGAAAATGTCAGCTTTCGGCGAATCACGCGTACGCCAGACACAGAGCGCCTACATCTGCCTGAGCATTGTGGCAACGGCCTTGAGTTGGATAGTCGGACTCTGCCCGTTGTGTATGGGGTGCGGGAAACTGAATGGGAAACGTGCCGACGGTGATGAATTTTTCTGAGATTTTGATGCGGCAGAACTTTTTCTTGTCCTAATGGATAAGTAAGAATTAGGAAGGCGGTATGACAGGTACAAGTTGGACAGCTAAGCGGGCTACAAGTGGATCCGTGCGGGTAGCAACCGGGGCTGTCCTTAGGCGGGGTTCTTGGGCACTACTACCACATAGCCTTATCCACAACCCCTCGACTAGACAGCATTGCGAGCACCGAGGATTATCCGATGGGGGCAATTCCGGCAAACGAAGAGCTGGAGAAGACGGGAATGGGAGGAGAATCTTGCTCCACACATAGATAAGTTGCAGGTTGACGTTGGCTGCTCCTCGTTTCTCGTCCCAGGGCTACGCGACGCGCGGGGGCCGGGTTGTATATACCTGCGAGATTGCGACCAGACAAGTGTGAAGGGTTGTGGACTCCATGCCGGATGCCAGAAGCAGGCGATATCACGGTTCTACATATGGGTCTATGGCGGGGGCACCCGGCAAGCGGCCGTGGCTTTTCCCTCTACAGCGACAAATCTCCAATCGCACAAAACAAGGTGGGGGGTATATTGCCATCCAGTAAACGCCAAATGCCAGCCGTCGTCCGAGGCGTGGTGTCACCACCGGGTCGAGAATCCTACCCATGCTCCGTTGGCTGTGCAGCACGCGCCTCTGCCGAATAGCCAGCCAGAAAATCTCTTACCGATGCATGAGCATATTCTCTACCACATCTCAACGTAGGCCCGTCCCTCTCCCTCGTCTCTCTACAGGCAGCTTACTCTACACCATCCTCCTTGATGTCGACGAAGGGGGCTAACGTTTGCCGATATGCAAAGCGGTCCAGATCCAGCACGGCAGCCCCTGCGGCCCCTCCGGTTGCGTTGTCGATATCCATGGCGTCCTCGATGCTTCTTTTCGGCTTGCTAGGTCCGCCTAAACTGTTGCTGAGCTGGTGGCGGTGCACGGTACGCTCCGCGAGAAGAATGTCCTCATACGTCTTCAGCCGCTGCTTGATTTCATCTTCCAGGCTGATGCAGAAGCGCTTGAAGTGGATAAACTGACAGGCCCGGACCAGGTCCATTCCTAGAACAGACATGAGGTACGCGACCACAACGCTGGCAGAGCGGTCATTTCCCGTCTCGCAGAACACAAGAACCTTACCCCGTCGGAAATTTACCGTGTCGACCATCATGCTTGCCGGGAGAACTTGCGTGACGCCGCGGTTCAAAGCTTGGCTGCGGTAGATGTTGAGTATGTGGTCGTTGATCATCCGAATGGCCAAGGGAAAAGCGCGGACCAGCTCGTGATAGCCGGTGATGTCTACGTACCCGGCCTGGATACCGAGCTCCTTTGCGAGGGTGTCGACATCGAGCAGACGCATGCTGGCCATCTTGGCGTCTCGTACGGCTAGGAGCATGGTGATTCCAGTCTCGCGGAGCCACTTGCGGTCTCGCGCCACGTTCGAGGGGCCGAGGTAGAGGAAGTCGAGGACCGGCTGGGCGAGGCGGCGGCTGGAATAGGTCCAATTGATAGCGGAATCGTGGGCGAGCTGTTCCTTTCGGTTCTGCGTGATGATCTCGAGGTCCTCTACACTCAGGGAGGCGGGATCGACATTCTCGTAGCTCGGCAGGATCTTGATGGGCTCGTTGGCATTAGGGAGGATCGGAGTAGGTATTTTGATGGCAGGAGGGCTTGGCGGTCGCGAGCTGAAAGGCGCCGTCGGAACGACACCATGTCGAGAGGAGAATGCCATGGTCAATCGCCCATCGTCTTGAGTTCCGGAGAAAGGGCAGTGTATTGGCAAAGGTCGACTGATTCCTAGGTGAGAGTCGGCAGGGTGCGACGATGGGATGAGATGGCAAATAAATAAAGAGGTGGGTGAACGAGTAGGTTAAGGTGTCTGCCCGTGTTTGTAAGGGTGAGTTGTCTTGTTGACTTCAAAGTAAGGTTAGGAGCGCTGAAGGTGATGCAGTTTATTAATAGACGAGATATAGGAACACTGCCGGGCCGAATCCTGCGTAGGCTCACTGGTTTGATTACCCTTTGGTACTTGGTTAGGTACCTAATGTATCTTCTTATCTTCTTGTTTTCCTATAATTTCGCAGTGAGTAAGAGGTGCCTTCCTCTCTGAAGTCCCTTCGTAAAGTGGTAGGAGGCATTTTGATTACTTTTCTTTTTATAAATCTAAGGTCGAGTATAGTTATACTTTATACGTTACATATCTATAAGTACGTAGTATAGATAAGTACCTAGGCAATATAGTAAAAGATTTCTATTAAAGAAGAAGAAGAAAAAGAAGAAGAATAATAATAATGGATAATATAATAATTAAAAAGATTTATTTATCTTTAGATATTAATTTATAAATAAAATTATAAATTACTATTTATATAATAATATAAAGAGATTTTTTTAAAAATATATATAAATAATATATTTATTTATTTTTAGCAGTTACTTTAATATATTAGTTTGACATATGTATAATTAAACGTCTATTATTTATATCTACATTTGTTTCGTTTATCTACTACTTACTAAGTAACGGTTAGTTATTATCCGTTGCAGCTGTTAGGTGCTGTTACAACAACTGTTACCTAGCTGTTGATTGGGGCTAGGGTAGCCGTTAGCAACGGCGATTATCTATTCAGTCTCGGTTCCTAAACAGCTCTCCTCCCCCTGTGTTCCCCTCGAATACAACAGTATTTACTTAAACATCCAATGCGGGGAATGCAACATTCAAGAGGGAGACATTTATTGAGAAGAAAACTAGTTCATTGTAAGCAAACCAGGCCAAGAGCGAATGTAGCAAAGAGAGAGATGGCAGAAGAAGGATGCAGGCGAGGAAAGAATACCGGCTATTAAGTTCGGTGGTTCGTTTCGTTCTAGACAACTTTCAGGTTCGTCGATAGATACATACACTTAGTGCCTTGGAAAAATAGCTATGAGGCTTTTTCACTACTGCCACCCACGCTACTCTCTCTAGCAAGGGGCGATGGGAACTCTGGCGTCACAGATCGCGAATCGCCGCCTGGCCGCTTGGACCGAGAACTCGTCGAGAGGTGCTTCTTCCGCCTCTTTTCGGAGATGCTGCCCCTCCTGCCAGTACCACCCTCCTCCGAGTCCACTGGGGGCGTCGGGCTCCGCGACGATCCTGCCGAGTTGCTACCTCGGCGAACGCTGCCGCTCCGAGTGCGCTTATTCTCCTTTGCTACGACCGACGGCCGGAGATGCGGAGACTTCTCCCCGTCCCAGACCCCGGGACCGTGCGCGTGAGCCTTTTCTGCTTTCGCCCATCCCGGTAGCCACCATAGCCAGTTATTCTGCTGCTTCGCGAGTTGCCTATCGCGCGTCTTCAGTTTCGCCCTCAACAGCGCCCGGCGCTCGTTCTCCCTCTCCCAATACTCGCTCCTGTACAGCTCCCAATTCTCCCGAAAGTTGGGCGAGAAGGGTTTAGGCCACAGCAGGAGCTTTACGTAGTCCCCCCCGGGCGACAGATCCTCCTCGTGGCCGCCCTTCTCCTCGTCGGTGCTGACGAATGGTAGTGGAGGGTGTTCGTTGTGGGTGAGGTTCAGCTCTCGGTCGACTTCGCGCAGGATCGACGGCTCCACAAAACGGTACTGGCCGGCTCGGCTAGAGAACGCGCCGTAGGTGAAGAAGAAGCCGATAAGCGAGACGAGCTCAACCCACCAGGACCTTCGGATGACAACCAGCTTGCAGTTGAACCCGCGCAGGCCTCGGTTGCAAATGCCGAACCAGCGCCGCGGCCAGCGAATGCCGCGTTCCCATATCCCCGTTGCCCAGACCAATATGCCGGTGACGATACCACTAATAAAGCACACCTTCTCCGTCATGTCAACCACCCAGTACACCGACCCGCCGACGCCACTACCGTCTTCCCGAGGGGCGAGGAACAGAGCGTATCCAAAGCCGGCGAGCCAGAGGCACAGCAGGCTCAGAAAGAAGGTGTGCTTCCGCCGCCGGGTGCGGAGATCGAGGTACTGGGAGCGCAGGGAGGCCTCGAGGACTAACATATTGAGGTAGATCATGGAAGGGGCGCTCGGCGTGTGTTTTAGAGGGTCGCCGGGTTTGGGTACGCCGATGGGGCTGGTGCCTATAGGCGGCGACCCAATCTCCTGGCCGGGCTGGGGAGCGCCCTTGACGATGGAATCGATGGTGTCGGTCATAGTTGTCGGGGCGGTGCCGCGAGCTTGTACGGTATGGATCAGGCGAGGCGGTGGCCCCTCGCACGTAAGCCCGCGTCAACGTGAGTCGGGATCTAGAGGTGCACTCATGAATGCTAGGAAGAATTCGTCGCCGCCGGAGCTCGCGCAGGGGTTGAACAGCAGACAATCATTGGGTGGTCGCCGTTATTGGAGTCGTGCGCGGGAGCAATGGAGGAATGGATGGGCGATGGACATGTCTCGCATCGTCAGGTCCCCTTATCTGAGTTATCGGTAAGCAGGGTCAAAAGTAGGTAGGTACCTACCACATGTACCTACCTACCTACCCTTTCGTCGCGTGCCCGTCTCGACTTCCAATTACCTACCTAGGAGGTACCTAACCTATACCTAGGTAGGTACCTACTTCAGGTACGTAATATTACAATCGGCTCAAGTACCTATATAGGTACCCCTTACGGGCAAGGTCCTAATTGAGGAAACAACATCTGACTTTCATCTACTATTACGTACCTACCTCCTGGGCAGGCGTGGGCGGGAGGCAGGAGGCCGTCGCCATCCACTAGGAGGCTGCCTGATGTGCCTCTCAACAACCCTGCGAGAACGTCAGGTAACAGTCCCCGTCACCCAACTCACATCAGCTTCGCAGACTTTGGTCGACGAGGGCAGCCATATCTCACCACATGCGATGTATTTATCATAACATCTCACCGACAGTAGGCGGCGCAGCATCCGCCATCGTGGGACTCAGCCGCACATCAGCATCGCAGACACTATCCGGCAAAAGGTCGAGGAATCCGCAGCGCGAAGTCCGTTGCGAAGCTGGCCCCAGAGCTCCAGACGTACTAGGCCCAGAAACCCCCCACGGACAATGGCTGTCTTCTGCATCTGCCACTCAACCACATGATCCTGCTGGTGTCCCGTTTGTATAAAGATTTACGCAACGCCCGAAGGGTCTTCGACATCCCTCAGCCATTGGTCCCCCCGAGGCATCACAGGGCGCATAGATGCTGACGCACCACAGCGAAGATCCATGCAGTGAAGCTGACCATGGGCCATCAGTAAAAATCTTCCTTTTTTCTCTTGTCCTGTGCGACCTGCTGCATTCAGGCCCGGGTATGCTTTGATCTGAAGGCCCAGCGAATGCTACATATATCGTGGCCGCTTCAGCAGAGCTTGACCAAGCCTTCCCCCGTTGCTTTGTCGCTTCATCGATCATCGTTCCCGTTCCGCACGCAATCAATCCTATATATCCTTGCCTGCGGGCCAACGCCTTAGCTCACGTCTTGAGATTCACCTGGCCCCCCTCGGACACGAGCTCGAGCTGTCGCCTCCCATCCGTACAGAGATGGAACCGATCAAATTGCTCTCCGGCAGCTACGCCTCGACCAACTCTCAGTCGAAAGGTTGCAAACAGAAACTATCCAGCTCTCTTCAGACATCTCCTACTCCGCCTGCGAGGAGGACAGCCGGCTCGGAAATTAGATACCCAGATGTCCTACCGGGGGGGTTCCAACCCGGGAAGAAGTCGATGCTCATCTAACAGACGACCATGTGGTGTGGGCGGTTATTTTGACAGATTCGATCACGTCTATTCCCTATGGTACCCGTTCAGAATACGCTACAGCTCTCACGACAGTACCCGGACCGGCAGCAAGCCTCCAAACCTCGCGGAGGACTACGCGGCTTACCCCCCCCTCCCCCTCCTGCCCCTCTCTACCCCTCTCGAGAAGAAAGCACACCCCTCTAATCGATAATTTCAATTGATCTATGACGAGGAAGGGTTGCACTGGTAGATGACCGACTACGTCTGAATGGGCAAGAGTGGTCAGCTCGCTCGCTCGCTCCAAGTACGTGTAGCCACGTCCTCTTGTCCCGGGATGTGCCGGCAGCCACCGGCCTGCCTTGGCTAGAACTCCACGCTAGGCCGGCGTCGTATTCTATACCGCCAACTGCATGCATATACGTACACACGCAGTTCTCATCCCACATAATACCGGCGGGGCCATCGGATATCCTGCGAGATGGATGGCGGGCAGCCCTCACCACAGCCACACGTGGCACTCCGTCCAGGTTCGATTTGCGTACCATCAGGGCGTGAGTGAATCCTACCCTATGTTCAACACACCGACGTGCGGCGACTGCCCGAGGTGGAAAGTGAGCTTTCATTGAGTTGGCGAGCAGTTGTGACGACTTCGGGACCGGGAAAGGGCTAGATGGGGAGGGTCTAGCGCGGGTGGTGTACGCAATGGTGAGGCGACCGTCTGTTGGGTGCTAAAGGACCCGAAGAGGGAGACAAAGCTGTCTAGTCGGTAGCATTTGGACCATAGTTCCAATGGCGTACAGTTTCTTATCTCGCCTAAGCTCATCGCGGGTTCCGCCTCGTAAAATACTACCTGCTTACCTCTTACCTACCTACCACCTCTCGTGTGCCGGGGCGTGTCTATAGTATGCGTATTCGGCCACATTGGACATCTTCTATGCTAGGTACATGTAAGACACGCACTCGGGAAAAGGGGCTGTGACAGACAGGCAGACGACAGACAGCAAGGCAAGGAGGTTACTGTATAGGTGGTTTTGCTAGGTACCCATTGAGTTCCTCACAAACCTCGCAGGCTATAAATGGAATCATTCTAGAACGCGTGGAATACCCACGTAAGCGCCGCGTATACCTAATTAGGTATCTATAGTACCTAGATAGGCGAAAGCGAGCACAGGAACCTTTTACGAGGACGTACTATATGTACGTGTAGGTATATATATAGGTACATAATAGAAGAGGTACCCAGGTCCACAGGAGGTACCCTAAGGCATGACACGTTTCGGGGACCGAGGAAAATGAGAGTGCTGGTTGAAGCGGCGGAGTTAAGGCTGTCGCATGATGTCAGTAACTCCACAACCCCGGGCCTGCGCAGAGCCACCTTCACGTACTACCTAACCTACCTACGTAGGTACCTAAGGTAGTATGGATTTTGGGTATGTAGGGAGGTACACACGAGGTACTAGTCGGAGCGGGGGGTTTTAAGGGCCGAGCCGGGAATGGTTGGGACGCCCGGTCCAATAGCCCGGACCCAATCATTCTTAGATCCGTCCAGCCCGCCCACGATCTATCCCATTCTATCCTTTTCTCGCATTGCTTATCAGGCCTTGACTCGCCCAACCCGAGCCAGCATCCGAGCCCGCATCCCAAATCCGATCCGATCCTTGCCAGGCCAACCTGGGAATCCCCGTGGTATTGGGTAACCTGAGTCTGATCTTGGACCTGCGGGAGCTAAACCCCGGTGGTCCTCGAGCTCGGCTTGTCCAGCCTTGTTCCTGCATGCAGCATCCTATGGTCGCATTCGGTCTTTGGGTCTTTGGGACATCAGGCAACTCGAGGTTGTGTCATCACTATCCTTGCCCCGTCCCCATAACTTGGTAGCCCACACATGTCTCAGCACCTCCATGTCTCCCGAGGCCTCCGTAATTAGTATAAAACAAGGCTTGGTCCGCTTCGTCACCCGTTCGGTATGCTCAAGAATCCAACTTCGGCCATTGCACAGTTTGGGAGACAACTCGTAGTTACTATCGCGCGGATACAGCACGCCAACAGCACCACCGGGTCTTTTCCCAAGCTTAGCATCTCGGCCGAGGACGAAGCTGCTGATCCGCCCTCTAGCATACCGTTCAGAAAGAAGCGACAGCCCATGATTGCCTCGAGGAGACCCCAGCCCGCCCCGGGGGGCGACAAATTCCCTACCAAGCCTTCCGCCGACGACGCGATGCTGCTCGGCATCAAGGATGCCGTACACCAGTGGGTACGTTCCGTCATGTTATTTGCCGACACCGTCCCATCCTCGCCACGGGAGTCGGTGGCCTGCTCGGTCCTAACTTAACTGTAGTGGAACCGTGTCTCGCCCACAGTCGCCGAGCGCAACGTGATCTCCTGTATTCCGTACCTTCGGGAAGCTGCCGCCGCCGACACGAGTCCCTTGGCGCAAGTGCCGTCAGCCGCGCAACCCGGTCAGACCCAGACATCCGCCGAGGCCGATCCCTACGGACCGAGACTATGGCGGTCGACGATGGTGCCGTTATCGGGCAAGGAGAGGAGCCTGAACGAATTTTCGGTAGAGCGCGTAGGGGAGGAGGTCGATAACACGCTGGTCATGCTCCACGGGTACGGAGCCGGGCTCGGGTTTTACTACCAGAATTTTGAGAACCTCAGCCGCTCGCAGGGCTGGAAACTCTACGCGCTAGACTGGCTCGGCATGGGCAACTCGACGAGGCCGCCATTCAAGGTCCATTCGAAAGACCCCGCGGAGAAGATCACCGAGGCGGAAAATTGGTTCATCGATGCGTTGGAAGAGTGGCGAAAGATTCGGCAGATTAACAAATTCACCCTCCTCGGGCACTCCTTGGGCGGGTACTTGGGCGTGTCCTACGCGCTGAAATACCCGGGCCGCGTGAACAAGCTCATCTTAGCCTCTCCAGTCGGGATACCGGAGGATCCGTACGCAGTGAACGCCGACATGCCGGAGCCCACGGAGTCTTCGTTTCTAGACGAGCTCGCCGTCGACCAGCAGACGACAACTACAGCCAAGAATGACCAGCGGCCCGATGCCGGCGCGCCGAAGAAGCGGCCGTATTCTCCCCTACTCGTCTGGCTGTGGGACGCCAACGTGTCGCCTTTCAGCTTCGTACGATTGACTGGGCCACTAGGGCCCAAATTCGCGTCCGGCTGGACCTCCCGACGGTTCAACCACCTGACTCCGGAAGAGCGCCAGACGCTCCACGACTACGCGTACTCAATTTTCAGGCAAAAGGGGAGCGGCGAGTACGCGATGCCGTATCTACTAGCGCCCGGCGCTCACGCACGCCGGCCCGTCATCAACCGGGTCCACCGGATAGGCAGACAGGTGATCACACCGGCGACGGAGACGGCGCCGGCCGTGCGGGAAACGGGGATCCCGGTCATCTTCATGTACGGCGAGAACGACTGGATGGACGTCGCGGGCGGCCTCGCCGCGGAAGAGAAGCTGAAGCAGGCGAAGATCAAGGCGCTGCTGCACGGCACGGAGGAAGAGAAACGGAGGGAGAACGGCAGCGCGAAGGTCGTGGTCGTCAGGAAAGCCGGGCACCACCTGTACCTCGACAACCCGGACGAGTTCAACGAGCACGTCCGCCAGGAGTTGCAAGAGACTCGGCAGCGCACGCTGTGGGAGAGGAGTCTGTCCTGACGAGCTGACGCATTCCCGGTATCCAAAAAAACGTAATTTGCGGCAGCGAGAGAGCGGTTCTATTTTTTTTTTTTTTTTTTCTAAATGCGTTTCCAAGAGCGGCGACTGCACTTCTAGAGGGGGGAATTCTTCCTTAGACGTGATCACAATACGCTAACATTGCAGACCTTGGCGGCCTTTTCTACAGGGCATATCCCACAGGGTCCCAAGCGATGCTAGATATCTACGTTAGGTGTATATATATCCACACCTAGGCATATTTATACTATAGGTATATCTACATGCGCAGACATGTATATCTATATCGATGTACAGAGACGCCAGATATGTAGATCCCGAAGCGGGTAGGGGTATGGCCTGCCTAACCGGCAGGCTTACGATGGACATATTCGTCAGCGGGACGAGATGCGATGGCACCAATCTAGCGCGTTCATCGCTCGATCACGTACCCATGAATTGGGCTTACAGGGGCGTCACGTACCGACAGTGTACCTCCTTGCTAAGGCACCTTAGGCACCAAACGTTGGGAGGCAGAGCATCGGGCGGAAAACCGGTGTAGGGAGACTTACGTGCATCACCTGAATGTAACCATCCACCAACAACTCGCCATACCATACACAACTACACGCCCGTTGAAAAGATAACCACTTGGTGCTGAGGCTCCGTCGCCTTATCATACCGTCTTCCTCCATACATAGCTATCGCCCGAACTCCAGGCACCAAGCCTATGCGGGGAAACCCGTCGAGCCAGCGCGAGCAGAAAGCGGAAAACAGCACAGTCGAGTACATCGTTACGAACAGTCGTGAGCATCTGCGGTGATGATGACAGTCGCAGACGCTTTGCCGGCATTCCCCCAATTTGGCGCCCTGGCGCCCGAGCTGCGCGACATCATCTGGGCCTACGCTCTCCCCGACGACACGCCCGAGGTCTGCATCCCGTGGCCGCTCGAGGAGTTCCCGGCATCCTCGCGCGAAAACGATGACGGCGGCGGATTCGCCGCGCCGTGGCCTGAGCCGCTCGACCCCCTGCTCGTCGACACGGGGTTCCCCGCGCTGATGCACACGTGCCGAGAGTCCCGCGCGGTGGCGGAGGCGCGGACGCGGCTGCGCTGGTCGCCGCTGGCGCGCTGCGCGACGCCGTTCCGGGCGTACCGGCCGGACCTCGACGAGCTGTACATGAGCGTGCCGCGGGGGACGGTCGGCGGGCGCGCGACGATCCCCCGCTGGAGCATGTTCCCCAAGGGCGCCCGCCACGTCGCGTGCGACCTCCACAGCTTGCGCGATGGCAGCTTCTTCTGGATACTGCTCGCCCACCCGCTCATGGACGTCGAAACCTTGACGTGCGTGCTGCCGGCGCCGCCCGGCGCCGTCGTTGACACGACCACCCGGTTCCGACCCCCCACGCGCCGGTGCCGGCTTCGCTGGCTGGAGACGCAGCCGCGGCGACACGAGCAGCAGCCGCAGCCGCAGCAGCAGTACGGAGAGTACGAGGAAGAGGAGCCGATCGCCGACGCGGAGAGCTACATCATCCTCGTGAACCAGCGCATGACGGGGCTGAGGAGCTATCTGGAGGAAGTCCGCGATCACTCGGCGGCGGAGTTCGCGGAGATCCTGCACGTCGCGGCGATGCCGGCCGAGTACATGCGGCGGTGGGACGCGGCCACGTCCCGGTTCAAGATCAAATTCCTGGCGGCGGCGTTCGAGGAGTACCGGGGCGGGCGCTGGGTGCCGAGCTGCGACCACGCGCTGCGCTTCGAAACGCGAGACGGCGGGGGCGGCGACGCGAGCAGCCGAGGCGCCGGGACGTATCGCGTCAGCGAGGCGGAGAAGTGGACGCCGCTGAGGGATCCCGAGAGGTTCCGCGTCAACGACATCCAGCAAGACGAGGTGCCGCTCTGGGACGAGGACGAAGAGATGCGTGACGCAGCTTGAGACGTCGCGCGACGGTATATTAGCGAACGGGCTCGGATGCTGGTTACGCGCTGCTGCGTATGCGCGGTAGATGTTGTTAACACCAGTCGTATAGAGAGATCTTATAGAATAGGTGTTATCTCGTATGCGAGCCGGTCGTTACGCGCGGCGTGGACTGATCCTAAGCGGACGGCCACACCCGAACATGCTACGGCGACTGTACTGCAGCGCGTTTTCCTACCAACCGTACCATACGACGTACTACCTAACGTGCTACATTCCTACGTCGCAGAGGCGGTACCGGTTAGTAGTGGCAGCGTGATGCGGGCCCCGGCGGGTATCGAGGCCTTCTCTGTATGGTTCCCCTAAGGACTATTAACTGCAGCCTAGACCTGGAGACGGCAGTCAGCATTAACATGAACAGCAACGGCAACGTCTTACCTACCTATTAGCTCCACATAGGCATGCCCCTGGCTCGAAGGCTTTCGGGGGTCTCGGAGGGTCTCTCGAGACCATGAACATGTTGGTATGCATAAATCTGGCGGCTGAATCGTCGTCAGAACGTAGCGAGCACCAAGAGGCGCCCACCACCTACTCCATTCCTATGTATAGGCCTACTTCCGATGTTAATGTATTTTACTTACTGTTACGGACTGCGGAAGGGGAGAGAGTGGAGTAGAAGCCCCGGCGACGACACGGCTCCCGCTGCACAACTTTATGCACACGGACCCGGGTTGTGGGTTGCTGCTGAAGACCTGCCAATGAAGGGCGCCAGAAAGGTCCGAGAGGGCAGGCGGGAATTCGCATAGCTCGCATATCTCGCATAGACCCCGGTCCGGCCAAGGGTAGCTGCACAACTTTATGCTAACTAAGGACGGCAGGAAGACGCATCCGTCCCGTGCTGATATCAATCTTGGTGTGCGTCCAGCTCCTTACAGGCTTGCGAAGGCAATACACACATTGGGTGTATACGGGTGATATATATATATATATACTGCGTAGGGCATCAGTACGACATGCTGTCCCAGGTCCACGGTAACTACAATGCCTGTGTACAATACCTACCACTAGGTGTGTGTTCCAACCCGCGAGGTTCCTCCCACACGACCCCTTTTATAGGCACCGTCAAGTAAGGGAGACGCCGTTTAACAAGTCAAGCCACCTACGCCTACCATCGACACTCTCGGTGGCCCGTTCCGAATGGAGTTGAAAACGACGGAGAAACCGTCGACACCCGACGCTGATGCCGGAACCCTCAGGCCGGACTCAAAGCCGGAGCAGGACCTCGAGGTCGACCGCGGCCCGCGCGACGCTGACGCCGACAGGACCGACCCTAATGTGGTGGACTGGGATGGGCCCAACGACCCGGCAAACTCGAAGAACTGGCCGGATTCTCAGAAATGGATGAACGTCACCGTTTTGTCCGTCATGTCTGTGGTAACGTGAGTCTTGCTTCCGCGCCGACCCTACCCCTCTCTACCCCTTTCCGTGCGCGCTGACCTGGCACCGCAGCCCGCTAGGATCCTCGATGTTCGCCCCCGGCATCCCGGGGATTATGGTCGAGTTCCAGGAGCGCTCGTCGACCGTGGCCACCTTCCTCCTCTCAGTCTACATCCTCGGGTTCGCCTTCGGCCCCCTGATCGTCGCGCCCCTCAGCGAGACCTTCGGCCGGCGGCAGCTGTACGTCTACAGCAACATCCTGTTCGTCGGCTTCACCATCGGCGCCGCCCTCTCCACCAGCATCGGCATGCTCATGGCCTTCCGGCTGCTCATGGGCCTCTCGGGTGCCGTGCCCGTCACCATCGGCAGCGGCAGCATCGCCGACATCATGCCCGTCGAGAAGCGCGGCAGGGCCATGTCCGTCTGGGCCCTCGGTCCTCTCCTCGGCCCTTGTGTTGGACCCATCGCCGGCGGCTACCTGATCCAGGGCGCCGGCTGGCGATGGGTCTACTGGCTCATCGTCATCTTGGTGCGTAGCCTAACCCCTAGGTTCCTCTCCTGCCTATTTCTATTTTCTCCCCGACCTCAGCCTTGCGCGCTAATCACCGTACCTACCTACCTATAGGGCGGCATTCTCATCCCCATATCGCTATTCTGCCTGCGCGAGACCTTCGCGCCGGTCCTCCTCGAGGCGAAGACACAGCGTCTGCGCAAGGAGACGGGAAACACGGAGCTGCGGAGCGCGCTGTCGGACCGGGCGAGCACGAAGGAGCGGTTCAAGCTGGCCGTCACGCGGCCGCTGAAGCTGCTGCTGCTGACGCCGATCGTGGCGCTGATGTCGCTGTACGTGGCGCTGACGTACGGGATCCTGTACCTGCTGATCGCGACCTTCTCGTTCGTGTACGGGCAGCGCTACGGCTTCAGCGAGGGCGACAGCGGGCTCACGTTCCTGCCCGCGGGGCTCGGCATGGTGATCGGCGTCGCCGCCTTCGGCCAGCTCACCGACTACATGGTCCGCCGCCACCAGGCCAAGGGCGACCCCCTCACGCCCGAGGTCCGCCTCGCCCCCGTGCTCACCGTCCCCACCGGCGTCGCCATCCCCGTCGGCCTCTTCCTCTACGGCTGGGCCGCCGAGTACTACGTCCACTGGATCGTGCCCATGCTCGGCGTGCTCATCATGAGCATGGGCATGATGGGCGTTATGGTAAGGGAGACTCTCGTTCCCACACACACACACACACTCTCTCTCTCTCTCTCTCTCTCTCTCTCTCTCTCTCGCTCCATCTATCCTCACCACCACCTCTTCTCGCTAACGGACGTCTACCCCCCAGTTCTGCGTGCAAAACTACCTCCTAGACACGTACCCGCAGTACGCGGCCTCGGTGACGGCGGCGATGGCGGTGCTGCGGTCGCTCCTCGGCGCGCTGCTGCCGCTCGCCGGCCTCGAGATGTACGACGCGCTGGGGCTCGGCTGGGGCGACAGCCTGCTGGCCTTCGTCGCCCTCGCCCTCGTCCCCATGCCGCTCGTCTTCTTCTGGTTCGGCCCGCGTATCCGCGGCCGGTTCAACCCCAAATTATAGAGGACCCCCTTTCCGCGCCCTTGATGATATATAGACCTGGCTACTCGGACTTGTTAGGTATAGACGTACCGCAACAGTAACTGCCTACCTACCTACCTGCGGTTTTGCTTTCCGGTGATATGGGCCTGCGAGGCAGCGGAGCCGCCCGTTGTCACCCTCCCGGCCTCGAGGCCTGGTTCGTGTCGGTGGAAAGGTGACAGTACGAACACCCCGTCCTCTGGCACGTTCCGCCCGTTCTAACCGGAGACACAGGTGGTCGAAAGCAGATTCACGTGCGTCCGTAGCAGAACTAGGTATATGTTTTTAAGACTAACCTGTTCGATGTTTCTCTGTTTGCCCCGTGTCTATCTAGACTGCCGTAGCCCAAGTGCCTACTCTTCTTTTTCGTCACCCCTTTTATACTTCGGTTTTTTTGTATGACATTACGGCCCGAAAGTGGTCGGGATTGGCCATTGCCACGTTAATAGGCAATACAATCACAGTGGGCTATTTCATATCGTTTCTATGCTACGTTTTGTCATGCTTGCCCGGTTCTTCCGTCGTGTCCGTGGCTCTTCTGTCGCCCGAGGTTCGTCCTATTTCACAGTCTCCCCCTATGCATCGATACCTACATACTACACATCTACTGATGCGTAGAAAAAGAACCGTTGTATTTACAGCACCGACGCCTCTTACCTTCTGAGGCCCGGTCTTCTGGTCTCCGTAGAAGGCTGGTTGGTAGAAGATTACGACGGAGAATTCGGGGTCTCTATACTTCTGTCTAGTTAGGCAGGAGGACCCTGATTGCCGGTCTCTGGATCGAGAATTAGTCTCTATGGGCTTCTAGATGTCTACGGTGCGCCGACGTGAATTTGACATAGGTGGATGTGCAGGAGCGGAGCTCTTCTCCATCTTGCTGGCCCCCGTTAGCCGTGGCTTAGATAGGTACATGCGAGCTGCCTGCGGGCGGAGAACCGTCGCGGAGCCTCGATTCCACCTGGCCATCGCACTGCCGACCGGTCGCGCGCAAGGGATGCTCGCGGGGGTCCGGCGGCGCCCCTTGGCCGTCGGGGTCTGCGTACGCCGGGGGGGGGGGGGGGGGGGGGGGCGCGATGCTGCTAAAGAGAGGAGCTCAGCCTTGCTGGTTATTAATGGAACGACGCTGACGCGAGCTTTTCCTGGGAGTTTCCGCTATCGGGGCTGTGAGGGTGCCCACCGCAGCGGTCGGCAGACGAAGCGAAATGGAGAGAGGGAGGCTTTATTATTAGTGCACACATACGCCGTGCTGCCAACGTGGGGTGAGGTGGCATGGGAGCCTCTGGGGGGAAATAAATTAATAATGCTATTCACAGAAGCCAAACGCAGCAGGTCGTTATAAACCCAGATGTTTTTTGGGTGGGGCGGGGGGCGGTTGGCGCGACGTCGCATCCTTCTATTCTAGATCTGACGAGAGCTTCGCGATGGGATGTTTCTAGAACAAGGACCAAGAACCTCCCCACGTAAGCCCGCGTGTGCATCAGGCGTGTAGGTAGGTAGGTATAGAGAGACGTGCCGACGTTCCGACTCGGTAGGGTAGGGGGCGGTCCTGTAGGATCGTGGACCTGACACGAGGGCGCGTAAGAATAGCAGTGTGCGATTCTTGCTTTCATACTCGCGTCGGATGAGGGTTTGCCTCCTGAGTGTGAGTGACATAGGGTACTGTCCGTCAGTCGGAGCTGAGCTAGGCTTAGATGGACGGCAAGACAGTGGGCGAGATGGTTGCTATATTGAAAGGGCACTGTGTTGTCTGTCTTCGCTCAGATGGCCCAACCTCATCGGAACTAGGTCGCGGAGACAAGTCAAAATAGCAGATATCAGATGTAGGTATAATATGTGTGCACATTCACAGATCTGCATTCTAGCTCAGATGCTAGGGCGGTTAGGTGGTTTTCGCACAGCGTGCTGGGCTTGCTGACGCGGGTTTTTTTGCCCTGGGAAACGAACCGTAGACGGAGGGATTTTGCTGATGAGTACGAGCAAGGTGTTGTTTCGTAGATAATACCTGCGTGCGAACGTGGCCGTGTCGTCGCACCTCGAATCGAGGCCGGCTCGGCGGTCGGGGGATTTGATTTACCTATCTGATGCCTCCATGGTTCGGTTGGCCCCTTTGACCATGGGTTGGTTGGGATAGGGGGCCAGTTGGCTGTGCTGGATGACATGTAGTGCCCTATCGGAGGCGTAGACTATCGTTATAACAGTGCACGTTGGGGGGGGTTGTGTACACACCTGAGCCCCGTCCGGTATCAATTCAGACTTCCAGACAACAATATCGACTGGCTGACTGACTAGCCGACCTTGTAGTTATAACGAAATCGATGGCAATGATGGATACGAGATCGCGGTCCCAGGCGAGAGGAACAAAACAAGAAATCCGGTTTCCGACATGCAGACCCCGGTCCTGGTTGGGAGCTAGAAGAAACGGCCATGCTTCACGATGCAATCTCGCCACGCGCGGTAAAGCTTGAGCCTCACGATATGATATAGGTATGCACACATGTGCAACCAGATCTAGCATGCGTGTCCATGCGTGAAAATAGTATCGAAGCACCTAGGTAAGATATAATTACGTGTGCTACGTAGCACGTATATGCCACCCCCAACACACATTCGCATATATCGATATAGATCTATATTGGTGATGCCAACGTTGCGTGGGGTTTCGCGAGACAACCTCTCGTGGTGTCGTGCACGCTAGATAACCAGCCTAAATACTATGTAGGGCGTTTCCGTTCTTAGGGGGCCAGCTGTCTTACCCCCCGACGAACATGGCATCCGGGTAACAGTCTGCGGACTAGCCTCCGGGAGAGAGAGTGCTTTGCACGTACTACGCAGCAGTCAGTGGCTTTGGTTGATTCGCTGCCTAGACCGATCGACGGCAGGGCGCTCAATATGTACGTGGGAGATATGTACATTCGCGCCCTATGTTCAGGGCGACGAGGACTTCAGGTTGTGTCAGGAGGCTACTTCGCGCGCACCTACAGAAATATGTACCTAGGTAAGAAGGGAACATCCCTCAAATAGACACATATTAGATGGCAGAATTCCATCCGTCTCGACTGCAACGATTAGGAGGGGAATGCCATGCATATACGGCACCTCCCTACCCACAGTATAGGAGAGACGAATCCCCCCTACATTTACTTTATACATACCTGCTTACAACCCGTCTCAGACTCGTCCGGCTTCTCCAGCTCCCTCTTGCAGAAAATAAGCAGGTCGCGACGAGAGCCGAGATTGGGTTAGCCCCAGGAACCGGGGGTCCGAGGTTGGATTACCCCTTAGGCTACGTGGTATATACATCCATGTATATGTCTGCTATATGTGTATACGTATATATGCATCTAAGTAGTTTTAGCCTGCCCCTGAATAGTATGATTGGCCTAAAATTGCCAACGATCCAGCAAGTCGGGTCGTAAGAGAACTTGATTGGCTCGTAGACATCATGAACCACACGATATACAGGTACCTCGGGTACAAGGTGGGTATTCGTTTACACAGAAAACTTTTTGGAATTCTGAAAATGTAGCCGAAGTGTTTGCACATCTCGCGAGCAGCACAAATACGGCTCTAGCGAGTCCCGCCTCTGTCAATGGCAGCGTTCGCCCGTTTGCGTCAATCGGTAGAGCGTGAGACTCTTAATCTCAAGGTTGCGGGTGAGTTGCCAGCAGTCAAGCGACAGGTCCTGTATAAATGTCGGTGCTGACGAGTCACGTGCACAGGCTCGACCCCCGCAGTGGGCTCAATTCCTACTATGCATACTTCAACTACAACTATTTTTTTATTCGCCTTTTTTCCTCGTGGCTGTAGTCGTACGTACTTCGCTTCTATAGGCGACAAGCAACTTGGAATTGCATTAGATCCATTAGAATGAGGCTGGATTTGATTTTTTTTTTCTGTGTCCTTTCCCCGAGTTCGAGTGTCGGCGTCGGTGTTTTTCCACGCAATCTACACCGCATACATATAATACTGGGCATTGGTTTGCGTAGAATTTTAGTATTCGCCGAGCACCCTGGCGACATCCGTGGAGTGAGACATCCCCATATAAACATCTCTCTCTATAGGCGTTGAATGTGTATATATATATCCTACGCCGGCGGGGCTTATTCGCACGTCCTATTCCTCCCCGCGCCAGCCGCAGCTAATGTCTGCCTAGCATGCATGCATGGCGGCGGCCTTGTGAAATATACTACGTGGTAGGTTAATTAAGGACGGAGTCTGGTGATGTGTGTGAACGCCTCCTGTCATTTGTTTACTCGTCTGGATCGTCGTAAAGGCCGATGACGACCTGAAATCGTCTACATGCAGGTAGATGCCGGTGGGCTCGATATAGATCCCTGCCCGTCGTTCCACGGGCGACACGCCTGGGGCGGCTCTGGGTTGCGATTATGTTGTGTGCGGTGCCTTTCGCTGTGCCTCATAAGAGCGTGCCATAATTGTACATAGATATCTGCGTGTAAGTACATACCTGTATGTCGTATGCACACATAGCAAGACGCATGCTACGTATCCATGCACAAGACGCCCCGAGGCGAGCCACCCTGCCTCTCCCCGCGGCCGGATTGGCAGATGGATGACGATCATCTACCGAAATGCCGCTGTTGGTGAGCTTCTCGCCTGCATCTTGCGCCGTACAGGTGTACGTGCAGCATGCAGGAGGGCGCACGCCATGGTTTGTTCGAGCGGAGGGAGGCGGGCGAGAGGCGCGTGGCGCCGGAACCAAGTCGTCCTTGTCTGCCCCCTGGTTTGCCCGACGACGAAGGCGACGACGACGCTCGATGCCAGCAAGGCGAACCGTCAACTGGCCCACTCCCTTGCCTTGCTGCACATAGCGAGGCACTTATTTTCTCGTATTTTCTCGTCGAATTGTCTCCGACCGCATCCTATTGCGCGTGGGCGTGTTGGAAGATACCTAAGCACGACACGATGTATTAGGGGTATACTCACATATAGTATATCTCTCCTACAGGGATTCTGTTAAATTACAAATGAACAGAAATGGATCTAGCTCGACCCGGTTAACAGGGGGGGACCCTCGATAGGGCCAGCCATGCAGTGGATATTCGCCAACCACATCATCTGGATATACACGTATATACACGTGTAGGTACCTCTGTTCGTATGTATGTACGTACACGTATGAGTTGGGGTATGCATATATACATACATATATACGTACACACATATGCATGTACCTGACGCGAAGTACATAGGAGGTACCCGGTGCTGCACCTATTGCACCACCCACCCACCAGGACGGACTTGGCAGGGACGATCCAGGGGTGCCCAGTAGCCGCTGCCCGGGGTATCTACGCGCTAGGCCGGAGGCGGCGCCCCCCTGTCGGCATCCAAGCGCGCGCGCCCGCGCAGCAGCCACATCGTTGCCCTTGTCATCGCCGTCCCCTTTGACTGGTCTCTGGGTGTAATAACGACCAAAAGACCGACTGCAACACTACCCGCTTGTGGTCCGCTCGTAGCCCACGCCGCCATGCCCCTTTCGACCGACGCCCACCCTCTCTCGCCCTCTCTCGCCCCCCCCCATCTTCCCCCCCCAAGCCGGGACCAGGTCTGGCTCTCTCGCTTTTCCTCGCCGCCGCCCTGTTCCGCGCCCGCGTTCCTCTCACCTTTTCCCGGTTGTCCGTCTGACGGCTTCTCTCGTCGACCTCTCCTCTCCGTCCAGTGAAACATTGCCCTCAAGCCCTTGGCTTTTTGCCTGTCGATAATCTCTTGGCCGGGTCTGCAACCCTACTAGTCATGACCGAGTAAGACAAGGGAGAGCAAGTAGAGCAGATCAGAGCCAGAGCAGTACAATACTTAGATCGTCCGCACCATGTCTGCACCTCACTCCCTACCAAGTCAGATCTCGCCGCCGGCACACCCGCACCAGGACTCCTTCGGCGCCAACTCTGAGACTACTCGTGCCTCATCTGAGCTGGAGCTGACCTTCCTGAACCAACCGTCCCCCTCTCTCCCTGACGAGGACCAGTCGTTGCCCTTCCACTCGCCTACTGCCGTGCCAGCCTCTAGGAACCCCAAGAACCTCGTCATCGACAGCGCCGCCGTCCAGCCGCCCGCTCGGTCCATCCGACGTAAGCCGCTGTCGTCGACCGCTTCGTCCATCGCTGCCAGATACTCCTCGGGCGAGTATCTCGCTCTAGCCAAAGGCCTCGCCAGCCCTGAGCAACGCTTCTCGCGGTCCTTCTCGCTCGACAGCCCTACCTTGTACGAGTTCCCTAGGCCACCCCCCGCGTACACGGTTAGGTCCGGCCTGGAGTCGCCAAACGACATCATACTGATCCAGGGAAACACCGAGTGAGTCAAGGGTTCTTGTTAATTTACAACTTCCCCCGCCCCATCCTCACCTTCCCAATCCGGCGTTGCTAATTAACTCTCGCATTTCGAATTTAACCAGCAAATCCCCCAGCATTCGACCTCTCCCTCATCCGCTCTCTCGTGTTGACTCGAGCCCGGCTGTCGTACCGGGTGAAGTCGAACGTTCAGCCTCTTGGGACAGGATCCCTGTCGGTCTTCAAACAGATCACCACTCAGAGTCGTTACAACATCACCACGGCCCGAGCCTGTATGACGACCTGTTTAGTGACGAAGAGGACGAGAGAGACGGGGACGGCGGCCCGCTGAACGATAACATATTTGATGAATACAACTCGGACCCGTCCGATACCAGCGATAGTCCTAATTCGCCCAAGACTATGTCGCTGCATATCACCCGGAAGAATACACCCCCGCAGTTGAGCTTGAGGCCTGTCGATCTCACCGTCACCCCCACCGCGGACAAGCACGACATCAAGACACCAAACACCGACAAACCACTACCGAAGTCGCCGGGCTCGTCAAAGCTCGGCTCGTTCTTTGGCTGGGCCGCTTCTCCTTCAGCCGCCGACACCTCCGACAAAGGCTTCTCGCCTCTCCCGTCGCCTTTCAACTTCTCAAAGGCCGCCAGCGCCACCGATGTGTCTCCATCCACCACCATCGGACCCCATTCGCTCTTCGACCCCCCAAAGATCTTATACGGGGCCCCCAATTCCCGTGACTACCGCGAATCATACCTAGCGACACCACCCACCGCTCCGCTATCACCAGCTCACCTGATTGAGGATATGGAAGACGAGCTGAGGGCCATCGCGGCCGAATTGGCATCGTCAATTCGGCGCGAGATCGATTTGGAGGATTTGGTGGACAGGCTTCAGGCGGAGAAGGATAACCCTACCAGCTCAGCTAACAAGAGGACGAGCGACTACTTTTCGGATTCGGGAAACAGCACGACAAAACTTAGCGACTACGACCAGTCGAGAGAAGAGATCGAGAGGATCCAGCGGAGGTCGGAGCAGGAGAAGGCGCAGATCAGGCTCGAGCTGACAAGCAAGCTTCAGGATGAGAGGACCAGGAGGCAACAGCTCGACGAGCAGATTCGAGAGCTCTCGGAGCGGGCGTCGCAAATCGACCTCGCCAAGGCCAACAATACCGATACCAGCGGACGTGTCAAGGAACTGGAGACCACCTGCGACACTCTCCGGCGCAAGCTTACCGAGGAGCGCCAGGTCAAGGATAACTTCGAGGACTTGCTCACCGCTCTCAAGGGCGAGCTGGAGGATGCGTCCAACGAGCGCGATAACCTCCGCGACGAGGTCGTCCCCCAGCTCCGCGCCCGTGTCGAGGGGCTTGAGGCGCAGGCAGTCGAGCTGGAAAAGATGGGTTACGAATCCACCAAGATGCAGCAGGAGCTCCAAACCCTCAAGATGGAAAATACGTCGTTAAAACAATTACAGGTGACCTCGATGGACACCATCTCGGAGGAAGGCGGAAATGCAGGATTCCGCTTGTCCCGATCCAACTCTTTGACGGGTCCGCCGTCATCCCTCAGGCCGCAGCGGCCACCCTCTCTGTCGAGGTCCATGTCGGTCAAGACGTCGGAGTCCCGAGATCAAATAGCGGAGCGGCTGAAGGATGTTGAGGAGCAGCGCGACGCTCTCCACAGGGCCCTGAAGAGCCTTCTCGAAAGGCAGGAGCACCAGAATAAGGAAAATGACAAGAAGATCCGAATTCTCGAGATGGAGCGTGATCGTCTCCTCACCGAGTCGCCGCAGAAGGCGGGCTTCAAGAAAGAAATATCTAACCTCCGAGCGGAGATCAACGTCCTGCGTCGCCGAGCGGAGGAGGCTCTCGAGCAGAAGTGGCAGGTTGAGAAAGGCCTCGGCGGTCTCAAAATGGACCTCGACCGGGCCGAGCAAGAGATAGCATCGCTCAGGAGCCTACTCGACGAGAAGGATATCCTCATTCCGCCTTCCCTCGCGCGACAGAGCACCGCAAGCGAGAAATTCGCGGCCCCGGTATCCTCGGATTCTCTGACGGCAGCTTATCAGAGCCTGCAGAAGGCCTACGCCGAATCCCTCGAGCGTATCAGGAAACTGGAAGCCGGCAGCTCCCCCGACGAAATGACCAGACTGGCCATGGAGAGGCTTGAGCGGACGCTTACCATGACTATCTCGGAGCGCGACCTGGCCCGCCAGGAGGCGACATCGTACAAGGAGCAGCTCGACGCCCTCAAGGCTGGCGAGCGGGTTTACCTCGAATCCGAAAAGGCGCTGGCTGACGAATTGAACGAGTCGGCCCGTCGCGTCGAAGAGCTCGCGGCCCAGGTCCGCCACCAGCTCTCCATCAGCCAGACGCTACGTCAGCGCATATCGGACACGGTAGCCCGCGGTGACGTTGAGCAGAAGGCGAACAAGGACCGCATCACCGCCCTGCAAGAGCACCTCCGGACCCTCGAGGAGAGGCTAGAGGCGGCGCAGCAGGCTTCCGAGGAGCGCGTCGCGCGTCACGAGGAGGAGATGGCGGCGGTCAAGATGAGCCACAACGACCAGCTGAAGCGGATGCGAGACGGCCTGCGCTCCCCGCGTATGTTCCCGCCGAAATCGCCCATGTCGCCCCTATTCGCGACTCAGGGAAGCCGGTCGCCGCGCCTCAGCGTCACGCGATCCGGCCCGGCGATGAAAGCGTCGGAGGAAGCGCAGGTGGACAACCTGCGGGCTCGCGTGGCCGAGCTCGAGAACGCGCTCGCCGACGCCGACTCGTCGATGCAGCAGGTCGTCGGGCGGATGAACGCGGCGCAGATCGAGGTGCTGCAGCTGCAAGAGGAGCGTGAGGCGGCCGTCAACCGAGCGCGCAAGCTCGAGCGCGAGCTCGAGGCCGAGATGGTTAAGGCCTTTAACGGGCGCTTCAAGTCCCTGCAGTCGTAGGAAGACCGATGCGAGAACAGCCACGGCCAATAGACACAAAAATGACAGGAAGAAAGGGCCTCACGAAATCGATGACGACGACATTGACGCGCATATACTCTCATCATTACTATCGACATCACCATTACTACTAGTATTATTGTCTATTATATCTTTTGCATTTACAGGAATCGAGGTGTCCATCCTCCCATCGGGCTGGAGTACCAAACATGCTCGATCTCGGAGCATCGGCGTTGGGCATGAAAGATGTTTACCATCTTTGGTTGCTGGGTCCCTTTAAAAAAGAGAGGGGACGTTATTGTATATTTACACAATGACCGCGAGCTCATCTGCCGGTCTTGTCTTGTTTTCTGTTTGTTTCCGCTTCGCCACACGTACTGGCTGCCTTGCCTTGACATCGGCTCCCGGGCAGTTCGACGAGCCGCCTCAAGCAGGGCTGTACATCTTAATACCCTTTCTTCCTCTTCTACCGAGTGCCTCATGTTAACCCTGCACTGGGTATATGATGTATGCACATATTATAATCCACATACCTATGTATATATATGTATGTACAGTCGCGGAGGAGCTGAGTGCCCATTTAGCTAGAAACTCGCCCGTACCGCACGAGGTGGCAGAATATATTAATCAAACTACCTATACATTGATAGTTGAGAATGAAAGGAATTTAACCAATGCCCTCTCTTTGCCTTTGGCACTACGACCACGGCCCTATATATTTCTCTATATTGCCTCGCATCTTTATCTGAGGGACAAAAGCTGTGCGTACCCCCCCCTCCCCCATGCCAGCATCGCAGCGGCATTGCCCTTTCGCGTCTGCCTCGCTTTGTTAATCCCTCCTTCAGATTTCCACGACGGCGAGACGAAATATGACAAGGGGTGATTCCCTAAGCACCGACCTATGTGGGTGGTGTAGTTCCTGGTACATGTCCCAAAGCCCGCGTAGTTTCCTCCCCCGGGATTCCCTCCACGGCCATCACTAATATACACACGCTCACGATCCGTCGACGCGTCGCCTCGCTGGGCCAGAAATCAAGCTCACCGGCTGCGCTAGGGATCGTCGTCTCCGCAGTCCAGGCGTCCGCGTAGAGCGTATATATGTAGTAGACCATAGGGATCCGGGGGCCCGTGGACGTCTTTGCTGTCCAGATCCCCCACGCACGAGAGGTCGGTAATTTCGATGTGGTAACGCTCGATTCCTTCGCGTAGCTGTGATATTGGCGTTCGGCGAGCGATTGGAGGAGACCCCTGCCACGCAACTAGGACTGCGTAGGACTTGCTCAGGGTCGCGTAGCCGGGGTAAGGGTCCAGAGACGTCGAGCCAAGGCGACTAAGCACGTTACTGTGTAGGCATGTAGGTATTCCCGCCTCTGCTGTTTGCTCCCGCCTACCTGAACGTGTCCCGGGCATCTTCAGTCAACTACTCGTCACGCATTTCACGGCACAGCTCGACCAACGGCGAAGCCGCAGCGGGATATAGACATATTCAAGTCGGTTGGAACTACTCTCTCTACCAATTCCCCCTGTTGTCCCATTCCGCCTCTCGCCTCGGTATCTGCGTCAGTCCTCTCTGTCTGCCTACTATTCCCTCGTCGATCTCCTCGCGCGAACACAGCGCGATGCATCTCCGCAGCGCCTTAACCGTGCTCCTCCTGGCGAGCCTCTCTCCCGCCGCGGCGGACGCGGACGCAGACGCAACGCCGACGGCAGCAGCACCAGCAGCAGCAGCAGCAGCAGCCGAGGCGCACGTCCCCTTAGACCTCGCGGCCCTGGTGGACGACGACTCGTGCTACCTGGCGTGGGTGCGGATCAGCGGGGCGCGGCCGCGGCCGGCGGGCGAGCTGGCGGCGTTCCTGGCGACGTGGACGCCGGCGCACTGGGCGACGGCGCCGGCGCGCGAGCGCCCGGACGAGAAGTGCGCCGCCATGTCCGCCGCGCTGCCCCCGGCGCTGGTGCCCGCCGCGGCCGCTGTCGAGGCCGCCTGGGCCGCCTACCGCGCCGCCCGCGCCCCCGACGTCGCCGCCATCGCCGCCGCCTGCCAGCCCCTCGTCGCCGCCCCCGTCGCCGCCAGGCTCGCTGTCGCTTCCGAGCTGTATCTCGGCCCTACGGGGTCGCCGTGCTTCGGCCCCGCGGCGACGGCGGCGGAGGCGGCGGTGGTGGTTGGCGGTGCGGAAGGCGGTGCGGAAGGGAGTGCGGCGCCGACGGGTCCCGGAGAGCTGCGCTGAGACGGCGGAGGCACGGCGGATGGCCGAGTGGGTTCGGGGGGGGGGCTGTCGGCTGAGGTTTATCTATGTCTAGGGTGGTTGGTCTCTCGAGCGAGCCGATGCCCGGCGGAGGGGCGGGAGCCGTGGTGTAGGCGAAGGCGCAGGCGTGAGGGCGAGAGGCAGCCGCGCTTCGAACTGTTGCGCTGTTAGGGTATCGTCGTCGTCGAAGGGCCTAGGATGCGTGGTATGGTGGCACGGGCAATAATGGTGATTTTCTCCAATCCAAATTCGGGGGTATATATACCATGTATGTGTTGATGTCCTTCGTCCTGAAGAGTGACTCCCCAACGCCGAGCTAAACCGGGTAGATGGATACCTCCATCCCGTGGGATATCTCTACCTCTAAAAATGCAAATGCCGGTATACACCTATATACAGGTGTATGTGTGTGAGTGAAGCTGTCCATAGCGGCAACTCATATATGCGCGTCGCAGTAGCTAGAGAGGATAGGGGCGTCGTTTGAAGGATCCCGGCTCCTTCACGGTCCTGCCTGCTTTTCCTCTACGATCTCGCTCTCGCCATCGGCGGCGGCGTCACCGGCTCGCCGGGGTGGTTCGGTCCCTTGGGCTTGCCATTAACCATAGGCACGGTGCTCATCCCGGACGCTCGCGGCGAGGGGGTTGACGACGAGAATGTGCTGTCGGTGGCGTCCGGCCAGGCGGGCTTCTCGCTCGACGGCGTCGGCCAGCGGTCCGGCCCGTCGCGGCGGCGCAGCAGCCTCGTCCAGTTCGTGGCGGCGAAGTATATCAGGCCGAAGAGCGCGGCGACGGAGACGACGCTCACGACGAGCCCGACGACGAGGGTCCTGGTGAAGTCGTTCATGGTTGTGCGGGGCTGGTTTGGTATGGCTCTACTGTCTATGCTAAGTAGTTCAGGTTGTTTATTCGAATTGTACCTGGTGGCTCTTGATGGATCCTATGGCGTAATGCTATCGAGAAGGGGAGAAGATGAAGTTACTATCTTATTATAAGCCGAGCCAGGGCCACGAGCGATCCGGCATCATGGTGGAGGTGAGGAGGCCCTTTGTGGTTACCGGTTGATGCGAGGACCGGGCGACAATAGCAGGTGATCAAAGGCTTCGGCGGCCAAGGGGAGCTCCGTCTTTGTGTCATTCTACTTATAGCTGGGCGGGTTTCCTTCTTTCTTCCTTTTGTCTCCACGTCACAGATCTGCGCAAGACCAACGATATTCTCTCTTCCGACGATGCCGTTCCAGACCCGCCTCTGCGGATACTCCCCCCCCCTCAAGCCAGCTTCTCTCTCGCGCGGTATTGCCTGCTTACACCCCATTCCACGTCAACTAAAAGTCCACAGATCTAAGCAGATCGGCTGCGCTAAGCGATTCCGGACTATCCGGGCCATCTACCTAAAAACTCGGTTGGCCAATCCGTCGAGTTTCCTTTCGGCTTCTTCCTCGCCCAGGATGACCAAAGAGCCGTCCAGCCGGGCTCACGGTGATGACATGGCTTACATGGATGTACGTATTATGTAGTTGTTGTAGATCCCGTCTGTGCTCAGCCATCCCTCACATGTCTCGGGCGCTTCTTCTCCTTAACCGCCGCAGTAGAAGGCCGCCTTGCCCAGTAGAACTGTGAATCTGTCCAGGTATATCTTAGCATCGGCTTCTCCTTCTACTTAACTTGCCCTTACTCGGCTTGGCGCACCGCATCATTTTCTCTATTATGGGCTTGCAAATGTGCCGGTCCCGCGACTAAGGAGGGCGTCTCCGATTCCTTCTCGTCTCTAGTCTGGGAGAATCGGCACCAGCTAGTCATAACCGGCGGGCGGTATGAGGCGATGGGTCGCAGGCGATCTTCGGAGTTCGGCTACCACATACGTTATTCATGTGTCACAGGGTACGCGTCCTGTAAGCCCATCCAGCCTATCCGTCCATCATTGTAAGCGTTAAGTGGCTTTCTGCCAAGTCCAGTTGATGACTACCTACCAGCCAGGTCGCTATGTGACGTCCGCGTGCGCCAGGCTGGCCTCGCCAGTGGAAAGCTACGTCAAAACGGCTTATTTTACGTCAAGGTATAATTAGCTATTAGTCGTGCATGCTACGACAAGATCCAACCAGGACGAGCTCGAGCATCGTGAGAAAACCGGACAAAGTACCTTATAGAAGAGATCTTAGTATGGTATAAATATTGGTAGCTGTCAATGTAATATATAAGTATATATTGGCGATGCTGGCCGCATCCTGCGGACTGCTCGGACGGTTCCGGGCTTTGTAGGCATCGCCAATATCGGCAGATGGGTATCGGCCATACCTACATTATGCCCTCGTCACCGCCATCCAGCCCTTGGCGATCAATCCTCAGCCTGCACTATCATGCCTCTTCTAGGATCCACGAGTTGACACGCGAGAGCTCTTATTTACACAATACTTAGTTTCGGGTGGACTCTCAGCTAAAGATGACAAGAACATGATGCATGTTGCTGCCTCCGCTATTGAGGGAGGGCAAGTTCAGATGAAAATCTACCTGGTCGATCCAGAGTTATGGCTAGGTTGACGAGGACACCGGAGTTGAATCCTATCATGTTAACCCGGTTGCTGAACCTCGTCGCTTTATGGGATAACAGATCCCCCTTTGGTGTTGAGAGCGAGAACGCCAGCTCGACTCCGTACGCCAAGTAGTCTTACGTTCGGCTCGCCATCACGAGCATCCGCTGCCGTGGAACCTCTAGCCACCTCGCAGCCAGCCGGCAATACCGCGCAGCTAGCTGACTTCGTCTACCAGCTGGTGTCAAAGGGAAACAGGATACGCGAATCCATGGATAAGGAATGGGTGCCCGTAATAGTTGGTAATGTGTTTATTCGACGCGGTGCCAACATGGGCGAGTTATTAAGAGTTGACAGTTCGAAAGATGCTCGAGCGGTATCTCTCCGTCGCACCGCAATCACTTGAGAGGTGCAAGTGGCATTGCCTATAAGAGGTGCCGACCTGCCTCTCAGGATCATATTGTGTGCCCCGGCGCGAAACCGGCCGAAGTTGACGAGAGTCGCAAGCTGGAAGTGTATTCATATATTTGCCAATGCAGAGATGCCGCCTTCGTGCCTCGACTCATCATCCTTAAATATACTCTTCGTTATAAACTAGCTAGCTAGTTTCGTATTATTATACATCTATACTGTGTGCCTATTGTATAGTATATTAGATATGCCTTATCCGTATGATGCTGGAGGGAAGTAGGTACAGAAGCTTACAACTCCCTATTTGACCCATATGGCTTCCTCTACGAGAAGGCTTTTCATCATGGTAATAGGCTGGGAGGTATACGAGGCAAAATACGGGCCGGTAGGCGGTTCGAGTAGTTGTCTGTCGAGGGTAAACAGAGTCCGACTCTGCGATGAGTGTGAGGTATCGAAGTGCCTGATCATGAGTTCTCTCGATAGAAATAACCGCCTGTGTGAACTTCCCAATGCTTCGTCCCGGTGCCGCTATTTATGGGCAATTCACCGACTGCGGCCATCCACTGAATCGAGCCTGTATCCCTTTGACCGTCACAAAATTGGAGAGTATGTGTCATTCCAGTCGTCATATGAGCCTCATTAAAAAGGAAACACCTTTCTATTCTTAAACGAACACTTGAAGGTCTTCTCCATCGCTAGGGTATACGCCGTTATCGATCAAGCCGGACTCCTGCCCATGCATTCCATCTCATACCACTGCTCGCTCTCATTGTCACTCCGCTCGTGGTAGCTGAGCCGAACTTCCTGAGTCTGCAGTATCCTACCGGGCTCAACGTTGGCTGGCTCGCGCACGGCATCGAGTATGCTCTTGTCGCTGCCCGCATCGTCGTGGGGATCGTGCTTGTCTTTTCGAGGACCGATCTTGGTCACGACGCTGCTCGGACACAGTCCCTTGGGAGTACTCTTCGTGCGGCTTTGCGTCTGGCTCTTCAATCCGGATTTACTGTTACTAAGGTGGTGGCGGTCGACGGATGACGATATCCCTTTGATGAGGGCGCGCAAGACCGGGATCGACGCCGCGATAATCGTAACCGACGGCTCGGCCGCGTACCATATAACCAACGTCGTTCCTCTGGCTTAATAGGAGGTCAGCCCACCCAATGACTTAAGGATGATGAAGCACTTACTCGAGAACGTCCCGACCGCGAGGAGGGGCAAGTATACACATCTCAAAATGGCGGTTATCCCAGCACTGCGTAATAGGTGTTGGTAAGTGAACAGTTCCCGAATGGGCAAGGGGTGGTCGGTTCATACATTATACCGCAACTCATCGCGATCGCAACGCCGAGCTTCTCTTTCGTTCTCATCCGAAGGTGCATGATCAAGAACCAAGGGATGATGGCAAAAGAGAAGTCTACAAAAGCCGAGTACGCTGTGGGTGAGGGGTTAGCAGACCCGACGATGACGATGACCCAGGAGACACGGATCCCGTAGCTTGAGCCTATCTTACCTCCAGCGAAGATGCCATAGCGGATGTATGTCATGGTGCTCCAACAGCCGGGCCCCTTAATCCACGAATACACTTCCGGCTCGCACTTCAAGAAGGCGAATATGATGTAGAGGAAAACGGCCAGGTTCATCGTAACGGTTAGAAATAGGATAAGCTGCTTCACCAGACCCTCCGTGATTCTCAACAGCGTGACTCCGAACGAGGTCTTGCTCAGCACGGCGGCGAGCGCGAAGAAGACATTCTGCACCACCCCGTGAATCTGGAGCCGGAGTGCGTCTGCTGGCGTCTGAGGCCCGGCCATGCTCGCGAAGCCTAACTTTATCGAGGCGGTGATGAAACTGACGGCGATAACGAGGCACAGCTATAGCACGTCAGACACATATTGAGATAGAAAGGAGGAGGAGGAGGGAGGGGAGGTTAGGGGCCGTGTTTGTTTCTCAACTCACCCAAGCGAATATTAGAATGTGATCGTCCCACCACAATCCCCGATGACGACTGAACTTGCAATATACCCGCAGGGTAAGAATTATCCCTGCCAACGCTGTCAACGTCCAGTTGACGGCGTTCATCATCGGCCCTAGGGTATAATACTGCCCTTCTGCCATTTTGTCGGTGGTGACCTCGGGAACGAGGCCAGGTCTGGCATAAGGTTTGGGCCAACGAGACGACAATAAGATCGAGATCCGGGGCAAGCCAGGACAAGATCAACCGAGAGGGGCGCGTGGTCTATATATGAATGCGTATCATTAGGCCACGAGGAACCCGGCCGTCACGCCGCCGAACTTTGGAAGCGTAGATGGGAACTAGGGCAGGCCCATCGACACTAACCAACTCGTCACGCCACAGCTCTACTAGTCTTGCACAGCTACAAGTCGTAGTAGGTTATACTAAGCCACGAAGAGACTCCGGGTGGCAACCTGGTGTGATCCAGGCTGACGGTAATCCGTGGGCCGATTATTCGCATGTGCCTGAACGGCGCCCCTGGACATACTATTGGGTCTGCCGGTCTTCTCTTCCACCACGTACCTACGAGTTGCGCCCAATGTGCACTTCCTATGTCTGTGTTATGGCCCCTTTGCTGCCAATCGACTAGGCCTTCCCCCCGTCCGTATCATCTCTCGCGCGATACATACCGCCCATACTCCCCAGCGGTCGAAGCCCTTCGCAACCAATCCTCCCAACCTCTGGCTGCTTCTAGCGACCGCCCGCTGGAAGCCCATCGACACCAGTGAGGGCTAGGTCTGGTGTAACACCCCCCCCCCCCTCTCTTCTTCGGTGGAGGCTGAGAGGGGAGCAAGCATCCGATTAACGAAGCTAGTTAGGACTGGTGTAAGGTCGAGAGACTTCCTGGGCTACCCCTAGCGAATCGTCTTCAAAATCCGGGGCCAGTATCTCGTTCCTCGGCCTGTGCGCATTCGACCGCGGAAGGGCTTGCCTATGTAGGGGCATGTTCGCGAACGGGCTCTTCCTGGGGGGGACGGGCGTCTCCTGGCTAGATCTCAGCCCTCCTGCCTGGTTGGCGTGCTGGCCCCACCAACGGAAGAGAAGAAGACCGGCGGCGTCGCAAGAGGCGTCCCGAAGGCAATCCGCGTTCCGCGTCCCACTAGAGAGGATTAGGGTAGAGCCTGCTACCCAATACGATGGACTGGGCACGCGACGAGAAACATGGATATGCCTGGCTGTGGCTCCTCAGGTATGTACCCAGATACACATAGGATATGGTGTTCGTGTCCTAGAGCGAGTATTTATCTAGTCGCTTTGCGTAGGGCTGCTTAACGTGTGGGTAGGTAGGTACTCCGTCTTCTACTCTCTGCCGAGTTCCACTCGTCTTAGCGTAGCCGATCATCTGGGCGCGCGTGTGGTGAGGGGGGGCTTAGCTGGAGTGCGACGAAGTGAGTGGGTATGTCGCGAGTCCTTAGTTGCTAGTATTTACTGGGTATACCTACCTACTGATTTCGCACTTCTGGCCCATTCCGCGTTGACTGGACGCGGGTAGCCGTCTATCGAGACCGTCTTATCGTGACGGTGTCCGGTCTGGTAGGCTTCTCGCCACGATACCTTGCTTGGCTGTATAGAGCTGTCCGTCTATTCTTGGAACAAGCGGGACCGGCGTTGTATGCTTCGCAAACGATAAGCTCAGATCGTGAAAACATCGACCAGCGGGCCGGCGCGGACGTTCAATAGGCCCGCTCGCCCGGCGAACACGCGGACACGCGACGCCTGGAGTTTGGGGTGCGATGAGAATTCTCCGCCACACGCCATCCATGCCGTTGCTTAGTAGCACTCGTATCGCATAGGCGGGTTTACCTGTGCACCTACCTAGCATTTGCATTGCTCTCGCGCCAGAGTAGAAGGGAAGCCCATTGCGGGCAACATTAGTTGATATACGTCGAAACACTTCGCTATGCTCTGCGCTTCTCCGTTGCCTACGTTTTTATTGTATAAGCATAGATAAGAAAACTCCGTAGGTAATTAGATAAGGCCTCACGTTTTATCACTATCCCTCGGATGGGATTACATTATGCAACCAGGATCTATGGTGCCTGAGTGTATCTTACAAACACACACCTGCACACACATGTAGGGGTAATGTCAGGTATCATCATCACCCTCTACCTACCATGCTACAATCCAAAGACGCGGCCCAGGCTCCGGAGCATATCTCGGGCGTTCAGCATATGCTGACGGATGAAGACTTCTCGACAATGACGGCAAGCTAGCGCCGTCTCGCCTCGAAGGCCGCCGCAAGTCTCTAAGGCACCGAAGCCTGAGTTTCCAAGCCCGCAAGATCGCCACCGCTAGCTGACTCGGAAACACGCCATCACCCAGGGCTTCTTGTCTCTTATGATGGGGAAATTTACATTGTGCTTATCCCCTCCCCCTTACGGCTACACACTCTGTCGCGTGTTTCCCGATCAGCCCTCGGAAGATCCCCCCGGGCGACAGGGAGTGAGCGGCTGAGCGTTAGGCGTGGGCTCGCTACCAAGCCAGGGCTTGTCTACTACACGTATACATACTTGACGAGGAGACGAGGGGGGCCTCGCATAGTGCGATTTTGAGTTGGCTCCTATTTAAGTCTCGAACGAAAATGTACCAGGTTGGTCGTGTGCCCTCGAAATATTCGCCGGGTCGCCTACTCTTTTGTCTTCCCAACTTTGCAGGTCGGTTTTTCCAGGGACTCGAGCATTGGCTCACACTCTCCATCATTCATTGCCTACCTAGGTACCTACCTACCTAACAACCCGACGTCGTGTAGCCGCGAGCACCTCGGCAGAACACTCTTCGTTGGGCACGATGTCGCGGCGTCTAATGGGTGAACGACCAACTGCCTAGCATTTGCAGCGTGCGAGTGCTCTCCTCTCCTTCTCTCGTTATTTCTGTGCGTGTGCTTGGACCTGAGACTTTTTCCGCCACAACCGTTGTATAGTAGAGAGCTAGCACGAATAGTGTAGTCTGAAACCTATATATGCGAGAGAGAGGCCCGTTGTGACCTCATAAAGGAGGTTCGAGAACCTCGCTCGCTTGACTGGTGTTAGGACTACGGGAAATCAGCGAGCATCTGGCTCGGCGCTAAAGCTAACGTGGTTCGTCGCCGCCACGTCGGGTGTCACGCGTTGATTATAGAGTATCTGGCAACATATTCAGATACCCTGTATGAATATCCAGGCATCTAGAGAGAGTACATAGCATGGCCATGGGACGGTACAGGGCTAGGCCACAGCTATGGCTTTTTCCTGGATGACGACGGTCGGCAACTCCCTGATATCGACGTGTTCGTTGTTGGCGAGGTCGATAACCCGGACCGCCTCCACATTTGCAATCCCCACTTTGAGGGCCAAGAACTTAAGCTCGACAACATGACACGCCCCGGGCGCGAGCGGACCAACTCTCACGTCCGCGCTGAGACACACGACTTCCGCGCTGTCGACGATGCTGCTATGTTGCATCGCGTGGACGACGTTCTCGTCGAGAACCGCGTCTGCCACGTTCCGGTCCCTCGACGTCTTCGGCGCCTGGGACTGACCATGGAGAGCTTCTGGCAATCTCGAAATTGAGGGGGGTCGGTTAACTCGTGATTCGTTGCGCCGCCGCTTCGGAATGACCACTATCGCTAGCTTCCTCGGGGTCGTCGACGATACCAGGGACCGATTAACGACAAATACACTCCAGACGAATTCGTCCCCCGCATAGATCTTCTGGCTCGGGGGCGGGGCGGTAAAAGTCATGGTAATGCCTACATCGGGTGCGGCAACCTCGGTTCGCGACGTCGCAGCTTCGAGCAAGGGTAACGAATCCGGTCGGGCAACGGATGGCGCCGTTAGAGATGTCGTGCTCTCGCCCCCGATAGAGAGTTGGCTAGGGCGGTGGGAGCGCTTGATAGGTTGCAAAGTTGTGCCGTAACCAGGGTTGACCGGCGCGGTGAAGTCGACCGAAGTAGTCCACGCCATATTCAAATGAGGCTGACAGGTTCCCAGGCGTACGAGAGCTGTTGCAGAGATTACAATACCGAGGTCGCGCACGACATTTCTTGATGTCACGTTGGCTTCGTTTGCAGAGATGCGGTACAAGAATGTGACGTGGTCGTGCGCGACGCAAGAAACTGGGAGTGGCATCCCGGCCTGGCCTGTCAGATCCTCTACCAGGGCGTCCGCGACCGAGAGCGATATCTTGTCGAGTACGATCTCACAGTCGAAGAAGGGGGTGAAGTCGACCTCGAGTATCGCGAGAATCGTCGCCGCCGATGGGGAGTCGTTGAGATGCGTAAAGCGTATGCGTGAGTGCGCGGTGGGATATATATGTTGAGATAATTTGGACAACGACTTGATCGACTGAAGGGCGTCCTTCACCCGCTGCGTAGCTGGCACGACACGGGAGACCCGTAGGGCGGATAACTGAGGCTTGATCCCGTTCATAGCAGGGTCGCTTCCAAAGGACTCCAGAAGATTGAGCCCCGATGCTATACCACTCGGTAGGTAACCGTCCCGAGGCTCGTCAAGTTGAGACGAGTCAGCCGATTTTAAACCCGCCGTGGCAGTGAAGACGACTGAGGGGCTTTGAAGTCTCATCCTAGGCCGGCCGAGAAAGACCGGGAGTTTCCAGACAGCAACGGCAAAATGCCTGTACGTCTCTTGGCCCTCCCCTTTGCCTTCCTGTTGCCCTTCTCCTTCGCCACTGCCGTCGCCACTGCCGTCGCCATTACTATCGCCTCCACCATTCCAGGCGGGGCCGCGTGAAGAGCCGAACAGTATGGTGGGATGATTCATGTCGTCTACGGCACCGGTATAAACAAGTTCAGAAGCGGGTTGGCCATCGCGATCCAGTGCGCCGCCGTTGACGATGTGCGCTTCGAGAGATATGACTAGACTCCGAAGAGAGGCACCTAGACTATCCTCCTCGGCATTGGGGCATTGGAGAACGAAGTAGACATCGACGGATTCATCTGGGGTCTAATAATGAGCACGGTGAGAAATGGGCTTCCTGGAGAGTGTTGTAATTACTTACCAAAGAAGAGAGGCTCCCGCCGCTCTACTGAGGCGAACGGCTCTCGGTGTTCCTTGAGGTCATTTTCGAACGCCTCTTCGATGCGAAATGTAGTAGCAAGGGGTATGAAATAGCTGAGGCTTGAATCGTCGAAGTCGAGCCCCGGGGGGGAGCTGGTGTAAATCGATGGATCAGACATTCTCCGCATACGCCTCTATTACAAGCAGACCATAGTCACGTTAATCTATCGTAGTTAGGCGTCGTATTTTGGAGTCAACGGGCATCTCTCTCGCTCTCGCTCTCTCTCTCGGAGCCTGTCGCTTTGGTATGGTACATTAGGTAGCGGGTACCGGGAGGTGGGAAGTCGACAGGTACTGTAACTAGGTTCACGAGGGGATGGGATTGGGAATAGGAATAGGAAAGAGAGAATTCGGGCTACTGGCTAGGCCCCTCTCCTTCAGGTAGGCGAAGAGCAGTTGCTTAGTCACGCCATAGATTCGCATATTGCAATAGGCAACATACCTCCTAATCTAGGTTAGTATGCATGTATATGGTATATACCTCTACTTACTACTTTGGGTACCTCTACACAGTACCTTCTTCCTATAAATCTACTATGAACAAGAAGGTATCTAAGTATCGACACAGTACCTGTAGGTACCTGCCTACCAATTGGTGCCATCCTATCCATTAAATTTTCGATTCGCAGCTCTATCCTCCATCCATTCCGCCTACTGAACCTCATCTTCGCATACCTACCTTCGTCCACACCCTCCGTCAACAACTAGCCCCTGAAGGGTACCCAGGAAGGCTTCGTGTCGGAATCATCGTCCTCCCCTTTGTATTCCATCGACTCTTTACCGGCGAACGTATTTTCCGCTAGCCCAGAATCTCCCTGTATACATCCCGCCAAGTCCACGCACGTAGAGCTTTCGTGACGATGAACGGAGTCAACGGCCACTATGGCCAGCTAAATCCTTGGCAGGAATACAAGAGCCCCGATGGGCGCGTGTATTACCACCATGCCATCACGAAAGCGACGCAGTGGACCAAGCCGGAGGAGCTGATGACGCCTGCTGAGGTTTGTTATGCCTGGCCATTGATCGTCGTGTCGCCGCGAGCTAACTGATAGCCGTAGCGCGCTCTCGCGAACCAACCTTGGAAAGAGTACACCGCCGAAGGTGGCCGCAAGTATTGGTATAATACCGAAACGAAGCAAAGCTCCTGGGAGATGCCCGAGGTATACAGGACAGCATTGGGTCATGAAGCGACGCCCACCACGCCCGCGTAAGGACCTGCATCCCAGCGCCTTCTCCATCATTGTTACTAACTTGGGACAGTTCGGCTGCTGCACCTTTTACCTCTGGTGGCGCGTATCCCGGTCCGGGCTATGATCACCACCGTGACCATCGAGAGAGCCTACCAGAATCGCGTCAACTGACACACGGAAGTGACCTCCGTGCCCAAGCCTTCGTCCCTGCGAACAACGAGCCTGAATATGCGACGCCCGAGGAGGCGGAGGCCGCTTTCACGAAGCTGCTGCGCCGCAGCGGCGTCCAGCCCGACTGGACTTGGGAGCAGACTATGCGAGTTACGATCAAGGATCCCCAATATCGCGCCATCAAGGACCCCAAGGATAGGAAGGCTGCCTTTGAGAAGTATTGCCAAGACATGATCATCCAAGACAAGGAACGCGCAAAGGACAGGCTGACAAAGCTGCGTGCTGATTTTGCTACTATGCTCAAGAGTCACCCCGAGATCAAGCATTACACGCGTTGGAAGACGGCTCGCCCCATTATGGAGGGCGAGACCATTTTCCGTTCCACCAGTGACGAGGAGGAGCGACGTCAGCTTTTCGAGGACTACGTGGCGGAACTCAAAAAAGTCCACGTTGAAAGCCAGGCCAGCCTCCGGAAGAGCGCTATGGATGGCCTCATCGACCTCCTGCCAAAGCTGAATCTCGAGCCCTATACACGTTGGTCTGAAGCTCAAAACGTCCTTAAAGCAACCGCCCCTTTCCAGAATGATGATAAATACAAGGCCCTCACTAACTTTGATATTCTCACCGCTTTCCAAAATCATATCAAGTCCTTGGAACGGAGTTTCAATGAGACACGGCAGAACCAGAGAAATAAGAAGCTTCGTGTCGAGCGGAAGCGCCGAGATGCCTATATCGACTTGCTCCAGGAGCTCCGGAGGGCCGGCAAAATCAAGGCAGGCGCGAGATGGAGCCAGGTCTATCCCTTGCTCGAGAATGACGACCGATTTAAATCTATTTGCGGCCAAGCCGGGTCGAGCCCCCTTGATTTGTTCTGGGATATCGTCGAAGAAGAGGAGCGCGCCCTACGCACGACCAGGAACGACGTACTTGATGTCATGGACGTAAGTTCTCTCTCCAGTCAGGCCCATCCTGGCTGCGCGAGCTGGCTGGCTAATTTGCGTCGTAGGATAACCGATTTGAGTTCACCCCCAAGACTACCTTTGAGGAGTTTTCTACTGCGTTGAAGAGTGATCGACGCACTGCTAACATTGACGGTGATATATTAACGCTGATCTTTGAACGGGTATGTCTAACGCGCTAGTTATCTTTCGGTGATAACAGGTGCTGACATCTTGAGAAGCTTCAGGAGAAGAAGTCAAAACGGTCCGATGAGGACAGGCACTCCGAGCGCCAGCAGAGGAGAGCCATCGACGACCTTCGTTCTTTCATCAAGCATATGGATCCACCTGTTGCTGCTGAGGATACCTGGGAGAAAGTTCGACCCCGTCTTGCTCGTGCAGCGGAATTCCAGGCCGTTAAATCTGAGGACGCCCGTCGTGGCGCGTTTGAGAAAGTCTTGCGACGAGTACGTGACCGAGAGGAGGAAGATAGAGATCGTCATAAACGTCGTGATCGATCTCCTGATCGTGGTACGTATCGAGATAAAGACAGAGCAGACCGATCTCACCGCAGTGAACGAGCCCGGCCCTCGCGCCATAGTCGTAGCCCAGAACCGGATGCATACGAAGCCGATCGCCGGAAGGCTATTGCCGAGCGCGAGAAAAATTACCGTAAGTCGAGTATGGCTGAGAGTTTGCTGTCTGACCGTCGTCCGTCGGACACGTATCGAGACCGCGACGTCCGCGAGCGGGATCGTGAGCGGGATCGTGAACGGGATCGCGAGCGGGATCGGGATCGGGATCGAGATCGCGGGGAAAGGGATTTTCCGCCTCGATCTCGGCGTGATGAAGCGCCGAGCCATTATGAGCGGGAGAGACGAGACCGCGAGGAGGAACGTGAACGGATGTACCGACGTCGCGTTGAAAGGGCCCCAGTTGAGGAGCTGCCTTACGGTGACGAGCGCCCGACCTCGTCTCGCCGCCGCAGGGCGGACGACGACGACGATCTAGAACGCCGTGACTCTAGAGACTCGAAGGTAGGAGTTTTTTTTTTCATGTCCGTCAATCGATGCACATCATTAACAAAAGCTACAGAGATTGAGAAGAGAGAGAACACCGCGTGAGCGTTCCCCCCATCGTGAGACTCGTCACAGAACTAGGACACCACCAGTAGTTCAACCACCTCCCAAGGAGGATCCTGGTGTTCATTCAGGAAGCGAAGAGGGTGAGATCGAAGAAGACTAGCAACCCAACTAGCCTACGCAGCATTCCTATTCATATTCCTCTCGCCCCACGGTTCGCGCAGCAGATTGTCTTCTCAACCGGAGGACCGTGTTTCTCTATTCTCGCCGTTGGCTTCTTCCCAAACCATACAAGATCGTCCACTAAGAGCCTCTATCTTAGCTGGAGATGGGGTGGCCTCTTCCGACCGGTCATCACGGTGTAGGGCCGTAGGCCGTACATGAATCGTTTTTATCTCCAACCATGGAGCTGCTGCAATATTGCAAAGTATGTGCGTCAACCTCCGACTACGTTCATCATGGAGCTAGATGACTCGGCACGGCTTGGTAGCAGCTCAGATCCATATTGCTATACGTCTCGTTCGCCCTCCGAAGACAACGGTCCTCCTCCTCCCCAATCCACTTCCTCCAGCCGACAGCGACAACCACCGGAAAGGAAACCGTCATCATTCATCCCCTGTATGTTTTTGCTGAAGACACCGAATTTGTCATCATCCCCCTTTTTTTTTTCTTCCTTTCTTTTTGGCTCCTTTTCCTCACGCACCAGGAGCTCTCTCACAGCAGTCGCAGGACCGCAGAAGGTTGTTGGAAAAGACAAAGAAGAGTTTGCTCGAGCGTTCAGCTCTTTCGCCGAGGAGCTCCGACGCTTGACGTCTTCCTAAGGAAAGAAAAGAAGGCTTTTCAACACGGTGTGTATCATCTCTATATATAGCGTCCCGATGGAAAGGAGGGGGGAAAAGATAGGAAACTGAAACAAGTATAAAAGAAGGATCATGGTTAATGGATAGGTACCTAGATAAATACACGTTTTGGTAACCTAATAGTGACCTCGCTGCTCGAACACGTGTGGACTTATGGTCAATTGGCCCGCCTCTCTGCCTAATATTGATTGTGTACCTAGTTACGCATTGAAGGTCGAGGTCTAGACTGCATCTCGTTCGCGATTGTAAACATGGCGTAGGTTCTGACAAATGCGTCCACGATATAATGCTGCCGTCGCCCTCGCGCAACAATGCCAGGGGAGAACCGCGGGCTAGCTACCTAGCTACTTCGAGCCGAATCTCCTACTCTCTACGGCCTTGCTGCAAAGCTATACGTACCAACGACGTACGTCCTGCTGTCGCTGGACGACGGTAAGGACGGCAGTCACCCACTTGGCCCATCCACCCCTCGATCTTCAGCGGCGACGCGACACCTTGAAATCCGCATTCTCTTTGCAAGGTTCCGGGATCCGCAAGACCGGGGGTAAACAGGGGATAGACTGCCGTCGCCGCGGCTAATCGTCTGGCTCTTCGCTGTCCTCCCCGCCATCCGCGTCGACGCCGGACGATTCGCGGGGGCTCCCGCCTCCCTTTCGAGAGGAGTAAGGCGTTTGCGCGCTTAGGACCTCAGTGTCCGGTGCTAGCGGGGCGCGTTGATAACCCTCAGGGACGTCGTTACGACCCTTATCACGTGGGGTGCCCGGTTCAGGAGCTGTCTTCCTCCAAGAAAAACTAAACACTCATTAGTAACGGAAGCCGCTGGCTAGAGAGAAATCATGGGTAAAACTCACGTAATTTCCGCTCAGTTTCTGTTCTTGGTCTAACTGACTGTTGAGCTTGTTAATACGGGGCCTGTAGTTCGTCGGGTCTCGTCGGAAGGTGACGTCCAAGTTCTTCAAGAAGCTGTTGCAGCCGGTGAGGAGAGACTCGGGCTTGTTCGCGTGGGCATCGATACCCGGCTTTCCGTCGAAGACAATGACACGGTCAGCCAGGTATGTAGCCATGATGAAATCGTGTTCTACGATGAACGCCGTCTTCTTGGCATGCATGATAAAACGCTTGATGACACGCGCAGCAATAATACGTTGCTCCGAGTCTAAGTAAGCCGACGGCTCATCGATCAGATAGATATCAGCTGGTAAGCCGAGGGCCATGACGATAGCCACACGCTGCAGTTCACCGCCTGACAAGTTTTTGACCTCCTGATCGATAAAATCGTCCAACTTGAGCGGTTTAACAACATCTGTTTGGAATTGCGGAGAGAGGAAGGCCTGCTTGATTCGCTTGAAGAATAATTGACGGACGGTGCCCTCAAATTTGGGAGTGATGGTCTGGGGCTTCAGGCTGATCCTCATTTCAGGGACTTTGTTGGCGCTATCGGGCTTGAGCGCGCCGGCTAGAAGCCTACAGAAAGTCGTCTTCCCAGTGCCGTTCTCACCCATCATAACTATAATCTCTGAATCGGTAAAATCTCCGCCATCGATGCGGAGTTTGAAGTTACCTAGAGCCTTCTCCATCTTGGGGTAGGCGAAGGCCCTCGCCTTATCAGCCTGGAAATCGTCGGCACCCTCGGAGATACGGAAGGTTAGAGATTCCTCACGGAACCGAAGATTCTCGGTAGGGATATGACCATCGAGGAAGATGTTGATGCCTTCGCGAACCGAGTGGGGGAGAGTCACCACGCCGTAGACGGCGGGTTTGCCGTAAAGAACGCAAATATAGTCGGAAAGGTAGTCGAGAACAGACAAGTCATGTTCGACAACGATGACGTAATTCTCCGGACTCAGGAGAGAGCGGATCATACGAGCCGCAGACAAACGCTGCTTGACGTCAAGATACGACGATGGCTCGTCGAACATATAGACGTCCGCTTTCTGGACACAAACTGTGCCGATGGCAAACCTCTGCAGCTCTCCACCCGATAGAAGGTTGACGTCACGGTCGAGAATATGACGAAGCTCCAGGGTGTCGAGCGCCTCATCCATGTTGTCTTTGGCTGCCCTGTGCTCGAGCAGGAATTTGACAGACTTATTGGGTGTCTTGACAGCTCGGGGGAGTTGATCCACGTACTGAGGCTTAACGACAGCCTTCAGGTCGTCTTCTAGAATCTTGGTGAAGTAGTCTGCGCGGCGTGTCAGCTGCGATCCAGACAAGGCCGTACACCAGGGAGATGGAGGCGCCGACTAACTCTGCAACTCAGATCCCCTAAAGTATTTGATGACATCTTCCCAATCGGGCGGGTTGTCGTACCTGCCCAGGTTAGGCTTGAGCTTGCCGCTGAGAATCTTCAATGCTGTGCTCTTCCCGATACCGTTGGTCCCGACAAGACCTAGGACCTGACCGGGCCTTGGCGTAGGCAACCGATGGAGCTTGAAGCTATTCGCCGAATAGCGGTGGGTAACCTGGGTCTCGAGGTTGGTGGGCAGGTTGATGATGGTAATCGCGTCGAATGGGCACTTCTTGGGACAGATACCACAACCAATGCAAAGACTCTCCGAGATGAATGCTATTTTGGAGTCTGGGTTGACTTCGATGCAGAGCTTCCCGCTGCGAACCACCTGCGAAATCACATATGAGCTGGAGAAAGCCAAGGGATTGCAGACGTCGAGGGAGAGGGGCCATAGAGAACTAGCATTCTTCTCCGGAGAGAGGTTAATATCAAATAATGCCTTACCGGGCATGACCTCTTACACTCCTGGCGGCATTTCTAGAGATTGTAAGCATCGTCGTAGTAGCACGTCCTCCTGGAGGGGAGCCCCTAGTGGATCTGCAAATACCTTGGGCTTGCACTGCAGAGCAAGGGGAGGTTAGCCATAAACACACGAGTCGCATAGACAAAGCTAAGAAGAGGTTGGCAGGCGTACCTTATCGTCATTCACAATGGCGATACTGGGTCGAGAAGTTAGCATACACTATATAGTAAGAAGGGCAGATTTTGAAGTAGGATGCCAGGTTGCAGCATACCGGGTAAGCTTGGTGGCCATGGCTGGATGGAGGTAGGCAGTCGCCTGCTTCGAAGATGGTCACTAGGATGGCCGGGGAGCAGGAGGGCGATTCGAATACGGTAGGCTTCGAAGGAAAGAATCGCGGGAACAGAAACGGCAAGGAAAAGAAGGAGGTGGAGGGTAGGATGGAATGACGATGACTTGCGCTGTGGCAGAAAGAAGTCGAAGATGGTGGGGGGGGGATCAAAAATTAGGGTAGGGGGAGGCGAGGAGGGGCGAATGGGGATGGGGCTTACCTTAGCAAGGGTAGCAGCCACTGCGAAGGGCTATAAAACGTGAAAAATTATGAACTAGAGACTTTTGATTGGGCGATTTCGGCAAGCGGGTTAGAAGTTCTGCCATTGATGTAGTATATCCATATATCACCTAGAGGCAGGCTGCTTGCATACCTACGTTTTTACTGCATACCTACGCGTATGTATATTGGACGTATAGGCGGTAGACATCCCTGCCCCTTTCTGTGCCTCTGAGGAGGGTTAGGTATATACCTCCTATCCTTACTGCGTTCCATGGTACCTGTCTGGGGGAGGTAGGTAGATCAGTAGGTTGCTTAACGGAGGATAGGTTCGATTCCTAATAGCGCTACTTGGTAGTCATCGTTGTTTAGCTCATCTTAGGTACCTATACGTGGGTATCCAAAATAAGGCATGTTGGCAATCGGGCAGGTCCCTAAGGTCTATATATGAGTACCTACCTCCTACCTACTTAGGTACCTAGGTAGGTAGGTACCTGTAAGAGGGAGGTAGATACCCGGTAACAGGTTGTAATGCAATGCTACCTCGGGTACTACAGGTTGGTCCAGATCAGTAGGTTACTTAACGAAGGATAGGTTCGATTCCTAACAGCGCTACCTACTTGGTAGTCTTCGCTACTTAGCTCATCTGGTCCTAACCTTAGGTACAGGGAGGTTATGTACCTACCTCCTCAATATACCTTTACTACCTATAGAATATTCAGCAACTGAGATGCGCCAACCGTCTGGGAATTCTCAGCAACAGAAAGGCAAAGGGACCTAGGATCTCGGATCGCTGCTACGCCTACCTCCGAGGTACCCAGCCGAAGGGGAATGAGGTTCTGCGGGATCTTGAAGGCCTTGGTAACGTAGGTAGGTAGCTCGCTGCTGAAATCCAAGTGCGGAAGGGCGGAACTACCTAACCTACCCACCATGTAAATAAAGCACGTCGCACGAGTTGGCAAGAAACCGTTCCTCTTACTGTCATAGGTGCTCATAGAGGGTACATGTATACGCGCATACGTGCATACAGATAGGTGCATGCCTCCTCCTGCAACAGGTTAGGTACCTACCTCTTAGGTACTTAGGTGCTTGTTTACCTCCCGTCCCGCATTTTGCGATGGAACCCCAAATCTGCTCCGAAACCTGCACCTAGAGAGAGCTGCCCTGCCGTCTGGCAACGGCTGCTGCCACTGCGGTAGAACCGCGTACCCCCTGCCGGCGTGGTCCGCGGTGTGCATCTGTGTGGCGTGTGGCTGGTGAGCAACCAGACTTATCCATCCCCGGTTAGCGGGCTCTACGCACCCGACGAGGCGAGGCAGAGGTACCGTACCTCCCACCCTCCGTCCACTTTCAATGTTCTCCGACCACCAATTCTTCCAGGTCGATTTTCCGCCAGTTTCTCTCAACTATTGCCCACAACACGCACCATACGGGGCCGCACCCGTACCTCATCAACTCCATAGACCCATATCATATTATCTCTTCTGCTGTCTGGGACGTTCAAGTTGATGATTTGTAAGTAGTCGATTTCTATTTCGGCGCTTGTGCGGCTGCCAGGCAAGGCTGGTGTCTGCCACTTCCGCCGTGTACCTGGGGCATCGAATCCATCTCGAAGATGTGCACACGCGACCCTGTCATCACTGCTATCATCGCATCTGAGCTTCTCGGACGCTGATATGTACATGGCAACCGCTGTTCTCGGTTGGTCGGACGTGCCGAGCTGTCCTCGCTCATCACATCGACACCGTCCGGCCGCAATTCTTCTTTCCATCCCCCATCAGCCTTGCCTCCATCGAGACATCACTCGATATGCGCCGGATCCATTGTCCGGCCCGTTTCCCATGTCCGGGAGCTGTTCGTTGCGTTGTCTTGGTCGCTGTTCTCGCCGCTGTCCGCCGATCCCATATATGTGGTGTTCCCGTACCGAATCTGTGCTAACCTTGCCGTCTTACACAGCGGACAGGCGTGTCCAGCACGAATATGTCGAGCTCACCGGAGCCTAGCTTCGTCAATGGCCGTACGTCGCCGGAGACGGGGGCGGGCGCGAGAATAATCCTTGATGACCGTGTTAGCGAGAGCGACCTGTCCGATGTGAATGAGAATGCCGCTCTTCCAGAATCTCCATCCCCGTCTCCCGCTCACGACGAATCACCCCGAGATGTCGACGTCGAGCCAGACCCGGATTCTCCCGCGGATGCTGGCTCCAGTGGAAATGATGACAATAATGCCTCAGATGATGCCGACTTTGATATGGAGGATAGCCCCGCTCCTTCGCAGAGTGACGCGCCTCAGGATGAGAGATCGACTTCCGATAGCTCCCGTCGCGTCCCTAAGCGAAAAGTTGGCGTAGATGAGGACGAATACATCCGAGAAAACCCAGAGCTCTATGGGTTAAGGAGAAGCGTACGTCGAGCCAACCGAGACTACCTACCGCTCGAACCTTTGCTGACCTGCCTTCACAGTCTCGTCCCACGAAGCAGCCAAAAGTTGTAAGTCAACGCGTTCATCATGACAACTAATCTTAGTACGTAGGATCGTCGCGCTAACAGATTACGTAGATCGAGTCTGACGAGGACGATGAATCCGACTCGGACGTAGTTCCCACGAACCGTCGAACGAAGAAGCTCCGGGTAGAGCAGGTCTCGCGACAATGTAAGCTTTTCTGCTCGTTCCTACAAGGTGATCCGGTCTCGTTCATCCGCTTATTGACTGGTGATATGCGCAGCTTCTAAACGAGGTACGCCTGCGAGACAAACGCCCGCTGACGACTCCGATTCCGATACCTACGGCGGAGCTCGTGCTCGGACGCTCATAAAGAAGGCTCGCCGCCAACAGGCCCAACCCCAGTCGATGCTGTATGCCGAGAAGCGATGGTCAAACCGAAGAGCTGCCCAGCAAGTACAGACCTACCACGAAAGCGACATTGACGAAGAGGATGAGTCTGAACTCACGCCCAACTACTGGGGCGGCGAGGACCTTGCCGAGGACAATCGATACATCGAAAAGGTGGTCGGTCATCGAGTCATAGATGGCGGCGAGCTAGCTCAGGATGCTACACGGGATGATTTTGAATACAATATCAAATGGCAGGGAGAGTCCTACCTCCACAATACGTGGGATACCCTGGAGACTCTACGTGGATATCGCGGATTCCGCAAACTCGAAAATTACTATAAGCGGACCATCGAGTACGAGATTGACCTCAAGTTTGCCGGCGATGACATACCCCCAGAAACCCGCGAGCAGTACATGCTCGACAAGGAGCGCGAACAGGATGCGCTAGAGGACTACACCAAGGTAGAGCGGGTGGTCACTCAGCGAAGCGGCGAGGAAGGCAGGGAATACTTTGTCAAATGGAAAGGGTTGACCTACGAACACTGCACGTGGGAACAGGCCTCCACCATCAGTGCCACCGCTCAGGATAAAATTGACCAATTTCTCGACCGGCAGTCGAGATCGTGGACGTCAGATCGATACGAATCCAACACCGCGACGCGAGGCAAGTTCTCCAAACTTGATAAGCAGCCCGACTACATCAAGGGTGGTGAGCTCAGGGGATTTCAGCTTACGGGGCTGAACTTCCTCTGCCTAAATTGGTGCCGTGCGAACAATGTCATCCTCGCGGATGAGATGGGTCTCGGGAAGACTGTGCAGACTGTCTCGTTCTTGAGCTGGCTACGCAACGATCGCAAGCAAGAAGGCCCGTTCCTAGTCGTTGCGCCTCTGAGTGTCATTCCTGCTTGGTGCGATACCTTCAATCTGTGGACTCCCGATCTCAATTATGTCGTTTACCTAGGCAACGCCGAGGCGCGCAGCACCATCCGCGACTATGAGCTGATGTTCAACAGCAATCCCAAGAAACATAAGTTCAACGTCCTCGTCACGTCGTACGAGTACATATTGATGGACGCAGACTTTTTAAGATCGATCAAGTGGCAGGCGCTCGCCGTCGACGAAGCCCATCGTCTAAAGAATAAAGAGTCGAAGCTGTATTCCGAACTGGTGAGCTTCGGCGCCCCGGCCAGAGTCCTGATCACTGGCACTCCGATCCAGAACAATCTGGCCGAATTATCGTCGCTTCTAGACTTCCTAAACCCCGGCAAGGTTCACATCGACGAGGATCTCGAGACGCTAGCGTCAGTGGATGCACAAGCGAAGCTTCAAGATCTTCACGCCTCAATTGCGCCCTTCATCTTGAGGAGAACCAAAGAGACGGTCGAATCAGACCTCCCACCCAAAACTGAGAAGATAATTCGAGTGGAGCTATCGGATGTCCAGCTCGAGTACTATAAGAATATCCTCACCAGAAATTACGCTGCTCTTAATGAAGGGAACAATGGCCAGAAGTCGTCGCTGTTGAACATTGTCATGGAGCTCAAGAAAGTCAGTAACCACCCGTACATGTTCCCCGGGGCAGAAGAAAAGGTCCTCAATGGCAGCGAACGGCGCGAAGACCAGATTAAGGGCCTCATTGCCAGCAGCGGCAAGATGATGCTGCTCGACCAGCTCCTTGCCAAGCTTAAGAAGGACAATCACCGCGTGTTGATCTTCAGCCAGATGGTCAAGGTACTCGATATCCTGGGGGATTATCTCAGGCTTCGTGGGTATCAGTTCCAGCGACTCGACGGTACCATCGGGGCCGGCCCGAGACGTCTGGCGATAAACCATTTCAACGCCGAAGATAGCGCCGATTTCTGCTTCCTCCTCTCGACGAGAGCCGGAGGTTTGGGCATCAATCTGATGACTGCGGACACCGTCATCATCTTTGATTCCGACTGGAACCCCCAGGCGGATCTTCAAGCCATGGCTAGAGCTCACCGTATCGGCCAGAAAAAACCCGTGACGGTGTACCGTCTTGTCTCCAAGGAGACCATCGAAGAGGAAGTCCTTGAGCGAGCTCGGAATAAGCTTTTACTCGAATACCTTGCGATCCAGGCCGGTGTTACGGATGACGGCAAGGCCTTCAGAGAAGAGTTTAAGCAGAAAGGCCTCAGGATCGATGAAGCGAAATCCGCCGATGACATCCAGTGGGTTCTGAAAATGCGATCTCAGAAGATGTTCGAGCAGTCTGGAAATCAGCAACGGCTGGAGCAACTCGACATCGACTCTATCTTGGAGAATGCCGAAGTCACAAAGACCAAGGTCGACGACAAGATGAACCTCAGCACTGGCGGTATCGATTGGGACAATTTCATGCAGTACACCGACGTCAAGGTCGATGATCTTACCCTGGATTGGGATCAGATTATACCAGCGGACCAGCTAGCAGCCATCAAGGCCGAGGAGGAGAAGAAGAAGGAAGATGAGTATCTCGCGAGAGAGATGGAGGCTAACGCCCCACGTCGGGCAGCGCTGAAAAGTTCCAGACCGAACGGTGACTCCGGGAGAGCGGAGCGGATTGCGAAGAAGCGAGAGCGAGAACAGCAAAAACAGGAAGAACTGGAGGAGCAACGGGCCATGTTGTCTGATCCCCGACGACCACTGAACGAGAAGGAGACGCGCAATCTCATCAGAGCTTTCATGCGATACGGGTTCATCGAAGATCGCCCGGACGAGTTACTACGCGACGCCCGCCTCAGCGACCGCGACCGCGACTTTATAGGTGAATTGCTCCACGACCTCGTTGCTATGTCTCGCGAGGCGGTAGAGAGGAACAACGACGAAATCCGTGCCCAGGAGCAGCAAACCAAGAAGAAGATGACCAAGAAGGACATCAAGGCCGTCATGTTCGATTTCGGCGAAGTCAAGAAGATCAACGCCGAAACTATCCTAGAACGACCGCCGCAGCTGCAACTCCTCCGGCGTGTTATCAGGGAACTGCCCGATTTTCGAACATTCCGCCTGCTGGACGCGACCAAAGCGGCGCATTACAGTTGCGAATGGGAAGCTAGAGAGGACGGCATGCTTCTCGTCGGCATTGACCGGTACGGCTTTGGTGCGTGGACTCAGATCCGCGACGACAGAGAATTGGGGATGCAGGACAAGTTCTTCCTCGAAGAGCATCGCATCGAGAAGAAACAAGAGCGGGAGCAAGCCGAGACCAAAGGCGCCAAGGCTCCTGGCGCCGTCCACCTAGTTCGTCGCGCGGAGTACCTGCTGTCGGTACTGACCTCGGTCCATTCGGACGATGTCAATGCTCAGAAGGCTGTCGAAAATCATCACCGCAACAACAAGAAGACAGCTCATGCGATGCCTAACGGACATCGACGGCCAGAAAAGGGCGGGTCTATCTCAGCTTCGCCAGCTCCCCAGAGCTCCAAGAAACCGTCGCATCATCGGGACAGAGATCACGACCGCTCTCACTCTCGCGGAGACCACCACCGCTCCCGTAGCAGCATCGGAGACGGTAGCACACCTCGACCCGACACGAAGCGGAAGCACAACGGCGAAGCAGACGAACGCCGTCACAAGCACAGACGAATCGAGGAGCTTCGCCGGTCTGACATCAGCCAGCGGCAGGCCGAGGAGGAAGACGACGAACGGAATGCACCCGTTATCGAAGCGCTCATGCAGCCGATATGGACACACGTAGAGAAGGTCGAATCCTGTACTAAGGCGAACATACCCGTCGCGAAATCCCGAGCGAAGGTGCTCAAGTCTGAGATCACGGCGATCGGGGATTTCATCGAGGGCCTGCACAAGACTTCGGGTTTGTCGCTTGATCAGCTCGAGGAGCTAAAACCGAAACTATGGTACGTCACGACGAAGCCCACCTTATTGACAAATGCTGACTTGTGTGTGTTTCAGGAGGTTCATTTCTAAGAGAATTCCGGCATCCGAGAAGCAATCCTCTGGCAAACCGGAGAAGGAGCGGGAGAAGTCGCCATCGCGCAAGTCGGCCCCGGAGAAGCCCGCGTCGCAATCGACCGGTATGACTGGGCCGCGACTGGCAGCGTTGTATCAACAACTCAAGCAAGCCGAGAAGAACGGCGACGCCCCAAAGGCGAAGGGCTCGGACTCAGCTGCCACCAACGGCGGCTCGACCCACGGCGAGTCGACCAAGTCGGCGAATTAGCGCACAACCTCACCGCCCGTCTCTCCTACCTAGGTCAAGCACGGCGGCTGGACAGGAGGGCCAATCACGGGCCAACTATATTGCATTGTATGGCGTTAAAAGGTTCTGCATGTTAGATGAAGGCGAGGTCGGAGTCAACGAAATCATACCCAGCAAAAGCATCAACGTTATAGGACATTGGGAGTTCTATCGGTCAACACGGCTAATTACCTCCGTCTCATCTATATCTACCGGCCTCTGATTCTGGGTGTGAGCAGAGCGCCCTAGAGGCAGCGAAAGAAAAGGGGGGGAGGGAGGGGAGGGAAGAAGACGATGTTACTAAGACCGAGACCTTTTATATTCATTTTTATGGTTTCGAACGGAGCCTCCGGGCTGGCGGTATCGTTCCCCTCGTAGGGAATATAGATGCCGGGACGTGGCTGGCACTGGCAAGACTCGGTGGGGGGGGGAACTATCATACGATCTGCGAGCGAGGGAAGCGTACCGGTTAGACGGGAGATAAGACGACGACCCCACGGGGAGGCGAAAGCCGTAATAATTCAAAGGGGACGGGTGGACGGGGTGGTCGATGTATGCGTGTTGTGGATTGTCATAATGTTCATAGGGAACGGGGTGGGGGGGACGAGGGAGAGCTTAGGCGAAGCGAGTCAAGGCGAGGGAGGTTGGACGAGCACCTCCCACCGCCGGCTCCCGTGTTATCTATGCGTCGTAGAAGCGCGAATGAAAGAAGGATTTATGAACGGGATGCGACGATGACGCTCTCTGTCTCCCTCGTTTCAGCGAGTCAGTCCCCTGGGGGTCTCGTGGAGGCATTCGTCTGCTGTAACCATAGGAAAACAGACAGTACATACACACCTACCTACCTACCTACCTACTGCCTACCTCCTAGGTACCTACCGAGCACACTGCGCGCGCTGCGGCAGATGTAGCTTCGTATCGGCCCCTTTGACCGCAAACACGTGACACACTCCCCTCTCCCAGGGGCAGAGTGGTAGCCTGGGGGAGTAAGGGTAAGGTTAGGTACTACTACTATCCTACGTGTTCGCCCAGCAGTGCCACGTGGCAGCGGGAGCGGGAGCGGGAGCGGGCGACGCGAGCAGTTCTGCAACCGTAGGTGGGAGGATGGAGATTGGCTGTGTAGGTAGGTAAGGCGTAGGCATTCGCGTATCAATACGGCGACAGCGAAGAGAGGCTGCTACATGGTAGTCATCACGTTCTACGAGGAGAGGAGAGGCGGGTGCTACGTGTATGCTTCGGTCTATTATTCATCACCAACCCCCCGGTCGACGTCGCGACGACCGGCTCGAGACAGACAGTAGACACAGTGTTTTCCTAGCCGCGCCGTCTCCTTGCCCGTCAGCGCTTCTGCTAGGAACACCGTGCTGTCTATTCCTATTCCCTTTACCCCGCTCTCTCTCTCTCTCTCTCTCTCTCTCTCTGTCCTCCGCCCTCTCACGCAACCGCCGCCTCCCCAATTGCGAGACAGGCGGCGGCTCTGCGCGAACCATGCCGACTATAAGTTATGCAGCCGTGACCGTACCGTACACCGGGTGCCCTTCCTGGGCGGGCCCGCATGCGAGATGGGACAAGGAAACAATGATTACCCCCCCGTCGGGAAAGAATCCCTCCCAGTACAAGACAACAGCAATCAGATGCACGAGTCTCCCAACTCCGTCTATTCACGAGGAATGCTAGGACAAACCCACCAACTCCTTTTCCCCCTTCTACCACTCCCACTGACCCCTGCCCGTGTATAATTTTGTAACTTTCTTCGCCTGTACTCCTCGTCCCCCCTTTCCTTCCTATTCCTCGTATGCGACTCCGCCGTGCCGGAACGGGGGAGTTTGTTTCCCACTCTAAAATCAGGAGGAACTCTCCTTCTACCGCGCCCTATCCCATGCAAGGCAATGGTGGTAAAATGAAACTGGGGACTTCTCGTATGTACAGGGGAGCTGTTGTTCGTCGTTCGTCGTCGGCGCTGGGAGCAAGCGAGTAAAGCGCGTATGTACGTGCGGAGCAAGAATGCCGTCGGTCGGCAAAGATGTAAAGATATATGTGTATGTGTAGGAAGCTCAGGTGCGAAGAGGTCGCTCAGTCGATCAGGGTAGCGAAGCCGCGGGGCTTCGACGTGGGCGAGATGGTACCGGGGGGCGAAGAGGACGCAGGGCAAGGTGGCGCGGTGCGCGTAGGGGTCGTGGGTCGTTCCGTCGACTGGGCGACCGCCGGAAGGTTCTGCACGGCTCCCAACGCGTTCCTTTTGCCCGCGGGGTCGGCAGTGAAAATCGCAAGCGCCTTCCCTCTAGGACGCAGCGAGAATTCCTCGCGCATGACGGATCGGGGAGACAGGGCACTCGAGTGCAAATCGGGCTCGTGGTTGCGCTTCGCGGGGATTTTGGACGCGGTGGCGGCGGCCGAAGACGCCTTGGTAGCCTTGAAGGCCTTGTTAATCGCAGCCTTCGTAGGTTTCGGCTCCGCCGCCTTCTTCGTCTGTCTCGGTTTGCGTTGCTTCGGTGCCTTCTCGGTATCCTTCGCCGGCGCCGCCGAATTGGCACTTGTAGACCCGTCTAGACTGGGGAACGCGAGCTTGCGCTGCTTTTTCAAAGGCTTCACTGCGGGTAAGGCGGCCCGCACCTTGGGGCTAGCAGTGGGGGTCGGCATGCCGTGAGCATTCTGGACGAGTTGCGGCTTCGCCTCGACGGGGGTAGCGTCGCGCGACTCCGACTTGATGGGGAGAGCGCTGTTCGCGGTCGGCGTCTTCCTGATCTCGATCTCGAGCTTCACACCACGAACGCTGTCCTCGTATTTCTTGTTGTCGACGACCACGGCTGCGTCGACGTCCTCATCGTAGCGAGGTAGGTGAACCAGGGTCGCAATATCGTCGCATTTGCCCCGCACAACCAGATCCCAGCAGTTCTTCAGATCGGCACCGGTCGGTTCGGGATCCAGGTTGATCCAGGCTGTCACTCCGTCTTTGCGATCTCTCGTCACGCGGCACATGTCTTTGACCATATTTCGGACCCCCGGGATCTTTAGCGTCGTGCCCACCACGATGACAGCGTCCGGTCGGGCTCGGATGTCGGCTCGGACAACATTCGCTATGGACTCCTGGTCGGGATTGTATTCGTTATAGAGAACCATTCGAGGCCTCAGCCGTCCGATGCCGTGACTACGCTTTCCGGCGTGCGAGGTTCGCACGTTATCCGTCTCTTCACATCCCTTGCAGAGCGGGGCCTCAGGGCCCTCGAAGAGCGAGCTCTCAAAGTCCTTGATCTCACCACACTTGGAACACACCATCTTGGCCAAGCCGCCGTGGAGCTGGATCGCCTTGGGCCAGGGACCTTTGGTGTTGAGCGGGACAGCGGTGGCGAGCGGGGGCATCGACGTATCGAGGCCGTCGACATTCTGGGTGTAGAGACGCAGGAGGCGGCCCTCCTTGGCGAGGGAAGCGATTAAATGATGGAACGGGGTGGGCTTGGCAGTCTGGGTGAGGCGCCACAGGTCGCGAACCATGTTGTGGAAATACGAAGTCATGGAGTCGTGTTTGTAGACGGAGGCATCGAAGAGCTGCTTTCCGGTGCCCTTTAGCCCGTGCTCCTTGGGCAAGGTAGCGAAGAGGCCCTTGGACGATCGGAAATCGGGAACTGGAACAAGTTGGAGGCACGTGTGAGCCATTGCGGTCGAATGGGGATGAGGGATAGGGGCGTATATGGCATTGGCTTAAACACGCGTGTGTTCGTATATATGGGTATATATACGAATACCCGGAACTTGAAGAACACTACACCGGCAGGGGGCGGGGTAGAGAAGAACAGAAACAATAACAAGAAAATACGTACTTCCAGCAGAGACGGAGATTCCGGCGCCAGCAATGATAATAATCTTCTTCTTCTTGCGGAGGATGCTGGTCAGCCGGACGAGGAGCTTCTCATCCTTCTCCTCCTCCTCGGAGGCGGCCTTAAGGTCGAGGTACTCGGTGGTGCGCGGCTTGCGCTCGACGCGGCGACGCTTGGCGGGGGGCGGGCCATCAGGATTCACGTGGATCTCGTTCTCAACGGAGATTGGGTCGGAAGAAGAGGGCTTCATGGGGGACGCACTGCCAGAAGGAATGGTCGAGGGTGGTGATGGGAGACGGCTAGCACTGTTGCTGCTGCTAGACAGAGAAACTCTGGGGGAGACAGTGGGAGACCTGCTGAGGACAGAGAGAGGTGACGAAGGCGGGTCGGAGAGTTCCGAGGTCGACGAGATTATGGATGTGTCCACGTCCATCGTGGAGGGAGAGGGACGACAGTGAATTAAAGGAGATCGGTGAGTAGGAATCTAAAAAAAAAATTTTCTGTTGGTTTCGTTTTGCTGGGTTTTATTGTTTTGCCTTCGCACAATTGTTCGCGAGTGCCAATGTGCGCAGCGATCAACTTGAGAATTAATGGTAACTGCTACCGTGGCCGTCGGTGTGGTCGATGTTGTTACCGTAGTGATGATGGTGGTGGTGGTGTTGGTGGTCGCAGTGGTAATGTAATAATGGCAGTGGTAGATGAAGTGGTCGATGTCGTCGTCGTTTATATTATGTGTTGATGGGTGTGTGGCCGGTGGGTTGTTGAATGTGAATGCAGCTGCGGCGTTTTGGGAGACGCGAAGCGAGAGGAAAGCTAAAGAACAAGCCGCCGGAGAGAGGAGAGGGAGGAAGAGAAGGAAGAAGGCTGGAGTAGAGAAGGAGGAAGAAAGAGGAGGAGGGAAGAGGAGGAGGGAGGACGGGAGGAGAGGATGGGAGAGGGAGAGAGGAGAAGGGAGAGGGAGAGAGCATAGACCGACACACTATGCAAACAGTTACGTGTAGAAAGTTAAGCAAAATACCTCCTGGCCAGAGCAGACGAGTTGATCAGGGTTCGACTCCTAGACAGAGGTAGGTATGCTAAGTGTGCACATGTTCTACCTATCTGCCGATGTTTTGCGGGCAGTTCGCGACAATTATAAGGTGGAAGGACGCAAGTCTATAATTATACCCCCGTGGCTAGCGACGAGGCGATCGGCGGGTATGCGGAGGGCATGACTAGCATGCTGATGTGCTGTGCCGTCCTGACTTAGCGAGAGTGAGCGATTCGGACAGCGACCGGGTCCGGAATAGCGAAGGCAGCATTTCACAGAAGAGAGGCAAATACTTCCAGCATCGAGGCTAACCAGGACATGTTAAGATCGGAATGACGGGGTACATTTGAGTGGAGAGAGGTGGGAAAAGGAACGGGATGAGATGAAAAATAAAAAATCGAGGCGTGCTTTGCGGTAGCGGACCAGGGCAACCGAGCCAATGCAACGCACCGGGGGCCGGGAGTTTGAGGCTGGACGCCTGCCGGTGCCCCAAGATGCCTGAGGGAGGATGGTAGGCATAGGTACCTACCTACCTAGGTAGGTCATGGAAGTTGGGTACCTAAACCAATCTATGCCCTCTCATAGTACCAGATGCCCTGTAAGATGGCTGCCATAATATACCTCCTCCTCTTACCTTTACGTATACCTTAGGCTAGGAGGTGCCACTATTGAGTTCAGTATAAGTATAATTACAATGAATGTAACTGCCTATATAGAACATGAGCCAAGGTAAGCACACAGCCATCAGGTGCAGAGGGTACCTACATATGAGTAAATCAATGCATACACCTTTACCTTAGGTACCTCTAGGTAGATTCTATAACCTCCTACCAATCATCCTTATGAATTCAGCTAAATACCTATACAGGCCTATCTCTCCACCCTTCTCTCTCTTTCTCCCTCTCCTATATATATATATATAGGTATATGTAATGAGATATGAATACACACCTACCTACTTATTTACTGCCCATGTGAGATTCAGGTACTATACACACGTGTCTGCCCATCCCCCACCTGGCCTCTCTCTAGCGTTGATGTTCTACTTTAGTTCCCCTGTCCCCCCATCCCGTGACCAGCTGCAAAGAATGCTGAGAGAGATGAGTAGGTACCTAGCAATTCGAGGCCCGGTCTGTCTTAATTCGTGCTCTGCTATAGGTTAGGTTGCATCTTGTCATGTTGTGTCTAACCGCTCTGCATTGCCAGGTTATGCGTAGCAGCACGTACATGTACGCACCTCACCTACGTAGTAGATGCGCCACCTCGTCCGACAATACATTCATACCCACACTATATCAATCGTATCAATGAGGTCGGTAAGTAGAGGCGGGCGGTTGGGATGGAACGTACCTCTTACCTATATAGCACACACATATAGAAACACCTCTCCATCCAGCCCAGGTTTACGAGGAGGAGACAGTAGGGCATCGCATTTGGTTAATTACATGTCGCATCCTTGAATGTTCACACACACACTGCATTGGCCCGGTCAGCGTGGGGCCACACACCGGTTGCTTAAGGATTGCCCTCCCTCCCTCCTCCCTTACCGAAAGAAATAACCACAGATTGAAGGTAAATTCGAAACGAGTAAAATAAGCCCAGATGAACTGAAAATGAACCCTGGCCAAAGAACGAAGCAATGCGAGAGAAGACACAGAGAAGAGTCAACTAGCATTGTCACAGGTCTTTCCCCCCTCGGTTGCTCTGTGGTTGCTAGGATATGGGTCCTTAGGCACCTACCTAGGTACCTGGTAGGCACATACCTTAGGTACCTAGGTATGTATGTACTTTACTACTCCACAGTAGAGCAGGCATTCAGCATGAGAGGTTAGGTACCTATAGGTAGGTATATAGGTTGGTATGCACATACCATAGCTGTAGGCTGAACTATTCGAGAGCGCTCAGCCTGAGGCTCTTACAGACCCAGATAAGCCTACATAGGTGGACTCCCAAAAATACATATAACCTCAGGTAATACTCTAACAGCTTTAGGCAAGTAATACCTAGGTACCTACGTACCCAGGTACCTACGTAATATCGGTGCAGGTTGCACGGACCTACTACTACTAGCCTGCCTCAGGTACCCAGGTATATCTCATTGGGCACGCTAGGCAACATGTGTTTATCCATTGTTACCTCTTATCCGCATACATCCTTCAGCCTTGTTACCTGCCAGAGATTGCAGCCGCGTTCAAGTACCCAAGTTGGATAGGAGCTCTTTGATGACGAGCCTCTTCCTTCTCCCATCCATATACAACCTGCCCTATCTTCGCCCTACCTCAAGCGACCTCGCCTCGCTGTCTTGACAGAGTGACCCTGCGCATATACCTACGCGAAAGCTCCCAGCCCCAGCCGCTCGTTCGTCTTAGGCATTCACCCCGAATTCCCCCACCCCCGCCCCCTCCCTTCGGCTTCCCCCGATGACAGCCGGCAAGATGCCTCTCATCCTGGAGAATCCCATGGGCGGGGAGGCGATGCAGGTCGACTTGGACGACGTCGACGACCTCTTTGGCGACGGCGCGCCCCTCTCGCTGCCACCGCGGCCGGTGAGCAAACGCCTGCGTCAGAGAATAGATGACCTCCGAACCCGAGGAGCTTGCCAGTAAATCCCGTCCCATCTCCTTTTCTCTCGTCCACCCCCACTCTCGCTCTCGCTCTCGCTCGCTCCGTCTGTTGAGAAAATATGCCAGTATTAACCTTTTTTTAGAGGTGTTGCCTGGTCCAAGGGCGGTACGATAGCCTCCATCGACCCAGATGGCCGCTCTCTCCAGCTCAGATATATCCGTGCCGAGTCCAAGGACGCCGCTTTTAGCTTAAGTGATCCCACTATTATCGCCCCTTGGGGAGGGGTCGCCGGAGGACCTCTCGTCCATCTTACCTGGGGACCGGTACTCTCGGAGCTCGCAGTCATCGATGCCGTAGGGAGGGTCGCTATTCTCAATTTCAGTGCCAATCTGAACCGCCCGTTGATGCCCAGGAGATGGGACGCCGACCCCATCGACGATTTGCATGCCGTCGTCGGGACCTATTGGCTACCAAACATGCCCGTATCTAACCCCCGAGTATGTACCCGACACCCTTGATCACCTTCGTGGTCGGTGCTGATAGCTGCCCAAGCATCAGTACATCCCATCTTATGCCCCAGCGGTCCGGAATGGCAACGGAAACAACTACAACTTCCAAATGACTCCCATCGTAGCCACTGGTCCATACCACCCTCATCCTACCAAGTCTGCTCTGGTTTGCATTACGACGAACGGCCTGTTGAAGATGTTCTGGAGTCAAAACACCAACAGGATCGAGGAGACTACCCTGGAACTCGAGAACAATACGTGGGCAGACGACTTGGTAACCCACGCTGCTGTGTGCTCCGATCGGAGTAAGTTGAGCAAATATTTTCACCCACCTACGACCTGCTGTAGTCTAACTGAGCAGGCAAATCGCTCATGGTCGGCATGGTGACCAAGTCAAAGCAACTTCGCGTAGTTCAGGTCGGCGTGAACTGGGTTACGCTCAAATCCGAAGCGCCTCAGAATCCAACCGCCGGGGGGCAGGTACTAAGTCCCACGTTCTTCAAAAGGCACATAGCGGTGACGAGTTGGTTCCAACCTGCGTCTAGCGATTCTCCTCTCGACGCATCCATGTCCAGGATCACCCATATCGAAATGCTGCCTACTATATTCAGCGCTCCGACCAAGGAATGGTCGCCTGCGATGATCCTGACCGTGCGGTCCTACATCCCCCAACCAAATTCCCCTTACGCCCAAGAAGCACAGAGCATTCTCGATCGCTGGGAACTCCTGACCGACCAGCAACAGTCACCCCATCCTGCCTTCGAGCAGCTGGGAGCTCGGCGAAATAGCGTCGGCTCAGCCCCTCCAGTAAGGATTAACTCATCTGTGTTGTGATTGCTATCCCATTAACGCATCCTCTAGAACGGCGTTAGGCTCAGAAAGCTCGAACCCGTCGTCGTCAATAAAATCATAATAGGTGTGAACCTAGTGAATTTCGGCAGGACTGTCTGCCTTGCCTACAGTGACGGGAGCATAGAATATCGGGACAGGTTCACCATGGCCGAGCTCTACCAAGAAGCCAACCTAGACCGCATCCACTCGGTGCTTGAGGCCGGCTTCTCCCAGACTGGAGAATCCTCATGTGAGTCTCCGCTTCCGTATGTATGCGTCTTCCCGTACTGACCTGGCTACGCGGCTTTACTAGGTCTCCAGGTCGCGCTATCACCAACGAACTTCTCACTGGCACAAATATGCGAGGATGGCCAGGTGAAATGGAATAGCATTAACTACACCTTAGCGGACCCCGGCACAATGACGGATGGTGAGCGCCCACCTATCTTACATACGGGATTTTTGTTTCTCCGGCTGACAATCGCGTAGCGCAAGTTTCTGCGCTCGTTGCTAGCTTCACGATATCAACGGCGCAGGCTACCGCCCTGGGTGGGAACATCGACGATATTTTAGCCGTCGCTAGGAATTTCGTTGGCAGAGACGGTAAGACTTTAGGAATTTGCGCTCAAGCCGTGTTCGCTACTCGAACTAACTAACGTTGATGCAGGCTTTGCCGTGGAGTGGGTGAAGACCATGGTGCAGATGATGAAGATCACTGTCGACTATACCGAAGACGCCCCTCACGATCACCTTATCAAGAATGGCGTCCTACAGATGTGCCTCAGCATCATTAACTATCTAGGATGGAAAGGCGACTCCCAACCTCGACAGGCTTGGGGAAAGCTGTCCACGATTGCCCTTAGCCTGCGCAACATAGTCATTATGATCACTCTCTCGAGTAACACCATAAACATGTCCAAGAACGGCGCGAGCAACATGACCCCGCTGGACGAGCCTGGTGGGTTCACCGCTTCCATATTTCTGCCCTACGGCGACGCCCGATACTAAACACCGTTGCTGTACAGAGGTTGTCAATGCTCTAGCCGGCTGTGTTAAATGGTCGACCGACTTGCTCTGCTGGCTATGCGACTCACTGTTCTGCCTCCTCGACGATCCTAAATTTATGAATCTCCTCAAGCAGCCTCAGTTGGCGCAGATGACGGCATACCTGCATTCCAAGAATGAGATTGCGTTACACTTAGTGTTGTGCTCGGCAACGCGCGGCCTGCTGTCTGCGGTATGTCGCCGCATATCGCTGCTCGATTCCTTCTCCACCAAGTGCATCAACTGGTACGAGAACCGCGAGAAGACTGCTGCCAACGCAAACACTCAACCCGACCCCCGCGCCGCCGCCCACGCCGCCTTGTACGCCGCATACCAGAAGATACGGCAATATACTTCATCCTCGCTTATTAAAGCCGACGAGTTCGACAAACTCCTCACAGGCCTAGGCTCCGATATACGGTCGGCGTATAACACATCGCTTGCGGTCCTCGGGGAGCAGGCTGCTCGAGCCGCGAATAGTAACCAGCCTCTGCCGGGCCAAGGCGCAAATGCTCCTCGACTTGATGTGTCGCAAGAAGCCATTGCTCGCGGCCGCCAACACTGTGAGCTTAATATGCTTGTACTGCAGGCGCCCCCTCCGTCCTTCGTATCGGTCGTCGATAAGTTCTTCAATAAGGACCTTAAGGAATTCCGGTCCCACGTCAACGTTGCCGAATTATATTTTGCCGACTACGGGTTGCTTGAGATAAACGACGGTCCGCGAACGCTGGAAAGGAAGAGGAAGACCGGCATGAGGGTTGACCTCTTCAAGAGGACCATACTTTCCAAGAACCAACCCCCTTCGAACGGATTCGCGTTTCCCTGGAGATTTTGCGTCAGGTGCGGGAGCGTGATGGAGGACCTCGCCATGCTTGGCCCGAAACAGGGCCTTGGGTTCTTACTCCGTCAGCAATTACACTGCTGCTGCGGCGGCCGGATGGCCTTGCTCCCAGCATGAGTGTTTCATCAATAACGGTCACCGGCTTTCTCGTCAGCCCTAATTGCCGACACAAAAGGAACCCAACCAGTCTCTTTTCCGTACTGCTTCCGTACCTGGAGTTGGCCCGTATATTTCCTGGCATCTTCATAACCATGTTTCGCATCGAGAACCCCTTTTTTGGTTTCTAACAGTACACTAGCGGTTGTTGGAGGGAACAAGGAGTGAGCCCCTCGTAGTCGTCTATACCTGAACTGCTTACGGATCATAGGACATGGTAGTTCAGTACAGCCTGCTTTTTATCGTTTCGGTTTGCCGATTAGCGTGGCGCAGGAGACGGCTTAGCCTGAAGAAGTAATACCCGTCCTCGAGTCTAAGGAACTACTAGTAAGGACTCACCGAGGAGTAGTAGCAGCTAAAGATCTTATATATTATAGACGGAGCAGACCTCTCCCCGGTGATACTCTAGCATTTATCATGATGGCTAAGAACGCAGGAGGGGCGAGAGGGGGACGGAATGGAGCCACATTCAGGGCTTGGTTGGCCGCTTCGGCTCTCTCCTTTTTCAGCCTTTTCCCCCTTTCCTAATACTACGCTACGTAGGCAGATGGGTATCGTGATCATACGCGCCTATACTCGTGCCTAAGCAGCTGAGCTATATAAGGTCGCGTTCCCTCTCCTTTTCTCATGTCATCGATGCCCATTCAAAGGTGTGATCTACCTACTATGTACCTAGATCGATCAGGTAGACAGAGCTGATACGAAGAATATACGGCCCGCGAAGTCGTGTTCCCCTCCCTCCTCTATCCCCTCGTGTTATATCGATCCCTAAGAGTGGCACAACTTCTGCCTGTTTATACCCCGACATTTTATCGCTGGGTAGTTCTAATAGGCCGCTGTACTTACATGCATTGACCGCCATCGCAGATCAGTCCGCGAACATCCCCCCGGTTCAGACGAATTAATATTGGCGGTGGACTTTGGGGACGCCTTCGGCCACGGGATCTCACTGCCCGCCCACCAAATATTCACGACACCACCTCGCGGCCAGCATTCCCACTGGACCCGGAGGGGGGCTGAAATACGATAATACTGTTAGTTCCTTTTCGGCATCCCTTGTCTGTTGTGATGGTTGTGTTGGGGTCGACGGATAGACGACGCCACTCGAGAGAGGCGGCTGAAGATGGGCGTATATGGACCTAGCCCCGACCCGGGTTGGCAAAAACCGAAGGGTTCAAGTGCATGAGCTATATCTAGGAAATATCCGATGTTGGAGGGCAACTAATATAGGTAGGTAGATTTAGTAAGCCATAGAATTACCGCGAGCAGGGTCGGAGTCCCTCGGAGCGTCGAGCACGCGTGAAGTTCAACCGTCAAACCCTGGAGATTACCTACATCATCACCGACCCCGTTAACTGCGCCTTAGAATGCAGGTGTAGACGCAAAGTCGGACCTCCGACGTGAGACTATACTCACTCACCCCCGGATAGTAGGTACGAGGGCCGGCTTGGGGACATCGGACAGGGATGGCTGGCTGGTCACTTTCCCCAATGATTGAAGGGAATACATATCCGAGCCTCACACAGCACGCCGTGCTCCGTAGTTCTCGTGCTTGCTGAATTGCAAGAGGCGCAAGTTACACCACTACATCATGGCAGGCTGACAGGCTGAAGAACGCCGTGTTCCCACCGTCTTTGGTAAGAGCTAGGTAGACCAAGCTGGAAGTTGTCGCCGATCCTTTCCAACCGTCCGGCGGCGAAGGGATTCTGGGGCGGGAATCCCTACTTCTGGTGGATGGTGAATATACTTACGCCGTGGCCCCAACAAAAGAGAAGAAGTATGGTTGCGGGATTTCAGGTCGAAACCGGGCTTTGCTTGGAGGTCCCGAGGAAGCTTGGGCGTGGATGATCCTGTTCATAAATACTGGCTGGCCCCGGGGAGGGAACCCCTTAGAAAACGGATACCTGCGTCTTCATCCTCGTTAGCAACTCCTCAAGCACATTCGAACGATTTATTCTGTTCTCCCACAACTCTAACCATGGCCAGCTTCGGCGAGAAAGCCATCCTGGCGAAGAAGCTCAAGGGCCAGAGGCTGGTCATCCCAGACATGCGCCCCATCTTCGCACATTGGCCCCGGGGGCTCCACGAAAACTACCAAGTGGTTAAAGACGTCCTTGACAAGCAATTCGCTGCGTACGACTTAAACCACCAGGGGAGGGGGGCGGGGATGTGATACGCGGATGTGCTGACTGTAAACCAGGGAAGACATGCCCGAGAATGTCCGTACCGGGTTGAAAAATCTGGATCCTACGATGGTTGCCGCATCGTAGGTCTCTCTCGAGTTTACTTATATACCTGCATGCTCGTGTGAAGCGAGGAAAGGAAGCACTAACTGCATGATAGATGGTGGCCGGGCGCGACGGCGGATCGGTTCCGCGTCCTGGCGGACGTGATCACCTGGTTCATCAACTGGGACGACTTCATCGAGGACCTCGCGGCCGACCCGGCTGCCGCCGAAGAGGCCCGCACCTCGACGAAGGCCGTCGTGCGCCAGGCGTTAGGCCTGGGACGCAAGGACGAGCCCGAGGTTCACACTGCCAATCGCATCATATCCAGCTTCCAGGAGGTCGCGGCCCATATCTGCGCCGCGTACGACCAGGGTAAGATGGAAACTAGAGAGAGGCCTTACCAGGGGAGCTGACAGGCGGGCGTTGGGGTGCAGAGCAACGAGAGACACTCCTCGAGCATTTCGTCAAATATATCGATGCGACTCAGCTCGAGGCGGAGGCAGACCGAAGCGAGAGCCTCCCCACCTTGAAGCGATACTGGGAGGTGAGGGTGTTGACGAGCGGCATGGGCCCGATGCTCGGCCTCACCGAGTAAGTGGCCGGCCAGACCCCCCCCCCCCCCCCCCCCGTCCCTACCAACCACGGGATGCCTATTCCCTAGGCCGTAGCCGCTGACGCCGGCGTCAGGTACGCCGAGAGCGTCAAGCTGCCATCTCGCGTGGTCCATTCGGAGGCGTACAAGAGCCTGTGCGTGACGACGATCGTGATCAACTCGATGTAAGTCAGCCGCAGCACACCGCGCGTGTCGGATCCGTTAGCTCACAAGTAACCAGCGTCAACGACTTGGTGTCCTTCAAGAAGGAGATGGTAAGCCGCGTCTCGTGACTGCTTATTAGCCCGTGTATAGGGGGTGGGTGCTAAAGAGAGAAAAAAAACGTCGTGGGTACCTATAGAAAGCCGGGAGCGTGCTCAGCTCCGTAGCGATCCTCTACCAGCAGGTCAACAGCCTTGACGCGGCAGTCCAGATGTCGCTGGCCCACCTCCGCCAGCTCCTCGACGACTTCGACCACACCGCCGAAAGCATCCTGTCCAGCCCTACCCTCGACGCGGCCGACGTCGGTCCCGTCTCGAAGGCCATCAATTCCCTGAGGCTCATGAACGCGGGGAATGTCGAATGGAGGTCTGTCTGCTCGCCCCTTTTGAGGCCACCCTCCCCCCTCCCCCTTCCCCCCCTTTTTTTCTTCTTCTTGGAGTCGTTTGCTGACCGCATGTTCAGCTTGACTGTAAAGCGCTACGACGTGGCCCGGTTCATCCAAAGCGATGGGCGGATCGAGCTGGTTCTGTGATTTTCGCTCGATTTAGGTACTATCTATGCCGTCGCGCTCGACACGTGGCGATGCCTATATAAGCACGGAAGATGACTGATGGGCTCAATTGTAAGATTTGAGCCGGGAACACACACTCCTTAAGCGGCAGTCCGCGGCCAGCGCAGTTCAGTTGCTGCAAATTCTGCTTGTACTTTCTCTAGCCGGTATACGAAGCGCGCGATATACACGCAGAATCAGATATATCACTAGAATAGATGGGACTATAGGTAATAATACGTCCAGTATAGCTCTGCAAGTAGAACCCGCACAGGGGCGTGTCCCAATTCTCTTCTTCTAAGTGAACTTATATACTTATATTTGCCATGTATCACGATGCTATAGCGACTTGGGCCGATACGCTGCCCTGTATCTGTAATCAGTCTCCTCGATAAGCGAGTTTCCAAACCAATAAGTCGATCACCTACGTTGTCTTTACGGCGTTGGCTCTTACGAAAAAGGGGGGAGGGACGGAGGGAGAGTGAGAGGGAAGACAGCCACCCCCTTAGCTGACACGAGAGAGGATGTTACCGTAATCGAGACACATCCGAGTTGTCCCATTTATTGGGAAATTCGCTTACATGCGCTCGGAACGCCTTGTCGAACCGTCGCCTTCGTACGCGTAGCACGGCATTTCACGCAGCGCTGATCATCCCGTTCTGAGGAAATGTGCCGAAGCGCGGGGATAATACCTCAAGTTTCATTTCCGCTGGGCCCTCCGATGGGAGAGACCCTGTGATAACGAGGACCTGGTCCCGTTCTCGGAGCCCCTACCAACGCCAGCCCGCCGTCACTTGAGGTCACGCAGGCCGGGGAGATGGATCTACGAGAAGACGATGTGTCTTCGGCTGGGCAGTTTAGGCTCTCAGCACGACTGTCTTTAGGCACTCGTGACCCATGTCCGCATTGCTTCTTATCAAGCGCTCTATTCGAGGACGATCGGTGCAGGCTTCACACAAGATCCTAGGTAAATAAAGGGCAGGCAGGTCAGCTGGCGAACCGGAACGGCAGTACCTCATATTAAGCGTTGGCCATCAAAAGAGCTCGCTGATAGGCTTTTAGAACCTACATATACCTACGTCCGCAGTGGAAGAGATCAACAACGCCGAATATCCACCGGGAAAAGGAGGGGAAGGGCGGCTACCTCCCGCAGACCTGTCGATGGGTGTGTGCGAGGACCGGCACACGTCAACTCGATCTTCGTTTAGGTTCCCGGCTGAAGTCTTGGATGGGGGGGGGAAACCCCAGACGGGCATCTTGGCAGCAGTGCCGAAGGGAACCCTGCACCCTTACGTCTTCCCCCCTGGCTAGAAGACGAGAGTCTTTTCCCGAACGATATTGACGTTATTAACTTGCTACTACCGCGGGCTGTGATGGGTGGGAGATAGACTATGCATACCGACAGCGGTGGAAGCATCACCAGGACATCCCTGAGGGCTGCTCATCACGGCTTGTCGTGTTGCGTGTCGAGTTGCGTGCTGAGAGGAGAGTATGCCGTGTGCGCTCCTGGCGAAGGGCACGCAATGGCAGCAGTTCCAGAGTTTAAAGTTGCGTCAACGTCCCCTTTAGGGGCCGGTCCCAGAGAGATCCGACTGACTCCTCCAGGTCAAGTTGTTGACGTTGCCGTCCCGGTCATCGCAAGCTTCGTCCGCGAAAATTCACGCTTGGACACACCTCGCCTCCTTTTACCTTCTGTTAGAGGTCCCCAGTTAGCGGCTTTGCCTAAACCCTCCCGCTCCTCACGCTCACTCACACACCCACCCGCCCTAATTTCTAGTCGTCCGGAGCGTCTGATCCATAATGAGGTTCCTCGGCGCTCTGTTGACGGCCCCCATCGCTGCTATCGCGGCCCCCATCCTCGAGCCGAGAGGCGAAGCTCTTCCCAGGAAATGGATCGCGGTTCTCAAGCCGGAGAGCGTCGCTGAAAACGTCCTCGGTAGCGTCACCAGCATCTTAGGTGGAGTGGCTCCCAGGCATACCTACAAGCTGGGCGGCTTCCGAGGCTACTCGATCTCGGCCTCGGAGAGCCTGGTGAAATCGATCGCCGACCTCGCTGATGTTAGTACTTTGTATTTCAACTAAGTCTCTCCCGCAACTCGTCCTGCTCTATTCTCGACTCTTTTGGGGTAAATCCTTAATAGCGAGAGGGAGACAGGGTGTAGGCGTGCGTGTAATGAAGAGAACCTAAGAGAACTTATGCGTGCTCAAAAGAGCCAACGCGTTTTCAGCCTCTCTCTAACCGTCACCATCCGCTAGATCGCCTACATTGAGCCAGACTACAAAGTCAGCATCGCATCCTTCACATCACAGAGCGCGGCCCCGTGGGGACTGGCGCGGCTGTCGAGCCGGGAACCGAATGCTACCGACTACAACTACGACGCGTCGGCCGGCGAAGACACCTTCGTGTACGTTATCGACACGGGGATCGCTGTCGACCACCCCGAGTTTGAGGGCCGCGCCAAGCTCGGCACCAGTTTCGTCGAGGGCAACACCAATGACGAGCATGGCCACGGGACCCACGTCGCCGGCACTATCGGCTCACTCACCTACGGCGTCGCCAAGAAGACCAACCTCATCGCCGTCAAGGTTCTCGGCGCCGACGGCTCCGGTGCTATCAGCCAAGTCATCGCGGGCATCCAGTGGGCCGTCGAAGACGCTACTAGTAAGAAAAGTGAGTAAATATATCATCACCTATCTTTGCTTTCTTCTCCCTTCTCCTGGCCCCGTAGCATCGATCGCTTTCCGTTATGCCCGTTCGTTTTTAATTTCGCCCAACTGACGAGGGGAAACTTGCTCGGCAGGGATAGGGAAGGCGGTAGGCAACATCTCGCTGGGGGCGCTCCGGCTTCTCTCGTCATCAGTCAACACGGCGGCGGCAGCGGCTGTGGAGGCGGGCCTGTTCCTGGCGGTGGCGGCGGGCAACGGTAACGTGGATGCGTCGCAGTACACGCCGGCGTCAGAGCCAACGGTGTGCACGGTCGGCGCGACGGACCCGAGTGATGAGCGAGCTGTGTTCTCGAACTACGGGTCGCTCGTCGACGTCTTCGCGCCGGGCGTCGGCGTCGTCTCGACGTGGAACAACGGCAGCGTCGCTACGCTCTCGGGCACCTCGATGGCTACGCCCCACGTCGCCGGCCTCGCTGCTTACCTGATGCGCCTCGAGGGGCCACGCGACCCCGGCGCCCTGTGCGAGCGCATCCAAGAGCTCGCGACCCCCGATGTCATTGCCAATTCGCGGTCCAGCCACAACCTGCTCGCGTTCAACGGGAACGTAGAGTAGAAGAGGAAAGAGGGGGGAAGGATAGAGAAGGCTAGAGGAGGAAAATGGGGGGTAGGCAAGGGGTGGAAGGTTTGGGAGAATGATGCTTGAGCGAGCGGCTGGGCGCCTCTCCTTCTAAGTCGCATTTACCTACGAATAGATCCCGGGGCTGGTGTAGTGGCGGGAGCAGGTATGTATTCGGCGGAATACCCATGATGAGAGAGTCGATGTGCTGCGTATATCTGCATCTACGTTTAGGATATTTGTGCTTAGATCCCGGGGACGTGGGACAACAAACGGATCTTGCACATCGCAGGTCTAGAAGAAGATACCTAGGCATATATAGCTAGCTGTGCGGCGTGAGAGGGTGTGGTTTATCAGGCACCTTGTATCACTTCGTGGCTTGATATTCACCCTCGGGCACGAACATGCCGTGCATCCCTCTGTACGGCGCCGGCACGGCGGGCCGCCACCCGCCCCTCTGCAGCAGATGTTGATCACCGATCCGGAAGATCTGGACCTGCAAGGGCCGGCAGCACTTGATCATCTCTTTCTCGCTGGCGGCTCCGAAACCCCATAGGGATAGGTCGCCACCGGGGCAGGTGCCTTTTCCTAGCGTTAGCGAGACGCGGTAGACGATGATCGCGGTGCCACCGAAGAAGGGGTTCGGGATGAATACGCACTCAGGGCCATTAGCAAGTCCTGCTCAGCCAGGAACTCGATGTAGTCGCCCTTCTGTGCCGGGCACGGGTTCATGAAGTAGCGGCCGTGCTCGTCGAGGCCGGTGACCTGGAAGATGTTGATCACGTCGTGGACGTCGCTCTCGTTCAAGCCGAACGGCAGCACAGCCCGCGTCAGGTTCGAGCGGCAGTGGAAGTCATAATAGTTCCGCCCGTCCTCCTTTCCCCCGTACTCGTTCTCATCCTCGTCTGTGACCTCGCCCGCCGTCAGCACGCTCGAGATGTACCCGTCGCACCCAGTGCCAAGCAAGTCGTGCACCCGCCCGCCAGTCTCATCGACGCCGTACCACGATAAGCTGTCGCCGATGATTGTCGCCATCGGCCGCATATACGGCAGATTCGACCACAGCCGGTCGTACGTCGACACGTGCGACGCGTGCAGCTGCTTCGTGCGCGCGGCCCAGAAGTGCTCGCGCGGGTTGTGCGCGTTCCACAGGTTTAGGTCGCCTGGGTCTCGCGCGTTAGTCTCGTCGTCGTCGCCGTCCTCCTCCTCCTATTCCCCTGTCGCCTAGATGGAAGATGATGGCCAGCGTACCAACCTGCGGGCCCTCGGGTGTGCTGATCCGCACGATGGACCCGGCGGGTGCCCTCCACGCCCGGCCAGAGCGGATCGGGAGCACAAACTCTTCGAGGAGGATGCGCGGGGCCTGGGCGATAGCGCGGTAGAGGTCTTGATCCACCGCTAGAGGCGATCCAGCAACGGGCAGATATGCTGGTTTCGGCTTCGGGATGGGCTTCCGGGCCTTGAGGCGGGCCTCGGCCTCTTCGTTGCTCGGGGACATCCTCGAGAACGGCAAGCTTCGTAGGATGGCCGGAATTTCACAAGTCGACTGCCCTTTGGGACTACCTACTTACCTTTTGCTGTGCTGCTTACTTCGTTATTGGATAGGTTGGAATTGTAGTCGACCCCTCGGTCTCTTTCTCGGTGATGGAGGATAGCCCCCCCCCCCCCCCCCCTATACCTCCCCCTCGCGTTCTCTCCGTTCAGGTTACCAAGCTTAGGCGGGTGTCCTTCTCTTCCCACTTGGGTTAGTATCAATTCGCGGGGAAACGGCATGGTATGTGTTTATGTCGTAATCAATCACGAACGATAGCTGTCGTGACTTGTCCTCGGGCGCGAAGAGAATCCCACCACTTATATTGCTCGCGTGCGCGTTATGGTTACATCCTGGTTTGTCCGAAGACTACCTTGTCCTTCTCCTCTGCCGCGGGTATGTCGAGAGAGGGACTGAATCGAGAATCTCGTCGTAAGCCTAAGTAGCTTAGAGGCAGCATTTTATTGGGTACCCGAGGCGGTGGCAGACTCTAGGTTCGTCGACGGGGAGGAGAGTCTGAAGATGGGAGGGAACAGAGAGGGTTGAGATGGGATGAACTCACGCCAGTTTGGTTATGTCTTTACAGCAATACCTATTATAGGCATATGCACTCGTGTAGGTATCGCAGACAAGACGTCTACTAGAGGCACCTAACGTATCCGTACTTATATACGCCTAAGGCTATAGGCATTAAAGCCCAACTGAAGCTCGAGTGATACACCTATCAGCATATGTACTTCTTAGAGAGTGCCTTATTTCCTGCATGTATCGAGGCGATATAAGTGTGATATCGGTGCTATATTTTGCCTATGCACCTAATCGAATAGCAAGAATGCAGGTAACCGGTATTCGTCCTGACAAGATGATCAGCCTCAGCCAAGTCGCCCGCTCTCATGCAAACCGTCCCATCGTCTTCTCTTCTTCAGAGCTCTCCCAACTCTACACTAAGCCGAACCTTAGACCTCACCACAACGAGACCACATGCGGCGCCTGGCAATTCTGAATACCCTCCCGACCTGCGGGCCACCTCGTATACCTGCCATCGACACAGACGAACCGTAATCATGAACAGACTCCCACCCGAGATCCTCTTAGCCATCCTCGAGTATACGGTCGCGTCCCTCTACTCGAACAAGAACCGTCTTCTCGCCCTGCGCACCACATGCAAGCTGTTCGACGAGGTCCTCAAACCCTACGCCCTCCGCACCCTCCAGCTCGAGTTTACGCGTCTGGATAAGGTAGAGAGGGCGCTTAAACCGCCCGATGACGATGCCCTGCGTCGCGTGGGCCACATGTGCCGTGCCCTGTATCTTGACATGATGGTGGTCAGAGACGAAGGTAGGCATTTGACAAGCCCCAGAGCCTCTATCCCCACCCCCCGTTCTCCCCTACTTGCGCTAGCCTGGCTTGCCCGGCAGGCTGTGTCGCATGGCTCGCTAAGCGTGTATCGCGTCGTAGGCGAGATCGGATACCTGGACCAGATGTTCCGCCCCGTACGCACCATGGACAGCTTCGTCGCCGACCTCCGGAATCGCTATTGCATGAGCGAGTCCTCCTTTACCGAGATCGACTATCGCCGCCGCGTAGGCACCATGCTCGAGCACACCCCAAAAGTTAGCGCCGTAAAGCTGACCCTGCCCTTGCAGCTCGTGTCCTCGGGCCAATACGGCGCTGCCACCCTGATACTGGGAAACAGCTTCGAGGCGCTGGCCCAGCGCCCGGAGGGTTCTGAGACCCTCAGGACCCTGGTGCTGGAGAACCTGTCGGACGGCTCGGTCTTGCAGCTCTGGAATAACCCTCAGGACGTGAAGAACATCATCGATGTCTTCCAGGACCTCCGCCACCTGTTCCTGTCCATGCGGCGGCACGAGGAAGACCCGGGCCACAACATCAACTTCCACAAACGCCTGTGGGAGATGATCTGCAAGGCGAAGAGGCTCGAGAGCCTCTGCCTCGTCGATCTCGACGCGGACGAGAAGCCCCCCCGCAAGATCATTACCTCGTCTCAGCTGGAGCGGCCTCTCGAAGAGTGGCAGTTCTTGTGTGTACCGATGATGCGAAGCCCGTCGAGATCCGTGCTGCCAAACCTGGCATTCCTCGAGCTGCGCCAGGTCGAGGTCATGGGCAATGGCCTGGTGTCGACGCTCAAGTCCTTCCGGCACTCGCTGCGGGAGCTCCACCTCGACCACGTCTACCTCAAGACCGTATACAGTGTCGACTCCCCGCAGGACGTCAACAACACGCTCTGGATCGGCCTGCCCAACGTCCCCCCGCCGCGGAACCACCAGTGGGTGGCGACATGCCTGCGCCAGATCGGCATGCGCCTGCGCGTCTGCGAGGCCGCCTACCTCGGCTACGACCAGTTCGTCATGGACGAGGAGCCCGCCAACGACGCCAACTACGACCTCGCCGACCCGTGCGGGCTCGCGCGCACGCTCGAGGAGCGCTTCGTCGAGGTCGCCACCGGCGTCGAGCAGCCCCGCGGCGCCGACGGGTCGCCCGTCGCTTATTGGACCGATACGGGGGCGGACACGGAGTCGGAGACGGACGAGGACGGCGAGTCGGAGGCGCCGGCACCGGGCAGCCACGGCCCCGCGGAGGCGGGCTCGGCGTCGGCGTGGCAGCGCTCGATCGACGGCCAGTTCCCGAACTGCAACCCGTTCACGCTCAACATGCTCCACGTGTTCGCCGAGAGCGCGTACAACGGCATCACGATCCTGAACCGGCGGGCGCTGTGGGACGAGTACGAGGACGACTACGATGAGTTCCTGGAGCTGTACGACCCCATCCCCATCCCCACCTTCCCCGACCGCTACACCGAGGAAGACCTGCAAGACGACCTCGACTACGGCGACGGCTACGGCTACGGCTACGGCTTTGACGAGTTCTTTTAGGACCAGAGGGAGGCGATGGACAGCGGTTCGACCTAACCCTCCCTCCTGCGTTGATGCCGGCGGTAGCCCATTCGGTGCTGGTCATCCCCGTCGGCAGGAGAAGAGGATACAAACGGGGTCCCGGCGTAGGCGGGAGTAATTTCAAGGAGGGGCTTCGTTTCAGCTGCTCGGGAGGCGGAATGCGGGCGATGTATGCGTTTCTTTCTTTCCAACTTACTCACTCCCACACGCACGCACACGCACATGTAGCTCTAGATACCCCGCGGCGCGACGGGAACGAGGCGCGTCAGCAGCAGTTAGCACCACGACCTCGCGCCGTCTCCGGGAGGGGACAACGGGCCTACCGTAATGTGACGACGACTCCAATGCCGCGGCGCGTGCATGACGCATAGTAGTAATAGTGCGTGACCGCCTCGCCTATCGTGACAGAACGTCCAGCCTTTCATACTGCCCAGGCCTAGGCGAGAGAGCCGAGACGTGCGCATCCCTCGGCGCTGGCCTCCTTTCTATCGTGACCCCCACCCGGCCCCCCCGGTACCGCCCAACCCCCCCGGTACCGCCCAACCCCCCCGGTACCGCCCAAGACACAGTAGAACGTACCGGTAGATAATACACCCGGCGCACGTGAGGCAGCTGAGCGGTGACTCCAGCCGCGCGCCAGTCTCGTTTTTGTCACAGCTAGCGGGGGATGGCTCGGCCGCCGCATCTTGCCCTGTATAAGAAACACAAGTCTTGCGCCTCTCCGGCACCCGGCGCGAATTATAAGCACGTCGGGCCGAACCCGCAGGAACACAGCTGTAGAGTCGCGCGCGCTCATATCCTAGACGCGTACGCGCCGCGGTGCCGCTCCTAGATCCGTCCGACCTGGGCGAGCGGGCAGGCAGTGGGCAGTAATGCTACGACGCCATTCATCATTCACTTAATGATTCCCACGTTTACCATCCCTCTTTCACGCGCACTCGGGATTGTCTTCGTCGTTGCAAGATGAGGAAGACAGGCGAGGACGAGGAAATGGGTTTGCGCACGGGAAACTACGAGAGCTTGTTGGGGGAGAAAAAAGGGGCACAAGGTTCTTTTCCGTCTATCACCTGTTGCCGGCCGCGCCCCCGGGTCGACGCCGACGGTGGGACGGAATCTTTGACCAACTTAGCTTTCCCAACACATCTCCTTCTCCTATCCTCTTCTTCCAATGAATCCGAGAGAGTAACTATCCACACACTCTTCCCGGGAAGGGGGTCCGTCTCTGCTCTAATTCGTGACCCCGATAACAAGACAGGCCCCCCACTTGCTAGCTAGAACATCGAAGAACCCAGATTAAGGCGCGGGCCGGGGCGTGGTTACGAAGGGTCGTACGAGAGCGCGGAGCAAATAGGAGTCGACGGAGAGCGAAACAAAAAAACCTCTTCAAGGGGTATTATAAGCCAACGCGCGCGCGCACCAGTCTAGTACTCGGCCTCGGGCTCGTCCGGCTCGAAGCTATCGGCCGCGACCTCCTCGTAGTCCTTCTCAAGTGCGGCGAGATCCTCGCGGGCCTCGGAAAACTCGCCCTCCTCCATACCCTCGCCCACGTACCAGTGCACGAAAGCGCGCTTGCTGTACATGAGGTCGAACTTATAATCCAGGCGGGACCATGCCTCCGCGATGGCCGTCGTGTTGGACAGCATCGAGACGGAGCGGTCGACGGAGGCTAGGCCGCCGTCCGTCGGAGACGTAGTGGGCACAGCCATCGGCTTCTGGTAGTTGATACCGAGCTTGAAGCCGGTCGGGCACCACTCGACCAGGTTGAACGAGGCCTTTGCCTTGACCGCCGCGATGGCGGCGTTGCAGTCGCGAGGAACGACATCGCCACGGTACAGCAGAGCCACAGCCATGTACTTGCCGTTTCTCGGGTCGCAAACAACCATTTGGTTGTTCGGCTCGAAACCTGCAGGGGTCGTGTCAGTCAACTCGACTCGGGGCCAGTCAGGATCGGAATCACGTACACTGGAAGGTCAGATCGTGGACCTTAAAGCTCTCATGGGCACTCTTGGCGGCCGAGATGACGGGTGCGTAGCTGATCAGAGGGTAGTGGATACGGGGGTACGGCACCAGGTTGGTCTGGAATTCGTTCAAGTCGACATTCAAGGCACCGTCAAATCGAAGGGACGAGGTGATGGAGCTAACAACCTGGGCAATAAGACGGTTGAGGTGCTCGGAGTCAGGACGAGGAATGTCGAGGTTACGCCGGCAGATGTCGTAAACAGCTTCGTTATCGACCAGGAAAGTGCAGTCCGAGTTCTCGATGGTGCTGTGGGTAGAGAGGACAGCATTGTAGGGCTCGACAACGGCTGTAGATACTCGAGGGGCCGGGTAGACGGCAAACTCGAGCTTGCACTTCTTCCCGTACTCGGTAGAGAGGCGCTCGAGCAGGAGAGCACCGAAACCCGAGCCGGTACCGCCGCCGAACGAGTGGAAGATCAGGAAACCTTGGAGAGAGTTGCAGTTGTCTGGGAAGGTCATAAGTCAGCAGAGCTCGGCAGCAAGTTCCCAGCCCAAAGTGCGGCATGGACGCAGCAGCGCATACCTGTCACACGGCGGATTCGGTCGAGGCACGAGTCGACCATCTCCTTGCCAATGGTGTAGTGGCCACGAGCGTAGTTGTTGGCAGCATCCTCCTTTCCGCTGATCAGAAGCTCGGGGTGGAAGAGCTGGCGGTAGCGACCGGTGCGGATCTCGTCAATAGGCGAGGGGTCCAAGTCGACGAAGATGGAGCGGGGCACATATTTGCCGTTGCTGGTCTCGGTAAAGAAGGTCTCGTAAGAACCGCCGTCGAGGATATCTTTAGCGTTAGGGTCTGGGCGACCATCGGCTCCGAGACCGTGCTCGAGGAGATAGCTGGTGGGAGATGGAAAGAGGTATGGTTAGCCTCGCGAACTCCGGTGCCTACATGCCGTCTTGGGCTGCAGAGTCGGCAGGGTTGGTAGAGCGGTGTAATGGCCACTTACAGTTCCCAGGCGCTGTTACCGAGCTGGGTACCGGCCTGGCCCAAGTGAAGGTGGAGGATCTAAGTGCAGAGACGCGTTAGCAAGATGGCCGGAGGTAGGATGACGCTGAAGCATTGGACGGTCTCGGGGGAGGAGATGGGCGAAGAATGTCGGGCAGGGTCTGGAGAGAGCCATGAATCTCGGCCAGCAGCCAAGGGATAGAGGTTCGTGGAAGGAGTGGGCGACGGAAGCCAGGCTCTCAACGCCGGGAGGAAGATAGAACATACCTCGCCCTTCATGTTGCTACGGCAGTATTAAGACTCGACAACGGAGATACTGGGACGGGGATTGGAGTCCAATCTTGAAGAGAGAAGTGAGGATGAGAATAGGTATGCGCTCAGCGCTGGTGGTTGAAGGAGTTATGGAAAAAGGAGGTGTGGGCATGCAGGTCGGTTGGCAGGCAGAAGACAGAGGCTGCTGGTTTTTTGTGGGGGCAGCTAATCTGCATGTGTATTGCATAAGGCGTGGCATCCAACCAGGCTATTATCTAGTAGATGCTGATAGGAGGAGGAGGAGAGTACCTCTGGCTATCCATCGCTCTAAGGTTGCCGTATCTTCATCACCTAGAGTGGGTAGGGATAGAGGTCAGGGGTACCTAAGCTGGCGGCCCTCATTCCTCCTCTACCTACATAACCCCTCTCTATGTGGACCAGGTTGATACCCCGTCGCTTAGCACCCAGCCTTAGTATCTTGGCTGCAAGGCCTACAAGGAGACATTGCCTAGGTGCCTAGGTACCTACGTGTATATACCTACCTCCTATACAACTCTGCACGATATCTATGTATATACTCATACATAAATATATGCATATATGTGTGGGTTTGGCCGCATTGGTCAATCAGCATGCGGGGGCACGTTTCTGCTCGACCTGCCCAGGGGCTGTCCAATGGCCGATCGCTGCGGGCACACTAAAACCCCTAAGCGTGCAGCGGATGGAGGGGCAGTTGACAGGTCGACGTTACTTCGGCCACAGGTCACTCGCCAGCGGCAACCCTTGCCGCGAGGCTGCGGAGGGAATACAGATGCATACTGTGTAAGGTACTTGACTATCAACGTGTACGCATGTGTACGGCAGAGGAGCCAGAAAGCGTCGGCCAATTGACTTTCTAAGTTCAACCCTTCTTTTCCCCACCTCCGGAGGTACCTGATATACATCTTATACCTGCCACCTGGTCACCAGCTGCGCCGAGGTACGGTACCTAACCTAAGCAAAACCACCTCGATTTGGACACACCGCTCTCTTTGAGACACGATCTGCTAGCCTGGCGATGGCGTCTTTGTCCAAATACATATGCCTGTCTAATTACCTAGGTACGTATCAATACTGATGCCGACATGGAAGAGCCAACCAACCAACCTACCGATCTCCTAGGTGTGTTATATACGAAAACAACCTACTTACCATTGCATAAGTACCATACAGGGAGGGGGGGGTCTATTAACACTATGTCAGCAACCCTTTCTATGACTGGACATAGTGTCTGCCTCGTGATAAGAGTAAGTTAAACTCTAGGCTGACATTATTACCATTTCCCGACATAGTTACCATCCGGATATAATGTCCTTATTTTAAAAAAGGTACATTCTATAGGATTACCCGGTTACCTCTATGTTACTAAGTACGTACCTTTGTACCTTTGTATCTTTTACGTCTGTTACCTACCTCCTAACCTCCTACCTACCTACCTACCTACCTCTTCCATAGGTTCGAAGATAGATAGATTCTACGCGCGCGAACTAGCTTCCATAGATTTAAAGACAGGTTCGAAGATAGATAGATTTCACGCGCGCGAACTAGCTCCTATAGGTTCGAAGATAGGTTCGAAGATAGATAGATAGATTCCACGCGCGAACTAGCCCCTATAGGTTCGAAGATAGATAGATTCCACATGCTTGAACTAGCTCCTATAGGTTCGAAGATAGGTTCGTAGATAGATAGATTCCACGCGCCAACTAGCTCCCACAGGTTCGAAGATAGGTTCGAAGATAGATAGATTCCATACGCCTGAACTAGCTCCCATAGGTTTACAGATAGGTTCGCAGATAGGTTTATAGATAGGTTCATAGATAGGTTCGAAGATAGATAGATTCTACGCGCGAACTAACTCCCACAAGTTCGAAGATAGATAGATAGATTCCACACGCCTGAACTAGCTCCCACAGGTTCGCAGATAGGTTCGCAGATAGGTTCGCAGATAGGTTCGCAGATAGATTCGCAGATAGGTTCGCAGATAGGTTCGCAGATAGGTTCGAAGATAGATAGATAGATTCCACGCGCGCGAACTAGCTCCCACAGGTTCGTAGATAGGTTTACAGATAGGTTCGTAGATAGGTTCGCAGATAGGTTCGCAGATAGATAGATAGATTCTACGCGCGAACTGGCTCTTATAGATTCCACGTACGCGAACTAGCTCCCACAGGTTCGAAGATAGGTTCGAAGATAGATAGATAGATTCCACGCACGCGAACTGGCTCCCATAGGTTCGTAGATAGGTTCGCAGATAGGTTCGAAGATAGGTTCGAAGATAGATAGATAGATTCCACGCACGCGAACTAGCTCCCATAAGTTCGTAGATAGGTTCGCAGATAGGTTTGAAGATAGGTTCGCAGATAGGTTCGCAGATAGGTTCGAAGATAGGTTCGCAGATAGGTTCGAAGATAGGTTCGAAGATGGGTAGTAGATCATGGTATGTAGAAAAAAGATGAAGACAACAGGTCTAGGTAGGTAGGTCTAGGTAGGTAGGTAGGTAGGTAGGTAGGTAGGTAGGTAGGTAGGTAGGTAGGTAGGTAGGTACCTATAGAATATATAGACATTATATCCGTCTGGACATTGTCATATCCGTCTGGACATTAGTTCCTACGTAGTCATAAAAACCATCCTGAAATTATAAGAAGGGAAGGTAATAAGGTCGGTACCGCGACCCTTGCTATAATTCTTTTAGCTCTTTCGAAAGAATAGGTAACCCTTACCAGATTTAGTTACCGTGTCCGTACCCCGACTCTATTGCTGACATACTGTCCATAGACCCCCCCCTCCCGGTATGGTAGGCATGCAGGGTATGTGTAGGTACCTGTTACTGTATATTATAGTATGCAAAGCACACGTAGGTGGTACAGGCGACATCGGGGAGTGCAAGCCATTTACTTCCCCCTCGGGACAGCTCGCTCGCCGGCTTCCACCCACCCCGCCTCTCACTTTGCGCCCTGCTTCCTCCATTCGGCTGCTCTCCGCGCCCCCCGGCTCTTTGTCTTCGCCTTGGTTGCCCCCTTCTTCCCCTTCCCCTTCCCGAACTTCAGGTCTCTGGGTTTTCCGTCCTTCGCGCTAGCCCTGCGGCCTTCGAATACGATTTGCTCCGGGGTCTTGATCACTTTGCCCGGCACCGTCTCCTTGTCTCTAGGCCTCCCACCTTCGCCCGTGAACCCTCGTCGTTGCCTTTCTGCTGCCGCTCGGCCCAGCAGTCTCCCTGCCCGGCCGGCTAGGGTCTGCTGCTCCGGGGTTACCTTGGGTCTGTACACCGTAGCCTTCTTCGACTTGACGTTCCCGTCCTTTGCGCCGTTGAGCTTGGCCTTCGCCGTGCGCTCCATCGCGAGGGCGGTCTTCCGGGGATCCTTGGCACGGGATATACGTAGCGTGCGTGGCAGCATCGGGGGGAACTTCTTCCCGTCCAGCAGCAGCGCCGATTCGACGGCGTTTCCGTCGTAGAATTGTACGTAGGCAAACCCTTTGCCTACGCGTGTTTTGGGATCTCGAGGAACCCGGACGCTCTCGACCTTGCCGGCGTGCTTCCCGAGAACCCGCCACAGCCCTTCTTCGATGTCTGCCGGGACTTTCGTGCGCTTCTTGGTCGTGGTTTCGCCTTCCGCGTTGGTGTTAAGAACGGTTTCGTCGTCCACGAAGCCGAGGTTGCCCACAAAGACGCACCTTCGGTGATCTACTGCCGTCGGATGCGCTACGCTATCCGCTCGCATATGCCGGTCAAGTACGACGGTGCCGTTTAGGGCCTTGACCGCTGTTTGCGCGGCTGCTGGCGTCGAATAGACAACATAGGCGTTGGTGGATCTCGTGGTGGCGGACATGATCGACTTGGTAATGAACGCCGCACGTTTCGGCATCGCACCTGTAGAGTATGCGGTGGAACGGAACCGTATCGACTCGACCTTGTGCGGCCCGCTGGCCGAGTCCAACGTTGACAGAGGAGAGGAAAGGTGAGACATTAAGGTCTTCTTAGCCTTAGACGAGGCGATGGCCTCGACAGAAATATTGCCGAGAAATAGGGTCCGGTTCGCCTTGTCGACTTCGACATCGGCGTGGTCCTCTCTCTTCTCCACGAGCGCCTCGTGGATCAATGGCGCCCCATCCTCTTCTGAATCTTCTCCCTCGGGGGCCCTTTCGTTTATCGCACCGCCCGCTTCGCCTTTGCGACGCTTGTCAGACCGCCCCCCATCCTCCTTCTGCTCCTCCTCCTCCTCGTCTTCTTCTGGGTCCCGAAGCAGCTTGCGCAGGTATTCCGTTTCTATGTCATCGTGCTCATCTTTGCGCTTTCTCTTGCGATCTCTCTTCTGCGTCTCCAATAGCGCATCAATGGGATTTAAGCTCCCTTGTGCCTCTTCTCCCGCTTCGGACGCGATGTCTTCTTCCTCGATATCTTCTTCTATCTCGCTCAAGGACTCGTCATCGAGCTCTTCGTTTGCTTCGCTGTCGTCTTCACCGTCGCCTGGCTCCCTATCGGAGTTTGAGCTTGCATCTCGGGGCCTGACTAACGAATTCCTGCTTTTCGGTGGAGGTGCAGCTGAGTATCGGGACTTTGGAGGAGCTTCGACAGGGCCAGCCTGGGTGATGGTAAGTTTTAGGTACTTGTATATCTCGTACGGCTACGTTCCGCCCTCAAGTAAGTAACTCACGCTGCTTGCGAATAGAGCATCGAGAGTGGGGTCGACAGCTTTTGCCGAAGCAGCCAGGGAGGATATCCTTGTTCGGGTTATTATCACGGAGCAGCGACGGGGCGAGGTGGGAATTGGCTTGGCCTGCTTACGGCTTCGACATCATCAAGGGCACGGGGGAGTAGGCGTCGTTGGTTGGTGGTAACTACAAATGCTGTCGACGAAGGGTTTTGCGATCCCAGGCTGCTGTCCAAAAACCAAAAAAAAAACCCCTAAGAGCAAGGAAGTACCTACCAAAGTACATCCATCTCCCTGCACTCAATGAGTCCCTATCTTATCCTTATCTCCTATCGCTTATCGTGGCTCACTTGGCAGAAGCCAACTTCGGATGCAGGGTGGTATACTATAGGTACCTATAGTACCTAACCTCTTATCCATCGATCGGTAAGCCGGGCTCGGTCGCGCGCGTGAGTGTTATCGATAAGCCTTCCCTTTTCCCCCTTCATGTTCTACAGCGGGCAGTGTGTAGGTACCTATAGTGGCTTGGCTTGAGGTCGCTTGAGGGGAGGATACAGCGCGGGTACCGGGCATTGCAGCGCGCAGCCGATAGGAACCCAGCCCAAAAACCCATCTCAAATACTCGTTACCTCACCCAGTCTCTCTCCCTCTTTCTTGCGCGCAAAGCGAACCCTCCCCCATCTGGCCAGCAGCAGAACCAGCACTTTTCTCCCTCTTCCTCGATACCTACCGTACCTCTCTTCCTCTCGCACCCACACTCTGCAAAGCACGCTCGTTTCCTCTCTCTTGTCCCCGTATTGTCTCTCTAAATTCTCTTTACCGCGCCTCCATCCTGACTCCCGACCTTTTACTCCCTCCCCATTTGATCCACCCTTCTATTTACCTTACTTACTCCACTGCTGCTGAGAGGGCGTTCGAGCTCCGAAAACTCGTCTCTGGTCAACTGCCCTGCCCTTGACGACTACTACCACCTCTCCACTTCGTCGACGCTACCTTTCGACCCTCTACGCGGCCGCAACCCCGGGGCGGATCGGGATCAAGGAAAATACAATCAATACTGGCTTTAAGACAATATGGCAACTGGAGACACGGCGCCTGCGCCGCTTACCATTCCACCCCCGCCGATCGAGCCGCTCTCCGACGACGACGGGTCGAGCCCCTTGAGCGACGTCGAGGACAAAGATCCTGACCCGGACGACTTGCACGGTCTACATGCCGCTACACCTCACGGTCGCGACGAAGCAGCAAGCTCCGCCGACGACTTCTCGGACGCGAACGACACCGAGGCGGAGACTGAACGCCTCTACGATACGCCCCGAAATCCCACCCGCCACACGGACGTCGATCTGAGCAAGTCCGTCGCCGATGGCCAGGTCTACAAACGTACGCCAAGCAAGCTGCGACAACGTCACAGAAGGGTCCGAGAACCCAAAGATGAAGACGACGGGCCCCTCTCAGAAGAGGACGTGTCAATGGCTTCCAGCCCGCCTGTGCAAGAGATCAAGACCCCGAAGACGCGCCAATCGCCAACTTTGGATGTTTTAGTAGAGGTAGTCAGCAAGGAAGTCGAGACTAGGAAGCGAAAACGGTCCTCCATGCCTACTGAAAAAGCCGAACCCGCACAACCCCTGCAAACCCGCACCAGCTCGGCCCCCGCGATCAATCGTCGAGACGTGGATGGCGATACGGCGATGGTTGACGACGGAGACCCGTCGTTAACCGCCAATAGCGGCGAACATTCTCCCGACGAGACCACCCACCCCGCGGTGGGAGAAGAGGATGGGGACGATCGACCGCGAGTGAGGCATTCCGCCGACCGAGCAGCCACGCCTAAGAAACATACTCGGAGCGGCTCGAAGAAGCTCAAAGCTACAGAAAAGCCTGTTGAGATGGATGAGCCGCCGGAAGAGGCGGCCGCACCGGAAGAGGACGGCGCCCACACGGGCGAGGACGAACAGGTTGAAGCAGACGTGGGCGAGGAGGCCGAAGCCGCTCATAAAAACGAAGAAGAGCGTAGGTTCACATCATCATTCTAGTCTAGGCCCATGGCTAGTGCTGACCAATCATTGCTAGTGGAGAGGAAGAAAGCTGCTTTTGAGCAGTTGGGACAGATAGAGAAACGATTCGCAACTTTCAGAGACAGGTTCGGCTTGCCTCGTTCTTCTCCCGACCCCGGTAGCCAGTGTAACCAACTAACGCCGTCCCAGGCTTTACGAGGAACGACTCGAGCAGTTGAACCAAGAAGAAGCGATGTTGCGATCCGAAAACCCGACTCATCCCGAATACCTCGCTATGATGAAGTGCATAGACTCTCGAAGAGACGAGAGAGTGCGCGTGGCAAACCGGGAACTCGAGTTGAGCGTAGAAGCTCTGGAGAGGTGGGCCGTAGCGAAGCGCTCGCAGGTCCATTCCCAGTTTTTTCAATCCATCCGGGAGTCTAGAGAGAGGATACTCGCCGAGCTGGGCCAGCAATGGTACGACATCCAGCACGAGCGACGGAAGCAAGCCAACAACGTCCCCGAGTTTGGGCTCCGGTTCCCTACAAGCCCGACAGAGCGCATCCGGAGCGCGCTTGCATATAATAAAGAGGTGTCCATCCTGTCCGGGATAGCGAAATACGAAGGCATGCCTGCCGCGCCCGAAATGAAGGGCGCGACCATGCAAGAGCTAGACGACGACCTCGAAGCCATGAACGTGAGTTATCACTGGCGAGCCGCCGGTGCCGAGAGCGTCGTCGCTAACTACGTGCTACCAGCGGAGTCGACAGCCGGCCCTGCGACAGCATATGCCCAGGCCGAACTACGTGGATTACGGGGGGCTGCCATTCGGCCAAAGCCTAGGTCCCGCGGGGGAGCAGTTCATCGAACAGACGCCGTGGGCAAATCCCAACCACCCGTCGAACGCTCGCCTGCTCCAACGACAGCACTCGGCTCCGCACGAGGGCCCACCACAGGGCGCCCTGCCAGGCACATCATCCAAGCGGCACTCGCACCCGGCACATCCCATCCCCAACGGGCCGACGACCCAACCCTTTAACGGCCACGTGAAGGCTCCGAAGAACGCGCCGAGGCAGGCCTCTACCTCGCCCGAGGTCACACGAGCCGCCAACCTGTTGGAACAGACCAAGGCGCGCAGCATGAAGGCGGCGGCGGCGGCAGCAGCAGCAGAGACGGCCGTGAGACGCGAAAACAGCCACGCAGTCGGCAGTATATGACACCTCATCACTCGCTAGGCTATCTCGACAGCGAACAGGCGTTGTTTGGCGCAACGCGCGGGACGGGAGAAGCGAGAGAGGGGTGAGGGGGATGCTTTTTTTCGCTGGCTAGACGATCGACCACTGGCCGTGATGATGCTTATCGCTGATTGAATAACCTGCGGGATGGGACATATTGACGATATACCCTGTGCATATATTTTGCATTCGGCGTCGCGGACTGCCGTGGACTCCCAGTGGGGACGGCCTGGAAGTCACGAGGGTGTTATCGTTTGAGAGGCACTTGTTACTTATTTGACTTATGCTCGTCATTATTAGCCACCGGCGTCTTCTAGAGAAGATGGCGTAGAGAACGGGGATGTCTATGATACAGGGAGTTGCCCCTAAGAACAGGCATTCGTGGTGTTTGGGGGGAGGCGGGAAGATTTGCCAATTCTGGCTCCGATATGGGCCAAGAATATCACCTAGCTTATACCTAGTTCTTCACGGTTCAATGGAAGATCCATTCCCAAGTCCACGCCGATCACACGTCCTTTTATTCATACCTCGGGCGGCTAAGCCGCTCTCGTAGGCTTCCCCTCCCCGCGAGCCGTGAGTGTTGGTGTTTTATACATATCGTCGCTTATCGAGTTTTATTCTCAGGCGGGCTCGGCGAGCTGGGGACCTTGACATCTTCGAACTCGTCCTGCCCGATGGCGTTGATCGTGTAGATATCTGGTAGGTAACCTGTTAGCTGGGGCAGTCCGAGGGCGCGCGCGCGCGCGCGCGCCACCTGGGCGGGAGGGTGGCCACTTACAGACGCCGACGGCGAAGGCGGCAACGGCGGTCCCGACGACGACGTTCTTGAAGAAGTAGGGCCGCCGCGCGCGGATGAGGGCGGGCGATTGCCGGTATCCCTTGTCGTAATAGGAAGAGCTTCCGAATCTGCGGGCCGGTCAGCGGCATTGCGCGGCAGGGAGATAAGAGATGTTTCTGTGGACGCCGACGGAGAGGTGGATGGGAGGTGGGAGGGGCAGCGCGCATACCCGGCAGCCATGTCGCTGATAGTAGTATTTATATTTGCCCAGTCGCGGGAGCGGGGCGGAGTTCCGAGGACGACGCGAGGTCGGGGTTGCTGGCACTCTCGAGGATGGGGATGGGTGGGCAGCAGTTGGATGCTTAGTCGGTTGCTTTGTCTTCTTCTTTCTTTGGTGGTGAGAGAGGGAGAGCTCCGACGGGTGCGACATGACGATAGTCTGACGATGCCGAGCTGCCACCTCGGCCGCCTCGCAGCTGTCGCCCAGGTGTCTGGATCCGGCGGGCTGCTTGCTCTTAGGAGTGTCTAGGTAAGTTAAAGCTCGCTAAGGGCAGAGAGTGTGCTAGAGGTTTCTCTAACTAATACGGCAACCAGGGTAAGTGAGTTTATTACTAAGAGGGAAAATTTAAAAAGTATTTAAAATCGTAAAACTAAAATCTAAGAAAAAATTGATATAAAGAAAGAGTTTTTTTATAGAGGGGGGGGGGGGGGGGGGGGTTATTAAAAATACCTCCTCTTATTAAAATAAGTTTAACGTTTATTAAACCTCTAAACCTATTTCTTTATATAATATTATTATAATATTATATAATTTCTATGTTAAGGAGGAAAACGATCATTAGCCTCTCACAAGCTAGTAATGCCATATAAGGTAACTGGTACTTAATAGGCTATTTTTACAAGTACACTACGACGGACAACATTTATCCTATCCGGAGGATAGTTATAATACGCATAACCCCCTATTATGCTGATTAATTACAGGGTTAAATACCCCTGTAAATAACCCTGTAAATAACCCTGTAAAGAGGTGTCATTTAGGGGAAACTCTGTTTTTATTAGCTGAAAGTTCGTATACTGAATAGGAGTAGCGTAGGTACGCTGTGATGGAGGCACGAAACAAGGACTGCCTAACTACTAATAACTAGCCTAGTACCGATTAACTAAGATTATAGCTGTAAACAGCTATAATCGGTTGATCGGCTAGCTAAAAACGGTAGCTGGGAAAGGAGGACTAGAAAAGGTAAAGACGAGGAGGATGGCTAGAAAGGCATGGCAAGAAACGAGTGAATAGCTATAGGTCCTAATATCTATAGGTCTAAGTCTGGCTAATGAAAATATGAGTACGCGACCCATATAAATATATATCGAAAAGGCTACGTGGCTTAGATCTACCGCACTATTACAGCCTCCCTAGTTTAATTAATCCGTAAGGAGCAATTAAACTCCTAATAACAGGTGCGGTGGCCCTCGTTTCCTGCTGAACCTGATCAACCACTAATCAACCTGATCCCGATCAACCCTGATTAACTGAAAGCTAGCCAGTTTAATCAAAGGCCAACAGGATAAGTCAGGAAGAAACAGGGTAATCCTGACAACTGGGAACGATTGTAATAGCAATAAGTGGGTGGTGGGGTGGGTGACTGACTGCAGCCGTGCCTGATCCTGAACCTGAACCTGATCAATCCCGAACCTGTTCAATCGTTGCTAACTGGGAGCTGAGCCAGTTTAATTAACGATTAACAGGAAACAACAGGAAAGATCTGATAACAAGAACAACTGGGCTGGCGGAGCTGTAAACCTGTAAACTGACCTGATCAACCTGTTCCTGATTAACCCTGATTAACTGGGAGTAAGCCAGTTCCATCAAAGGCCACTAAGAAACAATAGGGATTAACAGTCAGGAAACAGGAACTGCAACGGGCAGGTAAAACAAGCGTAGCTCCCGTGAGAAACAAAGAAACAATCCCATACGATGCAACGTAATCCCGTCCTTCTCGTTCATGACTGGCTTTGCCGATCCTTTCAACTGATCCTGATCCTATAAACTGACTGATATATCCTGTTCATGCCCGACTGTTTCCGTTTCTGACTGTTATTCGTCCGGCAGCATCTACCGGGCTTCCCTTGACCCTCGATCCCTCCCCTGTACGTGGTTCTAGGGGCTCTGGCTCTTCCTACTAACCACATATCGGTAAGGGCGACAAGAGGGGTCTCCGGGCAATCCTGACTATTCTATGACTGGTGACTGTTTTTCCTGGGCTCTCTTGTTCAATATCTATTCAATTCGTTCGTATCGGTATCGTCTATAGGTCTCTCGCGCTAATCGGTAGGTTCCCCGATCAGGTTCGTGGGTATAAGGTCTGTCGGTATCTTCGTGTGGTAATCGTGGGCATCGTGGCACCTATCGGTTAGGGAGGAGAAACCTCCCCAGGTGCCGTAACTGGCTGGAAGGGATAAAACAAGGGCAATCAAGATGGCAAGCCTCTTGCGGTTGAAATAGATCGATCGGTAAAGAACGGATGCCTTCAAGCGCGCGTTGTAAAAAAGGGGGTGGTGGCGGTGACTTGGTTAGATCAACTGAGAAAACGGCCATCTAGGCACTTGAAAAACGACGGAGGCAAAACCAGGTAAAAACGGGCACAGCTCCTTCAAAAGAGACAATTGAGAAACGAGGATAAGATAGATCCACTGATCGGCGAACGAGCTTTCAGGTAAGCTGATCAAAAGCTGATGGGAGGGCGTAGGTTGTTGATGGTCGCCATGGTTGTCTGCCCTCCCGTTGATCCTGACCTGAAAAGCTAAGGCCAAAAGCCACGAAAACGGCTCTGGAGCCACGAAAACAGCTCCTGATCAAACGAAACTCTGGGGATCTCCTGATCGACGTATCCTGAACCTGATGACTGCAAAAACGGGCGCAAAAGGTCGCTCCTAAGACTGATGAGGTTGCGGCTCGGGCTACTGGGTGGTCGCTACTGAACAGGAGCAGCGTAGGCACGCTGTAATGGAGGCACGAAACAAGGATTGCCTAACTGCCAATAACTAGCCTAGTGCCGATTAATTAAGATTATAGCTATAAATAGCTATAATCGGTTGATCGGCTAGCTAAAAACGGCAGCTAGGAAAGGAGGACTGGAAAAGGTAAAGACGAGGAGGATGGCTAGAAAGGCATGGCAAGAAACGAATAAATAGCTATAGGTCCTGATATCTATAGGTCTAAGTCTGGCTAATGAAAATATGAGTGCGCGACCTATATAAATATACATCGAAAAGGCTACGTAGCCTAGATCTACCGCACTATTATAATACGCCGTTTTAATTGGTTAAAAGTTCGTATGACCTATTTAAAAGGGATGCATCTAATAAAACCGCAGCATACGCGTCCATTTATTTACCTACGCGTTTAATTCTATTTCCTACCTATTTCAATCCTATTTAATCGAGGTTAGTTTCTCCCCGTTTAAAAATCGATTGCTAATCCCTTTTCGTAGTTCAATCCAGGTTAGTTTCTCGTTTAATCCAGGCCAGTTTCTCCCCGTTCAATCCAAGTTAATTTCTCCCCGTTCAATCAAGAGTCGATTACTAATCAATCCCTTTTCGCAGTTCAATCAAGCGTCGATTCCTACTTACCCCTTTTTCCCTAGCCTTCGGAGAGGTTCTAGGTTTTCGGCACGAAAACCTGGAGAAGCGCGGAGCGCTTCGACGTATTTTAACATAGCTCAGGAAGCCGTCTCCTCCGGATAGGGAGCGCACATGCCCAACTATGCCTTGTCGGCCTTCACTTATGACAGAAGGAGCCTATCTCTGATTTGTAACATCTTCTAATAAACCGCAGCCAACCGTGCCCTCCGCAAACTTCACCGTACCTCAACCGACGGGTAAGCGTGAGAGCTCTGCAGAAGCTTTGCATGAACCTGGTCGTTGAGTCACCAGTGATGTCATGCCTCGATCTTCAAAGTCATTCAAGCATCTTTTCGCATGCCAGCACCCCAACTGGTGGTCCCCAACGAGTGGTCTGGGGATAATATGACCTGTTTTCATAGTACTGTTGATCAGTGAAGTAGTCATCCAAAGAACACTCGAGATTCTCCACAAAGTTGAATACACTTTCACCTGAGGAACGCTTCCAAAGGGAGTCTTCCAACCTGACTTCCACAAATCTACAAGAGTTGCCGTTAAACACCTCTCGGGTTAGGTTTGGAGCAGGTCCTATCCGCCGACTGATCCGGTAGTCGATAAACCAAATATTATCCACCCAATCCGTCTCAAAACCGGCGGCTTCGATGATGCATCGAAGCGGTCCGGTCACATCGTAGCATGGAAATCGCCATGGGTCACTCATGGAGCTACCCCATGCTGGGTCGAACTCGAAAGCTAGATGACGAAGCCCCTTAGCGAAGATAGTACTCCAACTGATGGTATCAAAGTCGAACGGTTGAAGGCATACTAGGTCCGATTTGGGATTAATGGTGAATTTTTGTTTTCGTCCGTCTTGTAAGAACTCGACAAGAATTGGAGCTTCATCTAACTCTCCTGAGAATCTGCTTTTACAGGATGCATTGATCCAATCAGACCAGGTAATTGAAGTCCGTCGACATCTCTGCAGTCGCTGTCGAGAAGCTGTGCAAGCATTCCATAGGCCGATCTCAGACATATATCCTGACGGATTCGACTCCGTCCATGACAATTTTCTCCGTCCGCTGCACTGCGGTGCCGCCAGACAGTATCTGTCTTGATACATATGCCTAATGGTTTTGCTTGCCAAAGTTGACATCGCGTCATGGGATGTATTGATAAATGTGAAGAAATGTGCCGCCGGGTGGCTGTTAAGCGAAAGCGCCGCAAAGTCCCAGATCCGGTCTTGCAGTTCCTTTGGCAATCTCGCGAATGGATGAAATGTGTCAGAAGCCATGATTGGGATTGCGGTTTCTTTTTGCGCCGATCCTGAGAGACGTAACGGCTCGAGGGGAGCTCTTCGTGTTGTCGACTTCACGGTATCGCAGGCAAGACGAGATCGGAGGCTGGCAAGAACGTGTTGTGACCGCCCAACTAATACTGGCGGTTTGCTGCGGACTTTTAATGGTGACAGAGTGGTGTCGTGTCGTTTTGCCGGGAGATTTGTGGACGCGATGCTGTGGATCCAGGTGCGCAGAGCAGCTGGGATGTGTGGTAAACCCTACGACTCGAAGCGTTGGTGTCTGGTTTGTCGGTTCGATAGGTTATGAGGCAGGGCAGCCAAGCGTGATAGGATTGATTAAATGACTATCTGTGACGTAGCTGGTGAGAGCAACGTATGGCGTACTAGGTTGCGCGCATAAGGAGCAATGGAATGCGGGTGAGAAGGTGTGTATTGACTGACTAGAGAGAAGGAAATATAATAGAGAGTGTGGAGCGATCTATGGGTACATATAGAAGTGCTCAACCAGCTTAGGTAAGCTGGGTGGTTGCCACTAGGGGCGAATGCCTACGTAACACTATCGACGTAGAATCGATGTAGAATCGATGTAAAGAAAGCAATCCTCAATTAGAGGTCGCTAGTACGATATGCTCTTCGACAAATTTAAAGATAAGTAAGGTTGTGGGTAAGATATATTATATAACCGCGGACCCGCTTTTCGTGTAGTTACCCTAGGTTTACTATAAGCTTTAAAAACCCTACTTTTATACATTAAATAATTCACTATATAAATTAAAAAATTATAAATAATGGATTAGATTAAGGCGTATTAACATTTAAAGCGTACCGAATACATAGTTATCTTATTATCCGTTTCGCGGACGGGCCTTCGTCGGCTAAAGGTGTACCTACCCCAAGGCAGCGCCCCGTTGTAGGCTGAGAGCCAGTTGGAAAGCACGATTGAGAAGGCAGCTTCCCGTCCATCCCATCCACCCAGCGCCCATCCGAAGCGTGATTTGGGGAAGGTGCTCTCTCTGGGGCAAGCTTCTTTCCCTCGTCACTTCTTACCTGCTACCTGTCGATACCTACGATACCCCCGATACCCCCGGCCCGGCCTGGCCACACTTTTTCCCTCTCTTTTTTGCCCCAACCCGGTCTATTGTCTCCTACCTACCTCTTCTCTCATATCTTCAATTCAGCCCGTCGATTCTCTCGCGTCCAGTTCTCTTTTTGCTCGCCCCGGCCCCTTTGCTGAACTGTTCTTCTCTGCCTCTGCACGCCTCGCGTATTGAACCAAGGCCAGCAAGCAGCCGCCGAGATACCGTCTTCGATCGGAAGAGCTTGCAAGGATCGGCAGGTCAGGGACGGATGCTAGCCTGGTGTAGAAGACGCTCCACACCACCCAGTAATCTCTTCATTGACATCACTGCACCGACAGACGCGAAACCACAACGCGACAAGTCGCAAACCACCTTCTCCCCCCCCACGCCCGCTATCTAGTCCGCTCTGGCCCTCACCCGCCCTATATCTGGACATTCCGGCTTCGCATCCGAGCCCACGAAATTGCATTCACCATAATTCATGCTACCTCGCGGCGTCGCCGCCTACTTGGTCCTGCTGCCCGCGCCGGCCAGAACGTAGGAGCTCCAACCCGGGTCTCCTTCGATGAGTCGCGATGGCGGCCGCCCAGCTATCCGTGCCTGACCAGATCCGGCAACTCGAAGGCGCCCGCAAGCTCGTTCTGGGCGATGTGAGCTACTACCCGCAGGTGATACAAGCGACGCTTCCCATCATAGGACCGTCGGCCCAGGTTGAGTTCCGACGATGGGGTGCCGATTTCCTCGCCGAAGCCTTTGCGACGCCAGCCATTCCGCTCAGCCAGAAGGAGACGCTGTCTCTAATAGTTTTGGAGACTCTTAAGCTACTGGTAGAGGACGTGAACCAGGACGCCATCGTCTTGCGGAGCGTTATTCAGGCTGCCGCTAGTATATACCCGCTAGCTGTAAGATGGATGTAGGTTCTGCCCTGCTCGGCACCGTAGACTACCCGTAGGCTTCGCTGTGCGCTGTCCCACACCCACGACCGATGCACCTCTACGGCGCTCTCCCGTTTAGACCGCTCATATTACCCCCCTCAGCCGTGATCTGAAGGCCACGCCGCTGACATGAACTCACGCTTAGCACCCACAACTCTTACGACACGTCCACGTGGGAGAGGATGATGGCTATCAAGGCGAGGATACTGCGAATATGGGATACCGCTCCGATTTCGATTCGAATCTGCTGTATTAAATTTGCCCAGCGGGTAGTCCTTGCCCAGACCCCGAGCATAAACCCGGAGCCCAGAGTAAGCTCGCTCCTTGGATTCCGATGTATTCTCCCTCGTCGTTGCGTTGCTAACTCTGCCTACAGCGTGGCGACCCCCTCGATATATCATTAGCCATTATCCCTCCAACGCACCCCGTTCTCGAAGGCTCGAAGCTCGAGGCCGAGGCCTCGGGACTCCTGGATAGAATGCTTAGCATATTGCAAGAGAATAGCAGGTACGCGGCCGTAGACGCAGTCTGGTTGAGCTGTTGTAACTAACACGCCGTTAAACACCTCAGCGACGCTCTACTTGTCGACGCCACGTTGAACACGTTATCGATTCTCGTCCGCGCCAGACCAGCAACTTCGAACAAGATCCTCAACACGATTCTAAACTTTAACCCGCTCAAGCTTGCGAACTCACCAATGACGCCCAAGACGAAGGTCCTTATCAAGTCGATGGAGAAGACTACACGGATGCTGCTGATGCATCTGTGTCGGAGGTGGGACTCCCTACAGCGCGATGGGCCCCTCCCCTTCTTGCTGCTAACTTTGCCGCAGGAATCCACACAATCCCCTAGTCGGCCGCATGCAACAGTATGTTGAACGGCTGGTGCGCTTGCGGGCCGAGATTTTTGACGAAGGGGGTCGGAAGCGAGCCATGGCGGAGCACGCCGATGGGCTTGATGCCAAACGCCAACGAATAGCAACTGTATCCCACCCGCAGATCGAAATATCTCCTCTTAAGCCCGGCCCTCACAGCCTCGCCGAAGTCTTCACGTTCACAAATAACGATGGGCTGAAGCACTTCAACGTCGGCGAGAACATACCGGCTGACCTCGCCGCCAAGATCAGCGTCTTGACCATTTCCCGTCTCAACCCCCAATTATTAGAGCGAGCCATTCAGGTCAGTCCCGTCCCGTCTGTTTCTTTAAACTTCGTCTCACCTGGGCGCAGGGCGTTCGGGACCGTTTGAGGTCCCTTTTCGAGGCTCCGCAGGAGCAGATCAACCCCGAGACGACGCCTCTCGATGTGGAAGAAGACGAGGACGACTACGAACCGGATTACTACGCCGCGGAGGACACAGAACAGATTTTGAACAAGCTTGACTCTTCGCCCGCCGATGAACGGCGCGAGCTGGAGAAACCGACGTTAAGCGGACTCTCGTTACCTACGTTCCGACTCTCCTCCCCTCCCACCCTGACCGCAGAGCAAGCCTCGAGGGTGGGGCAGGGATCTATCGCCCGCGTCTTCGACACGATGAGGACGCTCGAGGATCCCGTCGTCAAGAAACCGAAGGCCGGCATCAATAGGCTCGCGGCCAGCTCGTACGACCGAGACTCGTGGATCACATTGATAACTCGCCTCGGAAGTCGCACGACCAGCGGGCTGGATGATATCTCGGCGAATGGTGAGGACGCAAAAGTAGCGCTGCCAACTGTCCGCCTCAGCGACTCTACCCGCGAGCTGCTTTTCAACTACGTACTCGAAGACTTCCGGAAACGCATCGAGGTGGCCGTGTCGTGGCTGAGCGAGGAATGGTACAACGACAAATTGCAAAAGCGGTCTGTGGCGTCTTCACCCGTTCCCCGCGACCCTCCGATGAACTATGAAAAATGGGCGCTTCGCCTCCTCGACGGTTTTTTCCCGTTCCTCCACGCGCAGGACAAGGTGCTGACGCGGTTCCTGAGCGAGCTGCCCGAACTGAACTCGGCCATGCTCTCACGGGTCAGAGCGCTATGCCGGGATCCGAGTCTGGTGAACTTGGCGTTGACGAGCCTCTACTATCTGATAATGATGCGCCCCCCGGTGCGAGAATTGGCACTCGACACGGTCCAAGACGTGTGGGCGGAGTACGAAGACTCGAGGCCGATGGCTGCTAAGTACCTACAACGGTGGCGACCCGGGTTTCTGGAAGCTGCTCAGCAAGGGATGGTTGGGAGCGAGGCGTCGTCCGGGGCGAACGTGACAGTGGTTACAACGTGATACCCCCTCCCTGTTCGAGCCGCGTTTGTGGGTTGCCCTCACGGGCCGGTCGGTCGGTCGGTCGGTCGGTCGGTCGGTCGGTCGGTTAGTTGGTCATTTTTTCTGCTTTAATTTTATTTAGATTCAGCGGGGCCCCGGCTGGCACCCGGGAGACGGGACTTGCTGGCGGACATCTCGCCCGAAGAACACGAGCATTTCTATATACATATACGCGCGGGGTGGGTGGCGGATAGGATAAGCGGGCCATGCTCGGGATGTAAGAGGATCAAGGGACAGATCTAGGTATGCAGTCTCACCGGGGAACACACACGGCTTCACGGACAAGGCCGTGGTTGGAACTAACGAAACGGACGGTGTGTGATGTGTGCGCGTATAACTCGGCTTGCTTCTTGTTCTCGTTCCCTCTCCTCGCCTAGCCACCTAGCCGGTTGAGCTGGGATAGCGTATGATGATGCCTCGCTCCGTACACATGGAACAGTGATGTGCTAGAAGGTGAAGAGGTTAGTAGGGATGATAAGTTCGAACTCCCCCCTCCCCCCTCCTCTCTTACGCGCATGCCTCTACGTATATAATATGTCGGTTAGGTGAGTGCCTGTAAAGGTCTTGTGCCTAACGGGCGTGGCCCAGAGCGCGGTTAGTATTGCGCAGTCCTCAGTACCAGGTACCCAGAGGCGGGAGGTACTTACGTGTAGGTTAGGTGCCTGGTAATCAGGGGTATCTCAGGCCGGTACGTTGGGAGATGTGGATGTAGGCATCTCAAGTAGGTACCTAAGTTGTGCAATTCATTAAACCCACTTACCCACTTACCCACATATCCCTATATGTGCATCCATTGATCCCACCCTACCTCCTAACATGACCTATCTACCTATCTCTCCCCTACCCTACCGACTAGGTATGCTTTAGTCTCATCCTCGCCGACCTTACGACATCACAATCCACATACGGCCCTACGTACCACGTCAAGCCGAGCGACGTCGACTCACGAACAAAGGATTCCTCCCGAATACCCTACCCTACCCGACTTCATCCCCTTCCTTCGTAAATCCGGATCGCCGCCCCCTGAATCCGGAGAAGAGCGAGACTAGCGCGCAACCGAACGGCGACCACACGAGCAACCGAATATCCGCCTACCACCTCGCAGCTCTCACCGGCATAGGGGTCCCTCGCCATGGCACCTCGCATCGAGGCCCAGGAGATAGACACGTACTGGAACATCTTTACGACCCGGACCAATGGCGGCAAGTACCTGACGGGCGACCAGGCCGCGCCGCTGCTCAAGAACAGTGGTCTGCGCGACGACCAGCTCGAGCGTGTGTGGGATGTGGCCGACGTCGACAATGACGGCAACCTCGACTTCGAAGAGTTCTGCGTCGCCATGCGCATCATCTTCGACTTGGTGAACGGGGTACGTGCGCCACCAACCACTCTATTCTATCCTGTCTTCTAGCTTCGCCTCGCTCTCAAGTAGAGCTTCTCCTTACCTCCTATGCGGCGTTGTGAGCTAACGCAACTGGCGAACTCTATAGGAATACGCCGACGTACCTACGACGCTACCCGACTGGCTCGTCCCCGAATCGAAAGCCCATCTCGTCCAAGCGAACCGAGCCCTGACGGGCAAGCAAGTACAATTCGAGCAAGTAGACGACGACTCGGATACCCCGGGCCTCAAGGATGGCTTCGACTGGTATATGAATCCGCAGGACAAGACCAAGTATGAATCAATATACCAAGAGAACCGAGACATGCGGGGCGAGATATCCTGTTAGTAGCCCCATTTCCCTGCTGTGTTTCTTCCCGACGGCGGACAAGGGATATGGCGAATACGTATTAACTGAGGGCTGGGGAATCGGAAACAGTCAATGCCCTCGAGGAGCTGTACGATTCGCTCGACGTGCCAGACACGGACGTGCGGTCGGCGTGGAACCTGATCAACCCGTCAGCGTCCTCGACCATCAACAAGGACGCCTGCCTCGCGTTCCTGCATATCCTGAACAACCGACATGAGGGGTACCGGATCCCGCGGACAGTGCCGGCCTCGCTACGCTCGTCGTTCGAGCGGAACCAGATCGACTACCAGGTCGACAGCGCGCGCAACGCCCCGGTCGCGTCGCGCTGGGCCGCCAAGGCCGACGACTCAACGGCGAGCGGCCGCAAGGCCAAGTTCGGCGACCAGTACCTGACGCGCCTCGGCCGCGGCGCCTTCAAGGCGACGGGGACGGACTTCAGCAGCGCCCAGTCGGACGAGCAGTGGGAGGAGGTGCGGCTCAAGAAGCAGCTGCAGGAGCTCGAGGACAAGATAGCCAAAGTGGAGTCGGCGGCGGCGGCCCGCAGCGGCGGTGGCGGTGGCGGCAAGCGCGACACGAAGCCGGCGCTGGTCAAGCGCGAGCTCGAGCAGCTCCTCGACTACAAGCGGCGGGAGCAGCGGGAGCTCGAGGAGGGCACGGGACGGTCCAAGGCGGGCGGCGGCCTGCGCGGCGTGGCGGACGACCTGCAGACGGTGCGGGAGCAGGTGGACGGCCTCGCGACGCACCTCGCGGCGCGGACGCAGGTCCTAGAGCAGCTGCGGCGGGAGATCGAGGACGAGAAGGCGGGGAGGTAGAATCGGTAGCTAGGTGGTGGGGGGGAGAAAGAAAGAAAGAGAGAAAGGGAGAGAGAAAGGTGAGATGGAACAGGAGATGCGTGAATAGCAAGGAAGAACTGGGAGAGGACAGGTCCGTCCGGAGGAGCGGGGGGGAGACCCGAGATCTGTCCGATAGGTAGATAAGATGGCAAAGGGGAGGGGAAGGGAGGGACGAGCACCACCAGTTCGAAGGCATGGCCTGTTTGTCCGGCTGGTCTACGTGCCCGTCGGATTTGTACCGGGTGCGCCGACGGCGAGAGACGCGTCTTCCCCTTACTTAACCAGGCGACGCCGCACACGGTCGAAGCCGAGAAGCGGGATACGCGTAGGGCAGGTTCGCCGAGACGGTGCTGCTCAGAGAGAATCTAAGGCGCAGACGGGACGGAGTAGTAATAAATTGGTTGATCTTGGATACCTGCGCAGCAGCAGCAGCAGCAGCGGGGCGAAAGCGGACAGGGAGGAGATTCAGGGCCGTGATTCTTACGCATGGTAGACGACGACTCGGAAGCGCACGCCAGGGACGCAAAACATCGTGGCTGTTCGCATGGCTCTGGTGTACTCGATCGCAGTGCTACCTAGTATTAATCCATCCTCCTCCTCGCGCAGCGGGCAGCAGCACCGTGGGAGTATTGTGTCTTCCGGCTCCTCCCCGTCTGACTAGGTCTATTGCCGCTTTTCTTCTTCTTATCCGTCGTCCCATACCATACCGTATCATACATACATACACGCGTGCGTACGATACATTGTCATACAACGTGCTTCGTCAACTTGTCGGAAGTAGAGAAACGGAAGAAGAGGAAGAGACACTAATCAAGAAAATATAAAAATATAAAAAAAGAGGTCGAGGTAGAGAGAGGTGGGTATCTAGGGGTCCTCTTCTCCTTCTCGCTCCCCGCCCCGTTTTCCTCCTCCATTACGTCCGGCTCGGCTTAACCCTCCTTCGTCCCCCCCCACGCGCGCCGCCGCGGCTGCGCTCGTCTTCATCACCGTCGTCGCTCGTCTTGCGTCTTTTGAGCCGCCGAATCTAGTCGGTATATTACTACTCCTCCTCCTCCCCCCACTCTAGTCTCGACGCATATTCGACGTACCCCCGGCTGAGATCTCTCTAGAAGGCGCTCCCGTCGACGAAGCCGGCCAGGCGCTGGGTGCCGAGGGTCTTGCCCTTGATCAGGTAGACAAAGACGGAGAAGACCTTGACGGAGCCGAGGCGGCCGGCGCCGCGCTCCGGGCCCGTCGCCACCATCATCACGTCTATGGGCAGGGTCTTGACGGGCACCGGCGGCTTGCCGCGCAGCGCCAGGTCGATGTTCTTGGCCACGCCGGCCGCCTGCTTGTCCGTGAGCACGAAGCTGCCGCGCGGCTTCCACACGACGTCGCCGGCCGCCCACACGTCGCCGGCGCCCGCCGCCTTGGCCCGGAACGCCTCGTCCACGTCGACGAACCCGCGCTCCGTCAGCAGCGCCGGCGGCACGTACTCTGTGTTCGGCGCCATGCCCATCGTCGGCAGGTACAGGTCCGTGGCGAGGGCGTCGCCGCCGGCCAGCGACACCTCGGTGCGGCCGTCCTCGAGCGCGCGCGACCCGGTGACGCGCGAGGAGGGCCGCGTCTCGACGCCGAGCTTGGCGAGCTCAGCGGCGACGCTGGACGCGAGCGAGTCGCCGCCGAGGACGCCGGGGTCGCCCGAGAGCAGGACGATCTCCTTGCGGTCCTCGGGCTTGGCCTTGCTGGCCTTGCCGTAGGCGTAGGCGAGCTCGGCGGCGACCTCGCAGCCGGTGGTGCCGGCGCCGGCGACGACGATGTGCTTGGCGGCGCGGACGCGCTCCTGGAGGCCGGCGACGACGGCGAGGACCTCGGCGCCGGACCCGGCCGCCTTCCACGGCATCGCGGCGTCGACGCTGCGGGTGCCGGTGGCGAGGACGAGGTGGTCGTAGGCGATGGCGCGCTCGCCCGCCGCCGCCTTGCCCTCGGCGGCCGCGACGGAGACGCGCACCGTCTTGCCCTCGAGGTCGATGCCCTCGGCGGTGCCGACGACGAACTCGAAGGAGTCCGGCCCGTACTTGGCGAAGCCCGGCTCGATGGGGATCGAGTACTGCTCCTCTTTGAGGGCGCCGGGCACGATGGCGCGCACCGAGGCCATGTTCCAGTAGAAGTGGCTGTTCTGCGGCGAGGGGGTCAGCATCATGTGTTTTTTTTTGGGTTTGTCTGTCGGGGTGGTTGTCTGTCGGGGTTGGGAATGTGGTGGTGGCCTGCCGCCCCTTTACCCACCCACACGCAACCCGTGTCTTACACGCACCCGCTCGGCTTCGTCTTTCGCGAGCACCCCCGAGCCACACAACCTCACCCTTTGCCCACCCTCACCTCGCCTGCAGTCCTCCTGGGTAATAATAGGCGATGTTTTTTTTTTGTTTTGTTTTTTGAGGGGGGGGGGGGGGGGGGGGGGAAGAAATGACAGAAAAAAAACATACCTTAGAGACAAGGATGACCTTGAGGTCCTTGACGTGGGGCTTCGTCTGCTTGAGGAGCCGGTGGGCGAGCGAAACGCCGGCGTAGGCGCCGCCCAGGATGACGACGGTCTTTGCCATGGCAGCTGGCGGGATCTGGGACGAGGTCGTCGGGGCTATTCAGGCGATCGAGCGACAAAGGGAAGCGCTACGCTTCGACAACCAGGCGGTTCGGGACAGGTAGCAGGAGGAGCTCTTGCTACTGGGGGCGGCACAGGGAGGGAGGTAGATGATGGGAGCGCGCCAGCTTCTTCTTTTTTCCCCTTCGCCTTTTTTTATCCTGGAACTGCGGCTGCAGCGGTCGAGACGAGGGTGTCGTGGCCTTTTATTTTCTGGCTTTTTAATTTTCTCGGTCAGAGTGCGTCAGGAAGTCCGGACGGCTGTTTTGCAGGCGGGTGAGGACTTATATAGGTGCGAGAGCAAAGGTCGTCCGGTACTACGACAGGAACGTGCGGACCCTTTTTTTTAATAAAAAAAAAAACACCCAAAGCGGGTATTCGATACTAGAATAAAACTTCATCACCGTCCATATAACAAAACGCCCCACCCCCTTAAAAAAACACACCTCCAGTATTAGGTACGTAGGTAGGTAGGTACCTTAGGTACCTAGTTAAAGGTTCCCTTCGTTTTTTCCCTTTCTCTTCGTTTCTGTTCTCCTCCTCCCCTTGCGCCTCCTACGGAGACCCCACTGGGGCCGGTGGTGGAAGAAGGGGGGCCTGGTCTCAGCACCTGGCGCCGGACTTTGCGAGGTACCCGATGCCACCTGAGGCAGAGGGTACCTACCGCAGGCGATGGCAGCAGATCCAGTACCTCCGAGCTTGATAGAGGTGTGTACCCGACCCAACCTCCACCCCGCCGATCAGGTAGCAGGTTATTAGCAGCCAGGAGGTGTGCAGATAGCAGGGGTGTCCGTCGTTTGCCCTCCTTTATCCCACTATGAGGCACACCTTAGGTACCTACCTAGAGCCTACAGGTATGTGCCTTGGCCTGTCGTCCCTGCGAAGGGGCGGTACCTCGTAGTGGGCATCTTAGCTACCTAATCTACCTGCAGGTAGGTACTCCATAATGGCTGGTGTGTGCATTGGCATAACATAATTCAGGTACCCACTTCTGGGACGTACCTAATTTCAACATACCTACATCTATCACCACCATCACCACCATCATCACCACCTCCTCCTAGAGGTGTGATACCTACCTACCTACATACGTGCCTCCTACTTCGAGTCCGCATGCCGTATTATACCCTTCCCCCTCCCCTCCCTCCCTTGTTCAGCGCCGGGAATAGGTTAGCTATCTCAGGTTGCGAGAGGTGTGTAGCACAGGTGGCTTGAGAAGAAATAACGGAAATACCTACTTTGGAGATACCTCACGTGAGAAAGCAGGGGAGGGGTGAGTGAAGAGGTCACGTATGCACTTATCACCTAGAGTCTTCGTTCATCATCTTCTTCTTCTTCTTCTCTCGCGAGGCTTAGCAATTCCCGGCGGGATGATTATGAGAGCCGGCTCGCACGCTTACACAGCACAAAGGCATACCTAACCTACTAGTAGGTACCTACGATCTCTACCCATGGCCAGCGGATGGAGTGTGGACCAACCCCATGGCCAAGCTCACGATGCATGGCACGTCCGCCAGGCACGGGGAACAAGTGCTACCAGGTACTACAATCGCTACCGGGGTAGAGCATAGCGCGTTGCCGGGGCTGTGGGTGGGTTGTGGGCTTGGCTGCTACCGGAGAAGTTTAGTTGTCGTAAGGGTCGGCTCAATCGTTGTCTTTGGTCTCCGCGAGCTATGCGTCTCAGTCCGCCGTCCGGCCGCCGTCCGAGCGGATGGCCAGGTTCCATCTAGTAACCTGCGTCCACGTTGACCCTTATCACCACTGAGGCCGCGCATCCCTGCTCCGCGTATCCTGTCTAAGGGAGATCATCTTTAAACAGCTTCCGGGTCTACCGCCTGTGACACCGGTATGCATCTAGTGTCGGCGTTAGTCAGATGAATAATCTGAGAGCCGAGATGACTAATTGTCCGTGACAGGTGACAAAAGACCACGAGCGAGCCAGCGAGTTCTGACAAGTAATATCTGCCTCCTACTACCGAATTCCGCTTATATTATTACACTTGCCCCCAGACAGACCTTCATACCTTGTGGTAAACCGAGCAACGAGGACAGACCTCCTAGGTGGTACCTGTTTCGCAGTATGCAGGTAGGTACATACCTACCAGAATCCTAACCTCCGTGGTATCGACGCATACGTAATCCCTGCCCTTCACATTCCCGCGCCTCGTTCGGATGCAGCTGAACCCGTCACATCGGAACCCGTAGCGGCCTCGCTGGCCATCTGTGGGCAAGAAGTTAGAGCCGGCGGTGCGAGAGGGGTGATGGCTAGCCAGCGCAGAGACAGAGATCGAGGGCGTCAGTAGAGATCTCGAGGGAACGAGGAAGAGGTCGAGTGTCCCTAGACACCGCTCGGTCCCGAAGACGAGGCGCCTTTTTATTTGATTTGAGGTTTTTTTTTTCCCCATCACAACAAAAACCTGATAGATCGTTTTGTTTCTCTGTTGGCATCGAGACCGAGACCCGGATAAGACAAGAAGACGAGGGCAAGGCAAGTATTGATTGGGTCAGTCTGCCCCTTTTCGACGATACCATTGGACAGCCTTATAAGGTCGTCGCCAAGGTCCATCCTAAGATAGGAGAAGCGTGTACCCTTCCTCTCGCGCTTACAGGGTCTTTTTGTCTTCGTGCACGAGGCTTGCACCGTGGAGATGCCAACATACTTAGGTACCTACCTACCTATCTGGTACGTGGTATCGCGGTATAACTACCTCACAGGAGGCAGGTGGTCCTTAGAGAGGGGAGAATAAGAAGCTGAATCACTGCTCATTAACCTTCACGGCAGCCCCCCCCCCCCCCCCGTCAGCACGAGGTAGACACGCGGCTAAGGGCACACGCATGATGCGCCATGCTGGCTACGCAGACTTCTCGCAAATAGCGAGGTAGAGTAAATATACCTACATAAGATGAAGCGCTGCTGCCGCTAGCTCCCGCTCGCTCGATCCAGATGTGGCCAAATCTCGTGAAGAGGTATGTGCCCAGCAGCAGCACCGGTGGAAGAGCCGACGCCGACGCCGGAACTCGGATCGATTCCTACCGGCTCCTTACGTACCTGGTTCTGGGCGCGGCCTCCGTCCTCTGGTACATTAGGTAAGGGTGCGCCTATCTACCGTTTCGATGGGTGTGGTTTCGACGGGTTTCCTGTTTCCAACCTGGAGACGCTCACCGCCACCTCGATCCGGCCAGCTACCTCTCTACCTATGACGGATGGGGAGCCTGGGTGAGACCATGATGTAGGTAGAGGTGCCCGTGCCACTCCACGTAGGCACCTAGGTACCTACCTCCAATGCAACGTGCTGAGTAGGGGTTTGTACGCATGTACGCACGTATGTAGTACTCGGGGTTACTGGCTTGGTGTGTGGTCCCCGTCGGATCTCTCTAACCAATCAATCTGCTATAGCGCGGTGCCTCGCCAGCACAGGGGACAACAACACTCACACGTTCACAATCACTCGTACACTCACACAGCATAACTGACCGAGACACATCGGACGTCGTGGATGACAATAAACGCTCACATGGACGAAACCGAGAACATCCTGCCCGGGTTGGGATCGAGGGAGAAGGGAGAAGAGGGAGGGGAAAGGAGGCGGGGGCCATGTCGTAGAGAAACCCCGCCAAAATCCATACCTGTATTCTCAACAACAATAACACCTTCTTGCGCACCCACCGCACTAACACACACCCCTCTATAGACATACCTGCGCACGGATATACGCACTCGCGTCCTTTTCCCGACGTAGGCAGGTACTTAAGCACACTAACTCCGTAGTAAGCACACGTTGTATCCACTGGAACACGACTTATTAAGTGCATACACCTACTCACTACCTCTAGTGGGCGAGGTCGGATACTGTAGTAAGTCGAGCTCTACTATCTAATCTGCCTACCCACCTACTTTCTCTCTCCCCTCACTCTCCCTCCCTCCCTCACACACATTCATATATAGACCCCTCTCCCTCTCCACCGAGTCTACCTAGACAGTAGCTATCCTGCCCTTACTAGAACGACGACGACTACGACCGACGCGCGAAAGGAACGAGAGCGAAAAGAGCAGCACTGCCCCCTTTTTTTCTTTCCCGGTTTCAAACCAAAGCACCAACCAGCCACTCCAGCCACCATGGTCGATCTCAGCCCCGCATTCGTCAAGGCCCAGGAGGACTCTAAGAAGCTCACCTCCAAGCCGACCAACGACGAGCTTCTCGATCTATACGGTGCGTCGCTACCCCTCTCCCTCCTCCTCTTTCTTCTGCCGGTTGCGCAAATGGGTCTCGAGTAGATAGAGTCGCCGACAGACATTATTACACCTGCCCGGCTACCCACCTACCTATGCATACCGCCGGGCTCTGAGACGCTAACTGGCTCGGCTGCAGCTCTCTTCAAGGTCGGCAACGGCGAGGACTTCAGCAAGGCCGAGAAGCCGGGCTTGTTCGACCTCAAGGTACGTCTACCTACACGATAGGCATGCACACATTCCACACACACACATACACACACATATATAGACATATATGAGTATCCTTTCCGCTCTCGCTTCCCCCTCTCCTTCTCCCCACCCCCTCACTCGCTAACCTGGGCGCACGGGCAGGGCAAATACAAGTACCAGGCGTGGCAGAAGCTCGTCGACGAAGGCTTGAGCGCCGAGGCCGCACAGGAGCGCTACGTCAAGAAGGTGGAGGAGCTCAAGGAAAAGTACGGCTTCGACGCCAACAAGCAGCCCGAGGCCGTCGGCGGCTCCTCGTAGGTTGGCCTGGCGCGGCAGAGGGAGAAGGAGGAGAAGGAGAAGAAAGAGGAGGTGGATGTCTACTGGGACGATCGGGGGGGACAGTACGGGAGGCGGGGAAATGCTCGCCACGCGATCGTGCGGCACGGTCCCGTACGGCGCACCTCGCGCCTTGAGAGGCGCCGGGTTTGTGGTGGGGAGCAGAGGGTAGCTGTGTGATTGCTGTGAGGCGGCGGGACAGCGACAGACGAAAGACGGCGCAATTACCGCGGCGATGCTATAGCTACGCTACCTAGCTAGAGGCGCAAACCCCTTTTTTTACAAGCAATCCGTCGTAGACACACGTGCCGCCCCATGCCACGAAATACTTTCCCTCTTCTGCGATCTGTTCGTAGACCGACGCAGACGGGTACCTAACTAAATACAGCACGAGAATGGGATGGATTATGCCTCGCATAGGACGCGGGTAGTAAAGTAGGAATACATGGGGGGAGAGTGATTGACATAAATCTGTCTCGCAGAACCCGAGCCGCTTTCGGCGCCCGGTTTCCAATGCGGTCGTGACCAGGGCCTTCTTTAGCGCCGTTCTATATCAGCTATAAACCTTATCCTCGACCCATCCCTTCTTGTAACGTCATACCCTCTACTGTCCAGGATACGCTTGAGATTAGGCGGTTTCTTCTCTTTGGGTTTCTCAGCCCCGTCGCCTTTGGGCGGGGGAACCCACTTATTCCCGAGCCAGTCCAGCTGGTCGTGCTTCGTCGACGCGACCCAGGGCGTGTCGTCGGCGTCGTAGGGCATGAGGGGCAGGCCGTAGGGGATGCGGAGGCCGACGAGGGGCGGGCCCTGGCCGCGGACCGCGGGGACGGGCGTGTCGGTCCGGTACACCGGCACCATCCGGGCGCCGGCCGCGTACAGGGCCGGCCACACCAGCACGCCCGCCTCCCACGAGCCGATGGCCACGGTCCCGTCGCCCGCCCGCGGCGCCTCGCCCCACGACTTGGCCGACACCGACGCCGACGTGAGCAGCGCCCAGTCCGCCGCGCCCCCGCCCGCCTGGTACCGCACGTACATGTTGATGTGCGGCGTGGCGCCGCTGCGGCCCGCGAGGCCCATGTCTTCCTGGCCCTCGACTGGTCGTCGGCGCAAGTTAGCGAAGGAGGGAGGGAGAGGGAGAGAGAGAGAGAGAGAGAGAGAGAGAGAGAGAGAGGGAGGGGGAGGGGGAGGGGGAGGGGTAGATGCTGACATTTCATGGGGTCCTCGCCGGTGATGTTCCAGCGTCTGCCGGACCAGCGGTGGAGCATGGGCCGCAGGAGCTTGAACCGGCCGGCGTGGGCCTTGGGCTTGATCTTGATGCGGAGGTCCTTGCCGGAGGCGTAGCCGTCGACGGAGCGCCGGATCTCGTCGGGGGTGGGGAAGACGACCTGCAACTTGGGCGGGTTGGGGTTGGGCTTTTCGGACGGCCCGCGCCCCGACGCCGTCAGCGCCGGGCCCAGCGCGCAGCCCAGCCACTCCTCCGCGTCGCCCAGGCTGCCCACCGACGAGGTCTGCATCACGACCTGGCCGCCCTCCGGGCCCGGGACCGCCTCGAGAGCCTGGCGCAGGCCGGGCCACCCCCACTGGGTCTGACTTGGGTCGCGGGGGACGTCGCGGGGGACGTGGCGGCCGGGCACGCTGCCGATGAAGGCGCCGCGCACGGCGGAGAAGTCGTGCTGTGCTAGCCGGTGAATGATGTGTCTACAATCGCCCCGGTTGTCGTCGTACGAGCGGAGGTAGTTCAGCAGGTCGTGCTTGAACCTGGCGCCGCGGCCGATCTGCAGGTCCTCGGCGGTGGGCGCGGGCGCGTTGTGCGGGAGCAGGGGCAGCGGCGGCGACAGCCAGACCCCGTTCGTGTGGCGGTCCCAGTCGTGCCGCGTCATCTGGGCCGTGTGGACGACGACCTGGGCCGTGAGGTCGCGCCGGAAGAGCACCAGCATCTTGGTGTGGTGCGTGCCCGTCATGGCTTTCGAGTACACGTCGTGGATCACGACGTTGCTGTAGCTCTCTTTTTGCTCCTGCGTCAAGTGTTAGTGTTGAGGACATGACGCGGCGATCCCGGCGGGGGTGTGTCGGGAGAGGTCGTATTAGAACATATTTGTGTGTATGTGTGTGTGTGACTACAAAATGCGTATAGCCGAGCGGAGACGTAGTGAATACCCCCCCCCCCACGGGAAGGAGAACAACAGTTTAGGCGAGGGCACGGGGTGCATTACCAGTAGGGCGTGTTTTTCGGGGAGGTTAGTACTGAGGCCTTGGATGATGTGAACCGTAGTGGGGAAACCCGGGCCCTTGTGGAACTGGCTCATGAACCAGGGGATGTCGTGGGTGTCGTTGATGCTCCAGCACTCGGAGATGAGCGGGTCGCCGAGGACGTCGCGGACGGACACGGTTTCGACGTTGGTGTTGTTCGGGAGGGCCGCCACCGTGGTGAGGCGGAAGGGAGACGGAGTCATCATGCCCTTGCGCGCGCGCGGTTTCACCTGTCCCACCCGCCGCTCGCCGAAGGGGTTCTTAGTGATGAGGGATGCCGGGCGGCTCGCGCTGGTGCTGATCCAGCGGTGGCGCGACGACGGAGGCGAGGCCGGCACTGTTCGGGGGCGAGTCTGACCCGAGGCGTGCCATCCCGGGGTAAGCGGAGGGTGCGAGGACGGGACCGGTGCCGGCGCGAGGCCAGCCCCGGGGTTGACGCGGGTGGTTAGCCCGCGCCCCTTAACGGCGGGCGGTCGCCGTGGTGGTGATGGCGATGGTGTGTGGCGCAAGACGGATCGCCACGGCCACCCGCCCTGTTGGATTGCGCGCATAGGAGACGACAATGGGTAAGGCAGGGGGAGGTGGACAGATCGGGGCGAGCTACGGTTTGCGCATGCGACAAGAATATTCCTATCCTTTTTTTTTCTCTCTCTCTTTCTGTTGCCAGCTCCGTCGCAGCTGGGCCGGCCCGGCGTGGGCGTGGTCTTCTGGCCGACTTTATATGGGGCCCTCAGCACGACTTACCTCCACTTTAGGGGTGGCAGATTTACTCTGTAAATGCACCTGTGACTTGTCCGGTACCTAATGCAAGTAAACTGGGGGATTAGGTACCCCCTTAGCCGCCTCCTAACGCTCTAACAATTGGACCGCGTTTCTGATATTCGCTGGCATACCTATGCATAGTTATGTATATAGGTATGCCTAATGCGCCTGAGCACGAACGGGTCTACGGCTTACTGAGGTCACGTATTTATTGTACCAGGTGTAAAAGTATTACACCTTAATACCTGTATATGTGATTGTAGGTACCTACCAGATACTTACCCACAGGCAGTAAGCACGTAAATATGTGAAGATGATTGGAAGTTGCCGCGTTACCTGCAGGCTGCACTACCACTTACCTAGGTACCTGGTAAGTACCTACACCTATTCAACGCAACTCAAGCACTCTGAAGGTAATGCATAGGTACCTACCTAGGTAGAGGTACGTAAGAGGTACCTCTCTTAATTGCATCCATTACCTAAGTACCCAAACCCGGCTACATCCGTCCCATCCCTTCTCTGCACTCTACACGTCTCTGCACCTCTCCATTTCTAAATTGCATACACATTTACGCATCTCGACACCCGCACGTACACAGGCGCCCGAACCCACGCACACACACCTTTCTCACTACTATCACATTCTCGAGCCTCGTTGAATTCTCAGATTGCTGTCTTTTCCTTCTCTTCTCATATCTTCTTCGCCGCTTCGTCTTTTGCTCCTGGCCGACGCTCTCTTCATCTGTCTGTCTGTCCGCAGACCCAAACCAATCCTGTTCCTTTTTCCTCCTTGTCCTCCCAGTCCCTAATTTTTGTCCCCTTTCCTCCCATTGAGCCACCGTGACCTCGATGCCCTACACCAGGAGGTGACACGACTCCGTTTCCCTTTATCTCCGGCAGACCAGTTAGAAAGACAAAAAAAAAATACACACACCCAGACCATCATCCACCTCTCCCCTTCTCTCCCTCTCTGCCTCAGTATTTGCTCGCGCTTGGGCCTGCCTAGACCTTTGCGAGCCGCGCGTTTGGCCAAGCCCACTCCAGTCGGGAGGATCAATTCTCCATCCGTCTGGCGATCTGACCTGATCTGCGTCGACTTGCTCGTCGTCCTCCTCCGCCGCTGGCCTGGCCGTCCACCGCCGCGCTCGTTCCCCTTGTGCGACGGCAAACTGCCCACCATCAGCCATGAGGCTTGCCTCGATCGCGCTGTTCCTCAGCGCTGCCGCCCTCGGCACTGCGCAATCCATTGGTGCAGAGACGAGTGACGATCCCGACCACGAAAATACCTACTTCGATGGCAAGCGAGTCCCTCCATTATTGGAGGTGACCGCTGATAACTTTGCTAAGGAGACCAAGGCGTCGAAATTCCTCGTCATCAAGTATTTTAAGTGAGTGAATGTTGTCTCTTTTTTTTGGTTCTATCCGTACTACGCACCGGCACCCCCCCCTCGTTGGCTGCCCCGTATTGGCAGCAAGAGGCAGGCAGCATGCTCACCCTCCTCCCAGTCCGACCTGTCCCCATTGTATAGAATATGCGCCGACCTACCAGACCTTGTATGAATATTACTATACCTCCAAAGCGCCGTCAGACGCGAAATCTGACTCGCCTGCGACCTCCTCCTCCTCCGCCGGCTCCGCCTTCGAGAAGTACTACGACATCAGGTTTGGCCAGGTGAACTGCCTGGCTTATGGTGACCTCTGTTCCAAGGAAGAAATCTTATCCTATCCTCAGACCTCCCTCTACAAGAATGGCGAGCTTGTCGATATGGTCAGGGGCGGGAAGAATATATCCATGGCCTCCAAGCTGATCGAGGGAGCGCTCGAGAAGGAATACCCTGGCACTCGACCCACGGAGCTCCTGCTACCCGAACCCGGTGCGACGGGCCTCCCACCCCCGGCCAAACCCGAAGAAGAAGTCGCCGTAGAAAAGGTAGAAAAGACAGAAAAGCCAGCCGAGAAGCCGCTCAAGGCGGAGAGCACCACCAAGCTATCTAAGACGTCCAAGAACGCCAACGAGCAGGGGATTTCCGTCTCCCTCACGGCCGAGAGCTTCCAGACCCTAGTCACCATGACCCAGGAGCCGTGGTTCATCAAGTTCTACGCTCCCTGGTGCCACCATTGCCAGGCCATGGCTTCTAACTGGCAGCAGCTGGCCAAGGAGATGAAGGGCAAGCTCAACATCGGCGAAGTGAACTGCGACGCCGAATCAAGGCTGTGCAAGGACGTTCACCTCAGAGGCTTCCCGACTGTCCTTTTCTTCCGAGGAGGCGAGCGCGTCGAGTACAATGGCTTGCGCGGCCTCGGTGACTTCATCCAGTATGCCGAGAAGGCTTTGGACATTTGCGGCGGTGTCCAGGACGTTGACGCCGCCTCACTTAAGGCCCTCGAGGAGAAGGAAGACGTCGTCTTTGTCTATTTCTACGACCATGCGACCACCGAAGAAGATTTCATGGCCCTCGAGAGGTTGCCCCTGAGTCTCATCGGACACGCCAAGTTGGTTAAGACGAAAGACCCCCAGCTGTACGAGAGGTTCAAGATCACGACCTGGCCGAGGCTGCTGGTGTCGCGGGAGGGCCGGCCTACGTACTACACGCCACTGACCCCGAGGGAAATGCGCGATACCCACATGGTCCTGACCTGGATGAAGTCTGTCTGGCTGCCTATCGTCCCGGAGCTCACCGCTTCGAATGCTCGCGAAATCATGGATGGCAAGATCGTCGTCCTTGGAATTCTTAACAGGGAAGACCAGGAGTCGTTCTTGAGCGCCAAGCGTGAGATGAAGCGCGCCGCAAACGAGTGGATGGACAAGCAGATCCAACTGTTCCAGCTCGAGAGGCAGAACCTCCGCGACGCGAAGCAGCTGCGTCTCGAGGAGGCCGAGGATCGCAACGACCAGCGAGCCTTGCGCGCCGCCAAGAGCATCCGGATCAACATGAACATGTCTGACCGCAAGGAGGTCGCCTTTGCCTGGGTCGACGGCGTCTTCTGGCAGAGATGGATACGCACTACCTACGGCATCGACACCAAGGACGGCGAGCGGGTCATAATCAACGACGAAGATGTGAGTTGAGGAAGAAGAGCGTCTTTCGGCTGATCTCTCCTCCCGCCCCTTCTCCGACTTTGCTATCTAACTAACCCTCCTCTCTAGAACCGACGGTATTGGGACATGACGATTACGGGAAGCCCCATCGTGCCCTCGCGAGTGTCGATCCTCGAGACCATCTCCAAAGTCACGGCCTCCCCTCCCCTCATAAAACCCAAGCTCACCATCTCGAGTTTCGAGAAGGTATTCTTCGACATCCGCGTCACCTTCTCCGACCACCCTTACCTCTCTTTTGGTTGCGTAGCAGGGATTGGTCTGGGCCTCGTATCTTTATTCCGCGGACGGCTGCGCAGAAGCCGCGGCAGCTTCCGCCTAGACGAAAACCTCCCCATCAGGGAGCTGAAGGACGGTCTCCTCGGAAACACCGCCAACGGAAAGAAGGACTAAGCAAAAAAAGACATAAGTATCTGCAAGCGAGAAACTGCGTGCGCGCGTACGCGTGGAGAGGGCGATTAGCAGCATCCGCATTGAGAAAGTTTATGGGGTCGTTACTGGAGTTTTACACGTCCCAAGGGGAGTTCTGTATAATACTCTCTTGTCCTCTGCGTTAGCTGGCTGGCACATGCGTGTTTGCTGTTGTCCATACCATTGCCTATCGTCGTCTGGGTGTGGGAGTAGGGATATTTTTTTAATTGTTTTTTTTTCTCACACTCTAGAGACCTGGTCTTGGCTTACGAGACGTTTTTATATCGGTACAGAGAAAGAGAGAGAGAGAGTTACGGCGCGGCACGAATGTAATTTTTGAAACTTTGGGAACTACGGAGCGACGACGGAAGGGGAAGCGGGGGGCGACGGCGACGAGGAAAGAGAAAGGGAAAGGGGCCTGAGCTGGATGTAGCGGAAGAGCAGGTGAAATGGGAGAGAAGAGAGGAAGAAGAAGAGAAGAAAAGAGAGAGGAGAGAGGTCAGTTCTGCCAAACTGGACAGACCTAACATTCCCCCTGTCTTTTTTACTTCTCCCTCTCCCTCTATAGCTCGCTCTATCCCCTGGCGTGTACGGCCGGGACAGACAGGACTGAGAGAGGGACACGCACATACCATACACATACACATATACACGAATGCATCGCGACATAATAAACATATCCTCCCCCCCCCCCTTTGTCACTGCTCCTGCGTGCTCGTCCCGTCGTCTCCTCCCTACCACGCTCTACCACGTCTTCCCCCGGAGAGAAGAGTCGAGACGGACAGAAGAAGACCGCCTTACCGGGTTACTGGCTTCCACTTGCTCAGGTAGGTAGGTAACCTCAAGCACGTGCTTTGCCGTGTTTGGGGTATCACTCGTCGCTCGCCTCGCTTACGTGCGCATTGATAATGTATATAGCGAGCCAGAGAGGGAGGGAGAGTGGGAGGAATGCAGCCGAAGCGAGCCAGAGGAAACGCACGCGCGCAACTCGGTTACCTGGTGCTGGGGTATCATCGAACGCCCCGCCGTCTCTCTCTCTCTCCCTCTCTCTCTCTCGTCTACGCACAGGTCGGACCCGAGCAGCGTCTGGTCCCGGCTATCCCCCTTGGCGGCCCTGCCCCCGCCTCCGCTCCCCGACGTACGCACATGTCGGTCCGGCCGCGTCTGCGCGGCGATGCGGCCTTCCCCGGCCCGGACCTGCGCTGCTTACTTACTGCTGCTTTGATTCTGGCGCTTCTGCCCGAGTCTGGGCCGGCTCGAAATGAATACACCAGCCCGCTATCTCCCGTCTCCCGCCGGCCTGTTTGCTGTTCCCGGATTCGTGGTAGTCAAATGCGCAGCTACTCTAGACGCACTCGGCCTATAAAACCCTGTTTAATAATTCGATTCTGCACTTGATTTCTACTGCTTTACCTAATGATTACCTACGTTGGTCGGTTCCAAGTAACTAGGCCGACCAGGTACTCACACCAAGTCACATAGATAGTACACATCTCCGTAGCGGCGGCGGCGGCAGTGTTTATTACCTACCTACATGCGCCGCCCCCCTTCCCCCCGCGACCCCCCCGGCTCACGTGTATATCTCGTCGGTGAACGCGTTGAGGCTGAGGCCCGCCTTGGCGATGTCGTCGACCTCGATGAGGAAGTCGAGCGGCATCTCGACGAGTGTGCCGCGCACGCGGCTCAGCCAGTCCTTGACCTCGGCGACGCCGCCGGGGAACTCTGCGCGCACGACGTGCCCGTACGCGACCTTGTCGCCGCGGTCGGCCTCGGCCTCGGCCTCCTCCTTCTTCTTCTTCTTCCTGTCCCCCTCCTCCTCCTCCGAACCCGGGATCGTAAAGTGCCGCGTGAAGAAGTCCTGGTACTGCTCCCACGTGCGCGCCTGGTCGTTGGGCACCGGGTGGAACACCTTGCTGAACACCTCCGTGTTCGTCCGCGCCGTCTCCTCCCACAGCCGCCGGAAGTCCGCGCTCAGCGGGTCCTCGACCAGCCGGTCCGACCGCGACCCCCAGTCGTACTGCTGCGGGTCGCAGTCCACCGGCGTCCAGTTCGCGTTCGGCCGGTCCCACCGCTCGTCCGGCACGAGCCCGAGGTGCTTGCGGTAGAGCTGCCGGCGCAGCGACGTCGCGAACCGCGACGCCGTGTACGGCCGCCCGTCCATGTAGCTCTCCACCGGCTCGCCGTCCTCGATCACGACCGCGATCTCCGAGTCGTGCGTCCCCAGCTGGCTGCGGTCGTTGAGGTTGGCCGACCCGCAGATCACCAGCCGGTCGTCCGCGATCAGCACCTTGCTGTGGATGTAGAGCTCCTCCGACACGAACGCGTCCAGCTCCGCCTCCTCGCTCCCGTCCCACGGCACGTCGCGGATGTCCTGTCCCCCTTCCATGTAGCAGCTCGACACTGTGTCCCAGGTGCTGTTGTCGAGGTGAGACGCTGCGGCCTGGTAGCGGTCGTAGCTGTCGCGCTTGTGGTCATCGCCGCCGTATTCTCGGCCTGTGTCGCGACGGCTGTAAGGATAGCCGCCGATACTCTCATCGTACTCGCGACGTGCGTTCTCGTAGGAAACGCCGCTCTCGCGCTCGGCCCGACGTAGGGTCGAGGATATGTTGATGCGGTCGTAGTTACGCAGGTTGTAGAAGCCGATGTAGCGACGCCAATCGTGGACGCCCCGCCTCTGCAGCGACCCGATAATGCTGTTGCTGCCGCGGTTGATGCTGTTGTACTGGAATTCCATGATGGCGCGGGTCCCGAGGGAGCCGTCGGCTTGCAGGTCTCCAGCGAACGCGGGAACCTTTGGGCAGAAACAGACACGAGATGTCAGATTAGTTGTTTTCTCTTAAATATAATTATCTGACGACATCTTGATTTGCAAAGGTAGCTCGTGCGGTAGACTTACAGCCGGCATCAGGACGATGATTTGGAAATTCTCCCCGTTATTATGGGCGCGGACGATGCGCGATACGATGCTAGCGCCGATTTTGTTGTATACGGGACGCTGCTCTTCGGAAGTTGCGGTGATGAAGAACTGAGAGCTGTTAGAGAATTTGGTGAGTGTGTCGATGATTTTCCAAAGATCCTACCTGGTTTTCGATGTAGACGAAATGCTTCGCGTTTTCGATGGCATTGACATACGCGTTGAAGATGGAACGCTCCGGGGGGTGGCCGCCAGACCATTCGCAGCAGCTCGGGGGTAATCAGCACTTATACGTAGACAAGTCGGGTTGGTGTCAAGTGAACGTACCTCCTGCATAGCTGGATCTTGAGGTTGCTGGAACTGCCGTGGCTTCCACGACGTTGGTGGCCTCGGCGATGTTCATCATCCTCTTCGCCTATAAAGTGTCTGATTCCTCGACTGAAGTCATCTAGAAAGTGATGCTGTCTTTCTCCTCCCTCTTCTCCTCCCCGTGATTCCTGGCTGGAACCACCGAGCTCTATTCTTTGATACTTGCCTTGGTCCCTCTTGCTATACTTCTCGTCGAAGATGAAATTCCTTGCACTACGTTAGGCATAGTTTCCCGGATGACGTCGGGGAACGTACCATCGGTCTTTAAAGTGGTCGATGAGGCTGCCTACGATAGGACCTTTCAGAGATATAGTGATATCGGACCAGCCCATCCGCGAGTTTTTCGTCCGGTCGACTGCGAGCGCACCCTTCGTTAGAATCGACTTCTCGACTTGGCTACGGAATATCACCTACGCTGGTTGTGATCCCAGTTGTCAACACCCTCGAAGTCGTAGACTCGAGCATTGTTGAAATCCTGACCGGGGAACACGATTTCATCCAGGTTCCCAGGGTGGGCGTCGGCGATCGGGTGGCCTTTTATATTTCGGTAAGCAATTTATGACGACGAGTATCATTTAACTTACTCATAGTATCGTATCTTCCAAAGCCTACACGCCGTCAGCGGTTTCTCCGGGGTTCAGGGGACAGAGGGGGGGAGGGAGGCAGGTCTAACGTACACATATCAAGACCACCCATGAAGGCGATGCGTCGATCAATGACGCACAGCTTCTCGTGGTGGGCCCAGTACAGGACTGTGTCGCCAAAGGATCCGTAGAGCTCCTTTAATGCGTCCCCGGAGAACTTGGATAGGCTGAAATCATTGAACTTGATAGTATCCAAGGAAAATCCGGCAAAGGCGGTCTCAAGCTTCTTCCGGTCGGTTGGCAGATGGTCGGGGTGCCTGAAGACCTTAATATTGGGATGTAAATCCTCCAGATGATGCTTGGTATGCTGACCCGGGTAATCAGCATGGCCTACTCGTTCTACTGCCTACTCGGTGAGGTGCTTACCGCGGAGTCAACTGAGAAAAGCGGGAAAGTTAGCCCAACTGATCGTATCGCTATACATAAGACCGAAGGGGAGCCTACGAGTCAGGGCCTGCGTGACCTCCTTATACACGATGATACGAACTTCGACACCTCTCTCGGCCGCAGCCCGGAGCATGTTGTCGAGGCGGTATCGTTCATTGCGCGAGGGAGGGCGACGGAGGTACAGTTCCGGACTCAGCCACCAGTCGAGGATATAGATGCTCTCCTTAGCCTCTGCAAATGTTCAAGTAATAAATTAACCGACTGGCACGAGGACAATGGTTTCGTTATGACGTTTCCTTTACCTTCGAGGGCCATCGAGACGGCGTGGAAGTACGACGCTCCATCGATATACCACTTGGCAGCGCCGGAGGTCTCGGGCGCAAAGGACTGGAATCGGTACCTGGGGACGTCTGGATACTGGGAACCCTCGCCGGCTCCGGCATTTGGCTTTGGTTGAAAACGCTCCTCATGATCACCCGTCAAGGCCTCCTTCGCGTCTCTTAGGAGGTTCTCGGCCTTCTGGAAGATACGATCCATGGTGGCAGAGACGGAGGTATGAATTTGGCCAGAAAGGGGGAAGAAACGAGAATTCTAGATCTCCGGCCTCTATCCCTAATATAGAGAAAAGCACCGTCGGGAATTTGCTGCTGGATATATAGGTCGGTATAATACCCAGCCCATAATGATTCGAATAGGTAGGTACACATAAGCTGACCTACCCCTCCACAAGCCACCCTTTCAAGGATCGAGTCTTGTTGTATAAGTTCACATACAACCGTTTCTCTCCTATAAAAACCGGGGTAAAAATCGGAAAATTATAAATCCGACTTACGAAAAGGCTAAAAATACATAAGTATAAAATTATATAATATCAAAGGATTTTTCTTACGTAATATTTAATACGAAGAGTTGGCTTATTATGCTAATGAGCCCCGGCGAAACCGAAAATAAGCTGAAGCTGAAGCACGAGTACTGCTGAACCACTAGACCTAGGTACCTAGCATCTTTCCATAGCACGGGGTGGATACGGAAAACGCCTAAGTTAGTGCGCATAATGACTTATCTGCTGCTGCAGAGCGACGGGTTACAACGTGCCGACAGCCGGGCGCGTACAGGATTATAAATGCTTGTATTGTTCTACTCTTACGAAGCTAATATTTAGGTACGGGTAGAGGAGGAGGTGTATGAGTAGGTACAGGAAACTAGCTATCGAGTTCGCCAAGGAGCCGTCGCATCAGCGATGCCCCGCTATGGAACAGATGCAGACTGATTGGAGGTCATTATGCTCGCCACCACCAACTTTGCCTCGAAAGGGGTTCTCGGTCGGTTCACGGGGGCTGGCTGAGACGCCAACCCTCCAATTTTGCTGGGTAGGTGAGCGCATAACGTAGGTATGACTATAGTAGAGACGAGACTATAGTAGAGACGAGTACCTATAGCGTATCAGATTATAGAGGCGCACGTGACACCATGTCCCAGAAGGGCGGTGTGCACGTCACCGCCCTCCAAACGGCCGGCAGAATGGTTGGCCCACTAAAACTTTTCACAGGCGCAAACCAAATTCATCTACCTACCCATTCCATCCACCATCCACCGTCCCGTCATCACGCTTATACATGGGCTGCGCCGCCTACAAGATCGGTCGTTGCTTATCTTTGCGCCATACTTGAGCGAGTATGCCAAAAAAGCACCCGAACCGCCGAAATGCCCCGGCGTCGTCGCCGTCGGCCGCCGCCGCGGGCGACTCGCGATTCGCTAATTTCGAGTCCGACCCGCGCTTCCGCCTCCCCTCCAAGCGCAGTCATAAGACCACCATCGACAAGCGCTTCTCTCACATGCTAGAGGACGACGAGTTCATCGCGAGCGCCAAAGTCGACAGGTACGGCAGAAAGCTGAAGTCGGACAGCAAGAAGAAGGCGTTGCAGAAGATCTATCAGGTGGAAGGAGAAGCGGCGGCGGCCGAACAAGACTCTGAAGAGGGAGAGGAGACCGGGGCAGACGAGGAGGATGTCGTCCGGCGGGAGCTTCGGAGAGCCGACGCCAAGTATGACCCGGCTCGTGGCGGAGGCTTTTCCTCTTCCGAGTCGGATTCGGATCCGGATCAGGAGGATGGGGAAGACGACGAGGTAGGAGACACAGAGATAGATCCGTCCGGTAACCTGCGGAGAGGACCCGAAGTCGAGACAGAAATCGAAACCGGGGAGGTCACGAAGCGGATAGCCATAGTGAACCTCGACTGGGACCACATAAAATCCGTCGATCTCATGGCGCTCTTCTCCAGCTTCGTACCCAAGAGCGGGAGGATCGAGCGGATCTCCATCTACCCTAGCGAATTCGGCAAGGCGAGGATCCAACGCGAAGATCTGGAAGGCCCCCCCCGAGAATTATTCAAGAAGGCCTCCAACTCGCGAGACGGACGGTCCAAGCTGGATTCCGAAGACGATAGCGGAGACGACGACGAGGACGACGAAGATGACGAGCAGATAAAGAAGAGAATCCTCGAAGAAGGCGACGGCCAAGATTTCGATAGCGACGCGCTCCGGGCGTATCAGCTGGACCGGTTGCGTTACTATTACGCTGTGATGGTGTGCTCTGACACCGACACTGCCGAGAAAATCTACCGCGCCACCGACGGCACGGAGTACCAGTCTTCGTCGAATTTTATGGACCTGCGGTTCGTACCCGACGACGTCACATTCGATGACGAACCGAGGGACGAGTGCGACGTCCTGGCATCGGATTACAAACCCACCGAATTTACTACCGACGCCTTGCAACATTCCAAGGTCAGGCTTACGTGGGATATGCATCCCGAAGAGGTGGCGCGAAAAGAAAGCATGAAGCGAGCATTCGATACTGGCCGCTCGGGCTTCGAGGAGAATGACCTTCGAGCGTATTTGGCCAGCGACAGCGACGGTGACAGTGCTCGAGAGGACGACGAGGCAGAGGGAGACGAGGTCGAGGTGGCAGATGACCAGCCAAAACTAACCCGGAAGGAGTTGAAAGCGAAGAAGCTCCGCGATGCTCTCGGACTGGGCCCAGAGCCGTTGGCTCGTGCCTCAAAATCTGGACCGGTCGGGGACATGCAGATCACATTCTCGGCTGCGCTGATGGATGGCAACGACAAAAAGACGAAAGAACCGGACGTAGGAGAGACTACGATAGAAAAGTACAAGCGTAAAGAACGCGAGAGGAAGACTCGCAAGAAGGAGAAGTCACTGGCGAAGCGGAACGGGGATCGGGAAGCGGATGACGAGCCCGCGGAGCCGCAAGGAGATCTCGGCTTCGACGATCCCTTCTTCACTGCTGCTGCTGACGAGCCTGTGCAGAAGTCGAAGACTTCGGAAAGGAAGGAAGAACGCCTGAAGAGGCGAGAAGCGAGAGATGCCCAGGCAGCCGAGAACGCGGCGCAGAGAGCTCAGCTAGAACGGCTCTTGGTCGACGATTCCAAAGGGGCCGCCGAACATTTGGACCATTTTGATATGAACGAGATTGCTCGGGCCGAGAAGCAGAAGATCAAGAAGCACAAGAAGAAAGGCAAGAAAGGGGCCGAAGAACCCGGCGGTTTACAGCACGGGTTCACGATGGACGTCAATGACGATCGATTCAAGGCCGTCTTCGACAGCCACGAGTTCGCCATCGACCCCTCGAACCCGCGGTACGAAGCCACCCCGGGCATGAAGCAGCTCCTCGAGGAGAAGCGCAAGAAGCGGAAAAACGACCCAGACATGCTCGATGTAACCCATCGACAGAGCAAAGCGCCCAAGAAACAGAGGAGATAGATGTGTAGATGGGTGCTACTAAGCTACAGGCTGGTCGTTACATTCCTTTCTTGGTTAGTAGCCGTGCTGATATATCTATCTATTCTCTTGATCCGTAAATTGATGCTAGTCAGAGGATGCCTGGCTTCGCTCCGAATCGCGATATCCAGACTGGCACTGTGATTGAACAACCTGGAGTTTAGATATATTTTCTGACTTTTGAATCCGTAGGGGACGTGTCATCGTTGGCAAAATCGATTGGTCTCAGCCTTGAGCAATATTTGCTGTCGGCAGGCTGCTTCTGGAGTACCGGGGAGGATGTGTACCCCCGTGTCCAGGGCGGTCAGCATAGACGATCTAGCTCGTCTCAACAAAGGGGTAGCCCAGTATGAGTACTTCGCTGTACAGCCTACACTGAATCAAAGTAGATCGCACCTCCAACGGCGACCGACTGCATATATTCGATCCGGCATCATTCGTGGCCAGCCTCGCTGTCTCACCCCTTACCTACGCCCCCGCTTCTACGGCCAATAGAACCGCCTCGGACAGCTCGGGTACGACACAGAGGGGGTGACGGCGGTACAGTGTTTTACAAAGGGGTGGGAGGCAGATTTACCCAGCATCTGGACGTTGGCTTACCGCTCTTGACTATGGGCATACGAACGCTAGCGCCACTCCATAGGACGAGGCTGCTCCGCGCACCACCTGCCTTAGTCGCCTACAGCCAACACCTGGGCATTGTCCACGAGACTGTTTCGTCTACTTCCACCCTGTTTGCTCCGATTAGTTCCCGGTGGTTATAATTAGGGTGTCACCGGGACGAGGTTCGGAGTTGGACATCCTCTCTCATTCGTAGGACGAGACACGTCTATCTTGCCTGCCCGTTCCGAAGAGGAAAATTTTTGGCGACACCTTCACGTTCGGCGAGTCTTGCCAGAAGCCTCAGCTACGCCGGGATCCGTTGGCAGGATGAGGTGCCCGATCTGGGTGCGAGCTGCCTCGGCGGCCTTGGCCTTCGGCTTTGCCGTCACCGGGGAGCCCATCGTAGAGCTTCCGAGCAGCCGAGTTACGTACCGCGGCACCGTGCACGACTCTGTAGAGCACTTCCAAAACATCAGGTTCGCGCACGACACGTCGGGCGAGCGGCGCTTTGCCCCTCCAGAGCCGTATGCGCCCCCCGAAGGCAGCGAGGTCGACGCCACGGCGCCGGGCCTCGCATGCCCGCAGTCCAAGGCTGGCCTCCCGCCGCTCCTCGACGCGGTCGCCGAGTTCGGCGAGGACTGCCTGAATCTCCGCATCGCGCGGCCTGTGGGGACCGCCGCGCAAGATAAGCTGCCGGTCGTCGTCTGGCTCCACGGCGGCGGCGTGGTCAGAGGCTCGGCGTACGACTCCCACTTCGACCCCGAGAACTTGGTCAGGCTGTCGGCGTCGCTCGGGAAACCCGTCATCTACGTCGCGTTGCAGTACCGCCTCACTATCTTCGGGTTCGCGCGGCTCCCGCGGCTGCTGGACCAGAAGTCGCTGAACGTAGGGATGCGCGACCAGCGGGCCGGCTTCGAATGGGTCCGCGACAACATCGCCGCGTTCGGCGGCGACCCGGAGCGGATCACGGCCTTCGGCTTAAGCGCGGGGGGTTCCTTTACCTCGGTCCAGATGATGGCCTACGGCGGCGAGCGCGGCGTCCCGTTCACCCAGGCTTGGGTCATGTCGGGCCCGCCCGGCACGGGTTTGAACGCCAGCAGCGACATCACCGAGACTCATACGCGCGCTGTTGCGAGGGACCTGGGATGCGCGGGCGATGAAGACGAAGAACTTTTGACGTGTCTTAGAGAGGTGCCCGTGGAGAAGCTGACCGAGACGGCGATGGCGTATTCGGCGAAGAACCATCCCCCGTTCGGCCTTTTCACGTTTCTTCCCTCGGTGGACGGGGATTTCTTACCGGACCGGCCGTCTCTCCTGTTAAAATCCGGGAGGTTTGTCAAAGGTATTTCCAATTCCTTTTCGGTCCTCTTTTTTTTCTTTCCCTTCCGCCACGATGTTAATGAGGCTCAGGGATTCCCGTGGTCTTGGGCTGGACACAAGATGACGGCGCGACCAACGTAGGTCCCGCCAAGATGTTCCAAAGCGAGGGAGATATGAGAAGAACTATCAGTAAATACGCGCACGCCCTCACCGACGAAGACTACAAAGAGCTCTTCGACCACTACCCCCCCGCCGATTTCGAAGAGGACGTCCGGAACTATAGGTCTCTGAAGGACGAGTCCGATCCCGCTGTCCCCGTCCAGTATTTCCGCGTCTCTCGCATCGTGCGCGACATCCTGTTCACCTGTTCGTCGATCGAATTCGGCTACGAGACGTCCAGACAGTCCAGGGCGTCCGACCCTACCTTTCCCGGCGTCCGGCTCTACGACCTGAACCAGAGCATGTTCACGCCTATGTTCAAAGACGCCGGCAGGCCGTACATCCGGGTCTCGCACGGCAGCGACACGAACTACATCTTCAATGGGGTCTTCCCCGAGGGCCAGATCACGGACGCGGACCAGCGGCTGTCGAAGTCGCTGGCAGGATCGTTTATCCACTTCGCGTACACCGGGGACCCGACCGTGGCGGAGAGTGAGGGCTTCGGGTCGTGGCCCGAGTCGTTCCCGGAGCCGCGCCTTGAAGAGTATCCTGGCGCCGGCCCGACCCGGATGAATATTCAAGTCATCGGCGGGCCGCTGGGGACGGGCTCTTGCTCACTGAGCGGGGAGCAGGGTGGCGGCGCTATACATCTCGCTGCAGAAGAGGGCCGCATGCAAATGCCAGTACTGGGCGGCGTGGAATTCGGCCAGATGGAGTCTGCGGACTCTCACGAGAGGCGGCGGGAACTGGAGCGGGAGAGGCTGCTCGAGCGCTGCGCGTACATCGCCACCCTTTCTGAGAAGCTGGGCGTTTAGGGGGAGGATTCGGTGGAATCGCCCCAGAGGGACAGTGATTGTATCATAACGAAGGTCAAAACGCGGCACTCTGACTGGCTTATGCCAAGAAATAAGTCTCTACGCTACGCACCTTGGGGGACATTCGGAGAACCTCTTCTCGAGATTACCGCTCCCTATGATCGGATAGAATGCCAGCAAGGATCCAAACCTACGTGTGCGTTAATACACATCGATACTGACGTCTAGTCGTTCCCATCGAACCGGGGGTTCAGTGGGAGAGATCAGAAAGTCTCTGACAGAACCGACACGTAGTGAAATAGGTAGGTAGGTAGGTAGGTATGTCGAGGCATCTCCCAACACCTCACTAAAACGTGTACGCCTTTTCTGCGCTGAAATCGGTGATTGTCTTTGGGGGGTGCGGCAACCTGCGATCGCCAAGCCCCAGCGCGCTGTTGGTCATCCTGGCTTCCGTCTGCGGACCCGGCACCGATGGTCGTCAAGGTATCGCAACGGCGCCGGGGCCCGAGTCCGAGTCTGGGCTTGATGACGCCGCTACCGAGCGAAATTCCGGAGCGCTTCGGCGCCTCGTCTCTTGAGACGCCCGCCCTGTAAGGCGAGATGGATGCTGACGAAACCCGCGCTTAGCTCCCTTTCACAAGAGAGCGATGGTGGCATTTAGCCTGGGGGCATTGGTGTCGTTATATGTGCTCGCGCCTCGGTCGGCGATAGCCCACCGGCGTAGAGTTGCCGGCACAGAGGAATATCCCACGGCTTCGGGGGACATACACTGTCACAGAAGCTGGCGGCGTGTAACCGCACAGCAAGTCAAACACACGCAGGCTTAGAATGTGCCGTATTGAATTTTCACTTTTTGGAATTCCCGCCCCTTTGCTGTCGCGCCTGGTGAAAGATGTGTTTTTCTCCCTATTTATTTACACGTGAACCCATCCGTCAATTCAGTGTGCCCCCCCTGCCGCCTCTCCGTCCACTCCGAAACACCTTTCCCAACCCGATCGGGCCGCGCGGCATCTCGGTTCTTTCTTTCCTGCACGCAACTTTTTTTTTCTCTGCCACAATGATCTCGCTTTTCGTCTCTCTCTCTCTCTCTCTCTCTCTCTCTCTCTCTGTCTCTCTCTCCTAGCCTCTGCGTCCGCTTCACTTGCGGACGCCGGTCTTCTTGGCGGTGTAGGCGGCGATGAGGTCCATGAGGGGGGGCGAGAGGCAGTCGTAGGTGTCGAGGCCGGCGGCGTGGAGCCGGTCGCGGACGCCGCCGATGAGGGCGGGGTCGAAGCCCTGCTCGATGATGCTGCTGACGAAGGCGGCGAACTGGGGCTCCTGCCAGCCGGGCTCGGGGCTGAGCTCGGCGTGGACGAAGTCGAGGCCCTTGAACGGGTGCTCGACCTCGATGCGGCCGTACATGTGCGTGCCGCACTCGGTGCACGCGTGCCGCTGGATCGCCGCGCTGGCGTCGACGACGGCCAGCTTCGACTCGTTCGCCGTCACCGACAGCTGCTCCCGCGGCACCACCCCCACGATGCTGAACAGCGCCCCCGCCGGCTTCCAGCACTTGGAGCACCCGCACGCGTGGTTGTGCGCCACGTTGGTGCCCAACGTGACCGCGACCGGGTTGCTAGCGCACTTGCAGTAGAGGACGCCGCCGGCGTGGTCGGGGCTGCCCTTGGTGATGCCGTTGTCGATCAGGGGGTGGAGGGAGACCATGGTTGCGGTGTTGTCGGAGGCGTTTTTTTTTTTCCGAGTAGGTGTGTGTTGTATCTGCGGAGGTCTCGTACGTATATTGCCTCTTGGCTGCGTAAGGTAAGAAATATAGCGAGGACTGCGGAAAAGCAGGCCGGGCAAGGCCGCGTAACCCTTATATCCCCTCGTACGCATACCTCGCAGAGGAGGAGATCGACCGTCGAGGGAGATAACGGACATATCTCGGGGATCGTGGGCAAGCAGCTGGGAGTGCGGGATAGACTTAGCCGGGGTAGGGGGGGTTCAGTGGAGGTTGGAGAGGGGAGTACGGTAGATCACATCGCAACGGTATCGTAATGGCCGCGGAGAGACCAGCTCAAAGATGACGTGCTCCAGGGGGGCTCGGTGCCTCTCCGCAGGCGAATTCTCTTGTGTGATAGGTAGGTAGCGCCGAGACGGCATGTTCACCAGAAAGCGAGCCGTGTCACAAAGCCGGCAGATGAGATATATCGGAACTTGCCAGGTTGGAGGTGGTGCTGGCAGACGAGGTGGGAAGAAGAAGAGCTTTGGCGCATGAGGGGTAACGCCTACTACTCTACATAGGACTGGTAAGATCTTGGCGGTGTCGTCGTCTTCTCTCCCTCCCTGTAGGTCTCTACCTATGTACGCTCGTAGGTTTATATATATATTGTTTATTGGCACTTGGCCTCTGGTGCGTTAACGGTTCTTTCGAAAACGTTGTAGGTAACAATATTAGACATTAATTTGTTCGTGAAATTTGTCCCCTCTCTTCCACACACACCCATCTTGCCCGCCCAGGGCCATACCCTTGATAGATGGATACAAGGGTTTAAGTGAGAAAGAAAAAACCTCAGTCTCTAGCCTCTGGAGAAACAGGAGAGAGAGGGAGAGGAGAAAGAGGAAACGGGGTAACCTCCGTACCACTCTTACTCCAAGATCTCTAACCTAGCTCGTGGAGCTGCTTCGTCGCCAAGTGGAGAGAATCAGGTTCGCGTTCGCCAACCCACAGGGGCCGCAACTCCACGGCGGGTGGAGGAATGTACCGGAGGTAGCTCGGGTTTGCGGGTGCGGGAAGCACACACGGCCCGTAGGTAGGTATACAGTAGGACGTTTCCTCTCTCTCTCTCTCTCTCTCTCTCTCTCTCTCTCTCCTGTCGTCTCCTCCTAGCTAAACTAACTCCCTTGCGACGTAGTGCCACGAAGTATGTGCCTCCCAAGACGAAGCTAGAAAAGGACACCGGCAAACGGCCAATAGTTTTCGGCTGTTATTCCAGCGACTACTACGAGGTGTCTACGCCGCTACCCCACCCACACCATATCGGCGATGGAGCCGGCGAGCTCGCGTGTGGACGCATTCGATGCGAGCCTGGAGGCTGTAGTGGTGGGCGCTAACTAGAGCCGTTCTATCGGAAATTCCGGCCAGAGTAGGCCAGATTTACCGTAATGATATACCTAGCCTCGTTCTCTGCCAACTGCTTACGCGTATATTCTCCGTATGTAGGTACCTAGAGACGAAACCTGAGGCTTTCATAATTTATGTGTACGCATCGACCTGCAGGGTTGCCCGGGGTGACATCGTGCAAGTAGTTGACCGAACTAGCGAGACACAGCATCCCCCACTCGACGCCGCCTGATCGTTTTATTATAAGATATTAGTAGCTATTGTTCCCCGATGGAGGTCGTTCCAACAGCTTTAGATCCTCTCGCCCGCAGAGTGTGGTTGTGAGTGGAGTTAGTCAGACTTACACCTAGGTGTAGGTAGATCTTCTACCAACGCGCTATTTTAGGAAGGTCTCCTACACGGTAAATCAACCAAACCAATGCTTCTTCGTATACGCGGAGGCACAAAAGAAACCTCTTGTTCATGTTCCATGCTGCCTGCTTTGTCATAGGTATTTCCATACAAGTCTAACCAGGTACGCATGCTCAGGGGTGCCGTGGTCGCTCGGATTATTTATTACCTGAGTCTTCGGTGGGCATTGCGCGAACGAGCAGACTATCTTGGCTAACCACCGCTAGCTAGCCTACACACTTAGGATAGGAGTGTAAGCTGCTAGAGTGTGTCAGTGTTAGTACTAAACCACCACTTTTAACTCCCTACCTTTGTGCATTGTATGTGGCGAGCTAGGGCCTAGATAGTACTTTGAAAGGGTCCGCTATTGTCTTCCCGTCGCTAGAGGTAAGCGCTTCTCTTCGAAACTTACCGTCCAACAGCTTCGGATGTAGTTCTATGGGCTTGGGTGGGTGTCAACACCCAGGACTCGGGGGAGCCTCACCACGGCCGAAACGGTGTATGAGAGGGATCCAGAAATTGAAATTTCGTCATCCAGGTTGTCAGTTGACGGGGTATCTCGCTTACGGCACCTACAGGTAACCTCTATATAAATACAATAGGTAGTACAAGTAAAGGAGGTTTTATTGCTCAGCTTCCAACTTGGGCGGGATGAGTCCTTCAGCCATGCTGATAGCGCCGTCCATGTCATTCTTATTGAATAAGAAGAGACCTTGGATGGCAGCGGTGCTCGTGCGAGTTACCGGCTGCCCCTCCTTCGCCTCACCGAAGAGCTCGAGTTCGTCAAGTCGCTTTAGGAATCGTTCTCGGTAGGCCCCGTCCACATCGACGTCGCCGTAGAACCTATCCCACATCTGCGCAGCCTGGTACCGAGTGGCTCCGCCGATATGGACCATGAGGTCCACTCGTCCCGGTCTTATCAAAGCAGGATCGAGGAGCTCGATGTGGTTTGTCGTGAGGAACGCGATTCGCTCCTCTCCGGCCGACAGGCCGTCTAGGGCGTTCAGGAGTCCGGAGAAGGTTACCGTGCCACCGCTATATCCGTCCGCCTCGCGCTTCCTCCGATTGATAAACGCGGAATCGGCGTCTTCGAGCAGGAGGATGGTCCGTTCCGGCAACTTCGTGAGAAGAAAAGCGAGCTTGTCGTCCGTGACGCCGATCTCGCTCAGGTTCACCATGGCCACGCTGAAGTCCAGCTCGCCGGCCAGAGCCTGGATGAAGGAGCTCTTGCCGCTCCCCGGCGGCCCGTAGAGAAGATACCCCCGGCGGTACGGGATGCCGCGATCCACGTACCACTGCCGCCGCGCGAGGAAATCCTTGGCGTCGTCGACGATGCGCTCCTTCACCCCCTCGTCTAGGATGACGCTGCCGAGCGGGCGCTTTCGTCGCGGTTCGCCGAGCGGCACCCAGTCGAAGTTCCGCACCGAGTACACCACGGTCTTGCCCTCGTGCGCCTGGAGCGCGAGGGCGCGGGCCTCGGTGAAGACGTCCTCGAAGATATGGCGGTGGGCATACAGCGTGGTCAGCTCGACGGTCTCGTGCGGCTCGCCGGTGTTGGTCTTGGCCGTCGCCTGCTTCTCCCTGCTGACGACGATGTACGCGTGCTTGTACTTGATGACGTGGCGGCCGTAGCCGGGCTGCAGGAAGAAGCTCGCGCGCGTCGGGCCGTTCGCCGTCACGCTCGTCGTCGTCGTCACCGACAGCTTGTTGATGCGCGTCAGCCGCCGCGCGAGGAACGAGGTCTGCTCGCGCGGCTGCGACAGCCACGCCAGGATCCACGGGTACGACGGGTCTTGCCGGCTGATCTCGACGTTGACCAGCATGCGCCGTCGGATCAGGCCGACCGTACTAATGGCGCCCCGGCGGGCGAAGGCCAGGACGGCGCCGAGCGAGGCCAGGCCGAAGCCTCCGGCGAAGACGGGGTTGTCGAACAGCGCATCGAGATTGAGGAGCGGCCGCGTGGGCGCAGATTCGGACATGACGTTGCCGAGGTTGTTCGGGATTGGCATCGGTATTTATTTATTCTTGTATTTTATTTTCCCCTTCAACTGAAGACGGATGAGCGGCTGACTAATATGTCCTCCTTTGCCGATATTTTACCGTCCGCCCCCCTTTTCAACCCCCTTTCTTCCCGTTTGAATACACGCAACGGGAGCATAGATAGACCCAAAGTCGTCACATCAATCCTTCGTAGTGCGTATATGTAACGCGGTAGCTAACCGGAATAAACGCCTCCTACTTTAGTAGGAGGCACCTACCTATAGGTAGGTAGGAAGAATCGGTAAGGATAAGTAGGCACTTATACCCATCGTACACGCTGGGTGTCCCTATTGAGGATACACGGGCGTAACTGTCCATCACACAGCCGTCGGTCATCATGTAGAAGCCGTTACTATGATGAACTCGTCTTCCGGAAGTTCGGATATATAACTGACCTCTGGTTAGTTTTGAGCCATACGAAAAAGCCTTCACTAGCGTATTCTCAAACGAGTATGCCAGGGCCCCTTCGGGGGCGGTAGGGGTATAGGCACGTAGGTACGAACGCTGCAGACGTAGGCGTGTGGCTTCGTGTGGCTTTATAGAGCGGCTTACGTGATTATGACCGTTTCGCCTTTTTAATGGACCAATTAGATTCGTAGGATTCTGGACTGTGGCGCAGGTTTGATCGTAGTATATTAGATTATGGTCAGGTTGCGCAACCCGAGGACTTATGTAACTCCACTATAGGATAAACGCGTCTTCTATTCGACTTGCAACCCTAGATGGAATCTCATCGTCATGCATTAGGTAGGCAAACGCATCATGTTTGGCTTCAAAACCACAGTCTTGATCTGAGACCCCCCAACCTTCTGCCAGCGTGTCAAATCCCTTCAATATAAACACCTAATGTGAGTTGTCTGATGCCATTCCTCGTCCGATGGAGGATATATGATTTCGAGAGCTTTACCCTCTTGCCCACGGCCGGATTGCGGCCTCTTTTCGGAGGCATGTGCGGGGATGTCATTGGATCTCGACGAGCCGTCTCTTCATCTAAATCCGCCCTACCCTCTCGACGTCCTGGCTGCCTAGGTAGTTACCTAATATCTGCTTGAGATTAGCATACGAGTATCCTTCCTTCTGCACCAATACGTCAGCGGTGGAGGAGATTGTCGAAATTTGGAATGGGTGACCAGGCTCCTCAAATCCACGGCATGACGGGGCGATATAATTTAAGGATGCCACTTATTAGATGTTTTCTTCAACGTGCTCGAAAGAAGTTCTTGGCTTCAGGCATTTCTGGTCGAAAAGTCCCGATTGAGTACCCTTTCGTGAGCAGCTGAAGGCCACCGCTCTGGATCCATACAATGCCTGCCGTATGAGAACGAGCCGGAGACAGAGCATGCGTGCCGAAGCGGAATAGGAAGACGGAATCTGCTCAGGAGATCATTAGGCGCCAAGACGAACTCGGTCGTGCAAATCTCAACTACTACCATCCACCCTGCCTCGTGGAATCCCAGCTTGGCCAATTACTGAGGAGACCAAGGCTACAAAGAGACTCTTCGGCAAGATGGGTTCGACAACTGGGTAGCAATAGGTAGCCCTGATCCGGAAACTAATAGTATGCACGTACTCCAGAAGCCAAGAATAATACAGCCCTCGCCTATGCTACTAACAAGACCCTGATGAAGTCAACAATGCATACTGGCTATGATCTTCTTAGTTCTCATGTCCAGCACCAAACGATCCCAATAACATGTTCCCAGGAAACAAATCGAAGCGGTACGCGAACTGCTAACAAACCTGCCACTGAAATTCCCTCAGACTTCCGGGGAAAAGTCAAGCCTTGTCAGCGATGTATCGCCTTCCTCTCACCCAGAGTTTTGATGCGGACCAGGACTCGTGGCCAACTCCCGGCAAAAGTCCAATCTGGCTAAATGACAACTGCATCTCACCCTCAATATCGGACCCGCCATCTATTCGACGATGTATTTATAACCTTCTCGGTCCAGAGGGCCCGATCCCCTGCCATCCCACCCCGGGATCCCAGGGAGCGCGTGGCCGAGCGTGGCGCGGGATTGTCGGCAATTGGGGGCATCACAGCTTCAGGAGAGGAGGGCTGTCGACGTAGTATGGGGCATATAACAGCTGGAATAACCCAGGGATGCCCCGAGAGCCTTGAGTTCGTTTTCTCTTTTTCGTTTCGGATACACTCCAGGTCGGTACCACCTTCAGATACAACTTCCACAAAGGCGACCAACTCTACAAAAAAATGCAGTTGAGGAACTGTCTTCTCCTTGCCGCGGCAGGCAGCGTCAACGCTGCGACGCTTCGATTCTCGTGCTCTCAGCTCGTCGTCGAGCGTCTAGATCCGTAAGCATTTCGACGTGAGGGAAGCGGAGAAAATTGGTATTTCTAACAGATGGGCGTCCAGTCTCGTCAACCCCGGACAGAACCCATCTCCCCATCTCCACCAGATTGTCGGAGGGAATGCCTTCAACGTCAGCATGGACCCCAACGTTCACGACGTGGCCTCGACGGCGACGTGCACTTCTTGCACGCCGTCCGAGGACTTCTCCAACTACTGGACCGCAGTCCTCTTTTTCCGGTACGTTGCAGCAGCGGGTCCCTCCGCGCTATCGTCATCCCCAGGGGTTCTCGTGACAGAAGATGATATTAATATACTAACTCTACCCGCTTCCCGCCCGAATCAGCGCGAGAAACGGAACGCTGCACCGCGTGAACACGTTCGGGAACGAGCTCGGCTACACGAGCGCGAAGGGAGGGCAGACGGTGTACTACCTGTCGTCGGGCAAGGTGACGGGGTTCAAGCCGGGGTTCCGGATGACGGTGGGCGACCCGAACATCCGCACGGCGGAGGAGCTCAACCGGCGGTACCGGTTCATGGACTTCACGTGCCTGGCGTCGGCGATGACGCGCGGGGGGCAGACGACGTACTTCCCGCGGCAGCCGTGCGCGGCCGGGATCATGGTCAGCATCCGGTTCCCGACGTGCTGGGACGGCAAGAACGTGGACTCGCCGGACCACCAGAGCCACGTGGCGTACCCGAACGGCAACGCGTGCCCGGCGTCGCACCCGGTGGCGATCCCGCAGGTGTTCTACGAGACGTACTGGGACACGCGCCCGTTCAACAACCGCGCCGAGTGGCCCGCCGACGGCTCCCAGCCCTTCGTCTGGTCCTTCGGCGACGCCACCGGCTACGGCATCCACGGCGACTACGTCTTCGGCTGGAAGGGCGACGCCCTCCAGCGCGCCCTCGACGCCAACTGCAACAGCGACCTCTTCGCCAACCGCATCAACTGCCCCACCCTCCAGAGCCAGTCCATCGAGCAGGCCAACCAGTGCACCAAGCCGCGCACCGTGACCGAGAACCTCGACGGCTGGCTCGCCCAGCTCCCGGGCGGCATGCCCATCATGTAAGGGGGTAGGATGGAGAGAGATAGATAGAGAGCTCTCCGAGCCCGGTTAGCGTCGTTGCGTACGAACACGGAGACGCAGCTCTCTGATCAGCTAGCAACATGTCGAGTTCCTTAGCTACTGGTGTGCGGTTGTCCGACAGCTCTGTGATTAATAACTACAACTTCCCCTGTCCGCGAACTGAGGAAACTCGAAGCGTTATTCATACCCAAGATTAGGTAGTAGACCAAGATTTATAGGGACTAGTACGACGTCGGGTGGTATGTTTATATAAACCTTGTAGAAGAGGGTTCTATACATGATTATCAGGAGAGGTGCTGGCTGTTCTAGAATACGATATTTGTGTTGACTCGCTTCCTAGCCGTCTCGTCTCGACTAGCCCTAGACGGCACTACTGTGTACTGTTTCGTCCGTAGCCCCTTTTCTAGACTCGCGATGTGGTTACCTCCGGTAGGTACATCTGCCGTGTTCGTAGGTATATTTCGATGAGATAGGAGTTGTTATCACTACTGATATATGTTGGCCTCCCGAAACTTGTTTGTAAAATATCACAACTCGGAGCGGAGTCCCCAGATTGGCTATCGCGGCATACCAAGTTGGATGTGCCGTCATGTGCCGTGTGACCATAGCAAAAACAAGCAAACGTAACTAGTACTGACTACCTATCTCAAGCCCGACGGCCGGTTGAACGGCCGGTTAAGATAGACGATAAATATTATCGTAACTCGGAGCAGTTCGTAATGCTATCAAGAGCGCCGAGGACAATAGCACTGTTTTAAGAATCCAGTTGTTCAACCGACTATTCCTTTGTTGTGTTGCTGTTTATGTTACTCTGAATGTGCCGCCCGTGAGTAGTGAATACGTGTTCAACATTCACACGGGCACAGTGTTGCCCCAGGGATGGAATTTGGATTTTACGCCGCTCTCGACTATAGGGCATGCTTTTGGGTTCCGGATACACACTGATGCTGGCGGGAACTTGTGTTATATTAGATACTAGTCTCTTCGTTGGGTGATATGTTACCTACAGCATGTGAATGTGTATGTCCACAGTGACTGAGAGCTTAGAGGTTGCTTTGATATGGTAAAGGGGTAACTAGCGACGACAACATCATCGTCTACGCGCCAATTATTAACATGTCTGCTCCGGCAACCATGGGCCCCGCCCCTGAGAATTTCCTTCTTCTGTGGCCAAGGCAACGATAGAGACCCTATTCTTCCACCTACAACAACAAGAGGAAGAGTCATCGGCCCTCCTCTTCGTGCCGCCCTTCGTGCATCTTCCATTCTTCGGATACCGAAAGGGACCTAGGTCTCATCAACCAGCGCGTTCTCGCCGACGAGCTATTGTTCGAATCCATCTCCTGGCCAATTTGCCTCATCCAATCCCTAAGCCGCTCTCATGGCACCCGACCACGACACCTGCCAGGAGCATGAATCTCATCGATTTTGGACACCTAAGAAGCCATCCCCCGCGTCTCAGCTTCCTGGAGAAGGCAAGATGGCCTCAACATCGCTTAACTTGTCGATCCCTGAACCACTACTCCACCGTCTGGAGACACTGGTCAACGGATGCGCATTGCCTCCAAGTAAGAACACCATCTTCACGACCCCGAAACCTTTCCCAACAGACTGTGGGGACGTATTCGTCACGCAGAGAGGAGTCCCCGCTGCTTAGTGGTGACTCGTGAATCTAGACTGATTATGTGGTATGACAGTGGTCCTCGTGAAGAGAGTCCTGGCCCGATATGGCCGAAGCAGGAAGATCCGCGCGTATACGCTCCGCGGAAAGCGCGCCACCCGACGTGGCGGCAAGGGAAAGGAGAAGCGAGCAGAACCGAAAAACATCATGCTGGGTTCACCTCCCCAGACGCCGGACGACCTTGACGCGGAAGTGCTGGAAGAAGACGACGACGAGCAGCTTTACCCGCTCTCCCGAGAGGTGGGCGACTAACCCGTCCCGTCGTGTAGTATTACGCAACTTGACACTGACACTAGCACTTGTAGGAGGCCTTGCGACGGTACGAGGAGCAGTTCGAGGGAGCAGTGAGCTTTGACGAGCGCGACGACCTCGAGTTCATCCCGAGCATCGTCGCCTAAGGGGCTTCCCCTTTCTACTACACCGGGAAGGGATCTACGTTTGGTGGAGAGAGTATTGTTTATGAGCGTACCTCTGGCTAGGACTGCGGTCCGCTTGATACCCAGGAAGTTGTCCACTACGTAGACCCGGCAGGAATAGGTTTCTCGAGATCTCTCTTCCGCGAGCCCTCCTCTGCTGGAAGCTGTGTGAGGCCGTTTGTGATATTACTACGTAGCACTAGTAACAAGGGGTGACGATGATGCGCCGAGGAGTACACATTGTGGCCTGTGAATGCTGACGTTACCTACCTACCTTATTGTTCTCTTAGGGCTAAAATCGGTTGTATATTACTGATTTAGAGGATCTACCTCTTACCTAGCTACCTAGTTATGTAAAGCCGGAACAGGGTAACAAGGTCTTAACAATGTAATCCTAAAACTCGGACGGTAACGAGCTGAGGTCTATATAGAAACTCGTAGGAACCATACCGAGAAACTTGGGTACCTACCTATACGAGGTATGTGCTAAAGAGGTAGGGATCCGAGTCAACCCTGAGTACCCGAGTCAAGTACCTGCGGGGGGCAAGTTAGGTATCTTAAGTATAACCAGGTGGAAACCAACCGGGAGGTACCTTCAGTCGGTACCTGATGGGGATTCAAGGTACATACAGGTACCTAGGCGAGTTAGCTGTAGCTGCTTATCGATAAGCACAATCCCCCTTTAAGCAATCTGTGGCTTATTTAATGCACTTGCCCCCGTCCCTGCTCCCTTCCCCTCCCACCCCCACCTTAAGTAATTCATCCGTTCACGTCGAAATTTCGAGAATTGACATTCCCTCACTCTTTGCATACTGCCTACCTCAATCTCTCAACCTCTCTCTTAACCTCTCCCTCTCTCTCTTTCACGCCGTGCTGCTACCGGGATCCTCCCTGACGCACACCTACACACACACCTACGTCTCTGCCTGCCTGCCTGCCGGGCGTGGTTTGCTCCGGCTGAGAGATTCGGATTCCTCCTAGGTATTTGTTGTCGGTGATTATTGTTTCGAATCAAGCCGTTGTCGAGGCCATCGTCTTCGCCAACTAACCACTAAGGGGAGGCTCAGCTAAGAATTCCAACCACCTCGGAAAACCCAGCGATCGTCATGGTATGAGAAGACCTCCCTCCCCCATTCCCTCCCCCGTTGTCTCTGTCCTATCGTGGCGTGCCGTGCCGTACCACACCCACCTCCTTATCGGCGTCTCGCGATATCGTTTACTAACTAGAGAGAATGAGAGCTAGGCTACAACAACAACAACAACGAAGCAACGCTTGGCGCTTGCCATCTGCGACTTCTTAAACACCTCGCTGACCGACGGCAGCCTCTCCGCCGAGGACAAGGACAGCATCGAAATCGCCGTGAACTGCATCGCCGACAGCTTCAAGGTTGACCCCACCGACTCCGCCGCCCTCTCTGCCGCCGTCGGCACCCAGAACCTGCTGCAGATCTACGGCGTCTACGAGAAGCTGAAGACGAGCTCCGCCTCCGCTTCCGCCGCCGGGAACAGCAACCCGCCTCTATCGCCGTCAGCGGCATCCGCAAAGAACCCTCCCCCCGCGGCTGGCGCGAGCGCCGACCCCAGCAGCACCACCGCCAGGCCGCCCACCGACGAGGAGAAGGCCCAGGCCGAGGACCTCAAGTCCCAGGGCAACCGCGCGATGGCGGCTAAGGACTACGCCGTTGCTATCGACATGTACACGCGCGCGCTGGGGCTGAACCCTACTAACGCCGTGTACCTGTCGAACCGGGCGGCGGCGCACAGCGCGGCGCGCGACCACGCGAGCGCCCGCGCCGACGCCGAGGTCGCCGTCGGCCTCGACCCGACCTACACCAAGGCCTGGTCGCGCCTCGGCCTCGCCCGCTTCGCCCTCGGCGACCCCCGCGGCAGCATGGAGGCCTACCGCCTCGGCATCGAGCACGAGGGCAACGGCGGCAGCGACGCCATGAAGAAGGGCTTCGAGACGGCCCGCCGCCGCGTCGAGGAGCTCGAGGCCGACGCGCTCGACGCCGGGCCCCGCGCCGCCGCCGCCGCCGCCTCCGCCGGTCCCGACCTGAGCAGCCTCGCGAGCCTGCTCGGCGGCCTGGGGGGAGGAGCCGGGGCCGGTGCGGGGGCCGGGGCCGACCGAGGAGCAGCCGGCGGCCCCGGCGGCTTCCCGGACCTGGGCTCCATCATGAACAACCCCATGTTCGCGAGCATGGCGCAGAGCCTGATGTCGAACCCGGAGATGATGCAGAACCTGATGAGCAACCCGCGGCTGCGCGAGATGGCCGACCGCTTCAGCAGCGGCGGCGGCATGCCCGACCTGAGCTCCCTCATGAGCGACCCCAGCATCGCCGACATGGCCCGGAACATGATGGGCGGCGGCGGCGGCGGCGGCGGCGGGAACGACAGCAACAACAACAACAACAACTCGGGCAGCGGCGGCCGGTGAGGCGCGGATTTGTAGAGGAGCGAATCCCCCACGTCCCCGTGCGTGCGTGCGTACGTCAGGCGTTCTACACACGGTCTCTTATTTTTTTTTTAAAAAAATCTCCGATCGCCCGTGCTGCTTACACTAGGGAGAGGAACAAGACGACGACGAAGAAGAATAAGGACGGGAGGAAAGTAGGAAAGGAACGAGAGAGCAAAGCAGCAGCAGCAGAAAAAAAAAGAACAAGAGATGTCACGACTTCCATCATGATCCTCCCCGATTCTATCGACTACCTACCTAGAACCTAGAGCGCCAGAGTGAGAATTTCTTGATCCTTTTTTGGGGGGGGGAGGACTGGTTTGGGTCGGGGTGGCAGGTATGTATGTATCTATGTATGTACGCGAAGGAGCCCACGGCGAGAGGGCGAGCGCAGGAGACGGGACAGGGATGGATGGATGGATGGATGGGTAGACCGGGCCGGGCCGGGCAGCGAAGAGAGGAGGAGGGTAGGGCCCGGGTTGGCGGGAGAATAGGGGGACGTCTGTAGGGCCTCCACCGACTTACTCTTCTTACTACTACCATGAGAGAGAGAGAGAAGAGAGAGAAGCCATCCTGGGTTTAGCATTCCGTGCGCCCCCCCGCTCATCATCGATGTGTCGTTCTCCCCCCTATGTGACTCTCCCGTCCGATCCCGCATCGCGGTGCTACCTAAACTGGAAAAAAAAAGGCTGTGCGTACGAACCAGCCCGGAATAGTGGTAGCAACCAAAATGTTGGGTATCACCCGCGAGGACGGGCAAAGCACGATTCCGTCTTAGGATGATGATACATTAATTTCTTATTCTCAGTCTAATAAAGCAACCTAGCAGCAGCCATGTACAATTCAAACCCGCATCGATCGAGTATCTAATGACTGCAGCATCGCGACCGGTGTATAAATGTACCGACAGCCACCACCACCTAAGGATGCTCCTCCCATGCGCCCCCCTTCCGCGGGGCCCAGAGGAGATGGACGCATAAGAATAGGTCGGGAGGCGATGGGGGAATGGCGACGGCCGAGAAAGGGGTAAAGGAAATAAAAAACATTGATCCTCGTCCGCACACTGCCTCTTTTTTTTCTCCCTCTTTTCCTTTCAACTCCATAGCCCATATACCGTATACGCACATACGTCACTGTCCGAGTTTTTGCTCTGCTTTTCTTTCCTCTAAACAACATGCCCCAATGTCCATGCCTCTTGTAAAAGTCCCGGATCTCATGTTTTCCTCTTCAAACGCCTAAGGATTGTGTAGGGGTCGAGTGCGAGAATAGCGAGGAGAGTAGGAAGGGGGGGACAACGTGCGCATACTCTCCTATCATTTCTTCTTCCCTTCTTTTTCTTCTTCTCCTTCTCCACCCCTCACATCTCGCGTGGCCGTGCCGCGACCAGCCGGTCCACCCAGTAGTATTAAGCATGAAAATCGTAGCGAGGTTGCGGCACCATCTGTAAAACATGTTTACAGGTGATAATGCCTAGACAGCCCCTTTTTTCTGTTCTTTCTTCGGCCTTGAGAAAAAATGGAAAAGAAAACGCAGGACGCATCCGTGAAACGACGGCCGTATGCGCACCCAAGAATTTGCAACGCCACAAAAGATCCACTCGAGAAAATGCGGGATTGACGTCTATTTATAAACGCGAGAAATGGTAAATAGGAAAAGGTTAAGGGTGGTATAATTGTCTCGCGCACGCAGCTGGGCCGTTATGTTGCGAAACCTTGCGGCGCCTTAGCGATTTGGCTTGGGGCTGGACGGATTGCGTCGTCGCCCTCTCCCTCCACGATAACGGGAGCGGCTTCGGCCGCGGGAACCGGCTCTGTTGCCTCTCGAGGATCCCTGAGACAGAGGCTCTATCCCCGAACAAGGGGGCTGGGGCTCGTTTTGCTCCTTCGAAGCCTCCTCGTCGCCCGGTTCGGAAGAGGTGGCAGGTGGGTTTGGTGTAGGTTGACTGACAGAGCGGACGGGGCTACTCGGGAGACATGACGACCGTTCGGGACAGGATACGGACTGGAGAGTGTTGCGGCGAGGCTTAGAATCAAGTATCTTTGGAACCGTTGATTCGGCAACCGAACCAGGGGGTGTCGTAGGCGATACGACGTAGCCATTGCCGTTTCTGGTCGGGGAAACACCCTCGTAAGTTCGAATTGCGGTACAAACCGACGCAGTGTCGTCGTTTGCCGCTGGTGGTGCATCACTTTTGTTGGCTTCCTCGAAATCCTCGGCCCAGCTGCAACGTGCGGGAGAGACATGCGTCGGCTTCGGCGCGGGTACGGAACGAGGTGTGAACTCCGGAGCGCCAGGATTCAACTTTGAACCTTGCTAGTCAGAGATCAGTACCAGTCAAAAAAATCAAGATTGATTCTTCGACGGATCTACCTCTTTCTTGTGGCCATTTGGAGTCTTCGCACCCTGCCCGTTAGCCTTGCCTGTCGCGACGGGTTTCGTGATGATTGGGGTGGACCGAGAGTCCAGGGTTCCGTTCGGGGCGTCCATTCCACCGTCGCGCTCGTCGGCAGAACCATCCGTCTGAGTCGCGATTGGCAATGCCCCGCAGGCGGCCTCCGAATTCTTATTGTCCTCCTTCGGCTCCTTGGGCTTGACGAAGATCTGTTTGGACCAGAGCTCGGCATACTTGCCTCCTCTACCGATCAAATCCTCGTGGTTTCCCTGCTCCACGATCTCCCCGTTCGCGACGACGAATATGCTGTCGGCGTTCATAACAGTTGAGAGGCGATGTCTGCATCAATATCAGCACCTTGAGCACCTTACGTAACTGATACTAAACTTACGCAACGATAAACGTAGTGCGACCCCGGCACAAGGCACGGAGGCCGTCTTGGATCTTCTGCTCGGTATCAGTATCGACCGAGCTAGTCGCTTCGTCGAGAAGAACAATTTCTGGACGTTTGAGGATGGCTCGCGCGATCGCGATACGTTGCAATTCGCCCCCGGATAATTTACTAGCGAGGTTAGCCGTCGTGACGAGCATCTCCCGACAGGAACCATCCACTCACACTCCTCGCTCGCCAACTCGCGTTTTATAACCCTCGGTGAAACCCATAATGTGATCGTGGATCGCGGCCGCTTTGCATGCGTCGTAGACTTCCTCGTCGGAGGCGGCCAACCGTGCGTATCTGATGTTGTTCATGACGGTATCGTCGAAGAGAATTGGTGACTGCGGAACGATTCCTATGCATTGGCGTAGGCTATGTACGTAGCGATTTGCGTTAGAATGGGCTGTCACAGTAGCACCGAGCAATAAGGAAAGGCGCCCCGATATCTAGGATGAAGGTCTGACGAGGGAGGGGCCAGAGCGTGAAAGGGGCAGGATAACAGCAGAGTTTATAACACATACCTCGAGATCGTCACATCACGAATGTCCTGGCCGTCAATCATGATAGAGCCAGCGGTCACGTCGTAGAAGCGGTCGAGAAGCTTCAGGATAGTCGACTTTCCGGCCCCGGTCGCGCCCACGAACGCCACGGTGGTACCTGACGGAACCGACACTTTCACGCCCTTCAAGATGTCCTTCTTCTTGTCGTAGCTGAAACTGACATTCCGGAATTCCACCCTTCCACCCTTGAGCTTGAGAGGCCGAGCATCGGACCGCTCGGTCACCGTCGGTTTCGTCGTCATCACATCCAGAAGCCGCTCGGCATGCACCAGATCCTGACTGATACTCTTGCCGAGTTGGGAGAAGAACCGCAAGGGCGACGTGAGCTGACCCCAATATGTCAAAAGCATGACGAAATCTCCCGCAGTGGCTTGGCCATGCGTGATCTGGTACACGGCTAAGAAAGCGCCGGCAAGTAGCCCGGCGAGAAGGATTAGGTACTGGAAAGCGTGCCCGATAAAGTAGCCGGAATACAGCGACTTGGCTGCTGAGACGTGGGTTTTCACGGCGACGCCGTATCGATTCTCCTCGTACGGAACTTGGTTGAAGGCGCTGACCGTCTGCCAGCCTTGAATGCCGGCCTGCCGAATATAATGCTCTTCGAAATACCTAGGAAGCGCGAGTTAGTGCTGCGGCGGGGCCCGGAGTACAACGCTCTCCCCACGACGGCTGCCACTATCGTGGGAGGGAGGCGCGTGGGGACTCGAAACGGTACGGTTGGGAGCCACTTACGTTTTCACCATCTTGCTCCTCCTATCCTTGTAGTTTGCTATGATGTGGGCGGCGGTCTGGATAAACGCGGTGCCCGTCGCGATGGTGATAAAACCTTCGTACGGGCCGAACTTAGTAGACAGGTACGTAAAGGCGATAATCAGGTCAATCATCATCGGCAAGGCCTGAAAGCATATCGATTCGAGCATGTTAGAGATAGAGGTCCCGTTGGAAATGGCCACGATGAGGTCCGAGGAACTCTTGGAATCGTGAAACTCGGACGAGAGGTTCATGATGTGAGAGTAGGCCGCGACAGTGAGCGTCTCCTCGGAGTAATACTCTATAGGAAGCCACAGCATCTGTCTCAGGAGGTTGATTCCAGCCTCCGAGGCCAGGAGGCGAAGGCCGGCGAAAATCGCGACCTGGACCCACGGGTTCTGGTCCGACACGCCGCTCAGCGAGTCCATAACGGCACCGTATTGGCGGGGTATCAGGAAATTGAGGGCGTTGCCGGCCAAGAGGCATAGGCCAACCAGAGCAGCATACAGCTGCAGCCGGCGGTTATTGACGGGCCAGATGTAGGGAAAGAATATGAAGAACCCCTTGACGTATCCGAGCCAGTTTCCCTCGTTCTTCAAGCGCTTCTCAATCTTCTCGCGAGAGAGGCGCTCCTGGCGCTCCCAGGGCGATTCAGGGTCGCTCGGAGAGTTGGTCTCCGTATTTGTCGTCTCCGTATTGGTCGCATCCGTATTGGTGCCATAGCCACTATCGGCCGACGCATCCACGCCGTCTGGACGTTGATTCGGCTTGGGGATCAGCGGCGCCCGCTCCTCGTCCTCTGCGTCCACACGGCCCGTACGCCCGAGCGAGTACGCCAAGACGACGCCCAAAGCAATAATACAGCGGACGATGACGATCGAGGCGTCGAGACGAAGCATCAGTGGCAAGTTATCATCAGCGATAGGATCTGACGAGGCGGACCCGTGGGCAGCGATAAAGGAGAGCGCTGCGTTGACGGGCTCTAAAGCCAGCGCAATCAGCCACGATCCATAGAATGGATACCAGACACTGCGCGATTCGCCCGCGAGACTGTTCTGCTCAATCCCGAAGGCCAAGATACAGGACAGCAGACCAATGATAGTGTCCTGTGACGGCCATCGTCGCCATACGATGATCTCGACAACTCTGAGGACGGCCTGGACCACGAACGTGGCTATGAATAGGAGCAAGAGACGGAATATGGCCCGGCGCCGTGGATGGACGCCCTTCGCGGAGTCGGACGTCTGCAGCCTACAAAAGGCGACAGTCGACGAGATGGAAAAGTACAGGAACACAGAAAGCGGGTAGACGTAATGAAGCGTGGCCTGCAGCCGTTGGAGGTGCTCGGGTGTCATTTCTGCTCTTTTCTCTTATTTATTTCCCTTCTTTTTTTCTGGTTTGTCGTCTGGTACCGCAACCCGAGCGAGGCTATCGAGTCCGGAGCAGACAGAGAGCGAGTCCAGGTGGACAGCCGGAGTGGGGACTCGACCAGATTCGAACCAGACTCGACGATGTGAGGCAAACTGACGAGCGAGGTTAGGAAGAGGGAAGAATGAGCTTGACCCTGGATGTCGGACGTTGGTTAGGTCGGATCGTCAATAAGAGAGTAAAAAAGAATTTAAAAAAAATTAACACAAAAGGGGGACTTTGAAAATTACATCAGGCCGGGGAAGGGACGAGCAACGAGAAGAACAGAAGCGGACTCGACCGGCAGCTTCGACGGGAGAAGGAGCAGAAGGAGCAGAGAATGAACGGAAAGAACGAGAGAGTGCGGGTGAGTGAGTGAGAGGGAAACAGCGACGGGCCGCCTTCCGGGGGTCGAGGCTATGAAAGGCGGCGGGAGTGGCAGCCGGCGGCCGTGGTGACTGAGGAAGACACGAACGCCAGGGAGGCTCCGGTGGTGCGAGTGACGCGAGGGCATACCGAGGGGGTGAAGTCAGGGCTCCGAGAGGCATCCAGCTAGGGAGACAAGTGCGAAACGGCCCGAGGCATGCGCTCCGAGAGTCTTATGTGTATGCGTGCACAGGCAAGTACACGTGCGCGTATACATGTGCGTATGCGTGTGTATATACACGTGTTGCGTGTATGTGTGCATGTGTATGTGTGTGTGTGTGTGTGTGCGTGTGTGTGTGTGTATGGAGCGACGGGAATGGGTAGGGACCGGCGAGTGCGTGAGAGTGTAAGTGCAGAACGAGTGAGTGCAGAGCGCGGTTGGAGTGTATGGCAAGACAAGCTACGACATGCAGCACAGGACCGCCCATGAATCACTTCAGAGACGACAGCGGGTGCTGCTGGAAGGTATAGCCAACATGATGGCTGTTGTCATCGTCATCGTCTTCTTCTTCCTCTTCTGTTCCTCCTCCTCCTCACCCTCCTCCTCACCCTCCTCCTCCCTCTGGTTCTTCCCGTCTCACTGCCTCCTACTTGGTCGAACTGGTCAGGGCGAGCGGCAAGCAGCATGAGATGACGGGCCACGGCCTGTCGGGCGCTAGACTCCGGGACGCCGGAGCGACCATAGCGCCCATTAAGCACACGAGCGACTGGAATGGATAGACAGTGCCATTATATTCCAATGAGGCTAAGTAAACAACACCCAGCTCGGCTGGGCACCAGTACTCGGGAACGCGCGACACATGAGAGGCGGAGGTGGGTGGTAGATCAGGTTACAAAACAGGAGAAGAGGGAGCGAAGGAGGATATGAGAGGGAGCGGAGCGGAGCGAGAGCGACGGGGGCAGTAGATATTGGAGGGATAGAAGCAATCAGCGTCTCCGCCTTGGGCCTTTTTTATATGTCTTCCTAGCTTGAGAGGTCACCCCGAACCAGCACCTTCTCCTCTCATCATAGGTAGGTTTACCCCCCGTGCGCGCGGGCAAGCGACAATAGATGGAACGGGCAAATGGTAGAGAGGTAGTAGATACGCAACACCAACTTACCTAGCTATCTCATGAGAGGTGCTTTTAGCACCACCGAAGGCCGTTCTCGCGTAGGTCAGAGGTAGATAAGTTAAGGGTGCTCTCGCGCCCTGCTGCGGTCACCGCTGTCGTTGCGCTGCCGTTCCTTGTTCTCCCCCTCCTTCGTTTATGTAATAAAGATGGAAAGGGGCCTGGGCTCGAGCGCGTAGTTGTCGGTTCGCTGCCGGCTCGGGAAAGGGACGCGCCGGAACGCTTTTTGCCGTCCGATAGGCGGATTCGCCGTTGTAAGGTCTCTCTGCTTGCCTGGTACCAACCGGGCCTCAGAGTGCGCCGGCCACGTGGAGAAGGATCCAGCTTGGGGTCAGCCCTACAACGATGTACGTCCGGGCAGCAGTTCACGAGCAGCAGGAAGTCGGGTGAGGTCACACCTTGACAACGAACCATGCTAGGCCACAGTGGGTGAGTTAGTGAGCCGGACGGTAGGCTTTCGACCTGAAGGAGGAAGGTGAGGTTTACCAGCCAACAGGTGAGACCAGGACTAGCCGGATGGTCCAACAGCAGCCGTTCTCGCGTCTCGGCCTCACTCAATACTCAAGGTCGGGTCGCCGAGTGCTGAGAGAGGTGAGACGGGACACATGACTTCGTGTGGCACGCAGCGCTGTGCAAGAGAGGCACGACAGGACCCAGAGACATCAATCACCTTCCCCCTTCGCAGTGGCCGACGTTCTCTGGGCCCATCTAATTTCGCAAGCTATGGATCATGCGGCAAAGAGCGAGGTCTAGACAGAACTGCGTAGTAACGCTAGACTCATCTCGGGTTGCTCGGGTCGCCTAGCCGGGCTCTTCATGGCATAAGGCGAAGGCCTAGGAACGGGGAAGGGGGTATAAAACTCCAGAGCATCGGCCCTCTGCTGCTCAGTGCGGCCCGCCGGTTTTTTTCTTTTCTTCTTCCACTCTTCCTCTTCTTTTCCGGAGGGCGGTGTGGAACTATTACACATGTATGTTGTTTGTACAGGCGTGTGATGGGGCGGATATCCATGTGCATCCGCGGAATGAAAAAAAAAAGACTAGAGAAGGAAAATTCGCCGACGCCGGCCAGCAGGGTTCGCTTGCCGTCCGCCTCAGTCCCTGTCCGGTGCGTACGCGCCCATGTACACATCGTCGAGCTCGGACTATTGAATTGAGGCTGGCTTGGATTTCTTCTCTTCATTTCACTTGGCTCCGTCCCGCGCGCCGCCCCCTAGCAGCATAGTTCATAGTCTACTCTGTATGGTGTGTGTATGTGTGCGTGCGTGCGTGTGTGTGTGTGTGACCATCGACGCCACTGACCAGGTTGGCCAGCTTATTGAGGCTGACAGGACACCTGGAGCAAACGCCGGAGACAATCGAACCAGATCCGAGCCGCTGGCTGGGAGACCGAGAACGCGGTTTGTGGAAAGGGGATTTTCTCCTCCCCCTCCCTCGTTCTCTCTCGCTCCTCTCGACAAGCCGTCCTAGCAAACGCCGGAAATTGAGACGGGATCGTTGGTCGGTCGTAGGAGTACATCTATTGTACAAGTGACACGTCAGTCCAAATCGGGATCCTTGTGGCCGTGAGCTAGGAGCTTCTACGTACGAGACAGGGGAGACATTGTACGTATGTACCTAAGAACAGGGGGGGGATTACTAGGGGAGAGACAAGCATCATCAGCCTGCGCGGTCACCAAGTTCTGGCGCCGTCCACAGGTCGGTAGGTAAGCCGATAGCTCTCACCGATAGGCCCCCAACTGCTTCCCTCGCACACCGAGTGTGTGCGCCCAGAGTCACCCCTCATCGGGAAGTGGACGGTCTTCGCGATATGGCCTCACCCGGTACCGCAGTCCGAGGGTAGGTTGAGCCGGCCGTCGAGGGCACTGTATCCGACAACTATGTTCACGTGTGTGTATGTACGTGCGTATGTATGCCTACCACAGTATGTTAGCATTGGTGTCGGCAGACGAGACAACAACCGGCTAGGAGCAGCTCACCTAACGCGGTCCTAGAACATGGATCGGAAGCGAGACTTGGCGAGATAGGCGTATGGGAGATCCCGACGGACCGCAGGCGATTGAGGGGCGTCATATAGATTGCTTTTTGTGATTGATTCCGTTAGCCCATCGACAGCCGTCAGGGTTCAGAACGCGGGCGGGTTGAGAGGGGGAAATATCTCGGCGGTTACTCTGAAGCAATGGAGAGGATCTACCAATGTATGGTTCGCATGTCCGTAGGAGGTTAGGTACCCACAGGTGATTGGTCGCAAGGTTAACGTAATGTTAATGTCACTCTCCTCAATCCGATCGAAACTCGACGTAGAGTCGCGGTAACGTGCCGCCGTACGTGCCTCTTACTGTTAAATACCTACCTCCTCTGTACCTTGGCCATCCCCATACAACCACCCAACTCCTTGGTAGGTACCTAACTTACACGTTTACATGTTAGGCAGGCAGGTCCCTAGGAGGTTGTAGGTAGGTACCTAGGTCTAGATGTAATTATCTAAGATTAGGTACTTGAGGATCGAGGTTTAAGGCACTGCCTGTGTCTAGAGGTACCTCATAGAAAGTACACTCCTCCTTAGCACCTAGGTGTCTCCCCCCTTAGGTGCAGGTACCTAGGAGGTGAGCATAAAGATGCCCCTTACAGCGCCGGCCTCCTTTTTAGTGGATGCGAAGCGTTACCTGAGGTATGAGGGTTGTATGTATGTATGTACCCCCCTATATGTTGGTGCCTGTAGGTGTACACCATACAGAGGTAGAGGCAGAGGTATAGATCGACATCGCCTTCGAACAGCAAAATATGATCATCAGGCTGTTCCTAGTTATGTGCTGGAATTAATATATGTACGTTTTAGCCTACGGCTCTTCTCCGCCTCTCTGCGACCCCGCCTATATCCTTCCACCTGACGTATACGGTAAACGAAAGAGGCTGAAAGGTCTACCTACCTAGGTAGGTACCTAGCTAGGCGGGTATGCATGTTTCAGTATCGGTACAAGCATCTGCACGTATTATATGCACATACCGCCTGTCTGCCTGCCTGCCTAGGTGCTTGCCTTACTACCAATGCGTACATATGTACGTAAGTAGGTGTGAGATATGAGGCACGTATGCAGGCATGTAGGCATGCGGGTATGCGGGTATGCATGTACGGGCCGAATTGTATGCCTACATAGTACCTACCTAGGCAATATATATGTACGTATTATGTATGTATGCATGTGTGGTGTGATGCATACCTGCATATGTCCGGAGGTAGAATAAGTCCTCAGCGCCGCGCACGCCAACGCCTGCCTAAGGTGGCAGTAATGATATACCTAAGTATACCGTGTCAGATCTAGGTATAACCTTCGCGTGCGTGTCTGATCCGTTGTCTATCATCATGGCTGAATATGACATGACATGCCCTAGGTAGGCATCTACTTAGTTATTATATGAGCATCTGTCTCTCTTATATTATACCCGAGCTTACTTTCTTTTTCCGCACGTACGTGTAGGTGCCTCTTCACGCCGATTCGATAGGCAATGCCTGTAACATATCTCATACCTCTTACCTGCCTACCTACCTACCTACCTACCTACCTACCTACCTACCTACCTACCTACGCTTCCAACATGTACGAGGCCGTTAACCGGACCGCGCAAACCGCGCCTGGATGCAGCCCGTAAACCAACAAGTGCGTAAAAACAGCAGTTGGCAGATTCGCAATAGAGTGTTGGCTGCACCGCGCTCCAACACCCCGCGTCCAGACAGTCCGGGAGTCTAGTCATGTACGTGGCAATCCGCTCCGCTTGTTGGTATGGGTATGCCTACGCCTCGAGCTTCGTATACTACCCATTCTGCGCCTTAGGCTATCTCGGTCTTCGGCGGTAATCGACGTTGGGGGGAGGGGGGAATGTCTCCCCGCCGAGCCAACCATCCCCTCGTATCGTATGGCTAGCATTCCTCCGCGTATAATATTAGCAAGTACCTACCTATACGGTGATGGTGTATGCTGGTGAGACCGGGTCGGGGATACGGGAAAGGAAAATACACGCGAACAGGCTACATATCTCCCGTCGTTTCCTCTGCGATTGACGTCGAAGGCACGTTGCGCGGCGTGATTCGCGTGAACGAATGCCCCCGAGTTTTGTCTGCTTAGTAGATTTTCGCATGCAGCAGATTCTCAGGCCCTCAATTGCTTCACGCACACTTGGTCTAGGGTGCAGACTACCCATCCTGAGCTCTGATCGAGGCGTAGCATTCGTAACATGAGGCCTAGCCCGCCGCTACGCTAAGTAGCATGTGACGTCGCTAGAGCGGCGAGGCTCTGGGTGGTGCACCCGGCTACTCAACATGACAAGCCTCGAGCCTCGCCGAGGTCTTATTATAGACACCGTACCTACAGATCATCGCACGATGGCCCTCTCAGATCCCCGGGATTTAAGCAGCAGCACGGCGACCTCGTGGCTCACATGAGCAACGCATCATGCAAGAGCGGCGATGCTATTGCGCGTAAGCAGCTAAGGCTGCGTGTCATCTTGCATATGGAAATCAAGGCAGACGGCGTTCAATCAACTGCTCCGTACTAGGTAATAATAATCGCAGCATCAGATCCCGTAGCAGGACCACGTCGTTTGCGCAGCCCCCAGGCACTTATCCGATTCAACGGAATCCCCTCCGCCGCCAATGCCCGGCGGGAATAGCCTTACTCTCGTAGACGGTCGTATGCGCCGATTTCCTCCGGGAAAGATTCCGAGGAGGGGTATCGAAGAACCCCTCTCCCCGACCCTCATCATGTAGACTTTCCCCAAAATCCCGAAGTCGAGCAGAGCCGCAACAGCGAGAAACGACTCGGGAAGCAGAGTGAAACGTAGGGTATATTTCCGATCCTAGATCTCCTCTTTACGTCTCCTCCCCCTATATTTGTTGCTCTTCCGATAGTATAACCCCGGGCTCGGGACAACGCAGCATAGAGGCATCTATCGCGGGCGGATAAGAGTAACTCGTAACCGCCGGTAATCACGGCGGCGCCTGGGACGTAAGAGTTTATTTCGACACGTCATCAACTTTTACCAACTGTTGTAAGACCGAGGGAATTTTTCTAGTTATTTCTTTTTTTTCATTACCTCGTGGTCTCCTGCTGACACTTCCACGTGGCGAGTAGCGCACATCTGGCGCCATCTGGTGTCATGAGCTGAGAAGACTTTCTGGGTGGAAATACGATGCAGCAGCAGTCTTATCTTGACCGTTGGGATCTTTTGTCCCCCAAAAAATCATGCTGTCATATGCCTCTTCAAATTCTCAGCTGGCGAGGGGAAATGTTTCCGTTGCCCCCGATTCGAGTGCGTGAGGGCCTTTGATGGGTGATTACCTGCATCCCATACCACAACGACGGGAAGGTTGCGTGATGGTCACGGCACACAGAGACAAGATCCTCGAAAGACCGGCAACGGGCGTGCCGTGCCAGGACCAATCTGCGATGCCCAACTTTCCGAGACGATGATGCTGTGGCGCTCGTGTTCCAGAGTTGGGCTATGTACCTACCTATGGTTATCTCAGTCAGCCCATAAGAAGCTACGGGGTATAGCCTATTGCCCGAATACCACAGCCTCCAGAGACTCGGCGAGAGGACGGCGACGAGAAGCTGAATCGGTTTCAGGATGACGATCGCCTCGAAAAGGAGAAATCGCCGTTGGGGCCAATGTTCCCATAGTTACTCCTATCATGTACGGATATGTGGGATTCCGCGCCTGTAGAACAAGGTAAGGTAACTGACGAACGGAACACGATGGGGGGAACCAGACACGTCAAGGTGCATGAATTTCGAGTCGACATACTATTCGTCGTGATACGGAGTAGGAGTTCCTGATATTGAGCCAGCCTTGCCCCAGGCACACGTGGTTGGACGAGTAATGTCTGCTCAGCCTATATGATATGGAGGAGTTGCTAAGTTATATTATTACCATATAATAGAGTAACCGTTTATTCATTTCTGGTTCGATTCACGGCCCCGAACCACACACGTGCGCACACGACATATACATACCTATATATAGGCAGCTACGCGAATATAATATGTGCCAAAATTAGGATGGGGGATACCAGGCCAGAGGAAGAAGAGGCATCGGCACGCTGTTATAGTAAGGGGTTTACCAAGTCGACGAAACCAACGTCTTCCGAATCACTCCCTCTTGCTTGACATAAACGCGCTCGGCTTCCGCCATCTTCCCCGTTCCCTGGTCTAATAGCGGAAAGGTATCCGACAGGTTAGTAGGCCACTGGGCCACTGAGCGTGATGATCGACCAGTAGATCCTGAACAGTGCTCAATGGGAAGAAAAGACACTGTCCCCAACCCCACCGTCGACTACGGTAAATGTTATAGGCATAGGTACTATCTATACAAATATCATGGAGTAATATATGTGTAGGTATATGCGTATGTACGTAGGTATAATATGCCAAGTTGCGGTCCGTCGATTCTTGACGAACATACTTCAGATCCTACTTTAATAGACGTAGATGTTATTAAACCCCTAGGCAAGATCAGGAAAACTGAACCGAGGGGAAGTAAACGACTGGCACTATTCCAAGACCTCGAATGCATTCCAACCCATTCAACCGGACTCACCGGTCTCTTCCTCGATGAACATCCCTTCAAAGCTATCACCAAACGGGATAAAAGTGGCCGTGCCGTCGTGATAAACTAGGTCAACAGGGGCCCAATAACGGCCTGGTCCTGGCAACAAATTGCTGCCTATCTAAGCCCAACCTACGAAAACGGCCTAGTCCATGGAACTCTAGGAAGTCGAACGAGACCTCGCGCGCGTGCCCGTCTCATCTACCGGTTGGTTCTATAGGGGTCGGTGTGATCGTCGTCGTCGTCGTGGCCGTCACCGGTTCTGCGCAGCCCAAGCTATCGAGATCCCTTTACCCGCCACCCCGCCATTTCGCGTGGCGTGACAACCGAACGAGCGATCGCGATGGCCAACACCGCGCCCAAGGTCGCCGCCGAGGAGCGCCAGGAAGCCCCCGAGGCGATCGACGAGAAGGCGGAGGCGCTGGCGACGCAGATGCGGAAGAGCAAGCACCTGATCGTCTTCACCGGGGCGGGCATCTCCACCTCAGCTGGTCAGCTTCGATTCCACGCCGGCGGGGCCGGGGCGGCTTCCGGGAGCGTGGCACAGGGTCTAAAGTCTCGATAGGTATCCCTGATTTCCGCGGCCCCGAAGGCGTCTGGACGCTCCGGGCCCAGGGGAGACGGCGGGCGGACGCCGTGGACACGCTGCAAGCTGTGCCGACACTCACGCACATGGCGCTGGTGGAACTGCAGAACCGCGGGATGCTGAAGTATCTCATCAGCCAGAACTGCGACGGGCTGCACCGGAGGAGCGGGATTCTCCCAGTCAGTCAGCTCCACCCCCTCCCCTGGGACTTGGCCTTGACCAACAACCCTCTTTCCTCTCCGCCTTCGCCGTGACAGGACAAGATATCCGAGCTCCACGGCAACAACAATCGCGAGCAGTGCAGGGACTGCGGGAAGGAGTACATCCGCGGTACGCCTCTTGTCCCCCCCCCCCCCCCCCCCCGGCGACACCGCTTACGCGAGGCAGACTTCCGCGCCGTCGCGACGTACGAGAAGACGGTGCACGACCACCGGACGGGGCGGAAGTGCGCGCGGTGCGGCGGCACGCTGGTCGACAGCATCGTGAACTTCGGGGAGGCGCTGCCGGCGGAGGCGCTGCGGCCGCCGCGGACCTGTGCCTCGTGCTCGGGTCCTCGCTGACGGTGACGCCGGCGAGCGAGATCCCCGAGGCCGTGGGCCGCCGCCGCCGCGCCGCGCTCGCCATCTGCAACCTGCAGGAGACGCCGCTCGACGGGCTCGCCCGGCTGCGCGTGCGCGCCCGCGCCGACGACCTGATGCGCCGCGCCATGGCGAGGCTCGGCCTGCCCGTCCCGCCGTTTGTGCTCCGCCGCCGCCTCGCCGTCCGCGTCGAGCCCGACGCGCCCCCCGCCACCCACCGCCAGCTGCGCGTCTCCGGGCTCGACGTCGACGGCACCCCGGCTACCTTCCTGCACTCCGTCAAGCTCGAGTACAACCGCCGCGTCGCGCGCGCCGAGCCGTTCGTCATCCAGCTCCGCGGCGACCTCGACCCCGGAGCCCAGCTCAAGCTCGTGCTGGAGTTCATGGGACACTACGGCGAGCCGAACCTCGATCTCACGTACGAATACGGCGGCGATGGGGCCGACGCCCAGGCACTGTATCTCCTCGAGTACAACCCCCAGACGGGCGAGTGGAGGACGAGCCGGCTGGAGAGCCTGGATGCTGATGGGGACGGGACAGCAGCAGCTGCTGCTGCTGCCCAAGAGGAGGACGCGGGAGGAGTTTCCACGAGGAGTGAGACGTTGCCGAACGCTGTAGCTAACCGCCCCGCTCCGGAGGTCATTGTGATAGATTGACTGTGACTAGTTCTACCTAGCTGTTGATTCCACCGCGCGACGAAAGCGTTCATGTTTATGAAGCCACTCAAATTGCTTAAACGCTTACAGACGGCCTTAATTAGTTCCGTTGAAAATGACATGCAATCAAACGCGGACTAAGATCCGCACAGTTCTCTTCGTGTTGTAGCCGACGCCCCAATCCCCCCTTTCTCTCCACTCCTCCTAAGGACCGTACTCCTCGTACACCCCGCGACACCCGAGCACCCATCCGAGCGCGACGGCGGCGCGCATCAGTGTCTTCGTGGCCAGGATGCGGGCGCCCGCTGCCCAGGCGTCCCAGGCGGGGAGGAGGACGACGGGGTAGTTGTCGGCGCGCCAGAAGAGGATCCACAGTTCCAGCGTCAGGAGCAGGCTCAGCCATCGCCCGCCCCTCCCGCTCCCGCTCCCGCTGTCACCTTCGTTGTCGCTGTCGCTGCCGCTGGGGCCATCCCGCGACGCGTCGAGGATGAGCCCGTTTAGGTTCCGGAAGAACACCGCCTTCGCGCCGTCCCGCGGCTCCGTCCACTCGCGTACGACGAGCTCGGCCTCCCATTCAGCTTCGTCTTCGGCTCCCTCGTCCTGGGCCCCTTTCGGTCCTTCTACCGCTCGCCTCGTGCGCCTCTTCCGCACCCCGTCGTCGCCACCCTCCTCCGCCTCCCTCCCTTCTCTTTCTTCCGCCCCCTCCTCTTCCTCTCTGCTCACCCCCTTCCTCCTCCCCACCCGAGCCCTCCTCCACTCGTGCACCACCCCCCTGGGCACCCTCACCACGCCGTCTCGGGGCCCGACTTCCGTCACCGTCGCCCCTCCACTTCCTGGCGTTCGACTGTCACCGCCGCCCCCGAGCGTGACGCGCGCCCGCCCCGCCACTACTTCCAGAAACTCGACGTGCGCCTCGTGCCAGTGGGCGCCCGAGGACCAGGTCGAGCCCGGCGGCACGCGGATGGCAGTGGTGCCGTCGCTTGACGAAGAGAGCGAGAGGTCGTACACGACCGCCGCGGGGAAGGGCCGCGTGAAGATGGTCTGCTGCGCCCGGTTGGTACGGGTTGGCATGGTTGCGTGTGTGGCAGGATGCGCAGGATATCAGGTAGATATGTAGGTATGTAGTATGAGGTAGGCAAGCGAGTAGAGAAGGTAATAGTAAGTAGGTAGATACAAGATTGCCTACTATGGTAGTGAAATTAGAGAGGCGGAATAGGGGAAAGCGTGTTCCAACCAGCAGAGGAATGTCGCGAGCAGCAGGTGCATAGTAGTTATTATATACCAGCGAGCCTGGTATTCCTTAACCCGGTTGACAACCCCCGCGGCCTGTGTGCGCTCATTGGGCTGATGGATGATAGTGGCGATGAGGACAGAGTGTGCCGTTGCTGTGAGAGTCCATCCGTACCTGTACTACTAAATAACACGTTGCGATCCATGGCGTGCCTCGCAACCAGGGTCATCGACCTCTCGTATTACGAGGAGGGGGAAAGGGAGGGGAGAGGGATAAGATCAGTGGAGGAGCGATATTGTTGTCTTGTCTTACAACGAGGATGCCGCCGATAACAAGCGCCATTGTGGTATGCATTGGTATAGGTATATATATGTTACCTAGTAGTCAGGTCTGTATAGTTGCTTTATTGACACTCAGTGTCTACTTGGTGCATATGGGTGAACATGTCTCCGAGCGCATTGCGCCGATTGGCATTATCGTCACCGTCGGGCTCCTACAGTAGCAAGGCCTAGCCCGCTGCCCTACGGCCATTTCGACGAATCCCCGTGCAGTCGTAAAACCTCTCGCATTGAGACCGAATCCAAGACAGCCACTACACTCATGCGCCCATGCGTTTTCCTGTCTTTTTTCTCCCGTAGCGCTGGCGCTCTGGCGTCATCTCGTTGGCTTATTCGTTTGTTCGCTCGTTCGTTCGTCTCTTCGAATATCGCTACCCTTATACGAAGGCATCTGTTTCCACCACCTCATGCCACGATGTCATACTGCTACCTATCGTATTAAGTCGCGACGAGCCTAGGCTCTTACCTTCGTTGCTGCTGTTTACCAGCCCAGAAAACGCTGGTTTGTCGAGTTTGTGACGTTCGCTGCCGCTTTCGTGTTCTCGGTCTTGGGCTTCTTATTTCGCCTCCTTCAGCGGCGTAGGTTTCTATTGTCCGCGTTCTTGATCCGTCGGAAAGGCTGGTTCATGATCTTCCTATACTTTACCCACAGGAAGAAAACGTCCTTCAGCACGACAAAGAGACATCCACCGACCAAACTCCGTCCCCACCTCTCCTGCAGTATGCTCGTGTTCGGGCCTGAGGCTGGCCGCGTGATAAAGCGCGAGGGGAGAGCGAGCCGCAATAGCTCGCCCATGCCGTAACAGACGCTGGGGTAGAGGAGCGCCCCGGTGATGAAGTTAATCGGGGAAATGACGGGGTCCAGGCCCCTAACCTGGCGATTATTCTGAGGATCCTCCTCGGCGTCATCAAACCCTATCTGAATATTGATGCGAAGGTCGAAGGCGTCGTTCCCAGGCTGCGGCAACGGAGCCTCGACCATGCCTTGTCGCTGGGCCATCGTGTCGGCTGGAAGCATCTTGGCCGACTGGGCCAGCCATCTCCTCTCGAGACTTCTCGATATTATGTTGTGGAGGTGGAAGTAGGTCGCCTTCACGGCTGGGTATAGAGCCAAGGCTCTCTGAGGCGACGGCGGCCACGAGACATACTCCGTCGTCGTCTCGTCGAGAAGTGCCGCGTACTGTTAGGCGTCGTGTTAGCGAGAGGGCCCTGACAATCGTGCCCGCCGCGTGCCGCGTGGTGAGAGGAATTGCTTACTACTAAAGAGGTAGGTATCAGGATAACTTCGCCTAGACGAAGTCGGTTGAGGATGAGAGCTGGGGCGATGAGGGGCAATAAGCTGAAGTGCAGCAGGTTGAGCGGCGGCCCGCGGCGACCGTCTTCTCCGTAATAAGGCTGGCGCATAACGTCCATCAGAGTCACGTCCTCGGTGTTGATGAGGAAAGCCATCGTGGCGTCGGGGCCGGCGAACCAGTCGATCGCCTTCGCGCCGTACAAGGAGCTGGTCACCACGGCACTAGAGGCGATGAAGCCGAGCAGGATCCTCGGGGACCAGTCGCTGAAGACGCGGTGTAGCAAGTTGTTTAACTGTATGGCGAAGTCCCACCGGTCGGTGATGATGATGGGAGATCGGCAGACGGGACACTTGACATCCTTGCCTTGTACCTGTAGGTCGGTGACCCAGGCGAGCAGACAGTCTTGATGGCCCTCCAGGGAGCACCTACACGGCGTCGACCAGTCGGCAGGGAGGGCGGCCTCGGGCTCATCGACGAGGCACACGAAACATCGGCGAGTGTTCGGCGGAGGGCCGGAGACCTGGGGTGCTGACGCAGCTACGTCGCTTAACGATTCAGGGTGAGCCGCAGAGGTAGAGGTAGAGGTCGGAGAGGTCGGAGAGGTCGGAGAAGCCATGGCGGGGGGAATATCGTACCTGGGCCGTCCGTCCGCAGGTGTTAATTGGGTGCTGATGGGGTGGGTATTGTGGGAGGACGGCGCTCGGGGATCCAGTGGCGCTTGTGTCAAACCTAGTTGTCGCCCAGTGGCAGCATCCTAGACGGTGATCTGACTAGGTGGTGTCGAGTTGAGAGCTACGCTGTCGTCGACCGCGAAAATGTAGATTCTTCGTCGGGCTCGCTGCTCATGTGACAGTCGTCGCGAAGGGCTCCGCACTCGTCCGGTGTCGTATGTATCCTATCAGGTAGGTCTGTGTGGTGTTGTGTTGTGTTGTGTTGTGTGGTACACGTATTGAAATACTCGTACTGTGGTGTGGTGTGTTGTATTATTGTGTTGTATTGTGATCGTGACATGGGGACCTCGCTGCACAGGCGTCGAGGTGATACAATGTTATGCACTTATGAGTGAGGATGTGTTGGTAGTAGGCGTGGGGCCTACGCATCTATATATATATGCATAGCACGTACATATCTACTGCATACATACATAGTGGATAGGTACCTACTATATATATGCAACATCGGTAACGTGCAATTACACACCCGCCTCTTCTCTTGAGTACCTAAATTTGATCAAGGAGCCGAACAAGCCTATCCATAACTGCATATACGTATATGTATATTAATCCTTATAGCTGTGTATGTATTTATCACTTGCCGTCTCTCCTTTAACAGATCAGATCGCCGGTCGACATCCATTACATACCTTCCTACTAATAAATCCCCCCCTCAGTTGTATCGACACACTCGGTTCAGGAATAAACCACTTAACCTCAGTATGCTGCCACCCTACTTCAGCCACCTGTGTGTGTGTGTGTGTGTGTGTGTGTGTGTGTGTGTGTGTGTGTGCTTGTGGGCTTACGGATTCCCCAGTCGTCTCGGCCGTCCTCGCGGCTCTCGCTTCCAGCGCAAGTCCTCATCCTCACGTCCCGTCTGATAGCATGCCGTTCGACACGCGGGGGCCACGAGTCTATCCATTTGGCCGCAGAGGAGCCGTGATAATATACGCGCCCTCTTCGTTGCCGTCGCAGAACCGCGGGCAGCCTCGCGAGCCTATTAGTTGAGCCTGAACGGTGCTGGCCATGTTGGTAGTCAAGATGAGGCCTGCGTCCGAATGGATGGTTAATATGTAGACGAGCCCGAACCCCAGCTTTTCCCCCAGGTTTTCTTAATGAAGACGAGGCGGGGTGTTCACACCTGGTAGCACGGCAATTGGCGTGATAGCTCGTAGGTATATCACAACGCCTTGCGAAACCCGTCTTATCCTACTCTTCTACTTTATTAACGAGGCCGCTGTCTTGCTTGCCTGCTTGGCTCTCGCCTACCGCGGGTACGTGATTCCATCTTAGCTAACTGTTGGCTCGCCTCCCCCCCTTCTCTGTCAGCTCTACTCGCTTCTCTTGTTTATTGCCCATTCCTACGAAGGCATGGCGCGGCCGCGCATACCAAGAAGGAGCGGCATTACCCTCGCTGCCCTGCGCATTCTCGCGATGGGGGCATCGGTGGCGCTGCTGGCGAACCTGATCTACGGCAGCGTGAATTGGGGACAGACGTTTGGGCTCTCGTTTACGATGGTAGGGGGCGTCCCCGCGAAAAGAAATGCTATATATATACAAGTATCTGCCTCACGTCAACAACGGCTAAACTGCGATGGCCCAGGTTGCGATCGCACTCCTCGTCGACGGCACTGAGCTCGCGGGCCTGCTCGACTCGTCGCGCGCGATCCCGCGCGTCCATCCGGCGTGCGTGAACGTCGGCGACATAGTCGTGTTCTTCACCGCCTTCCCTTCCGTGTTCCTCGTCCTCCTCGGCGACTCCTTCGAGTCGTCGCGACCCGGACCGTATCCGTGGGAGCTCACGAACTTTCTATCCCTCATACTCACGACAGTGATATGGTGAGTGGGAACCCGGTCGATCCAGACACACGACGTCGGTGCTGCCACTGCCACTGCTAACGAGAGCGGAGTAAGCTGTCTAAGGTTAATCCTTCTAGTCTGGAGCTGCGTGGACTGTTATTGCGTCGCCAGTCGGCCAAGTCATCGTGCGGATGGGACAGCATAAGCGGAATCGTCCGGCGAGCGGAGAGAGGATCAGTCGTCCGGTCGTTAATTTAGAACACAAGCCTTTGTTTTCAATACCAAGTGCATCACTTTTCAGATAGTCCCTGCCTCCAAGGTGGGCGAGCAGATGATGGATGATAGCCTCAATATTACTTTCTACGGTAGCTCGCCTCACAATCGCCGGCGTCTCGCCTTTCTCCTCCAAAATTCGCATCTGATCCGCCACCACCCCCTATTTTGTATTAAGACTCATCACAGCCGCCAAGGCTGTAGATACAGCAGACCGACTGCGCAGTTTCCTCGGTCTACCGCCTTCTTCAGGAGCACCTCCTGGCGTGGCCATCTGGTCCGGGGCAAACCTGTTGCTTGGGATTCGCCTTACAGGCGACCCCTACGCAGCACTGGACATTACGGGGGCAACCGGGGATGCCCATGAAGGTAGCCGCGTCGTCATACGAGTACGTGTACGCGAGATTCTGGCAGTCCCCGAAGATGTTCCCAGTTCCAGATGACGGGCTGTCCCTGAGCGGGTTCGCGCACGTCTTGTTGTTTAGTAGGTATTGTTTCTGCAGTCACCGTTAGCAATCCTCGATCTTGTCTACCCGCCAACGCTCGTGGAATGACGCACCGGACAGTTGTCGAGCAGGTTCAGGTTGCACCCGAGCACCGTCGTGCCGTTGCACCCGCAGGTTATCGGAACCGTAAATCCGTCTCTAGAAGGCCCCTCCGATTAGCAGCGCGCCCACCACGGGGAGCGCAGTTCGCCCGGATATTCTTACACGTAACTGATATCCATTGCCATCACCGCGCCGTTTCCCGGGTCGTACCCGAAGGTCCCTTCGAACAACGAGGCTCTGTCGAGAATATTACTGTAGCCGTCTTCCCACATGGCCAGCCGTCCGGACCACTGAATACGGAGGGTTAGCAAGACTCCAGAAAGCAGTGGGACTTCGGCGCTGCACGACGTACTCCGGTCGGCACAGCGAACGACGCGGTCTCTCCCCGGGTGAGAACGGTAGCGTTGCAGGATTTATTTTGAATCGGCGCCAGGGCACCGACGGCCTGTCCAAACCGAGTCACCACCGGGGCTGTGTGGGAATTAACCACGGTCACTACGAAATTTCCGCGGACATCTCTGGGTGGCAGAGGGTGAAAGGGTGTCATTTGGGGAAAAGCGGGCGTGGTGGCTGAAAACTCAATCGGCCTTGATTGAGCAACTTGGACGGCCACTAGCACACCCATCAGGATGGAGCCGGCGTCGCCTGAAGTCAACAACATGACTAAGGATATCTTTGAGAAGTAGGGACGATGTTGGAAGTCTGAAGGAGAAAAGAACAGAAATCGAGGGGAGATATGTGCAAGTCATAAATACCCTCAAGAAGAGAGCCGTCGGGGAGTTAAACTCACCTATGGGTGTTCTGCCAATGTCATTATCCTAGTTGATTCGTCTAAGAGACCGTATTCGGTGCGATAGAGCTTATAATTTAGACCACATCGAAACGCCCGTCGGCTTCATCTACTATCGGACGAAACTTTCACCTTGGACCTCGCACACTGAACCTACATTTAGGGACCTCAAAGCTTGTTCGCCACGTTCTCCCCTGGGAGTCTAACTTGGCTGTGCTAGTTACGTTATCTGAGGACCGAGAAATGCGTATGGGCATGAACAAGGCGTGGATAGACTGTGGGTGTCCTCGGGCCTCGACGCAGAGCTCTTCGAACTGGTCCTGTACACATTATATCATCTGCATATAGATGTATATACCTAGTGCGTGGACGTATTCATCTAGGCCCGCAAGCTAGCGTCCGCGGTTAGGCAGGTACATCGGGTCCGGCCTAGGTGGGTTCGCGATAATACAACGCGGCTTCAACATCGCTGCAAATTCCATTTTCCAAAGTGAACCTTCGCCTCGCCAAGCCTTGTATGATCCTGGAGCCTAAATCGCCATCCCAAAATCATTCCCCGCGCCTAGCTATACGTGGTGCTATATTATCTTACAATCTTAGACGGTGTCCGTGGTACTTCGCAGGCTGCTCGTCCGCGCTCGCGGCCTTGGCCTCGGATCGCGCGGGGAAGCCGTCGAACGATATGGCATAAGTAGCCACCGAGTGGGCGACAAGCTGCAGGCGACGTTAGCGGAGGTGAGAAAAAGAAGCAGGCAGAGGCAAAAAGGGCAAGACAACCATGTGAAAGGCAATCGTGGAGAGGAGGAAGGGTGGGGAGAGCTGCTTACCTGGGTATTGACCAGCCAGGCGGTCTGGTTGACGTTGCTGACATCATCGCAGAGCTGGTGGTAGCAGGGGTCGTACCAGTCGCCGGCCTTGCCGCCGAACAGGACCTGCTCGCCGTCGGTCTTGACGCCCTCGGCGCCGGTGGCGATGCCGCCGCCGGGGATCCCGTTGCGGATGAAGGCGTCGTAGTCGCTGCGGCCGTCGAAGGGGATGAAGGTGTTGTTGAGGCCGTGCGCGGTGTACCACTCGACGTACAGGTCGCGCAGCTCCTCGGACCCAGCCGGGTTCGCCGCGTTGGTCGCGTTGTACACTTGGTACGCGAAGTTGGGGCTGCCCATCATGTCGTAGTCCATGAAGAGCCGGATCCGCAGGTTCTCCTCGCGCGGCAGCACCGCCACGTAGTAGTCAGACCCCAGCAGGCCCTCCTCCTCGCCGGCCCACCACGCGAAGCGCACGCAGTTGTTGACGCGGTAGCTCGTCAGCCGCGTCGCCACCTCGAGCAGCGTCAGGCTGCCCGAGCCGTCGTCGTTGATCCCGGGCCCCTCAGCGACGCTATCGCTGTGCGCGCCCAGCATCACGCAGTTGTTCGGGTCGCCGCCGATGGTCTGCGCGATGATGTTGGTCGTCTCGATCTTCTTCACCTCGGAGTCGATGTACGCGATGGCGTCGACGGCCGTGCCCGCCTTCAGCTTCTCGACGATGGGGCGGGCCTCCTCGCCGGACAGGCCGAAGGTGGCGATGTGGTCGGGGGTAGGGTCCCCCAGCGTGCCGGAGACGGCCCCGGACTCGTAATTGTACACGATGGCGGCGACGGCACCGGCCTTGCCCGCCAGCGCCGACTTGGTGCCGAAGGGGCAAGTGCCGCGGAGGATGAAGGCGACGCCGCCGGCAAGGTTGGCCGGGTAATCGGACGCGTCGCACCCTTCGTTCGCCACGAGGACGAGATTACCGTACACAGGCTCTCGGTCAGGGGTCGGGGGCGTCAGCGACATCGGATAAGCTGACTCGGGGACCTCGTGGCCGACGACCAGGCGGGACTCGTACACCTTGCCCATGACGGCTGGGAACGGCTGCTTCGCGAAGGTGTAGTAATCGCCTAGCTGCTCCAGGGCGGACTGGATGTACTCCAACGTGCCGGTGTGACCTATGCGAGACGGGGGATGAGTGAGCAACAAGCAGCGACATCTGCGAGGGTTTCAAAGGGACGCGGCCGCATACCCTCACTGCCGATGACCCGGGTCGGGTGTCCGAACTCGGGCTCTGAGCGCTTCGCGATTTCGTAGAGATCCTTGGCGCGCTCGACGAGACTCTCGATCTTGATGCTGGCCTGCAGGTCGTCGGTGTCGACCAGCGGCTTAGCGAGGAAATCGGCATCGACGGCGTCCAGCGGCCTCTGCTGCCCCTGCGGGGCCAGAGGCACTTGGAGCTCAGAGGCGGCCGCGACGCCCAGCGAGGCGAGCAGGAAGACACGGGACCACCGGCGGGAGGAGGCCATCGCGGTTCGCAACCCCGTGGCCGGGACTGTCGGATAACCGAGAGAGATGTAGGTAGGTAGGGGATATACGGTCCGTAAGTAAGTATGTAGATTTATATAGATAGGCACCTAATGTACGGCATGTATATACAAAAAAGAGAGGCCGGCAGAGAGGTAGATACTAGTGGTAGGGGGTGGTATAAGAGGAAGAGAGGCCCTTTTTGTTTTGTCCCGCAGCGAGATCACCAGGGGCGATACAGCGACGCCGTGTCAGATTAGACCCAACAAGGGGTGGGCGAAGGGTCCATCTGGCAGGGAGAAGGCCAGCGGACAGTTCACTATGCATATACATAATTCTATGCATCTATATAGGTATGCATATATACACACATAGTATACCTACGTATATTAGCATGTCTAGATATGTATAAGTAACCTGCACCCTGATTCATACCTCCTAGATACCTAGGTATGTAACCCGTAACACTGCTCGAACATTACTTGAACATTACGCGGAATTTACAAAATAAACAGGTACAAATATGTCGTTATCCATCATAACTTTTATCACGTTTCTCGCCGGAGGCTAGAACCAGCCGAGAGCGTTACAGAATCCGTCCCGTGAGCAATGAGCAAATCGTCCCCTGATTCACTTTGCCCCGCTCGGACAACAACTCGGCAAGGCGAGGGTGGTATTTTATTCTGTTCTCCCTTCTCTTACGTCTGTTTGCCCATGCATCCGTCTATTTCGCCCGGCCACCCTTGGGGTACCGACCCATTCCGAAGTCTGACTGTCAGACGAGAAAGACCTAGGTATGTACGTAGGCAGGCCAGGCAAGGCCGCTCACCAAGTGGGTGGGATGAAGTAGGGTGGAACGAAGAGAGTATCCATCGCTTCCTGGGTCAAGTCCTTGCTCTCCTGCTCCATCAGTTTGCTGGTGAAATAGGTCGCCTGCTCGGCCAAGTCGAGGTCCTTGAGGAGATCCACCACGCTGTACATCCCCAGCGCCTTGTGGATGATGGCCCTGATGTCGTCGTGGTTCCCCCTGCGCGCGAAGTCCACCAGCCTGATCACCACCGCGAGCCAGTTGACGATGAGGAGGGGGTCGAGCGTGCCCTCCATGCTCCGGAACTCGATCGTCCCCGTTTCTCCGTCGTTGTTCCCCTTCACGCTCTCGGGCCACGCCCCCTGGCAGAAGCCCTGGAACCCGACGCTGCCCCGGCCCCAGGTAGAGAACGGCGCCACGGCGCCTGTCTCCTCCATAACGATGCCGATGACTACCGGTACCGCCATCATCTGCGCGATAGCCTTGGCGTCCTCGGCTGACCAGATAGCCTCGAGCTCGTCAGACAACCGGCGTGGGATCAGCGCTTGCGGGACGAGCGCGCTCACCCGGTCATAAAACAGCTTCCAGGTGCCGTCATAGCTGCCGTTCTTCGTCAGCTCCTCGACGAGTTCCGCCTGCGGTGTCCTATGCAGACGCGATCGCTGGGTCAAGAGCTGGCACTCGGAGTGCGTGTGGCGCGATCGGTCCGCCAGGCACTGGACCTGCGGCTCGATGAACCACCACAGCGTGCAGAAGACGCGCAGGAACTCGGGCCCTATTTCCAGCGTCGAGATGTCCCACGCCGCGAAACCGACGTGCACCATGAGGGACGTCGTGGGCCCGAGACGCATGCGGAGCGTATCGCGTAAGGCGACGATGACTTTGCCGACCTGATCGAAGTGGTTATCCCAGCTCGTGTTTCGCTTACTAGACTTTACTTTGACCCCAACCCACGAGTACATCGGATAGAGATTGTACGGGGGTACTAGACTCTGATCTATCTCAGCCACCCACTGGGAATACGCTGGCATCCTGGCTACAGCCTGGGACTCTGGGTCCAACGTCGCGATAACCTCCGGCCCTGGATAGGGGGGGCCGGGATGGGTCCACGCCGGAACCCTAGTGCCACTCCGTATGATATTCAGAATTCTATCGCTCACCAGATCAAAGACATCGGATTCAATCGCGTCCTCTTTTGCTCTAATAACCGGCCTCCGGTCATTGGGATGCGGGTCTGGCTGATTCTGCGAGAGAATCGGAACTAAGAACTGCAGCTCGATCCCATAGGTTATCGCCGACGTGGCATGGTTATCTCTCGGCAGCTTCAGCAGCGCGTTCCACGACAGCCCGTTATGCTCAAATTCGGGAAGCATTTCGGGAAGCGTTTCGGCGGCCATGATGGAGGTCACACCTCAGTGGTGTTATGAACACAATGCTTTGATAACCCGGTATTAAGAGATACACGAGCGTGCGCTCCGTGGGTTAATATATCCAACTACTACTTAGCAACTGGGGTCTCTGCTCTGCTGTTCTCTCTTCAAAGAGTGATTCAGGAGCCGGGACAAAGGCATTCGATAAGACCCCCAACAATGCGTTGTAAAGGTGCTAACAGGGCCTGGCTTCTTTGTCACAAGGCAATTAGTGACCCCTGGGCAGCGTAAGTCATCGTTACTTTTCATCCCGTCCTCGGACTGCAATCCATTCATTGATCCTGTCCCGTCGTCTGTAATGGTACAGAACGTCGGTCAACCGGCGGTGAGTTCATCTAGCTCGTCCTCATCAAGACGGCCTTCGGTTATTATGACCCTGACGTAAGAAGATTGCCCAAGTATATTTGAGCGTCGGATTCACGCCGCAATACCAGTGTAATGACGTATGGGTCTGGCAGACGTACGCGGAGCTCTATAGAAACAAGCGATCGTCCTACAGGATGAATCTCGTTAGCCATAATGCTTGTAGAAGGGCGAGTCGAGAACCAGAAACAAGACCCTATATAGAAATATACCTCCGTCCCTAATCAATCATGAGCACGATGCGTTTGTTCTCTTAGTGGAAAATGCAACCTCGTTCTATAAGACTTTTCCTACCTCACCCTCCTCAACACAGGTAGCTAAATAGAGGAGTTTATCGAGGACAGGCTCCGCGTCTTCTTAATGCACCTGTGACCCTCCGGTTCCACCCTCGATCTTGGAAGCATGGACAAAGGCGGTAAGCAAGGCAGAGCCAGACGAGATCCTAGCTGGGTGATGTCGTCAAGGCGTCGGCGGCGTCTCCGTTAGTGGCGGCATCTACTCTTAGTGGGCTAGTTGGTGGCTCAAGACGCCATGGGTCCACGGGGTATCGTGACGCGGTGGACTCATAAATGTCTGGAGGCGATCCTTTCTAATCTAAGCTGTCCTGAAGAAAGATCTCTGTGAGTCAGAGGCGGACGCTACGTGGTATATGGACGAATCGGTGGAAGAATCGATCTTCAGGACCATGAGTCAAGTGAGAAGAAGTAGTGGAAACGAGGAAAACCTGAAGGAAAAAAAAGATGGGAATGAGGCATCGTAAATTAGAGGGCACTATGCACTGGCGAGACTACTCCAAGGGAAATGTTGCAGAAATATGACGACTGGTGAGAAATGACCTATATCACTTCTGAGAGATATATTAAATGTAATACGAAAAGGTTGGTGGGATATGTGATGGCTATATAGGGTATCTACAGTAAATCAAATCACGACTGCGGGCCTCTCTCCGTGTCTGTCCAGCTCCAACCACGCCCGTGACACGGAAGAAGTGAGGCAGGGAGGCGAGACGGGGGGCCCCTAGCTAGTCGCGAACTCCTTCTGGACGACGATCTCGTCCTTGAGCGTGCGCATGACGAAGCCCACGGCCCAGCCCCGGAGCTCCTTGCCGTTCCACTTGACGTGGGCGGACGCGTCGGGCTCGGTCAGGGTGTACCGCACGCGCTTCTCGTCGGGCGGGGGACCGGGGCGCGGGGGCGGGGCGGCCGGCCGGCCGAGCGCGTCGACGACGATGTCGTGCTCGATCTCGACGACGCGGCGCGCCAGCACGAACATCTGGTCGGCCTCCCAGAGGTTCTCGCGCGGCGCGCCGAGCACGCGGATCAGGCGCAGCGCCTCGAGCCGCATCTCGAGGTCGCGGCACTTGGTCGCGACGAAGTGCAGCATCGGCAGCAGCCCCGTCTCGAAGACGAACCGCGGCCCGCGCTTCGCCTTGCGCGACGCCTCCGGCGCCGCCGCGCAGAGCCCCCGGCACAGCTCCCGGATCCGCCGGAACGCCCCCAGATGCTCGTCGTAGCACATCTCGCTGCCGTCGAACGCGATCGCCAGCCAGATCCGGCACACCTCGTAGCGGACCGCGAGTATCGTCCGCGACATGGCCCGGATGCGCGCCTCGCTCAGGCCGCAGTGCTCCGGCGCCGCGGCGCGCGGCAGCGTCGCCTTGGTGTCGAGGTTCTCGAACGCGGCCTGCCACCGGTCCAGCAGCGCCCCGACCTCCTCCCGCTCGGCGAGCAGCTTGAGCGGGACCTTCTGGTGCCTCGCCGACCCGAAGCGGTACGTGTCGCCCCACCGCACGACCTGCAGCGTGCGGCTGGCTATGCTGTCGATGGCCGACTGGGCTTCAGAGAAGGACTCGAAGGATTCCGGGACGGGCTCGTCGAGGGCGTCTAGGTCGGGGAACTCGAGAGACCCCCAGCCGAAGAAGAAGGGAAATATGCTCAGGCGCCGGAAGACGGGCACCAGGTGCTCCTTCGCCCAGGAGTAGTTGACGTTGCCGAGGAGGGCGATGCCGTGCTTGCAGTGCCGGATGGCCTCCTCGCGGTTGAACTGGAGAAACTCGATGCAGATGAAGAGGATGCACACGAGCAGCACCAGGGGCTGGTTCTCGGTGGTCTTGAGCTCGCGGATGGCCGCGTTATAGTGTTGTAGGGCGAGGCTGTTGTCCTTGAGCCGGGCGGCGGCCGGCCTAGGCGCAGCGGAGGTGGCGGCCTCGGTGTGCAGCTGCTCGTACAGCGAGCTGATAGCGACGACGCAGTGCCTGACGGCCGGCTCGAAGTTGCTGAACTGCATGACGAGGTGAGTCCAGAAGTACGGATCCGTGGCCCCTGACAGGAGGGGCCCGGCTACGTCGGAGAAGAACTGCAGGGCCCTGCCCTCGCCGGCGCTGTCGACGCTGTAGAAGAGCTGACGCGGCCGGTGCCAGAGCAGGCCGGAGGCCGGCTTCGAGGCATAGCCGTCGCACGTGCGGCCCGTATTCATGCAGCGGCTGCACTGAGGCTTGCCCTCGTCGCATTTCACCTTGCGAGCTCTGCCGAAAAGAGTGTTAAGAAGTCTTATCTAGCTAGGCGGCTGGACTGACTGGCTAACGACGTGTTGGTGACGACACGGAGACATACTTGCAGGTTCGGCAGCCGGTCCTGACCTTTCGACTTCCCTTCCGAGCCATGGGTGCGAAACGCGGAGGGGCTTTCTGCTGTCTGATCTGATTTGCGGCGAGTCCGAGCGAGCCACTGATAATGGAGAGAGTGGTTTCGTTGGCGTGCCCGACTTACGACACCCGGTGACGCTGTCTCGATATATCGGTCCCGGGGGTTGAGATGACGTAGTTTCATGCCACCGATCTCGACTATACCGTGAATATCCTGGCATCGACGCCAACTACTTGTGGGTGGAGAGGATGGGCGCACGTTCCGAGTCAGCCAACGAAACCTGACTCTTCATCGTGTGTTTACACCCAGGACACGGCAAAAATGGAGAGAGACCCGGAGTCTCTGCCGTGTGCCTCGCCGCGACGAGAGGCGAAAATAGAGCAGAGTCACGGTCGGAGTATTATAGTGCGTAATATATCCAGTAGCAAGTCCTTCCAGCTACACATGCGAAGGAGGCGGTCCAAGATCTTGTTGCCTAGCACCGAGATAGAGTGCTGGAGGGTTCGCGTGTGGCGGAATGGGGTTGTGTATGGCGTCCCCCCTCCCTCAGCAGGGGCTTTTTACCTAGGGATTACATAGAGATTAGAACAGGAATCCGTACGCAGAGATGTTCTTCCGAGTCTGGTAAAGGGTTCCCCCAAAGCTCTCGTAAGCAGGAAAACAAGCCGGGGGTGAAGGGGGCGAAGCGGCTTTATGCTAAATACGAATCTATGCGTTTACTTAGGTCTCTACACCGCCAGGCATCGACTTGACGCCTTGACCTCCGGACTATCTGAATCAGTGCTCAGACTACGCTCCCCTAGTCTGTAGAAGGTAGCTGGAATTAGCTAGAATCGCCGGGATTAAGTATACGGTAGTTGACTCTAGCGCGGTCCGGGGGGTGGGTAGGGAGCATAGTGGAGGATAAGGGGACGGGGGAGGAGGGGGGAGACCCAGGACGATCCCATCACGGTTCCTGTTGCAACCCCCCACGCCCACCGTGGGATCCGGCAGGGTGGATCAGTGGGATGATTGTCAATGTAAGTATGTGCATGAGTATGTATGTCTGTATGGATATGTGTATGTATATACATACATATGTGGATGGTGTGGTTACGTAGGTAGGTAGGCATCATGAAGGGGTGGTATATTGACGCGCATGTATCAGCGGCCGCCTGCATGGAAATATATACCTGCCTAGGTATACATACCTACACATCGAGGAATCCCTCGTGCATGCCACGTTCTGTGCTGCAGGGGTATCGCTAATGTCCCTCGCGAGAACCAGGTTGACGGCAGCAGCGGTATAGCATGGCATGGCATAGCATATAGTATGGCGTAGCGTAACATAGCTTAGCATAGCATACCATTCCCTCCTCGCTCGAGGGGATGGTTCGAAGTTCCCCCTGGCGGAGTCGACCTTAGAGTTGCTGCTCGTGGGAACGGGGACGGCGAGAGATGCTTCGGTAGGGCGGTCAATCCCGTCACGCTGGACCTTGCCGCCTACATCGATGCCTCACCGTTATTCTGCATAGTAGTGGAGTCCTGCCTCTGGGGTTGAGGTCACGAGTTCACATACGTGGAGGCTAGAGAATGACCGCTCTGAGCACCACCACCGACGTATAGTAGGCATGCGATATACATGCCTACACGTACACAGTAAAGGCGCGCTCTCCGGGTTGGTAGGCCTCGGGGGCATCGATTCCGCGATCCTCGCGAGGAATCAGCGGATGGAGGCGGTCGAGCGTCAAAGCTAGGTACATACCTACGTGCACACCTATGTACATACGCGTGTATGTGTGCATGACCACGCACAGGGTAGACGTGGTGGTGGTATGTTGATTTTCATGTTGAAGTTCATGTTGCTATGCGGGTTGGTATTGACGTTGATAACAGAGTAACTCTCTACCTTTGAGTCTCGTAGCGCGTTTGGCTGCTTTCTCTCTCTATAACATGCGATGGCTCTACCACGCCTATCTCAATACTCACACAACCCCCCTCTCTTCTCTCCTCCCTTCCGCCCCCCCCAAGATAGGAAGCTTGGTAGAATCTCCCTATAGGTAGGCATTTTATTATTAGCACGGGCTTGTCCGAACAACGGCCGGAATGGCGCTCTGGATTGACTCGTTGACTCGGCCTCCTCCGGCTTCAGCAACGCCGCTTACGTAACTCTACTCTATCCCCGTCGTCGATGATCTGCTACGTAGTGTTCCATATTCCGTCCGTCGAATGGGGTAAATATGGAGAGGCCGCGTCAAGGGACAACTATATCGCACTGTCATACGTTGGGTGCTCTTTCTGCATGTACACGGTGTCAAGGGTGTGCGAGGGTGCCTCTGTCTACACGTATGTAAGGACAGCTGTTGTAGGGGTTACAGCATGCGAGAAGGGCCGGGGTATTCGTTCTCGTCGGTATGACAATGCTTACAACATAAATAGTAACAGCTGCCGTGTATTCTTAAGCCGCTGTTGAGCCTCGCTCAAAAAGAGAAAATAGCAAAAAAAAATTTCTCTCATCACCGGCGAGGCAAGCGAGTTATGGTCAGTCCAGAGCTGCCGTGAGGCGCGAAGCCCGATCGTCGATGTCTCGAGCCTACCAGGGTGCTGTTGACCAGCGGGCTTTGGGAAATTGATCGTGTGCTACCAGAGTTGGATAGGACAGGGCCGCTGTCAGCCAAGAAGATTCGGTGGGTGTGCTATCGTGTTGCCAGCAGTGCAGGGCGGCCATGCCAATAGAGTGTTGGGGAGATATTAATGTTTTGGCGCGGGCATCAACAACAATTCCAATCAGGGCGCCTGGGCTGGAGACCCTCACGATACGATGGGGCGACCAAGGGCGTCCCAATATTGGACATGGGTTATTGGGCGTACCCCAAGGCCAGCTCAGCTCACCTACATCTCCTGTCCACTTTTCGTATCGCCATCATCGTCTTCGCGTCTGTTTCCATTCGCCACGAGTGCAAGCAACCCGGCGGGAGCCCAGCGGGAACCCAGCGGGAGGAAGAGATGCATTATTACCTGCGCTTGGACTCCGGCCTTGTCGGTGCCCGAATCGAGGGGCTGGAGCCATGTACAACCTGCTGCTCACTCGGCCGTTCCCTCGACACCTCCCAGTCCCCTCGCCTTCGCCGCACTATGTAGAGACAGTTCAAAAAGGCTTCCGGTGTCTTTCTGGTTAGGGCACGGGTAAGCTCTCCGCAAGCGTCTGCGGATGTGTGGTTCGTAATTCCCCGGCCTCAACCAGCCCGTATACCACTTGCTTGGTCCTGGGTCGAGTGTCGATATTATATACCTGCACACAGAAACCTCCAAGCTCCTGACCAGCCCAGAATCCCTACATAGCACAATTGACACACGCTATCTCGATCCCAGGCATCCCACAATGGCCAACGCCGAGTCGCCGTTGGCGAAGCCCTTTCGTAGAATATTCAAAAGGCTGCAGTCGAAGCCGAAGCCGCCAACACCCTCCCCTCCTCCACAAGAGACTGGCGATGAAGCGCGTAGGGCTGGAGACGAGGGCGCCCAGTCTACGCTCCAGCTAGCGACAGACTCGACGCCCGCCGAGCACGCGTCCGCACCCCAACAGGAACCCATCTTGGCCGTCTCTCAGCCTGAACCATCACCGCCTGTAATTTCGGAACTCCCGGAGACAACCCCAGCACCAACACCCGCGCCGGCACCAGTGACAGAATCGGCACCGGCACCGACGCCAGCGGCGGAACCAGAACTAGCACCGGCACCCGTATCAGAACCAGCACCAGTACCGATCCCGGTAGCAGAGCCAGAGCCAGAATCAACACTAGAACCAGCACCAGAGCCTCTGTCAGAGCCAGCACCGGCACCAGCACCAGTAGTAGAACCAGCACCGTCACCAGCAGCAGAGCCAGAGCCAGAATCAGCACTAGAACCAGCACCGGCACCCATGTTAGAACCAACACCGATACCAGTAACAGGACCAGAGTCAGAACGAGTGCCGGAACCAGTGCCAGCACCAGCAACAGAAGCAGCACCGGGACCAGCGCCTGAACTGGTGCCGGCGCCGGTAACGAAAGCAGCACCGGAACCAGCGCCTGAACCAGTGCCAGAACAGTCACCGGTACAATCGCCAGAACCGTCGCTAGAGCCGTCGCCGGCTCCAGCCACCGTTGACCCTGTTCCGGATGATAATCTATCTGTGGCGTCTACACCTTCGCAGCCGCCCGTCGAGACGGACCCGGAATCCACTGTCCACAGCGATGCTACCTCCGACTCTGTGCAGGCAGACGAAGCGACGCAGGTCGTTGAGGTCCAGCCTGCCGCAGTTCCCGTCCCATCCCAGATAGAGAGCCACATTCCGCGAGAGAGCGCGCTTGAGACGCCTCAAAGAGCTGAAGAGGCGCCCGTGAGCATCGAAGATGTGAACCAACTTGCAGATGGTATGTTGATAGATGCAGCTATAACAGGTCTGGGAGAAGTGGAAATGCACTAACGATTCTGGCCGGAAAAGAGAGGGAGGAACAGAACGTGCTAAACCTGCTCTCTTCCGTGAACATCGACTCCAAGCATTTGCGGCTGCGAAAACGCATCAACGACAACGTGAAAACGTCCGGCCAGTGGCTACTAGACGAAGCTGTGTATAAGCGGTGGAGAAGCACGCCTGAGAAGTATTTGTGGCTTCAAGGCCGGGGTAAGTTAGCCCGAATTCACGCTTCACACATATTTGCTTATGCTAACGCTCGGAAAGCGGGATGTGGAAAGTCTTATATCTGGTATGGCTCTAGGATAGCTTTGCGGCTGCTGAGTTTTGTTAACACCTGCTAGCTCGACCGTCATCGAATCTCTGAAAGAGGACCTTGTCAAGGATCACTCGAGAGCTCTGGCGTACTGGTATATCCAGTACGATCAAGCGGACACCCAGAACGCCGACAATCTAGTCTCCTCGCTCATACGCCAGCTGGCCGCCGCGATGTGGTTGTTCCCGGAGAAGATTCGAAGCCTCGTGCACGACCACGTCGACCAGAATTCCCGCCCCAGCAGCGAGGAGCTCGTTCAAGTCCTGGATTCCATCATATCCACCATCGACAAGGAGGTATACATCGTTATCGACGGGCTTAACGAATGCCCGTTGGGCGAGGGTGGAAAAGACAGGAAGGATCTGCTGGCCGTCATTGGAACTCTGGTGCAGAGAGACTACGACAATATCCACCTCCTTATCGTGGGGAGAGAGGAGCCTGACATCAAGGACTACCTGAGCCAGCTGGGGAGCGATGGCAAGGATCCCTTCGACGTGTTCAACGTCGAGGAGGGCGTTGCCAGCGATATCAAGGCGTTCGTTTCGAACAGGGTAGCGAGCGACAAGCACCTGACCGGCTTAACGAAGAGGGTGAAGAAATCGATCTCCAACAGGCTTACTAAAAACGAAGACGACAAAGGGAGCAAATCGCCGTAAGTTGAATGACTTTTCCTTCATGAGCCCTATCCATATTCATAGTATATATACATATACTTAACGGCTTGCAGATCGTTCCTCTGGGTAGCGTCCATCCTCCAGGATATGGTGGACTGCCACGGCGACGAGAAGGCGGTGAAGTTGAAGATGAGGAACATCGCGCCCACGATGGAGAAGAGATACGAAGAGACGCTGCACAAAGTAAACTGGGAAGACTCCGAGAAGCTGAAGACCGTCCTGCATCTGCTGTCGGAGTCGATGAGGCCGCTGACGAAGGGCGAGATCGCACTGCTATCGGGTGTTCCGAACGCGAAGGAACTCGACCGCATCTGCCCCGCCACCCTCGCCAGGAGCCGTCGAGATTACCTGCCGGTCAGCGGCGAGACGCATGCGCAGTCTCGCGAGGTCTTCGCCTTCGTCCACTTCTCCGTCAAGGAATATCTTGAGTCGCCGAGGCTGAAGCAGTCGAAGAACACGAAGCTCGCCCGCTTCTCCACGGAAGAGAGAGAGAGGCACGCGTACATAGCGAAGAAGTGCCTCGACTGCCTTCTGACCGAGGTGGAGGACCCGTTCACGAGCTACTACATGGCGGAATCGACGCGCGAATACGCGGCGCGGAACTGGTTCCGACACGTCGGGATCGCGACGGAAGAGGAGTTCCTGAGCCAGTTCCAGGAGTCCCCGATCCGCCGGCTGCTACAGTCAACCTCTCCGATCTTCCACTCGTGGCTCCAGGTCTTCAACCCGGACAGCGACTCGGTCCTCGGGACCAAGGATGCGGGGAGGTGGAATCCTCGGGACCCCAGCAACTTCGGCCCGCCGCTCTACTACGCCATTCATCTCGGGCTGCTCGTCACGGCGGAGCAGATCATCAAGGAAGACTACATAGACATCAACCTCCCGGGCGGCCTGGGAGGCACCCCTCTGCAGCTGGCGGCGTTCCGGGGGTACAAGAAGACTGTGCAGCAGCTGCTGGACCGCGGCGCCGACGTGAACGTGCCGGGCAAGCAGCACGGTTCCGCGCTCTACGCCGCCGCCAGTCAGGGCAACGTCGAGCTCGTCCAGAAATTCCTCGGCCTGAGAGCCGACACGAACATGAGGGAAGACGCGGCGTTCGGAAACGCGCTCCAGGTCGCCGCCTATAACGGCTTCGACGACATAGTCCGCCTGATCATCGCGCACGGAGCCGACGTCAACGCCGCCGGGGGGGTCATGTCCAATGCTCTCCACGCCGCCGCCGTCTCCGGACACCTGCAGACGGTCTCTATCCTCCTCGAATGCGGCGCCCAGGTCAACAAGATCGGCGGCCCCCTGGGCACGGCCCTGCAGGCGGCGCTGACCGGCGGCTTCGACGAGGTCGTGGCCAAGCTCGAGGCCGAGGGCGCCGAGCGCGACCGCCACGGCCTGGCCTGCTGGATCAACGTCTACGAGTCCTTCGGTGCCGATTCTTACACCCTCGCCGAGAATAACCTGGTCCACGGCGAGTTCCCGGAGATCATACTGCACGGGCAGCAGATCCCCAGGGAGCTCGTGCTCGGGGGCCAGAGGCTGGTCGCCGCCGCCCTCGTCCGGTCCCAGCTCCCGCACCTCGATATGCTCCAGGTGTCGATGGACAGGCTCCAGCGGTACTTCCTCCTCAAGACGCCCTTCTACTACCAGCTGCGGGCCATCCAGAGAGTCATCCCGCATTTCGTCGCCGACCTGGCGGACCTGAGCAAGGACGGGTTCAAGTACCGGGCGCTGTTCTGGGCCGGCATCGACGCCGTGCTCGAGGTAAGCCAGTTTTCCTTTTTTTTGCCGAAAATGCACTGCATGTTCTAACCGCTCTCTCTAGGCGCTGCCGTACCTTGTCGGAGACTTCATCGACGAGATCAAGCACAACCCCCCCAACAACTACGACAGCAACAACGACGACCCCGACGCCCCGCAAGCCGACGCCGCCGACTTCCTGAGCTACGCGGACAACCTGGACGCGCGCTCCGAGACCGCGTGGCCGCACGCGCACAAGCCCGAGTACCCGCTGCTCAACCGGGAGCACCACTACTCGTTCACGACGGGGTACGAGCTGAGCGACCTGTCGGTGGTGCAGTTCGCGCAGGAGCGGGCGAAGGCAGAGGCCGCGCCGGAGTCCTCCTCCGCCGCCGCCGCCGCGGAGCTCGTGCCCGGCGGCGTGGCCCTGGGCGGGGTGCTGGAGCTGGTGGCGGAGATCGTGCAGGTGGGCGCGGCGGTGGACTACTACGAGCGGGCGGTGGCGGCGCTCGCGGACAAGGGCCCGGCGGCGCAGCTGGCCGAGGGCATCGGCGAGCTGTGCTACGAGCTGTTCCTGACGCTGGCGCGGCTGGTGCGCCTCGTCGACGTGCGCGACCCCAAGGCGATCCGGCTGGCCGCCATCCGGCCCAAGGTGCGGCTGCTGCGCGCGGTGCGGCTGGCGCGCATCCGCGAGCTCGACGGCTTCTGCCGCCAGCAGCTGGCGCTGCAGGCGCCGCCGCCGCCGCCCGCGAACCTCGCCGACGACGTCTCCGCCGGCGTCGCCGGCCAGCTCCAGGCCCTCGTCGCCCAGCAGGCCGCCGAGATCCGCGACGACGCCGCCCGCCAGCTCCAGGGCCTCCAGGCCGGCCTCCTCGCCGACGTCCAGGCCCGCATCGCCGCCCACATCGAGGCCGAGCTGACCAAGTTCTCCGAGCGCATCATCGCCGAGGTCGCCGACAAGATGCGCCTCGAGCTGTCGAAGCGGTTCCCTGCCGCTGACCCCGCCGCCTGAGACCGTCAAGCTACGACAACTACTACGGCTACTGAGGCTCCAGAAGAATGATAACGGTGGAGTCGCGGAGACTTTGAGCAGGAGAAGAGGAGGCCCCTACTCGGACCACTTTTTCTTCATTCTTTCACGTACATGACCATATTCCTTTCTTTTCTTTATCCCACCTAGTCATTCTCCTCTTGGACGATGGAATTACGGAGGACAAGTAATGGTTACATGCATTCAGAAGGTTCAACCCCGCGGGATGTATTCACTTATATTCGTCACCAGGTAAAAGAAGGGAAGCTCTTTTGGGTCGGGCTGGATCTGCGGCGGGTGTGGATTCTTTTTTTCTTCTTTTTTTTATTATCCAAAAGGGGGTTGGTCGGGGCAGGGGGGTATTGCATCGGGTGTGAGACTTCCAACCAAACAAGTACTTGAGATTTCTCTCATATTTCTCTAAATTATCGACTCCGAGACGAGATAGCCGAGCCCGGGGGAGACTGTAATCTCAACATATCACTAGGTAACGGTTGCGAGATTGTCGCTTCTTACACGATTTGTATGGTAAGGGGGGGGCATGTAATAGGTGGAGGTATCGTCGGGAAGGGGGGCTATGTTAGGGTATGGGGTTGGTTTCTTTGTATGTTTATACAGACTTTTTTCTCGTAACTCGTTGTATACCAGGCCAACAGGGGGGGGGGTAGTAATGGCAGAGAAAGGGGAGCAGGTATGAGTCAGGGGATACCCAAAGAATAGGGGGGGCAGTATTGGGCAGTATTGGGCCAGGCAGATTGCATTGGTCTCTTCGTCAAAGGCTGGACTCGGTTTAGAACAATAAGATTAGTTCGAACGAAAGAAGGACAATGCATTCTCTTTGATCATATTGGGTAGAGCATACAGGTAATATAATATAACAGTAAGTGTTGATACCCGATTTGCAGATTAAGAGCTCACCACTTCGGCCCGACTTCCCACCTATTCCTGGATCTAGAGAGCTGCAGGTTGTCTAGGTTGCGTTCTCGCATCGATCTCGATTCTCTAGCGAAGAGATATCTCGGGAATCGTGCAGTAGACTGCCACCTACTCCGGGATACTTGGCCAGTCCAAGCCCGAGTGCAGATAGCGGAGGAGATATTGCCTCAAGTAGGACCGCGTATCGCGGGTGGTATCGGTATATGGAAGAGCCGGTGGGAAAACCGTTCGTAGCTTCTCCTACGGCGTACCAGGCGTGGGAGGAGAGAAAGCTGGCATTTCCGCGCGAGATCTTATCGATGATACTATCCAGGGCGATGGATTCGCAGCCTAGGTGCGCTCTGAGCATTCTCGCACCCGAGTGGGATATGTGCAATCAGGAAACCCCTGCCGCAACGGAGGGCATGAGGATTCTGACTTACACTCGGGGTGCTGAAGGCGAAGTCGGCACCTTCTCGGCGACGACAGGACACGGGGACGCCGACCATATCTTTGTGCCCATGCGTCATCTCGATAGTAGCATCATGGGCATCGACCAGTTTTCGCGGGACGAATGTACGAGGTTATTCTTTCTAGAGAGCACACAGGTGTTCCAATTCACCGCAGGGGGCCTCCCCGCGGATATCAAGGACCAATCTTTCCTCGAGCGCTGGAGAGACGTCTTTCCGCTCCGTGGGAAGCGCATGCGGGACATCCTGCCGTTCGACGACGAGCCCACGGATGCCCCCAAACTGAAGGTTCCAGGCGGTACGTCCCCCCGGTTTAAGCTGCTACGGCACCTCGTGGTCAACTCACCACTGTCTCTGCTCAAGGTCAACTCGCACACCATGGCCGAGCACGAGACAGGAATCAGCGACGAGACTCTCACAGCGCTCGACATGGCGATCGACCTGGATCGTGCGTCGCATCTGTGGCTGTCGTGGTCTCAGATGCCGATGCTCGAGAGCGTCCTGCTAGACCTGCGCATCTACGGCCAACACCTGAACACGACGCACGGGTGCCTCAGCAGGGACAGCGTCAAGAAGCAGGCGGTCGAGATGGGCAGGTGGCTGCGATTGAAGCTGCTCGTCATCGCCGGCTTACAGAGCTACATCCTCGAGACAGACCTGGCGCCTTGCACGGCGGCGCAGGTGGAAGAAGAGGACGAGTTTCACGGAGATCCCAACTGGGTCAAAATCTTCATGCCTGCGTTGCGGCCAGGAGGTAAGTTAGTTCTCGCGGATCGTTTGGATGACGAGGCGACCCCGATGGGTGACCTAGTCTGCGAGGTAAGTGAGTACTAGGCAGCGGCAGGACACGACGATGCCGCAGGATGTCGCAGAGAGAGACGAATGCCTTGTTCTACCTAGGTAGGTGGGTAATTTTTTCAACGTGCCTATGATGATATCGTTATACGGACTGACCCGCCGCCAAGGTATGTAAACATAGGTGAATTAGGTGTTGAAAAAAAAGTATAAGTTTTAAGATTAAGTTAAGTTAAGTTATATTTTTTTTAAAAATTATTTAAGTTAAGTTAAGGTTTTATTTATTTAAATTAAGTCAATTTTAAGTTAAGTTTCCTTGAAGCTTAACTTGAAAAATTTTTTATAACTCTGCTTATAAGTATAGAGATTAGAGGTACCATATAGGGAGGGGGGGGTCTATGGACAGTATGTTAGCCATAGAGTCGGGGTACCGATACGGTAACAAAATCTAGTAAGGGTTACCTTAGCTAGTTATTCTTTCAGAGGGGCTAAAAGAATTACAGCAAGGGTCGCGGTACCGACGTTATTACCTTCCCTTCTTATAATTTCAGGATGGTTTTTATGACTACGTAGGAACTAATATCCAGACGGATATGATAATATCCAGACGGATATAATGTCTATATATTCCATAGGTACCTACCTACCTACCTACCTACCTACCTACCTACCTACCTACCTACCTACCTACCTACCTAGACCTACCTACCTAGACCTGTTGTCTTCATTTTTTTTTTACAAACACCATGATCTACTACCCATCTTCAAACCTATCTTCGAACCTATCTACGAACCTATCTTCAAACCTATCTGCGAACCTATCTACGAACCTATCTGCGAACCTATCTTTGAACCTATCTACGAACCTATCTACGAACCTATCTGCGAACCTATGGGAGCTAGTTCGGGCGCGTGGAATCTATCTATCTATCTACGAACCTGTGGGAGCTAGTTCAGGCGTATGGAATCTATCTATCTTCAAACCTATGGGAGCTAGTTAGCGCGCGTGGAATCTATAGGAGCTAGTTCGCGTGTATGAAATCTATCTATCTATCTTCGAACCTATCTTTGAACCTATCTTCAAACCTATGGGAGCTAGTTCGCGCACGTAGAATCTATCTATCTGCTACCTATCTTCGAACCTATGGAAGCTAGTTTGCGCGTGGAATCTATTTATCTTCGAACCTATAGGAGCCAGTTGGCGCGCGTGAAATCTATGGGAGCTAGTTCGCGTGTATGGAATCTATCTATCTATCTTCGAACCTATCTTCGAACCTATCTTCGAACCTGTGGGAGCTAGTTCGCGCGTGGAATCTATCTATCTATCTTCAAACCTATCTTGAACCTGTGAGAGCTAGTTCGCGTGTAGAATCTATTTATCTTCGAACCTATCTGCGAACCTATAGGAGCCAGTTCGCGTACGTGGAATCTATCTATCTATCTTCGAACCTATCTTCGAACCTATGGAAGAGGTAGGTAGGTAGGTAGATAGGTAGGAGGTTAGGAGATAGGTAACAGACGTAAAAGATACAAAGGTACAAAGGTACGTACTTAGTAACCTAGACGTAACCGGGTAATCCTATAGAATATACCTTTTTTTAAAATAAAGACATTATGTCTAGATAGTAACTATGTCGGGAAATGGTAATAATATTAGCCTAGAGTTTAACTTACTCTTATTACGAGGCAGACACTATGTCCAGTCATAGAAAGGGTTGCTAACATAGTGTCAATAGACCCCCCCCTCCCTATATGGTAGGTAGGTATATTAGATACCTCAACGTATGTGTGTATGTGTGTGCTCTTCTATGAACAATCTCTGCAACTGAAACTGAACCGTCGCCCTTCTAACGCGCAACTCTGAAACATGTCGTTGCAAGAACACCATCATTCGAAATCATCACATCGCCGTCCAGATATGCGTGAGCACCACAAGGCCCATCGCGAGGAGGAGAGGAAGGTCGAGCTCATCGATCTTGACGAGCACCAGTCGCGCCGACGCAGAGTCAAGCTCAGCGTGACCAAGACATCGCGGCTCGGCGATGTAGCAGCGTCTCTGAAGAAAAAGTTCCCGAGCGGAGAGCAGCAGATCTCGGATGGAGCCGAGATCAAAATTTGCCACGGTGGCGCCTATCTGGATGGACACGACATCCCTGAGGGGGCCTCGCTTCTGCACTACCGAGTACTACCACCAGGTGATGACGGCAGCCTGCGGGCAGTTTGCGGTGCCACCATCAGGCTCCGCAAGACGCAGCTGGAGACGATTTCGCGCGAGGCCAGGGCGGGGAAGACGGTGGGTAGCATACGTAGTACCGTCGCAGCCCTGCTGCAGGCCTCGAGCGCAAAGGACAAGCAGCCCGCGCCCGACGCAAACCAGATTGTCGTCCAGGCGGCTGGCGGCCTGGCACCCAAGTTGCTCTACGGGAGCAATTGGGAGGCGCGCACAGTGCAGACGTCGCTCTGCCGTTACCTGAAGCTCGACGTGCAGCCCAAGTACCTCGTCCTGCGCGGATTTAACGAGACATATCTCTGGCACAGCCCGCAGCTCGACTGGCACGGCCACGTTGACCTCCACGCGCTCAGGACCTGGCTGAGGCGAGAGGTGCTGGCCCTGGCCCGTTCCTCGAGGCCGCACCGGCACAGCGTCGACAGCCACGATATCAGATTGATCTTCCGCGGCAGGGTGGTCAATATGTTCTCCCGCATCCGCCCGGGCCACACCGTCGAGTTTGAGATCCCCCGCGCCGCCGAAGCGCTATTCCTCCGCGCCGAGGCGCCGCTCGTCCCCCTCACGGAGACGTGCAGCGTGTGCGGCGACGGGAAGCGGGTCTCCGAGATGCCAAACCGCCGCCGCATCACCGCGGCCTGCGCCCACGACGCGACCATGTGCAAGGACTGCGTCAGCCAGTGGATCGGGTCAAGCATGGACACCCAGAGCTGGGATCAGCTGAAGTGTCCCGAGTGCCCGCAGCTCCTCCAGTTCGAGAACGTGCGCGCGCTCGCCGCTCAGCCAGTGTTCGAGAGGTACGACGTCCTAGCCGTGAAGGCGGTCCTGGCGAGAACCCCAGACTTTATGTGGTGCCCCCGGGGGGATTGCCGGTCCGGCCAGATCTACCCGAATGGATGCTCGCAGGCGAAATGCTCCGGCTGCGGGCACCTGAACTGCGTCCGGCACCACGTCCCCTGGCACGAGGGCGAGACGTGCGAGGAGTACGACCGCCGCGTCGAGGTGCACAAGAAGAACAACGAGGCCTCGGAGAAGCACGTCAAGGAGATGTCGAAGCCCTGCCCGGGATGTAGCAGGAACGTCCACAAGTACACCGGATGCGACCATATAACTTGTGAGCTGCCGCTATATATTACCCTTCCCCCCCTTCCCCCCCCAGCCACGTTAACAAGAACCCTGAAAGGTGTCTGCCGCCAGGAATGGTGCTGGCTATGCTTCGGGGTGTACCACCAAGCCGTGCGCGGGGTGTGCGACCACAAGCCAGGATGCCAATACGCGGAAAACCGGCCGATCAATGGAGGCCACCACGAGGGCCCCCTGATCTTCACAACCCGGCCGGTGATGGGCTTCCAGCTAGAAAACCGGCCGATCAATGGAGGCCACCCACAGCCAACCGCCCCTCCCGCTGCTCCACAGGTAGTAAGGGGGGGAGGGAGAGCGGGCCAAGTTGGGAATCCCCCGGCTCCGGCTGCGCCTCCTCCTCCAGAGGTGCGACCTGCGCCCGCGGCGCCGCGTCACGAGGGCCCCCTGATCTTCACAACCCGGCCGGTGATGGGCTTCCAGCTAGAAAACCGGCCGATCAATGGAGGCCACCTACAGCCAACCGCCCCTCCCGCTGCTCCACAGGTAGTAAGGGAGGGAGGGAGAGCGGGCCAAGTTGGGAATCCCCCGGCTCCGGCTGCGCCTCCTCCTCCAGAGGTGCGACCTGCGCCCGCGGCGCCAGCGAACGAGAACGTAGCCGAGCGCCTCGAGAGGCACCGGGCGGCGCGGAACCACGGCAACCACGTAACGTCGGCGCCGCGTCACGGGGGCCCCCTGATCTTCACAACCCGGCCGGTGATGGGCTTCCAGCTAGAAAACCGGCCGATCAATGGAGGCCACCACGAGGGCCCCCTGATCTTCACAACCCGGCCGGTGATGGGCTTCCAGCTAGAAAACCGGCCGATCAATGGAGGCCACCACGAGGGCCCCCTGATCTTCACAACCCGGCCGGTGATGGGCTTCCAGCTAGAAAACTCCAGCTAGAAAACCTGGTGCATCGCGTGCGGTCCGCCAGGAGAAGGAGGGGGCCGATTGGGTTATGGGCAGGATAAAGAGGGGGCCGATTGGGTTATGGGCAGGATAAAGAGGGGGATTTAGGCTGGTAGGCGTTTTTTTAAAATAGGTAGACTATGTAGGGTAGGGTGGTAGTAATAACGATGGTGCCAGTCTTCATGTCAGTCTTCATGCCTGCGTCCCGAGACGCGGCGCGAGACTGCGGCCAGCCGTGCACGGCATCCCGCCCTAGCGCGTGCGGACCTACCAACACGGACAGCCAGAGAGAGAGAGAGAGGGAGAGCTTGCTGGCTGGCCGGGTTCCTCGACAGCACCCGCGGCTCCGGGCGCGAATTCGCGCGTCTGCTGTGTCGGGGACGCCTCGGCAGAACGGAGCCGCACGCGCGATGGGCTGCTGCCAGCTGCTCCGGCTACCTACAGCGTATGGGTGGTGAAGGGATCGAGGGATCCACGAATGGGCGTGGATGAAGGTGGGTGGTGGATGCGCGCCGGGGGTTGTTTTTGAGAACCTTTGTAGGTAGGTAATGTGTACGCAGGTTCTGCGTAAGGTGGGTGTGTGGATATACGCATAGGTACCTATATGTTTACGTGTATGGGCGCCTATGTATCTACATAACATCATATATACCTATATATACGAGTCATACCTATAATCTCAACCCACTCGCGCTCCCGTTAGTAACAAACAACCTACCAACTACCAACCAACCCGGCATGGGGGAGGGAAGGGCTCCAGTCCAATCCAGGTATATGCCCATATCGTTTTCCGCCTTTCACCGACGGCCTGCGTCCGATGTCGTTGCCGAACGGGGCGAAGAGCCTTATCGATTATTTATAGGTATGCGCCCTAGATAGGTGCTTATCGGTGTCGGTAGGTACGGGTAAATGGTGACATCCTGTCTCACTGTTGCGAGCTTGTTCGGAGTTTTTATTTACCTATACCTACCTACCTACCTACACCGACTACCTCCCTCCGTGCAAGAAACACCAGGTAACATCTACTTCTCGCTCTCTCTAGCCGGAACGAGAAAACGAACCAAGTAGCAGGTGGTAGTAGGTAGGGCCGGGTCTCGATTTTTTAAAGAAGTCCGCCCCTCTCCCACCTCCCTCCTCTTCACCTGCTCTATCCGCACCGAATAATACCTACCTTCTAATTAATCTTCTTTTTTATTCTCTAATCGGATTCTTCTTCTTCTTCTTCTTCTCTCGAGGCTAGCTAGCTGCCAGCTAGCTCGCTCGCCGCCATGGACGAGACGCAACCGCTGCTGCCGGATCCCGACCTGGCGTGCGACGAGGCGCAGGACGAGGCGGCCGGCAAGGACTTCGTCGACTTCGACCCCGCGGGCGACGCCGAGAACCCCATGGACTGGCCCGAGGCCTACAAGTGGGGCATCGTCGGCCTGCTCGCCCTCATGGCCTTTACCGTGTACGTCCCGCCCCGCGTTGCCAGTCCCCCCCCGGCCGTTCCGGAGGAGGACGGGCTCGGACTCCGTCGCTAACGCGCGCGCCCCGCTGCTCCAGCACCTTCACCTGCATCTCGGTCGTCCCCGTGGCGACGCGGATCGTGGACGACCTCGACGGCGGCCACGCGAGCCGGTCGGCCAGCGTCCTGCTGGTCACCATCTGGGAGCTGGGCGAGGCGGCCGGGCCGCTGCTGATCGCGCCGCTGTCCGAGATGTTCGGCCGGTACCCGGTGATGAACGCGGCGAACCTGCTCTTCATCGCGGCGGTGGTGCTCGCGGCGCTGTCTCGCAGCGCCGCCGCCTTCATCGGCGCCCGCGCCCTGACCGGGCTCGCCGTCGCGTCCAACGTCCTCAACCCGGCCATCGTCGGCGACATGTTCCCGTCCGAGCAGCGCGGCACCGCCATGAGCTGGATCCAGCTCGCGCCGCTCATCGGCGGCGCCGTCGGCCCCGCCATCAGCGGCGCCATCGCCGAGACCCTCGGCTGGCGCAACGTCCTCTGGATGAGCGCCACCCTCGCCATCACCTGCGAGGCCGTCTTCCTCACCTGCTTCCGCGAGACGTACAAGGTCGCCATCCTCCGCCGGCGCGCGGCCCGGCTCCGCCGCGAGACCGGCGACCCCGCGCTGCGCACCGTGTTCGACGTCGAAGGCGTCTCGCGGTCCCAGAAGCTGTGGGAGGCCATCACGCGCCCCTTCTCCGTGCTCGCAGGGTCGGGCGTCCTCCAGTCGCTCTCCGTCTTCGGCGCCGTCTCGTTCGCCTACTTCTACATCATGGCCACGACGCTACCCGACATCCTCGAGACGCTCTACGGCCTGTCGGCGGCGGCAGCGGGGTCGGCGCTCATCAGCTTCAGTGGGTTACTACTTTCTCAACCCCCCTACCTATGGAACGCAGAGGGGGAAATTATGCTAACCTTCTCTTCTCTTTCTCTCCCTGTCTCCTAGGCATCGGCTCCTTGGTCAGTGTCGCCATCTGTAACCGCGCTCTCGACGGGATCTACGTGAGAATGCGCGACGCCAATAAAGGGGTCGGCCAGCCGGAGTACCGGCTGCCTCTGCTGGTGTTCGGGGGGTTTGCGCTCCCTCTCGTCGCGTCGCTGTACGGGTGGACGGCGCGAGCGCACCTGCCCGTGCCGCTGCTCATCTTCACGGTGGGCGTGATGGGGGCGACGATGCTGCTCTCGTTTCTCCCGCTGACGGCGTACGTGGTGGACGCGTTCGGGCTGTACGCGGCGTCGGCCATGACGGTGGTGATCGTCACGCGGTGCCTGGCGGGCACGTTTATCCCGCTCGCGTCCGAGCGGCTCGTCGACAGGTTCGGGTACGGCGTAGGGCTGAGCCTTATCGGCTGCTTCAGCCTCTTGTTCGCGCCCATCCCGGCGCTGGTCCTGCGGTACGGCCCGAAGTGGCGCCAGAGATCCCGGTATACGAGGGAGGCAGAGGCTTCCTAGGCGACCCTAGCAGTCTACCCAAGAAGAAGGAAGAGGAGAAGGAGGGAAAATGGGAAAAGGCAAAAAAGAGTACAGAGAAAAGAAGGGGGAAGGGGGAGGAAAAGAAAGGAAGGGCAGCAGTTTTGCACTTTCTTATTAGTATATAAAGCATTACTGTACATAAATATATAGGTAGGCATGTTGTGAGGGCACTCAATGCCTTTATTCAACATAGAAGGTATAATAGAGGTAATGGTACTTGACATAGGCACCTCCCATCTTGTGATATATGTGCATAGAGAAGTACCTAACCTAACTGAAACAAGGCCTCATGCCTCCTCTCCTGTATTGGTGAAGTAGAGGGCGCTTACGGTATATGCATCCGTACGCATTTGTGCATAAGCACATGCAAGCATACAGCAGGTTGTGCCCTTTCTATCACCCTTAACAATTAGTTGCGAGTAGGGAAGTTTGCAGCGAGCTGGAGGGGTCGAGTAGCAACAAGCTGTGTTGTGTGTTATACGCAGATATATTTTATCATATCGGTAGGTAGGTATTGTATCTATGTGTGAGAGACGTGGAGTGAAGAGAGAGAGGGGAAGAGATGCAGGGGAGTGGGAGTATACGTGTCTACGTATGAGGGAGGATAAAGGCGGGACACACAGTGAGTTACCTACTTGTTACCGAGGTAAGTAAGCTGTGACCCAGGTACGTTACCTACCCTCCTCTTCCCGTTGCAACCAAAAGAGGCACCTCACATGAGCCACAGAACCAGTCCTCAACCGCCCTTCTCTGCTTCGCACAGCATCCAGGAAGCAAGGCTGTCCCCCCTCTCCTTCAAACCCCGTTCGCTTCTTCCTCCTCTTCCTCATTTCCTTCCCCTTCCCCTTCTTATTCTCCTCTCCCTTCTTATTTTTTCGTTTGTTCTCTTCCCCTAAGGCAGGTGTATTTGCGCCCTTCTCCTCCGTTGGCTAGGTAGTCACCTACCGGATTGCCTCTCGCCCCTGGCCTGGCCTGGGCCTCTCGCCATCATCGTGCCTTGCAAACACACAAACACCGACCGCTTACCACTTACTTATAAGCCCGGCAACGCTCTCTTTTGTAAACCCATCCAGCGACGCTCTTACCTACCTAGCTCCTATTCCCCCTCCAGAGCACACAGCCTTGTGGCAAAGCACTCGCTGTCTGTCCATCTACCTAAGCGCGCGATCTTTCCCACCATCACCGCCACCACCAACCAACCAACCAACCGCCATGGGAGGCAACGCCTTCGCCAGAGGCGCCAACCCGCTGCACACGCCGCGCATGCCGCCGGCCGTGTACGAGCACGTCCTGCGCGCCTGCCACGCCGCGCTGCGCAAGCTCTTCGACGTCGTCGGGACGCCGGTCCCGGGGCCCGGCAAGGAGGACCACGGGGACATCGACATCTTCGTGGCGGGCGCGAAGCCGGGCACCTCCGCACCCGCCTCCGTCCGCGCCTCCGCCCCGGCGGCTGCGGCGCCGGACGCCTCCCTCGAAGTAGCCGCGCGACGCCTCGGCGCCGTGCGCACCTTCAAGCAGCAGCCGGGGCTGCTCATCTGCGCGGTGCCGTGGCCGGACGACGTGCGCTCCGGCGGCGCCGCGGAGGGCGCTCGCTCGGAACCCAGCGACGCGGGGGCGGCAGCGGCGGCAGCGGCGGCTCCTCGGTTCGTCCAGGTGGACCTGCACCAGTGCGGCTCGGCGGAGGAGGCGCAGCGGATGCTGTTCCGGCAGGCGCACGGGGACCTGTGGAACATCCTGGGCAGCGTGGTCCGGCCGGTGGGGCTGACCATCGGCCAGGACGGGCTGTCGGTGCGGATCCCCGAGATCGAGCCGCGCGGCAAGCGGCGCGCGCGCGTGCTGCTGACCGACGCGCCCGCCGACATCCTCGCCTTCCTCGGCCTCGACCCCGCCGCCGCCCCCTGGGACGCCCCGTTCGCCTCCGTCGACGCCCTCTTCGCCTACGCCGCCACCTGCCGCTTCTTCTGGGTCTGGCCCGCCCCGGACGCCACCGCCGCCGACCCCCCGGACAAGGAGGACGACGACGACGGCGCCGCCGAGCCCGATCCCGATCCCGCTGCCGCTGCCGCCGACGCCAAGCTCACGAGCAGCGAGCGCCGCCGCGTGCACAACCGCCCCATCTTCCGCCGCTGGTACGAGGACTTCATCCCGGCGTGCCGGGCCGCGGGCCGGTTCACCACGCCGCGGGCGGGGGACCGCGCGTCGGTCTGCGCCGAGGCGCTGGCGCGCTTCCCGGCGGCGCGGGCGCCGTACGAGGCGCGGCTGCTGGAGTGGCGGCGCGAGGAGCAGCGCCTCTCGCTCGCGCGCGACGTGATCAAGTCGGCGATCCCCGCCGCTGCCGACGACGCCGACGCCGATGCCCCCAAGCTCGCGGACCCGATGTGGCGCCGCCGTACCGCCGCCGCCCTGCGCAAGATCGTCGTGCTCGACGACTACGCGCTCGGCGTGCGCCCCGCCGAGACGCTGCGCCGCCCCGCCGACGGCCTGTACGACGAGGACGCCGTCCGCCGCTTCGTCCGGGACAACTGGCGCCGCGTCGGCGCCGCCGCGTGCCGGGCCGATCGCGAGCGCTTCGAGCAGAAGAAGAAGGAAAAGGAAAAGGAAAGAGGAGAGTAAGGATACGACGCACACGGCCCCTCCCGGCGGGCAAGATGCTTCTTGTACTGGGGTAGACGGAGAAGAAGTGTCAGGGAACTGATAAGGGTCCAGGGAGGGCGGTTCCTCCTCTTGATCCCTCCACCCCCCCCCCTCCCCCCCAAGAAATATTTTCGTTAACGTCAGGAGTAGTAGGCTTAGCTCACGGTTCAAGCGGGGTTTGTTGGATGGGGGTTGGCATTATTGATACCCACGATATTCTCTATGCGGTTTCTAGCGGGACAACCCACGCAGGATTGGTAGATAGATAATAATTACGGTAAACACCTAAAGTTCGCGCTGCCTCTCCTCGCAGCCCGGCCGCCCACGCAGGCAGAATATCCCCAGTGAACGCCTGTACGCGTACCGGAACAATCTGTGCCGATACCTTCAGTCTGACGACCACACGGAGGCCACCCGCCACCCCTGATACCCGTAACCGCAACCCCGATGCATACCAAATCTTTGATCACTGGAGATAAGACGCGGCTGGCATTTCTCCTCACAGCTTAAAGTCGGCGTTCGTCTTCTCCCACCCGAGCGGCGTCGGCTCCCGCGCAGCCACGCGCTCCGCCAGCTGCGTCTTGAGGTTCTTGTGGCGGTCGGTGCAGAGCTCGTACGTGGTCGCCAGGTTGAACAGCGTCGTGTGCGACAGCTGGCCCGCGTCGACCAAACTCTCTAGGCACTCCCTCGCCTAGTGACGATTCCGGTTTCATCGTTAGTTCTTCTCCTTTCTCTTATCCCGCCTCCCCGACGTAAGACTACCAAGTGGATGTGTCGCCAGTGAACAGAATGAAAATAACAATAAGCGGCGCTTACCTGACCCATGTTGCCCGTGTAGAGCAGGCAGACAGCCGTATTCACACCGACCATCTCGTCGTGCACGCCGTCCTTCTCCATCGCGTCCTTCAACGCTCTCCACTTGTCCAGCGCGGTGCCGTACTCGCCATCCGCCATGTCTGCTAGCGCGTCGACGATACTCTCGCTCGTTTCTCCTCCTTTCCCCTCCGCCACCGCCTGCCTCGCGGCCTCGACGTCGCCGAGATGCAGCCACAGCAGGGCGCGGCTCATCGCTAGCCTCGCGTCGCTGCCTTCCCCACCGCCGTTGCCCCCTAAGGTAGCGAGATGCTCCACCGCCCCGGCCAGGTCGTCCATCTCGATCAGCGCGCCGGCAACCCGGACACCCAGGTCGGCGAGCCTCCACCTCCAGAGGGCAGCCGTGGCGTGGCGATCCTTCTCCTTACTAGCGGCGGCGCGTGCGATGTGCGCGCGAGCGTCTCGCGCGAGGTCGTAGTAGCTCATGACGGCGCGGCGCGGGTCGCCGAAGCCGATGGCCTGGAGGCGCACGCCGAGGATGCGCAGCTCCCAGGGAACGAGGTGGGCGCCGGTCAAGGGGTCGAGGTAGAAGGCGGAGTTGAGGTCCTCGAGAGCCTTAGACTCGTGGGCAGCGAGAGGCGCGGCGTCGATGAGGCACAGGCAAGCAAGACGCACATACAGCAGCTCGAGTACGGTGGCGTGATCGGTCGGGTCGGCCGTGGGGCTCGTCAAGGCCTGAGCAGCAGCAATGGCGGCCGCCCGGAAGTGGCCGCCGCGCAAGAGCTCGGGAATGGGGGTGTCGGGCGTGGGCTGTGCTAGCCCCGGGAGGCCGCTGCGGAAGGGGGCCGGCACCGTCAGCGGCGACAGCTGGTGGAAGATCTCGGGCCGCATCAGGAACGAGAAGTCTCTAGACGTGAGGGGGGCGCCGCGGGTGGACAGGGCTGGAGACCTCGGCGCGGGGGCGGGCGAGGACAGCCGGCCGAGAGGCGTGCTCGCCCGCGAGCTCGGCTGGGGATGGATGGCGCCGAAGCGGGCCGCCTGCGAAGGGGTAGGCGAGGGTACAGGAGTTCTGCGATGCGCCATGGTGAGCGAGTAGGCCGACGAATAGTTAGGTATATACGCGCTAGCACGTCGGCGTGCCCGATTTAGGCACGCCGAGAGAGAGGAGGGGACAGAGTGGGGGAAGAGGTGGTGACAGGTACAAGTGACAGACATGTATGGGCAAGGTGAAGCTTAGCTTACTCGTCGGCGTCGAGCGGACCCTTGGTGGACGACCTAGGCCTCGAAGCTACAGCTCGCAACCGTAATATGTCAGCGAGCGACATCTTCTCATTTTCGTGTCCTCTTCGCCCTCTTCTTCCTCGTTCGGTCTAGGTATTCCCGCTTTGACAGCCAAGCGAGGACGACGTCGTAGGCGAGAGAGAGGGGGGGGACAGGATGGCTGAAGACAGGCAGGGGAAATGGTGGAGGAGAGAAGGACAGCAGCAACCGAGCAAATACCACCCATACGCCAAACGAGGGAAGGGAAGTCGCCATCACTCGCTCTCTATCGCCCCCTATCGCCCCTTCCGCTTCCATCCCGTCCCGCGATTCGGGGGTTGCAACTGCAGGCCGCGGTGCATTCCGATCGGGGAGGTGCATCTCGATGGTGTAGATACCTTGGGTATGTACCTACCCCAGGCAACCTGACCCTGGCAGATAGATGCCCGCCCAACATCGAGAGAAAAAAAAAAGAACAGGAAATCAAATTACCTAAATCCCGAAAAAAAAAAGAAGATACCTAGTAGGTAATAAAAAAGGGCAAGGAAATCACTCACTCCTCACCCCCGACCCCGTCCTCCCGTGTCCTTTCGATACGCTCCTCTGCACCGACTGGTCCATGGCTGATGGTGTAGGGACTATGCCGTCTCGACGAGATCAGGTCTACGTCAGGATAGGTAGCTGCGATGGAACCATGTGCAATTTGCTGGGCCGGGTAAATGTCGGCAGTTGGTGCGCAGTTGAGGTGAGGTACCTACCTACCTACCTACCTGTTTACTGCATACTATTCCTCCTAACCCATTGTGTGCTATGCACATAACAGGAACTCAGCTGCTCTAGGAAGTCTTACCAGCCAAGCAGTGGGCGAGAAAGGGGATAAGGTAGGTGGTAAGTGGATGAAGGAGTTAGTGAGATCACCATGGACGATTAAAATCGGTCATTAAAGGATTAGGCCACACCTTACACAGGAATACAGCGAATATACCTAACATGTATACTACCTACCTAGGTACCTAGGCTGAAGAGGTGCCTTAGGTAGTTACCAGTAGGTGTCTTGCTCCTAAGTATAGGTAGACACTCAAGGCACCACCTAATTGCGAGCCACAGTAGAAACCCCTAGAGATTACACACATGTTTGTCGTGGCAGACGAGCCAAGATTCGCCTACCAAGATTCGCATATCGGCGGTGGTCTAGGACATTGCTAGAATTATCCGATTCACTACTCGCCTTCTCTTGGACATTCTCCTCCTCGATGGCGGTGGTATTCTGCTTTGGGGGGCAGCCTTCTGCCCTTTGGCTGCAGCCCCTCTCTTAGCAGCACCCCCCTCATGAATAATACGATCCGACATAATACCTTGCCAAACATATCTGGCATACGCTTCGGCGCTGAGCTGCTCGTAGAGGAAGTCGAGTCGGTAGGTGGCCGGAGGCACGTAGATCGGTCCTCCAAAGCACCGACAGTGCTTGCGTACGTCCGTCGGCCGTCCCAGGCAGGCGTTCGAGACCTTGTCTAGGCAAGCCTTTACTATCTCGACATGCTCCGGAGGCAGTATGGGACGCAACGGCTCCAACTCGCTCTCCGGGTTATAGTCGTAGGCGAATTCTTGGTCGGGCCCATTCCACTGCGTTTCGGAATCGTCGAACCAGGCTCTCCCGAATTGATGGAACCTCTCAGACAAGTACTCGGCAGCCCCCTTGTTCTTACTTTGGCAGCCTTCATTCTTCTCTTGGTGCTCACCCCGGGCCAGCTCCTGGCGCGCGCGACTCTCGTGCTCCACGACCTCACGGTCAGCCAGTTCTCTGAACAACCTTACCAGCCCAATCTTTAAATCCATCTTGTCGAATTTGTGGATGGTTTCCCGGGAGATTCGCTCCAAAAAGGCACTTGCAACTGCGAGGTTGGTCTCTACATCCATCTTGATCTGGCTGAGGAGCCTGTCAATCTCTTTGAGTAGGGGGGCCGTGTTGAAGGGCGGGTTAGGACGGTTTATCCCTACAGATGGTAGCATGAGTTTTCGTACGTATTGCTATCTGGGGGGATAATACAGCTTTGCTGGCTTACATCTGCGTTGGCACTTGCGGGAGTGACGCCGATTAATCTCGTACTTCTTCTTGGCCCTCTGCGGACTGCTAGCGTGATTATTCTGTGGGTTGCCGGGTTTGTGCTTCTCTCGGATTTCTCGCTGAGTCTCCTCTAGGTGCGCGGGCTCGTTCTTCTCTTCGGATTCTGGTCCAGTCTTCTCTGGGTTGTCGGGTTTGCGCTTCCCCCGGGTTTCTGGCTGGGTCTCCTCTGGGGTTACGGGCTCATTCTTCTCTTTGGATCTTGGTCCAGCCTTCTCTGGGTTGCTTGGTTCGTTCTTCTCTGGGCCTCTTGGCCGAATCTCCTCCGGTTTGGCGAGGCCGTTTTCCTCCGGGCTGCTCGGCCCGCCCTTCTCCGATTCGCTCGGCTTGACTGCCTCCTCCTTTCCGTTGCCCGGGCCGTTCTTCTTGCCTTTGCGTTTCCGGCCCTTGCTCTTCTTCTTTGCGTTGGATGGCCCAGCCATCCTGGGATCTACGGCGAGCACGCGGACCTAGACCTGTAGTTGGACCGGGAAGAGCCAGCTGGGGACGGACCCGAGGGTGTGTGTCGACTCTGGGGAAGTCCAAAGTAGGGGGTAGGGGATAGCGGGCTAGGAGCTCCGAGTTGCCGATGGACGGAACAGCTTATCGCAATACTACCGGCTTGTGGAGAATCGATATCCCTCGTAGACGACACGGCTCGGACAGCAGCAACTGTCTACCCGCCGTCAACCCACAGGTGCGGTTGCTACGGGAGGATGGCGGCAGCAGTTTGCGAGATGCGTGAAGAGGCCAGTCGGCTGCGGGTAGATGATGGTAGGCGGGCAATCGAGGACAGACCTGTAAACCGGGGGACCTGGGGAGGGAAGAAAGCAGAGGTATTGAAGGGGTTGCCAGGTTACCAGCTCGACGTAGGCATTAAATAGCGAGAGGCAGGTACGTACAGACAGCAGACCGCGTCCTCCTGGCAGTCACCACTTTGCTTACCTGCATTACCTACGTCGCTGCCGCCCGCAAACAGGGCCAACCCTCCTCTCCTTGTACCTGGACTCGGTGTATTCGGTGGACAGCCGGCTGCAGCCAGCACGTTGCTAGATTCCCAGGTAGCTGTACAAGGCCCCCCAGTGCTGCCGACCTCATTTGGCATCCACTGATCAATCAAGAGGAAGCTGCTCTCAGTCCTCGAGCTATCAACCCTCCTGCCCTCCTCAACACGGTGGTCTTTTTTCTGGCCGGCGAGCGCCGTGCCGGCTTAAGTGCAAACTCCATACCTATCTAACAATCATGAAAAGTGCATGCTCCTGATTCTGAGCTGCGTCGATTAGGTCAGGTACCCAAACAATCTCTCCATATCCCACAATGACGTAGGTATCTGCATTTGTCTTGTTACCATTGACCCCTTTGAATGCGCACCCTTACGTCTTCGCTTTCACTCTATTGCCCGGTTCTCGCCATAGTTACGTCTTTACTACCTGAGTATCTCCTCCTGTGCGAAGATAGAGGGGAGTTGATACATAGTGACACAGTAACACCTCAGGCACCTACCTATACCACCCCTATCGTACCTACCTCTATACTGGCGCCTTATCCAACGTAGGTACCTTAGGAGGTGGTCTACCTGGAAACCATCAATACGCATACACACAACGCTGCCTCTCCCGCTCTATTCATAGCCGAATCCTCTCCTCATCTAGACAAGACACTGAGAAATTCTCGTCCCTTGGATACCTATCCAGCCGTTCCCCCATCCTGAAGATTGGTAACTGCGAGAAGCGGAGGCTCGTACCGACGTGGGCGAAGTGACAAGCATTCCCCGCAATTTCATGTTCTCAGTCTGGGAATGATCTATGTACCTAAGTACTTACCCGCATACGGATGTGCCTGCATTACCTAGGTACATCATCATATCGTCTATGCATTCTGTTATCGGTGCCTTGCATTTAGCCTACACGTGAACCTCCCGACGAGGCAGCGTTTCAGGGCCGTTCCATCCCCGGACAGGCCCATAAAGTACATATATGTACATCTCGGGATTTATCAATGTAACTGTATGCACATACTGTATGGTAGGTACCTATACGCGCGATGGATCCTGGGGGTACCCCCACGGAAGCCGAGCCCAGTTTTTTTTTTCTCACCCTCTTTCGCATATCGAGAGCAAGAATCCATTCAAACCCGACCCCTCCTCCGCCGAGCAACACCCGCTAACCAGCGCGAACCTCGATGGCGACAGCCGCACACAACTCGTACTAGCTACGGAAGCTCTAGACCGAGACCGCGAAGCTCTCTACCCTCCCGCGCCCACCGCGACGATTGCTACTTGCCAAGGCCGCCGCGGCAGCGAAATCGAGCCACGGCACACCCGTAGCACAGCTCAGCCTCCCCCATCCCCGGCCGCCGGGGAGCATGCCGACCGGCTCGCTGTAGCTGCTCCTTCTGCCCGCCCCATCACGTACCCGACCGCATCCCCTCGTTCCCCGGCGCCGGCCACCCGCGCGTAGCAGCAGCCCAGCATGTTCGCCGTGCGGGCGGTGCGCAGCCTCGCCGCGCGGCTCGCGCCTCGGGCGCTGCACCCGTCGCCCCGGGGTCCCCTAGCCGCTCAGGCCCCCCCGCGTCTCCCGCTGCCATCCCGGCCGCTGCACACCGCGGCGCCGCGTCTCGCGCGGGCCGGCGGCGGCGGCGGCGGCGGCTCCTCGAAGCGGCGGAAGCGCAAGAAGGGCGAGGGCCCGGACCCGCGGATCGTGAACCTGAAGTCGTCGATGCCGCGGGCGGTGCCGGCGCCGCTGCGGTTCGCGCGCAACCGCGCGCTGCGCCACTGGACCATCCACCGCGCCTGGCAGCTGTTCCAGCGCAACGAGCGCGTGCGCCAGGAGTACGAGCTGCAGCGGTGCGTATCTTTCTTTCTTTCTTGCTGTTCTCCTTTCCCCCCTTCTCTCCCCCGCCTCCCCTTTTCTCCATACCGCGCTGGCGCGCGCTAACGCGCGCGCGGGGGACACAGTCTGCACCAGTCGATGCGCCGGGCGTGCGAGGAGCTGCGGACGACGAGCGGGCCCGGGACCCGCAACGAGGGCCACCTGTTCCAGCTGGCCATGGACAAGGCTGGCGTGTACAGCCTCTCCAGCGTGCCGATCGAGTACGCGCGGCCCCAGACCGAGACCCCCGCCCGCCAGCCGTGGAACCACGAGTGGAAGCGGTAGGCCGGAGGAGAGGAGAGGAAAAGGAGTAGGAAGAGCGCCGAAAGTCTCTGCCCGCCAGGCGAGGGTGTATATAGTATAGGACCGCCTCCCCGCGCCGACGCCGCGAGGGCCCGAAGGGGTTGGCGCCGGGGTCGGACGTGTATTACTATCGCTACTATTATTGCTACGGCCTGAGCGGGTTCCGCATGAATACTACGCGTTTCGTCTCGCGCGCCCTCGGCGTCTACTGTGTTTTATATGTAGCTGTGGCGCCTCGCGGCGTCGGGAAAGGGAGGGTCGGGTGTGCTTGGGTTGCTGGGATATCCCGATCTGCACATGGCGAGGAGGTAGGTAGTAAGTAGCTAGGCAAGCGTAGTAAGCCGATGCTTCAAATTCACCCAAAGAACATGTGCACACATCCATATACGTAGGTTCTCCTCGCATAGGGGCTTGTAGACCGCGCTTGGGCCTAGACCCAGGTCGGAGATGGTCAAACCAGGGGAGGTGGAGAGGATGGTGAAGATCAGGAGTAGGACAGAAGCCGGAGACCTGAGGAAGTGGGGGCGAGGATCGCCGTATAGACAGACCAGGATCGCGGACAACGAAACGCGTCCGACTGTTTGCTGTTTGACGCTTCGGGGCGGGCCATAAAATAAACAGCAGGGCTTCTCTCTTGGGTCTCTCTCCGTCTGTATACGGCGGAATAGGCGAATTAATGGAACGAACCAAACGATGGGTCTGTCTATATATATAACATATGTCAATCAGTAAACTAGTTACGGCAATTTGTCTTGGGCCTGCCTGCTTCGAGCGTTAACCTCCCACATTTCTCTGGGCAACTCATTACCATCCCCCCTGCCCCCCCCCCCCCCCACTCCTGACGGAGGAAAATGGCAAGAAATGAAAAACAAGATCATAGGGCGGTTGACTTGCTGGTGAGGTTATAGATGAAGGAAGGGTCGAAGGGGGGGATGGCTGTCTCGCTCGCGCTAACATAGTAGATTTCGTTCGTTCCGTCTTGCTTCGCTCAGTCTTGTTCCCAACTCGACTCGATCGCACTGAATACAGGGGGGACGATGGATGGACAGGTGGTTAAGTTATTATATAGATGTACAAATAAATGAATAGACGGGCGGATAGGCGTAGCCTCGTTTTCTTCGGGGATTGATCCGGTAGGCAAGCTAGATTGGCGGTTGAGCGAGAGTTGACATGTCAGTCGTCGAGCAGCAAAGTTAGGTCTCGATAACCCCGTGCCCAGTGAGTGAGTGGGCGGATGACGTGTACGCAAGTTGGTGGTAGATGAAAAGGATGGCGATTGCCGGCCGTGGTACGCTGAAATAGTCGGAAAGACAAAGCTGGCCCGTGCTGGCACGATGTCGCCGTCTCGATGGTATTGGTTTTCCCACCCCTAGGTTGTCCCCCTCCCTATTGCTTCTTTCTCGAACGAACGCTGGCCGGTCCAGCGCCCTCCTTTTCCTGTGCTTCTTCCACGACTTCTTCCTCCACTCCGTTTTGGGTCCGGTTCTCAATCTCGTCTCGTCGTCTGCACCCTCATCCCCGTCCTTCATCTCCGTTCACGGGCCATTCTCACCCTCGACAGACGAGGAAACGAAGAAAAGAACACCGGTAGAATCCGGTCAATCCGCTAGAACTCCCCTATGCATACACGTCCGTTTTATTGTTCGTTCCCCGAGGAGGTCGTCTCGCTCCAATTTTTTCGTTTATCGATGTCCGCTCTCTCCGCTTGCTCGTGCGTCCGATCGTCAGCCTGCTCGTCCACTGCTCTTCGTCACTCCGGCCTTGCTTCGGCGGACGACTCGCGCCTGCCATTCATAATATCACACAGCAGCCGCCGCCCTCCCCCTTTTCGAAGGTGAGCAGGGCCGCGCGGGTGGCGGCCTCGAACACGTCGTCAACGCCCTCGCCGCTGAGACTCGAGCATTCGAGGTATTTGCGTGCTCCGACCTCCTGGGCGGCGGCTTCGCCCTGCCGTTCCGTCACGAATTTGAGGCTCTTCTTGCGCATCTCCTCAATCGCTACGGGGTCATCTCGAAGATCCTTCTTCAATCCCACTAGGATGATCGGGACGCCTGGGCATCGCTCCGTCGCTTCTTCTACCCACTGTGCACCCAGCTCACGGTCAGTTCCGGAACTTATCTCTCGATAAAAGTAGGGGGGGCGGTGGGGGTGACAGCCGACCTTGTGCTTTACATTGTCAAGAGAATCGGGCGATTCGATGGAAAACCCTATCAAAAGAACATGCGCTTTTGAGTATGCCAACGGCCGCAGCCGCTCGTAGTCCTCCTGTCCCGCCGTATCCCATAGCGCCAATTGTACCGACTTGCCGTCTACTCTGCAGTCTGTCACATAGTTCTCGAATACGGTGGGGATCTAGAGGGTGGCATCGGCGGTTGCATTGTTAGTTCGGCACGAAGGATTCGCTCGGCGAGCGAAAGGGGGGAAGATGGTGACCGGGTTAGCTTACGTAGTGCTATAAACAACCAGGTTAGTATGCGCGTACGGCGGGTGTAACATGAAACCAGAGAGAGGAAGGGGGGGGAGAGAAAAGGCAGACGTACGGTTGGGAAGTATCCTAGGGTGAAGACGCTCAGTAAAGAGGTCTTTCCACAAGCTCCATCGCCAATGATGACTAGTTTCCTGCCAGGGGAGATTAGCAACGTGCGTGCGGCGATGTGGATGCGAGACGGTGGCGGGCAGGCGACACGGAGGTGGACGGGTTGTGGAGGACAGTGGTGGTAACTGGCGAGATGCGAGGGTGTATGGCGAAAGCGGCGAGATCTCGGGCAGACGAAGAATGGTGGTTGTGGTTGCGAGATGGTGCCGTCGCGGCTGCGGGAGGCGTGAGGCAGAAGTAGTAGGGCTGATAATAGCGATCACGGTCACGAGCTCACCAAAAAGGGGGTGGGCAGGATGACGTCGCGGTGGAGGGCGAGAGAGGGTGTGGGTGGCGATGGTTCGAGACACAGCCGAGGGAGGGATCGACGGTTGAATTGGACGTACCTCCTAATAACATTCTGCGGATTCGAGCTCGCCATTGCTCGGGAGGAAAAGGTGCGAATCCCCAAAAATAAGGTTGTGTCGTCTTCTTGTCGCCGCCTCGTCCTGCTGCTTCTGGAGGGAAATTAGAGTCTTAGGCTGAGCTGCGCGCGCGTCGACCAGGGAATGCTGCGGACTATCTAGAGGTCGATGATGGGTTCCCCCCCTTTTTTCTTCTTTTTCTTCTTTTTCTTTAATTCGACAGCCGGCTCGAGGAGGAGAGGGGGGGATGAGGATCAGCTCGCGGAAGTGGGTTTTCTGGGGGCGGGTGCGCAATCGTCGATGCGGTAGGCCGAAGCAGGTTCGGTGATCGAAAAAAAAAACGTGGATGCGAGGGTGGGGGGAGAGAGATAGAGAGAGAGGGAGGGAGAAGTCGAGGTAGGAGTAGGATAGAGAAGAGGGAGCAGAAGGTGAAGGTAAAGAAGGAGGAGGAGGAGGAGGAGATAAAAGATAGGGATGGTGAGAAGCTACGGGAGACAGAGAGAGGGAGAAAGCCTGGAAATGGGATCGGACTCGGCGCGTCGGGCCAGCACCAAGCCCAGCACCGAGCTACGCCGTCTTCGAGATTTCCCTGTCGACTTGTCCCGCGGCGGTCCTGTTGACTCGTCTCTGCTCCGCCCTCTGGGTCTCCTATATTCTGTTTTATTTTATCTTCAACTTTTTATTTTATTCGGACGGTTTCCCTCCTTTTTGGGTTGTCGCCGCTGATCCGGTCCGATGGGAATGGGATGGGATGAAGGAGGATGGGGTATGTGTAAGGAAAGCACGGTAAGCCAGCAAGGCGAGGTGTTGTAAGTTGCAAGGGCAAGTCGAAAGCAAGTAATTGTAGCAACGGTAGAGCTAGAAAAAAATTGTCGAATACGAGCGGCCAGCGCAAAGAAGAGAGAGAGCCTACCCAGCCGGGTTTCGCGGTAGAATTTAAGGCCTCCGTTAGAAAGGATTCCCTCAGTTTTAGTCCGTGACTCCGTGTTGACACGACCCCTGCAAACTGGCGAGTCCAGCTTCACCAGCGCGGCCATGCGATTGGCCCGGTTGGGTCCAGAGCAGGCCAGAAGAAGTGTCTGGCTCTGGCTCTGGTTGCCCCCCCTAGAGACGATAGAGAGCTGTGACAAGCAATGAGCTCCTTATTTTCATCAGCTGCCGGCGCTGTCAGAGAGACCCGACCTACGCCGGCGCACAGGGAGGGTGGGTTGCTTTCGCTCATCGCTTGTTGCGTGCCAACTGTGGAAAACGGACTCGAGTTGCCTCTGTTTCGCTATCCTGCCTTCACCACATAGGTACATATGTACCTACCGGGCACCCGGGTGGTAGGTGAGTTAGGTTAGGTACCTAATCTCCTAACACACTTTACCTGCCTCAGGTACCTTAGGCACCTTGGGTACCTCTGGTTATAGTTATACCATATACCTTAGGTACACCTATTACGTTAGGTACCTGCCTATCTACCTTAGATACATACCTACCTCATACATACACACATATGCACACAGAACTCCGAATCGTGTCCGCAGGGCCCCTCTATCTGACAAACCAAGAAGAGGGAAAAAGGCACAGGCAAAAAAACTGACAGACCACGACGACAAAAGCAACTAAAATAAAACACCTGCGATGTGAGGACGCAGAGACAGGCCGCAGCCGTGGCCCCAGCCTCAGTTAGTAGATAGGTAGGTCCGCAGGTAGAATCCATCCCTCCCCATAAGCTGCCTGCTACGTTGCAGGTGCCAACTTCATTACGCTAGAGGCGGGCGGGAAGGCTGTGCCCATGGGGTCGGGTTTGCGATTCACGACGGCGCTCGCTCTGGGGATCGCCGACAACCCCTCCGCCCACTCCATTGGTCCAACCGGGGCTTACGATGGGCTGATGATCCAGGTAGGCAATATGTATCGTCTCTGAGAGAGCGAAGCGCGTCCCTAGGTCAGCCGGCAGACGAGTGAGTTGGCGGTCGGATGGCAGGTCGTAGGTGGCTTATATATGTGTGTGTGTGCATGGTCGGTTGGTCTGCGGTGGGAATACATGCTGCTGCTGGCATGCTGCTGGCGCGACCGGTGCAAGACTGGATGTCGTTATGAGGCCAACCAGGTTGAACCATACTGCTTACCCGTCGACGATGAATGTGGACCCCGGCGATAGGTGGTTGAGCCAGGTGATGTCGGAATTTGCCCGCTCCTAAGGGTAGCGGGTTTCCTCGCCCACGTCCTGTCTTAGTGGCTGTCGGATAGCCTATTCGGCCATCTGACGATGCCGTCGAAGAGCTTTCTCCCGAGAAGCCAGGCCACCCATAGCTCGCCAGCGGGTAAGAGCTGACCGCTCTCCCCTCCTGGCCTCCTGGGGCCTTGACACGCTTGGCAAATTAAGATCGCCCAGCAGCGGGTAGGGCTAAGGACGAAAGTTGGCTGGTGCGTGTCTCTGGTTATAAACTGGCTCTAGGCTCCGATGGCAACCGCGGGAGCGAGCAAGCAGCATGGTTCGCGACGGCGTCATACCGCACTACTATTACCTGTTATACAAACTGCCTACCTTTAGTATGGCGGATACGTGGATGCCTGCCATGTATACGTGCATACCTACCTACTTGAGGAGTGAATCGTGGAGAGATACCCAACAGCGGATTCGAAAGTCCCCAACATGATTTGGCCCGGACCGGCCGACGGCACCAGCACTTCTCGATGTCGCAGTTCCAACCAGCGAGATCTGATATGTATCTCCTATTGCGGTACAGGGATCGAGATGCAGCGCCGCCCCCTCGGAGTTGCCCGTGTCGGCGTTGGCTTTCCGGGCGAGGATTACCTACCTAAGGTAGGTGTGTATCGAACGGAGGTGATGTACACCTACCTCACCATCACATCCCTAGGTAAAGCAGGTAGAGGCTGGTATGTTACATATCCGCGTATCCTCGTCGTGGAACTCCATCCTGATGAAATGAATGGCTTCCCTAGGTAGTTAAGCGGATAGGACGTTCCATGTCGCGATCCACTGCCAGACCCAGGAGGAAGAAACCAGACAGGTCTTGCGTGGAGAAATGATGAAACCATTCCCTGTGTCCTGAGGCGCTAGGATGCGACGGCTTCTGCCCTTCGCAGGCTGCTGCTTTCGTCGACAGGCGTGACGACGAACTAACTGGACATACCTACCTACGACCGGGGATGTCAGGAGAAGCAACCTCGCCACATAGCAGCCGCGCAGCCACAGCATCCACGCCCTAGATAGGCATCTCTCTCCTTGTCACTGCAGACGTCTATACATTAGGCAGAGTTGACGCCCGTAGCAAGGCGGCCCGGTCCAGGGGGTGGCATCGCCGAGAAACGCATAGGTACATACAGAGGGTGGGTTTTCGAGGATCTAATCTAATCGATGGTGGGCAAGGAGGGATCGATCGGCTTGAAACGGGCATCATCACGAATATCACGTACATCACGTACGCACCAAGCCCCCTTTCTTCTATGGAAACTGGGCTTGGGAGCTGGCGAGACAACCAAGCCTACGAGATGGCGCGCTTGCTTGTGTATGGGTTTACGGATGTGGTTTTGGGTGTTGCCAGCTGTATTGTGTTGTAAGAGAATCTCGAATGCCAGAACCAAGCGAGTGAGTGAGTGGAATGGGGGTTATATACAATGTGATTTATGAGCAGTACGAGGGCCACAGGTAATATTATACTTGGGTATCTGCCTAGGTACTTGACCTCCATGGTCCTTTTACTCAGTACCTACCTCCTAACCTATGGTCGTCGCGTTAGGCACATAGCTGCATGGATGGCTACTAGCTGCGGCACCTGTAGAGAGGCTGTAGCGCCCACAGCCTACCTGTACGTGTAGTTTGGAATGTATGTGAAGGATGGAATAGGGTGGAGAGGTGCATGTATGGAACTTGAGGTGCTAGGAATGTCGGCTGGTTGGTTTGGGCCATCAAGGTTGCAATCATTATCTACCCCAGGAGGATGCGCCGTACGAACCTGTTCAGCTCCTCCAACCAGATGTTGGTTTGATTGTTACACGCTGCCCAGATATTATATGCTTACAATATTATATGCTTACAATATATTCACCCGTATTCCATAGTAGGTATTAATGTTACGTACCTGGCACTGAGATACCTACCCAGGTATCTGTCTATTGTTGCTCATGAACAGAGAGATGAGCAGTCTAAATAGGTAGTGCTCCATTGAGGCATATTCACACAGGTACTGCATTTCTCAATCCCTACATGCCTCATCGGGGCGTTGATATCTACTCATAACTAACTTCCTTAGGTCGGTAAGTAGTTGTTGATAATCGGTAGACAGATACACAGCCAGTCATGTGACGCTTGCTTTCCTTTCCAGCTCAGAGTTTTTTACTTGCTGTCCGACCGGCAAAACTGGGGCTGATAAAAGGTGAGGCGGCTGTTGCTGCTGTCTGGGCGAGGTCTGACATAATGGGGCCAGGTTACCCTAGGATTCGAGGTACTTTAGTATTTAATATTGCACCTGTAGGTACCTATGAGTAAGGTACCTTCCTCCCTTAGGTACCTACCTACGTACCTGAGGTTAGTTACCCCCGGCTGTTATATTAGGCAGGTAGAGGTGGGTAAGTCCGTACCTCCCATGGAGGTAGATTAGGTACCTAAGGTAGAGATATAAACTCCCATACCAGCTCAGGTACCTGCGGGCGGTTCCTACTTCCCGCCTGTTGTAGCTGAGATGGCCAGCAGGTAGGTACGTCCCCCCCCGGTACTTGAGCAAGAGCACCTGCCGCCGAAATACCTAGCGCCAAGGTAGCCGCGACCCGGGCCCAAGGAGGTACCTGTCCGCAGGTACCCTTCGACATTTGCACCTGCTATCCCTCTTGGAAAAGCCACTCTCAAGCCTCCGGGGGCACCAACACCAAAAACACCTCTACCATAAACACATACCATTATCCTACAGCCAATATCCTCCCGCCCCCCACCCACAAACGAAATCCCTCCACGGCGCCGAGAGCCACCATACTCCGACTGCTTCTCCCGCCCTGCGCCCCAGCATTGCTACGAGAGTGACCGTAGACGAGAATCCGCTGGCCAACGAAACGGCGTCTCCCTCGGGTCCAGATTGCCGCCAGCAGCCCACGTCGAAGAGGGGCCCCACGACGCCTCTCCCTCCCGCCCGCCAAACGGAAACCCGCCTGCCTCACCATTCCGTAATCGCGCTGGGAAAACAAGCCGTGCTTATCGTAGAGCTTACCCCCGGAGAGACGGTGACGTCGAATACGTAGCCGCCTGGGACCTGTGGTCGCTCGCAGCCGCACCTCGCACATGACTCCATTCGCTGTCGCGTCATAGCCTCCCCGCAACAATGCCCGCCAGCAACAGACATCAACAGCCCGCCACTCCGGGACCTGCCCTCCCCGTCCCGAAGGCCACGGCAAAGTACACGAACAAGGATGGGACCAAGTATATATCCGTCCCTAAATCATCCACGTCGACGCCGCCGGCCCAGCCGTCGCCGACTACCACCTCGTCCTCGAGGGGCGGTGCCCCGATGAACCCCCCGGCCGCTGCCAACGGACCCCCGGCGCAACCGGTGAATCGCAAGAAGCAGAAGCGTCGGGCAAAAGCTGCCGCGAAGGCCGCCGCCGAACAGGCCGAGGCCGCCGCCAACGGACTCCCCAGTCCAGCCTCCACCAGCAGCACACCCTTGCCAGCGTCGTCAGAGTCCCCGCCCAAGGACGTGCACCACTCCCGACATAGCATCCCGAGCGAGAGCCACCACGCCTCCCACGACCACGCCCACAATGGCGAAGACTGGGGCGAGGAGACGGAGAGCGACGACGGGCACGCGAACGGATCTGCGCCGAAGTCGAAAAAGCCCAAGAAGAAGAAGAAGCGAGGCGCGGTCGAGGAGCCCGCAGACGCCATCTCATCGGGAATTTCCAAGGAGAAGATATGGAATACGTCCCCCCCGGATGAGCGAGAGCGCATCAAGCAGTTCTGGCTAGGTCTGGGCGAGGACGAGCGAAAATCCCTGGTTAAGGTGGAGAAGGACGCCGTTCTGAAGAAGATGAAGGAACAGCAGAAGCACACCTGCAGTTGCTCCGTGTGCGGACGCAAGCGGACGGCCATCGAGGAGGAGCTGGAAGGCCTGTACGACGCCTACTACCAGGAGCTGGAGTCCTTCGCGAATCAGCCCCACGGCCACCCGAACGCGCCCCCCATGTTCGCTCCGAAGCGGTTCGGCGCCCTGACCGGCCTACACCCTCCCGGAGCTCTGCCGTCTCGATACTCGAATCACCACCCTTCACACGGCCGCATAGTGGAACACGTGGATAATGACGAAGACGAAGAGGAGGACTATAGCGACGTGGACAATCTGGACGAAGACGAGGACGAGGACGAGCCGGAGGAAATCCCTCGCGACTCATACCCCAACGACTTCTTCAACTTCGGTCAGAGTCTCACCGTAAAGGGTACGTTGCAGTTTGCGGACCCGAACCCCATCCGTGTCCAATGTGTTTGAATAACATGTCTTAGGCGGCATTCTTACTGTGGCAGACGACCTCTTAAAGAACGACGGCAAGAAATTCATCGAGATGATGGAGCAGCTAGCCGAACGACGGATGGCACGCGAAGAGGACGCGAAGGATCATTACGCGGGAGGATACGGCCACGGCATGAACGGCGCCCCTATGTCGAACTCTCACAACCACCCACCTGTCGAGGACGACGAGCTCGAGGAGGAGGAGGAAGACGAGGACGACTACGATAGCCAGGACGAAGACTATGACGAGGAAGAGGTACTCAGCCGATTCTCCGTGTCGGTGGGCCCCTTGCTGACTGAAAATTTGCCTAGGACACGATGACGGAGGAGCAGCGGATGGAAGAGGGCCGCAGGATGTTCCAAATATTCGCCGCGCGCATGTTTGAGCAAAGAGTACTGACCGCGTATCGAGAGAAGGTCGCTAGGGAACGGCAAGAGAAACTTCTAGAAGAGCTCGAGCAGGAAGAGACGCAAGAATCGCAGCGCAAGGCCAAGAAGGCCAAGGAGGCCCAAAAACGAAAGGACAAAGCCGCCCAGAAGAAGCAGGCCCAACTCGAGGAGAAGGCGAAGCGCGACGCTGCCAAGGCGGCGGAAGAGGCGGCCCGCCTAGCGGAGGAGGCGAGAAGGCAAGAAGAAGCCAGGCTCAAGGCCGAGGAAAAGCGCAAGAAGAGGGATGCGCAGAAAAAAGCAGAGGAAGAAGAGCGCCAAAGAAAAGAGCAGGAACGGCAACGGCGTGCGCTCGAGCAGAAGGAGAAGCAAGCGGAGCAGGAACGGAAAGCTCGAGAAGTGAGGGAACGCGAGAAGAAGCAGAAAGAGGAGCAGCGGCGCAAAGAGCAAGAGGCTCGCGAGCTCAAGGAGCGCGAGACTCGGGAGAGGAGAGAGAAGCACGAGAAGGACAAGAGAGACAAGGAGCTGAGAGCCGCTCAGGCCAAGGCCGAACGTGACGCCAAGGAGAAGTCGAAACAGGAAGAAAAGGCGGCGGCGAAAGTCGCGCCACCAGCCGCTCCGATCCCGACGCAGCCAGCGAAGAAGCAACACCCCGTCTCGATACCTGTACTCCCTCACCAGCCGCCGACGAGCCATCCGTCACCCCAGATCGCCGTTGCGACCCCTGCCCTCCCCAAGGCCCCCACGCCTATAAAACCTCGGTCCGTCTCTCAGGAGGTAGCAAAGTCGGCTTCCCAAGCCTCTCACACCGCTTCCGGCCCAAGTCAAGATGCCTCGCCGCCCGCCTTCACCCCGCAGCATACAAGCCCCGGACCCATCGGCCCGCCGAGGAAGATGTCGTCTGCCGGCCCGTCGAGCTTGACTCCGTTAATGCATCCGGTATCGCCCCTACACCCGGCCATCAAGGGCCCTCCCGGGTCGCAGCCGGGACTGCCCAATATGGGGGCCTCCCCTGGGGGTATGCAGTTTTCTCCCGGAATGGCGCCTCCGGTGGGGCCAGGTTTCGGTCGAATGCACGATGCCATGTTCCAACCCATCCATATGAGTTTCCGTCCCATAGGCATGCCGTTACCTCCGCCGGGCCTGAATCCCATGGGCGGCAACCGGCCCTTTCCCATACCGCACGCGCCACCCGGATTCCACCAGTCAGGAGACCAACCCGTACCCGGCATCCATCACCAAGGCTTCTCCCCCGACAGTGCGCCAGGACGGCCATCGTCACACTCACGTCAAGCTTCCGCGTCGTTCGACGCGAATACCCTAGACATGAAAGGGCTCAACAGCACGTCTCAGCCGATCAGCAGGCCGACACCCATAGGCAGGCCTGCCAGCGTCGTCCACGGACAGAGGGGTCCCGATCCAGCGGCGGATATCGACGACGTGAGTAATCATCTCGGTAGTAGCGCGCTACTGGACGATTCAGACGAGCCCTTTGGGAACGTCGGGTCTCCCCGGAGAGGCACTGCCGCTCCGGGCACGCGGCCGTCATTCCCAGGCGCACCGTTCATGGACCCGGTCTTCGGCTCGCCCCTGGCCGCCCCATGGGGCGCTCCTAATGTCTTCCCTCCTCCACCCGGCTTCGGTAACGCGCCGTGGCCCCCGAACCCTACCTTTGGTGGCCCTCCTGCCGCGATGCGGGTCTCCCAACCCAGGCCGGTCGCCGTCCGTCAGATGCTCGTCCGGGCCTGCAAGGACTTGGAAAGCCGGGGCGCAAATTTCAACGGATATATAGATCTACCCGCGATCAAGGGCCACGTAGATGCTATGAACCCCCCTGCGGCGGAGCCGGTTAGCGAGAAGGAATTGCTAGACATGTGCGAAACCGAGGGCAACGGCCAGAACGGCGGGGGAAGCTTCGAGGTCCGACGTGACGAACACGGGACACTCTTTATCCGGTTCGAGGCAGGCAGAGGACTGGCTCCGGCCGCATTTCCGCGAAGCGTGGGAGCCCCCGGCGAAATCGGCAGTCCGGTCGTAGGAGCCGGCTCGCCTAATAATTACGGCACCGCATCCTAGGCGGATCAGGATCTCGCCGCTCCAGCCGACGGTGCCGCCGTTCCTGCGGGCGAAGTCATGGGCGCCAATCGTGCAGTGCGCGCGAAGTGGGCGAGCACGAAGGGGTTCCTCCAATATCTCTCGGATCTGGCAGACCGCGGAGTAGAGAAGAAGAAGAAGGGGGAGGATCGTAGAGATTCTCTCTCTTTTTTTACTGAGCCAGAAGTCTGGCTTGCCAACAACATGTTAATGTACCATGCGCGCCGTGCTGGGTGAGCATGCACGGTCAAACCATCCCCTTGTAACCAGTAGGGAGCAATATCAGCTCTTGGGCAGTTGAAATACGGAGTATTACCTCTATATGCAAATTTTTTTTTTTCAATCGCGTGAGAGCAGGCGAAGAAGAAGAAGAAGAAGAAGAAGGAATGGCAACAACGTAGGGACAAGATGCGTCGTCCTCTCTCTCTCTCTCTCTCTCTCTCTCCTATCCCTAACGGTGTCCGCCTGGACCCGGGCCGTAGTAGTAAGCGAGGCCGCCGTTCTTGCCAGTAAGCCATCACTATCGTGAGCGGGAGAGCTTCCGTCCCCGCGACGTGTCCTACCGCAAAGCGCAATACATATGTATCAACGGAGTGCGGATTCGCGCCAAGCGAACTGAAGCCGCAACACTGGACCGACGGACCACGGCGAGCGAGACCGGGTCTGGGCTAACAGCGACTCGGGCGGGCGTCCCCGTGCGCAGTAACACCCCAAGCGCCACCCTCCTCGCCCTCCCTTCCCTCGTCACCTCCTCCCCGCAGCAAAGCCCAGCCCAGCCCAGCCCAGCCCCCTCTGCTGCCTCGGAATAACACGCGGCGCAGAGGGCGTCTTCATTACATGCACACGGACGTCTGATTAGCGAATAACGAATAGCGAACACTTGCAATGCGCGGCCGGAGCGAGCACACCCGCGGCGCACTTGGCAAACACGAAGCCCCGATGCGACTATACGCCGGGGATGGGCACGCGGCGGATCAGCGCCCTGGCTCCCTGAGTCTCGCCTTTGCGCGTGTTCAGACTGCCTCTTCTTGGCTTCCGTCTTGTTGGAAATTCTTTTGTTTTTGGTTTCCCTCCCTGGTTCCTATCAACATCTATTTCCCTTCCCGCAGTCCCCATTACCCCGCCCACTTTCCTGCCCCATCCTGATCCGTTTCGTGGTCTCGTAATCGACGTCGTCGGCCTTGTCCCGCCTCGTCTCCGCAGCCCGCAGTCCCGCAGCGTCGCGGGATTCTTGCCTCCTTCAATGCCTCCTTCCCCCCCCCTCTCCTTCTTTGGTCACTCTCTTGGCGAGTACGTACCGGCGAGGGCGAGGTCTCGTCGCGGGCACTTAGTATCTCGGGCCGTCGGAGAAGGGGTTTTGGCCGGCCGCGCCGGGGCCGGGGCTCGGGAGGCGCGGGGGGTGCTGGGAGACGGACGGGCCGCGGGCCGGGGCGGGGGCGGGCTCGTCGATGGCGGGGGGTATGGCGCTGGCGGCGGTGGCGTCGGCGGCGCTGGCCTTGGCGATGGCGGCGGCCTCCTTGCGGGCGCGGAGCTTGCGCTCGGCGACCTTGTCGCGGCAGCAGAGGAAGACGAGCGTGCCGAGGGTGCCGGCGAAGCAGACGGACAGGAAGACGGTGATGACGACGCCGCTGGTGTCGAGCGCGTCGCGCCGCACCATGCACGTGTCGATGCCGAACCGGTCCTTCATGCAGATGTTCTCCGCCGCACACACCTGCGTCGGCAGCTCCGTCGGGAAGCACGGCAGCGTCTGGCCCGACTCGGACCCCGTGGACTGCACCGGGCACACCGTCGTCGCCACCCGCGACTCCGTGCTGCACTGGATCGACGGCGTGAAGTCCGAGTCGCCCGCCCGGAGCACGAGCGACGCCGGGCCGCTGAGGAATTCTACCGCCGCGATCGGGGCTGGGGTCGGGACTGCGAGCAGGCGGCGGACGCGCGTTAGTGGGGTTACGTCGTAGGGTACTCATCGTCTCCCCCTTCCTTTCCTATATCCCGAATCGCTTATCGGAGAGGCAGACCGTAAAAACCTGGGGGGGGGGGGGGGTGGTGAGAGGGGAGGGGGGGGAAGGTTGAGGTAATTCTCACCTGGTGTCGCCTCGGGGACGCGCCGCCGCAGCTCTGCGGGGGATCTGGCCGCGCCGCAGCCGCGGACGACGAAGTCAGCTTCCAGGAAGGCTTCAGCGGCGGAACACCCGGCGTGGCGGAAGCAGCGCTCGAGGCCGGCGGCGGCGATGCCCGGCTGCGCGTGGCGGAAGCAGTACTCGAGGGAGCCCTTGTGGCCGCAGGCGGCGGCGGCGGCGAGCTCGACGGCTGCAGCCTGGACACAGGCAGACCGGTCCCTTGCTGCGGCCGCAGGAGACGTCGGAGACGCGCCGAGAGAGCCGGGTAGCAGGAGTAGGAAGGGTAGAATGGCCACGGGGGCGCTGGATCTCGACGGCACACGCATTTTTTGTGTGTGTGGGGGAAGGTTATCTAGGGTCTCGGGAGCAGGACACAAACCCTGATGAGGCAGGCAGGTTGGCTTATCGCGCAGAGCGCCCGGGTGACGGTTCGGGAGGGAAGAACACGTTCCCCAGTTGGACTGGCAACGGTGGCGGGGAGGCGGATATATCGCACGTAGTGTCGGGCCTGGCTCGAAACAGCGAGGGATATCTTCGCGAGGCGTGAGGAAGGAAACCTGGTGGGACCGGTACGGCTTTTAATGGCGACCACGAAAATAACAATACCTGAACGCCCAATCCGCACTGCCTGTCTGTCTGTCGGTGTCTAGCTCGGCTTCCTTCCTACTGGACTCCTGCTCGTTGGACTGTACGTATGCCTACTCCATACGACAAAGGCACACAGGTAAGATGCGTAGTGACTTCGCCCGCTTAGCAGCCCAATCAAAGTCCGGCGCCTAAGACACACGATGGCACCTGAGACCCGGGACGGGAGAGGGGATGGAGGAAGAGTGAGAGCAGACAGTGAGGGTGGGGGGGGTGGGGAGTTAGGCGAGAGCTGGAGAGAGGAGAAGAGAGAGAGAGAGAGGGAGAAGAGAGGTTAGGTCCCTCGCGAAGCTTATGGGCTGAATATGTAGGAAAACGCATCCTCCAGAGGGCTATCCCGATGCAGCTAGGCTAGTTGGACAAACCCCCCCCGTCACGATGCTATTGCGGGCAGCCTTTTCGACAGGCCCCACGGCCGGGGCAGATGTTGGGGGGGGACGGACTCTGGACCTAGCCCTAGTGTCCCTATCTCTCTCTTCCTTATCCTTCAGCCCCTGGAATTAACCGGGCACATTCAGATGTGATATGTGTACGCAGGGCGCACAGCTCACTAACTAATCATCTAAGGAGAAAGGGAGGAAAGGAGATTAAAATAAAATAAGGGGTTTGTAGAGAATATGAGATAGCGAAGCTGCGGGCTTATTTTTGGTGCTGACGGACGTGTCGAGGCGCGAATCACACGCCAGACCGGGACCCCTACTCGGAAGCTGGACATCCCATAAGATACATACGTTACAGGCTTGAGGGGGGTAGCCAACGAGCAGCATGGGAATCTCTCGGCAACTCCCAAGCCACGTTTAGGAGCTGGACAATCTGCTCAGCATCGCCGCCACTGGGCGAAGCGGTCCCGGTTCGAGCTCGGAGTCAGGTTAGAGGGCCAGACTGCAGAGCTGCCTACATACAGGTAGGCAGATACCAAGTAGCATAATGCGTATATACCCAGGTATAGTTATACATGTGTTTTCGTCCTTGGGGAGATGGCTCGAGGGTTAACTCCGGGTCTGGAGCTGGCTGTCGGTCCCGCCTGTCCGCCCTGTGTTGATATCCATTTTTCTCTTCTTTCTTTCTGTAGGTGGCATGTAGGTATGTATGTGCAGGCAGACATACCTACTCTACACCTACAGAACACAGCCGACGCCGACGGGGGTGGTGCCATTGCCAGCCACCACTCACTTGTTGCTGCATAGAGGCGTAGTCGACGAACTGATCCCCCTGCGTGTCCGCGATTTGGAAACGTATCCGTCCATGTACATACCTACATACTTATAGGCGGGTTATGTATGAATACGCCTACATACGACGTAGTAGTAGTACGCCCTGCTCAGGACCCGCCCAGGATCTCGTCGTGGGCGGCGTTGACATGGGTGGTGGATCAGACGTTGAAGAGTTGTTATTTCCGCCAACCATGTAGGTAGGTATGCGTGCAGATCTCCTGCGTGCTTATATAGGGGTGATGGAGCTACCTACTCATACATCCACTCGATGGACGCCGGAGAGGGAAGATAAGGCCAAAGGAGTCGTCGCGACAATAGCAGATGAAGAATAGAAAATATTAGAAGAGAGGAAAGAGGATGGCAAAGCGAACCCGACGGCTCGCTCGGCTGTTACCCAGGCAGACGGGGAGGAACCCGAGAGAATACTACGTATATATAGGTACCTACCTACCTGTCTAGGTGGCTGTTCGCCCCTGTCACACTGCCTTATATTAGGCACCTGTAGGTACCTACATGCGTACAGTGCATCAGCCGGGAAACATCCGTCCCGTAAACGAACTCGCCAATAGGGAGGCCTAAAGTATATCACCTGGGTACCTGAGTACCTACCAGGTATGGGATGGGGGCGGTGGAAAATATATACATATAGGGGTACCTACCTACCTCCTCCAAGGTACTGCGTGATAGGTGGTAGGTAGGTATCTATGTACTTATAGATAAGGGCTTGGCCTATTATTATATGCCCAGCAAGTAGGGCTGGACTCGCCTTAGGTACGCCTCCCGAGAGAAGAGGAGGTACCCACCCAGACCGCAACCTCCGCCTTTTACGGCTTGGTACCAGGAATTGCGCTGCGAAAGTACTGCAAATCACATCTCAGGTACCTCACCTTAGCTACACCTACCAGGTAAGTGGCAGCATGATTAACGCCTTAGATACGGCAATGTATGGGGCTGGTTAGGAGGCACCCTAAGCTTAGAAAATATGCATCATCTAGTATGCATTTTCAGCGTATTAATGGATGGGTTTGCGGCTCGCTTAAGAGGTATCTAGGTACTTAAGCGGTACTCTAGGTACCTAGGTAGGACGTATAGTAGGCAGGTACCTCAGGTGGGGTGTGGCACGGATGGTACGTCATCATCTCTTAAGTCAAGATGCTTTCGACCGCCAGCCTACATTCCGTACTCTCTACTCCCCTACGTACTCTCTCTTAAGAGAAGCTCTGCCGACTGCATACAACCAATTCACGAATCCTCCCTCCCCTCCATCCCCTCTAAGCTTCCCTTAAGCACCCCAATCCATTCCATCCCTTTAACCACTTATACCTGTCCCGAGACACCCCCGGCTCCAACCGCGCGAGGACGTCGCAGCCGACGACGACAAGCTTATCTGTGCTCTCGCCTATCAACATCGCCAGCATCATATCCACCATGCCTCTCGTCGTCCCGGGAATCACCCAGAGCGCCTCGGACCCGACCACCGAGTGGGCCACCAAGCTGGTGGGCAAGACGGTGTCGGAAGATGGCCACAGCGAGACGGTACGTGTCGTCCTGCCACCCTACCACCCTTTCTCTCCGCTGGCCTGTCTACGCCAGAACGCTTGCGCTGGCTAACCGGGACCGCGCGCGCAGAACTTCTGCAAGAAGGACTTGCCCCAGAAGTGCCGTGTCATTAAGCCGGGCATGATGGTGACGAAGGATTTCGTCGAGGACCGTCTGAACGTCCACGTCAAGGCCGACGGCACCGTCAGTCACGTCCAGCACGGTTAAGTCGATAGTCGGGCTCTCCATCGTGCGGCTTGGGTTACGGCGTATCGGCGGGCCTATAGAGGTGGACCAATGCTGGGTGGGAGACGGGGGAGGGGGGAACGGCAGGATCCGACGTGGAACGCAATCCGACAGGATGAAGACCCAGATCCCATCACTTAGCAACTATCCAAATTTACCCACCCCCTCTCTAGCTATCACGGCGAGACGATAGTAGCTGCAATATACATGCCTACGTCTTTGATACCGATGTTCCAGTCGTCCAGAATGCCCTAATATCCGTGCGTAGGCTGGCATGGTGCACTGCCATACAACTACAGGTAAGGATGTGCCTACGTACCTAGTAACTGCGTACGTGGCTTAGAGACTTGCTACTAAGTGTCTAATGTACCTTTAATGTAGGTAGGTACCTTATAGAGCCGAGGCTAGGAAACAGGCCGATGGCGTAGGGTCGGCCCAGCCATATGCCCACCCAAGGTCCTGACAGCTGGTCCGCACCGTAGGTATTCATGCCGTCAGATGGGTTAGCCGAGAACGGGCGCAACATCCAGACTTGTTGATTCGAAAATAGTCCCGTCATCCAGCAGATGCTAGCGTCCAGCACACTATCAGACAAGGGCCGGTCTTACAGCACCGCAGAATGCCTAGCCACCAAGTGCCTCCTAACCAGTAGGGAGGCAATCTCCTGGCAGTGTGAGTATAGTGGCCCCAGCCACAAATGTTTTTTTCTTGAAGGCGGGTAGCATCGTAACGTCGTAACGTAGTGGACACGTTCCTGGATCTGGCATATCGATAAGCACGGTAATCGCCCCGCCGTTTCGACCCGGTCTTGCTGCCCCTCCAACTCGGTTGCTGCGGGGCATTTTCAGGACAGAAGACGGTTCGACTTATTTACTATCGCACCACCGAACCATCACAACCGCAACCAGCCGCTAGGGCTCTCGACTCGCAACAAGTTCGACAGCATGTTTAAGAAAGAGTAAGCTCTACCTCGCCCTCCCGCGTCCCCCCCTACCCAAGTCACCCCTTTCTTCCTCCCCCCCTACACACACACACAGAGAGAGAGAGAGAGAGAAAGAGAGAGAGAAAAGAACGCCAAGCTAACTCGCCCTCCCCCCCCCCTCCTCCCCCGCAGCATCTCCGCGGCGCCCAAGTCGAAGCTCAAGTCGTCGGTGCAGCGGTCGCTGCGGCAGTCGCTGCTGGCGACGTACCCGCTGCTGGGGCGGCACATCGACGAGATCCTGCCGAGGAAGAGCTCGCTGGAGGCGATGAAGCTGCCGGACCGGTGCACGCTGTACGTGCTGGAGGGGCAGCCGCTGTTCTTCCAGCACGACACGGCGACGCTGCTGCCGCACCTGCGGCTCGTGCACCGCTTCCCGGGCGCCTTCCCCAGCGTGCGCATCGACCGCGGCGCCATCCGCTTCGTCCTCTCCGGCGCCACGCTCATGGCGCCCGGCCTGACCAGCCCCGGCGGCCGCCTGCCGCACCCGGCGGCGGCTGGAGACGATGAAGATACAGAAGAAGAAGGGGAAGGGGAAGGGGAAGGGGAAGGGGAAGGGGAAGGGGAAGGGGAAGGGGAAGGGGAAGGGGAAGGGGAAGGGGAAGGGGAAGGGGAAGGGGAAGGGGAAGGGGAAGGAGGAGAAGAAGAAGAAGGCGCCAAGACCAGGACGGCGCGCCAGGAGGAGCCCCACCTCGACGCCGACGAGCGCTGGTCCCGCGAGCTGCCCCAGGGCGCGCCGGTCGTGGTCCGCGCCGAGGGCAAGACGGAGGCCTGCGCGGTCGGCTTCCTGCTGATGGGCACGCGCGAGGTCCGCGAGAAGGGCAAGGGCCCTGTCATCGAGGACGCGCACTACCTCGGCGACGGGCTGTGGCGGCTGAACGTCGACTAGGGCCGTGGGTTGAGGCGAGGAGGAGGGGAGGTGAACACGAGAGAGAGAGAGAGAGAGAGAGAGGGACAGAGGGTACCTTGCGCCGCAGGCTCTCTCCACTTATCTGTCTATCGTCCTTTGTACTTGCTAGCACCCCGTGTCCTATGTCCTACCGCGACTTGATGATGATGACGACGACGACGACGAGACGCATATGCCCAGCCACTCTATAAGCCGTAGTCGGCGATGACCCGGGGGGGGAGGAGCTGGAGGGCGGTGGAGAGGGGGTGATGCAGCTGATCGGTCAGTCGGTCGGCCCGGACCAGTTCCCTAGCAACCCCCAGGGTAGCCCACACCCGCACAGCACGATGGGCGCCGGCCGCCTCAGGGGGGCGGGGGGGCATACCAAGCAAGCACTCCCACCTGCGTCTCCGGGCTGTACGCGTAGCGGGGACGGCTCCGATCGAATAGCTACTAGGTTAGAACCCAGTAGAACGGCGGCGAGAATGGACCGCAACTAGACTTTGAATTTCCCGCTAGAAGCGAGGAGAGGAGAGGAGTGAACTGGTATCTCGCCTCGTCTTGTCTCGTCTCTATGTATGGAAGTGCGCCCAACGCCGCCGATAATGAATGCCCCTGCCCAACTTGCTAGCACGAGACGTCGCGGATGTGCAAGGGGCGGGTATGCAAGTGAGAATACTGTGCCATAAGTCTCCGGGGGGGTCTCTCGTTCGCAAGACCCCGGGGCAGCGATGGGAGTTCCACCACGTCCGTCAGCGTAATAATGTAGGGGGGCTATAGGGGGCGAAGGGGGTGTGGAAGAAGAAAAGAGCCGGCAGCCAGACGAGCGAGCACCGCATCTAGCTTATAGTCCTAGCTAAGCAAGCTCGGGGGCGGACGTCGTAGATTTCCCTGCCGTCTTGCGAATATTCTCTCTCTATATACCTACATACCTATGTAGACGTGCAGAGCAGTCCAGGGAAGCCACACAAACGTATCCACAGCGAAGACCAACCCACCCGCCCATCCACCATTATCGCCGTCCCACCCCTCCATACGCTTCAGGGGTCTATAGGAAAGGAGGAGAAGGGGGGGAGGGGTCGAAACCCCCCAAAAGCGATAACACGGTGGAAAACGCCAGGGAGGGAAAAGGAGCGCTAAGAGGTCTCGGTCGACGGGCCGGTCCGCGAGCGTGGAGGCCCTCAGAGGGTGTGATGTTGTTTCTCTGGATATCCGCATATACCTACCTACCTACCTTAGGTACCTACCCTCTACCCCAGGTTGCCTACCTATACCTACACCTACCTACCAAGCGAAGGCCACACATCTCTACACGCCCGCGCTAATACCGCGTTTTCCACACGCATACGGAGGAGCTCGATCGGAGGTGAGAGGAAACAAGAGCGAAAGCACGACACGTACGAGGGGAGCAAATAATGCCCGCGTGAAGCCCGGTTTCTGGCGACTTTCCATCGCTGATGAAACAACTTCATACCTGGCTAAGTACTTTTGGGGAGGTATCGCTGATAACACAAGTACCTCGGCATAATAACCATCTTGCCCGCTCCGAATTCGCATCCGTAATGGCCTCAGGGCCCAGCATTTTCAGGGCCCTCACTCACTTAGGAGAGGGGCCTGAGGGATGGAATGGGATTCAAACTGGACTCTTGAAAGACGATGTTTTTGGTTTTTTTCCGCTTCGAGGTGTAAGAGATTGAAAGGGCGTCCGAGAATATGCCCCCTCCCAAAAAAAAAAAAAGCATGTCATCCCGTACGTACCCATTCGTCCCCCGCCAATATCTCGTTCCTGAATTCACGCCTTCCCCCTATTACTCCTCTCCCTTACTCCTCCTCGTATTCACAGTCGTCCTCTGATGTCAAAGTTCTCTAAACAGGTTTTCGCGCAGGTCCATCTGTGGGCCATAAGTGCCGCAAGCCCTGAGGATCGCACGGCTGAAGCCCTGGTTTAGTTCGTTTAAGCTGGGGACGATGGTGTCCAAGCCAACCGCGAGGTATGCCCAGATCGCGAACGCCTCGCCGGAGAACGGCCTGTGCGAGGTGCCTAGGGTCCGCCAGAGGATGAACGTGGACTCAATCTCCCGGAGGGTGCGCGAGAACACGAGCGTAGCATAATAGGTCGGCCGGTTGGCGATGACGGGCCGGTTGGCGATGACGGGCCGGTTGGCGATGACGGGCCCGTTGGCGATGACGGGCCCGTTGGCGATGACGGGCCGGTTGGCGATGACGGGCCGGTTGGCGATGACGGGCCCGTTGGCGATGACGGGCCCGACGACGTGGTTCTGCGCCGAGTCCCCGAGGTACTCGTCCGCATCGTGGCACTCGTTGATGCAGCGCTGCGCGTACGCCTCGAGGTGCCTAGACAGCTCGCGGGCGAGCACCAAGTTCCCGCCCCAAGCCTCGAGCACCTAGAACGCTTGGATATAGTCGGGACCGGTGAAGCATCTGAGATTACCCGACGTAGCCCAGATATCCGCCCCCGAGCCGTCGTACAGGGCGAACAACGTCAACGCCCATACTTTCCACGTTCCGCCGACGGGCGCCTCGTTGCGCACCCACCCCCCCCCCGGGTCATGGAACTTGCCGTTCAGCCGCCGAAGACCCGGGAGCACCGCCTTGTGGACGTGGATTAGCACGAATTCTTCCGTAGCTATTTGGACTAGGCTCCTGGGTATCGTTGAATTCGTTAGCAGTTTTGCTGCCAGCTTCGGAGACTCTTTAAGCGAGAGGGGAGGGGGATGCGTACGGGTCGCCGGGGGGCGGCTGTGGAATGGGCGCATGTCTTAACAAATCGTCCCTCCAGGTTTGAACCTCGCTGCGGAGTAGCCCGTTAGCATCTCGGCCCAAGGGGATAAATACGCGATGAGAAGCGAGTATCAGAAACAAGAAGAGAATGGGAGGGACACGTACGCTACCGACACCCTGGCCGGGTCGTCTGTGGATTGGAATAATTGGGGATTGACGCGTACAAAATCCGTGGGATTCATTTTTGCGACTTTATGTATGATTCGGAACTGGAAATAAGTAAAGCCTTGACCGATATAGAGGCTACGATATTCTCGACCACACTATGAGAACCATCCTCGTCAGCATTCAGTGCCGCTCTCTTCTCCGGCGGCCAACCGGGTATTGACTGCGGCCACCGCAACACCCCCCCCCTGGGCTCGTCCTCGTTCACGGACTTACCTGCGAATAGTGCTGTTGGTTTCAGGGGTTGTCTTCGAAGACTGAAGCGAGAGAGAGGAAAGCAAAGGATGGGGCAGGGTGAGCGCTCGCGAAGATAAATATGAGACGATCGACGGCAGATAATGCGGCTTCCTCTACTAGACTTGGATGCAGAAATGGAAGGAGAAAATAGAGGTCTATTTTGAGTTTGGATCCTGTGTCTGTCGTCGTGGCTCTTGGAGGTTGAGGGAGGAGGAGGGGAGCCCTGAGTTCGAATAGTTGTAGCAAAGGGCTATTAGAATCTGATGACTTGGCAAGTCTGACAGGATATGTGCAAAAAACTTTCAATGCTTTCCTCTCTCGACGTATCGGTTGCCTGTCAGGACACAGGTTGGTATCAGGCATGTGTAGAAACATCCCATCAGAGGCAAGCATGTATATGTGTCGTCCTGTCGGTCGATCTTTCTTTGAAGGCTGCCCAAGAAGGGGCAAGCTCGAGAGCAGGGATGCTTCCCGCCTACATAATCGAACTGATCGAGTTGGACGTAGTCTCAAGCAGAAGAGCTACCTAGGTAGGTAGGTAGACAAGGGGGATGCAGAGCGGCAGTGACAACCTAATAGAAGAGGATACTCCAACTCCCTATCCTGGGGAGCTGGCCGGGAGGGTTGCGACCAGAGTTGCCAGTTGTCAAGATGGAGCTGCCCTGATACTGAAGGAGGAGCCTACCAAAATACAAATTCACGCGAGAGTAAGCAAGGGGAGCAGTATGTGGAAAGCGAAGCATCAATGCTAACTTCTGAGAGAAGGATCCGATCGGGTTTCTCTCCTCTATAATTGTCCGCCAATCCCTAAAGGCAGGCACCTGTTGGCTCTACCCAAGTTCTAGAGGCTTCTGTGGTAGTTATATATGCACTCCAGTGAACCCACCTGCAAAACCATCACCAGAGGAAAAGAATATCGATAATAACAATATCTTATAAGCGGCTCTGCTCCGTATAATTATGGCCCTCCATGACGTAGGGCTCCAGCAGTGACTCGAGATATGCATGTATAAACATATACCTAGGCGTTGTGCCAAGTAGATCTACCCCGTGAACTTTCGGTACCTACACGGGGCCTCTTAGACATGGGCCCTCGCTAACGAATTGCTAGCAGCAATGAAGACCTGGAAAGTACCCTAGATAAGTGGCAGGAATCCGTATCATCTGTGAGCAATATCCGTCGTATTCAGCACCTGACCGTCGCCTCTGCCCTGGGCCTCAGTACCATTGAGAATATCGGTTTCATGTACGCCGCAGTACAGGCAAACCAAGAGCTCGCCTTGACCTTGTTTGAGCGCCTCGACATCCGCTCTCCCGCGCACGACACGGGCGGATTGCTGATCGGCGTCAACGCTGCCCGTCGGGATCTCCGCCAGGAGACTGTCAGCCCATCTTCTTCCGTGGGACCCTTCGACTTCATGTTGTTTGCCATCAGCGCCCTAAACGGAAATGTGCGGCGTTGCGTAAAACGCAGACAGGCATATTCTCTGACTTGCAGATGTAGGTTTGTAGGGACTGATCCCGTACCTACCTGACACGGGATGAGTCCACCCGCGCCGAAAGTCGTTCTCGGTCGTTCCGGGCCTGACCGCGGCTATTCAAGGGGCCCTTGCCATCGTCACCCAGAGGAAGTTTGTGAATTGGCGGACTCATGAAGTATGCTATGCTCACAAAAACCTTCCAGAAGCATCCGCCGGTTTGCGGCAATAATAGAGGATAGTCAACGTACATGGGTGTGCATCGAGATACCGCATCATCGATTTTCACTCCAACTACAGGCAGTAATACCACATCATGCCCTATGAAGCGAGAGCCTAGCTTATAAAAAGGTAATAGCATACATTCCCAGTTGTTAGTTTCCTCTCCTCCCAGGCCTCGATCTACTCTAAATAGCAAATCCATGTGGTATCATATATCTGGCATAGTTTCGGGTGCTAATATGTGATCCCCTTTGAGCAAAGCTCATGCAGGCCTGTTACGCCAGCTGAGGAGTTCCCGAAGCACTCCTCGCCCAGGGACGTGCCATATGCGCCGCCGGGTTACCTAGTATGCTCGCGTCATTCGTTAAAAAAAAAAAACTTCGGTTTCCTCCTTGAAAAACGTCGAACCAGGATGCCTAGAGTCGGCGCCTCAATCGCTCGACTGGTCCTTCGACTCATCGACAAAAATAGAACGCCGGCGCATGTTCTCCGTGGCCTCTTCGACATCGCGGTCCTGGGCGTCAGCGAACTTCGCAGGCCGTCGCAGAGAAGTCGAGTCACGGTCGCGGAAGAGGAGCAGGGGCGGGTCGTCGCGATAATACGCATCCAGATCCTCGAGGGTGCGGTTCGCCGTCTCGGGGTAGAAGAGCCAGATAAGGGGTAGGAACAGCGCGTTGGTCACCACCCAGATGATGTAGAACCTCCAGCTTAAGTTCTGAATACCAATGGGCGTTACTTCAACGACGATGAAGTTGGTGATCCAGTTCGTCATCGTGGCAAGTGCGGCACCCTTAGTGCGCATAGGAAGGCTGGTCAAACGCAACGAGTCAGGAACATCCATGCATAAATCCCCTATGATGAGACAAGACTTACGAGTTTATTTCGGTGGGATAGAGCCACGGAATCTGCGGAGGAATGCTGTTAGTCGCTACTTGGCAATCGAGCAACCAGTGAAATGGCGAGGGACTTACACCCAACATTCCTAAGCCAAAGCCGATGTAGTAAACAAAGAACCACACGATGGAAGCTTCTGCCACTTCGACCTGGTGGGCGTAGCCAGGTTTCTCCGAAAGAGAAAGCAGAATCGTGATGAGCAGGAAGCAGAACAATTGGATTCCTGTAGAAACCATCATCATCATTCGACGGCCCAGCCTCTCTACCAGAGGCGCCGCGGCGAGCGCAGCGGCAAGGTACACGACGGATGCACAGGCCGCGATCAGACGAGCCATGCTTTCCTCGAGGTTGACGGACTCGATCAGCACTGTGGGGAGGTAGTAAGACATGATCTAATAAGCGTTAGCGGTCACCATCACCAGGCGGGGAACGGGGGGGGAAGGATGCGAAATGTGTGTTGATATGATGGTCCTGGTTACACCATCAAAGTTGACAAAGGCATAACGACTTACTGTCATTTCGTTAGCACATGCGCGATGTTTTTAGTTTCAGTGCGTGTTGCTTATGCTCACCATTGATACCGCCAAACTGTTGAATCGCCTGCGTCCCCGACCCAAGGATTAACCGACGGATGGTCTTGGTTCCCGCACCGGTGCGGCCACGAAGGAGATCTCCCCAGTTACTCGCGTTCTTACGCTCGTACTCGATACTAAACAAGATCTCGTTCTTCTTTGCGGCAATATGCGGATCGTCTACTGGCAAGTCATCAAGGTCGGCCAGGATCGAGGTAGCTTCGGTTTCCCGGCCGTGAGCAAGCAGCCACCTGGGACTAAGGTTAATATCCTCGGTAGCTTTTTGTGAGAAGTCTGAATTGCTCACCTGGGAGACTCGGGCAGCCATGGGACCGTACAGAAGAGAATAATGCAGAAGACGAGCTGGAGTGCCACGGGAAACCGCCAGACAACGGAACCTTGGGTGTAGGACATGCCGTAGTTGACCCAGTTACTCAAGGAGAGCCCGAATATGTTCAAACCCATCTCGAGGAGAACCAGCTTGCCCCGGCTGTGGACCTTGGAAGTTTCCGTCTGCCATACCGGTGCGGTGGCCGTATTGATCCCATTGCCGATTCTACCTCTGGTGTCAGCTTTCCGCTCTCTTGACATACCTATCACCCGAGCAGAACTCACCCCGAGACGATACGAGCGACTATCATATGCGGTTTGCTGTAGGACGTAGTCTGGAGAATCGCACCGACAGTCATGATAGCGGTGCCGATCAATATGGTCTTCGTCCGACCGTACCTCTCGCCGACCAAGAGAGCAGCAACGGCACCCAAGAAACACCCGATGGTGTAGATGGACGTGATGATGGACAGCATGTTGGTGTTTTCGGGGCCCCGTAGCTCATGGACATCCAGATAGTCTTGGGAGATGACCACGCCACCTGAACTACAAGTGTCAGTCGCCGATACTGCCGTAGCCATTCATTCTTACGCTAGAATCGTTACGTACTGAATACACCTTGATCATATCCGAACAATGTCATATCCGTAGCGCAAGCAAGCTACCAACTCTCACGTTAGCGGCCCGCTCGCTAGCCATTCCCACGTTCTTTCACATAAGGGGCATACCGTGATCCAGAAAATCAGCTTGTTGCCTTTGAACCCGAAGTAGGGCTGCTTCGCTTGCGATATCGCCATGTTGCCGACTCTTAGCTACAGACGGTGCCAAGGCTACGGGCTTGCTGTTTCGTGCTAGGAGGAGGGGTGGAATCGGGATGTCTCGCGGGCCAAGTCTCCATGTAGAGCTGCGAGCAACAGAGGCGTCCGGCTCGACTTATATAGACGCCGGGGCCTGACTGCGTGACAATGTCAGATAGCGAAATGGGGTAGCACCACGGGGTGTCATGGGAGCTGACGCCGTACTCGCTCTGCCAACGGTATAGTCGAAAAAGGCGTTCACAAGAATAGCACAGTTTAATGCGAATCACATCCCGAGATGTCGTAGGTCGAGGAGTACGAGGGTAAGGTTGAAGGAGTGCGACGGTGGCAGCAACGCTACCTCTGTTAACTATCGCTCAAAACCGTCCGTTTCCACGATTAGGTAACCAATCGGTTGCCGCCGCCGTGTTAAGTCGTATATCCCAGTTGCAGTTGCAGTTGCAGTTGCAGTTGCAGTTGGAGTGCGTGGACTTGGACTTTCCCAAGCTGCATTCGCCCCCTACTGCAGGGAAGGAGGGAGGTACTTATGTTATCTCTAAGGTGGTTGCCTAATCTGGCAAACCACCGTCCTCCACTTTTTCCCTCGTCTCTTCTTTCTTGTTTCGTTGTTTTTTTAAAAGATAAAAAAAATGAAAAAACAAAAAGAATCGGGGGAGGGAGGAAGAGGGGAAGTCGATCAACGACACCCGCCGGCCGCCTTCGCCTTCCCAGGAGGCGACGATGCCGCAGACGGCGGGACCTATTACACATCACGTGCCCCCACTGCCTCCCCGGCCGCCGCGCACATTGTTACCTGTAAGCGCGAGGAGTGACGCACTCGATGGCTGCACACCAGCCGGAAACAGTCGGCGAAGACGTCAAGACGCACCCAAAGGCCAGCCAGGAACCCTGCAGGCGGTGGGAGTGATGGCAGCTGTGCACGGATTCCCCAGGCTCAGGACGCGGCATGCGATCGGACGGGCACGTCATTATGCATGGCCGTAGCCACGCCACAAAGAACTCCAAGGTCGATCTCTCGGTGATCGCTAAAGTCACGGAAGATCGGGCAAGGCTTAGTAACCATGACGCAGACCGTCGGTCGGCCGCGGATCCGTAGAGACACGCATGAGACATGTTTTCATCCCTATGCGCTCTGACCCACACTGGCGGGTGGCCCCAGAGTGGAACGGCGATAAGGTGGTTGACGGCAGACGGTATCCCGGGGTAGATACCCGCGGGCATACGGGGAACCTAGTGGGCTCTCTGCCGAAGGTTTGCGTAGCCGACGTAGGTATCTACGGTCCAGCAAACACCTAAGGTGGAAGATTCACCCTCTCTGCGTCGGGGTCACGAGCCGATGTCGACAGAGGCTGGTAAGGGCCATGTAATACCTACCCATTCAAGTTGCTCAGGCGACGGCCAGTACCTACCTTATCTCAGGTACTCAGGTAGGTAGGTGCATTAGTGAGGAGAGCCAATGCCTGACGGGCAACAAAACAAACGAATACCGAAGTCAGGGCAGACTCAAACATTCCAAACAAGTGGGTGATTCCGTTCCAAGCACGACTCCGGGCCGAGGACGTGCCACCAGCGCCGAGACACGTTAGTCACCCTTTCCTCTCGGGCCCGTGGTATACAAGCAGTCCGAAATTGCTGCCAGAGCGGCCTATGTCCCCAATGCCAGCCACTAACACGACAGACCGTTCCCAGACAGACAGTTTCCGTGGGCATGGCACAGAGGCATGGATGGAGGAATGATAAGAAGCTGGACCCCCACGGTTTTAGATACTTGTCTCTAGAGACTTGCCATACAGTCGGTCCCGCCAGGTACTTTCAGCCGACACGCATCAGACGTACCCCGTGCCACTGCCTAAGACAAAGTTCGAGACCGCAGGGGCATAGGAAACCTCGAACGCCCCATAATGCCTCAGCGCCCCCCCCCCCTTCGATGCCGTTCTGGCCGCATGAGCTGGTCGGTACCACTGCATAGCCGTAGCGCCTGTTTCGTCGCTGCCGGCCCAGCCTCAGGGTCCTACGAAAATGTAGAACCGCGAGGGGGGCCTATGAAATCGAGATATGGCTAGTAAGTAATCTCAGGGCTACCGTTGGCGGCGTGGGCTCGTATTTAGGCTCGGGCCCGGGCCGAGAAGGGTGTCGCGCCGTGCCACCCGAACTCGAGAGGCTATGATCACTCCTACCGGTTCCGGGTCTGGCCCTATCCGTGTCCACGACTGCGCAGGCAGCACAATTCGCGCGGGAATCTATTCGATGAGACCCCGACGGCATAAAGACGCGCTAGTCACCGCCATAGAACCTCGCAAAAGCCTGCTCGCGCCGGTTGCTTACATCCCATATGCCGCGCCTCTTTGCCACACAAGTCGTCTAGACCCACCTTTTTTCTAAGGAGAGGGATATCTGCGTATCGGTCTCGATGTATTTAATGATGGAAATTGTGGGAAATGTACATTGCTTTATTTTGGGTTTTCGGGCGGGCGGGAAAAGGGGGAGGGGGGCGAACCTAGAATCGTCATGTAAATTATAGCTAAGATATTTTGAGCGCCAGTATATATCAAGAACCGATTAGTGCTTAGTTATTTGTAAAGAGGGAATACAGCGCTACAACCTCACACCATTATAACACACTAACATTAACACAAGCCCAAGAACCAGCTGTGTGCCATTCCACGAGCCTAGGAACTGTTAGTATAAGAAATTCGTTTCAACTACGAGGGAAAAGGGGGAAAGTTTCAGTTATTGCAACCGCTTTTCTAGGCAGGATATACACCGTTAGCCGCGACATGCCACTATCTAGCAGCTTCCTCAGTCTGTCACTTGGCCTGAGAATGGCCTAGGCTAATATACATTAGTAATTCTTGTCGAACAATCAGCTAAGCCGGGTCGACAGGCGAGAATCAAGAAAAACAACGGGGGCTAACAAGTCCCCTCTCATCCCTCCGATGAACAAGATGGCCGCGGTCACTTTGGTCAGAGCCGATCACAGGCTTCGGGTTTGTGCATAGGCGGGGACCAATGAAAGGATCAGGCGCCCGACATCCTCCAAAGGGCCCAATATACCTCCGGTTCTAGAAGCAGGATAGGAATCCAGCCTACAGCGCCCGTCACATTGCGTATACATAGGTAGTGCGTGGGCTATCTCGGCGATTCTACAAACTCGATCACGGATCCGCATCAAGACAATAGCCGCTAGGATTCCAGGATAAGGTCATCATCTATCAGGCCGTCACTTTCCACATGGGAAATAGCAACGCGCGAGACCGCCCGCTACCACGTAAAAGCCTGCAGGGCCAAATTCCGGTGTGACTAGGGACATCGAGTTCCGCCATCGATCTAGTGGCAAAGCTCGTTGGGCATCCATACATCAGGTCTCGGGTAGCAAGTTCAAGCTCACTTCGCGCTGGCTCGTCCTGTCGGTATCGCTGCCGGCTAACGCATGTTGGATGTCGATGCTGCCAAGATATATCCAACACGACGCCGAAACCCCGCCGTACAACTTTCAAATGTCGGAGTTGCCCTAGAGCCGTGTCGCGTGCTTTTATACAGCTCCAAGACAGGCTGGCAGCAGTTGAAATATGACGCGGCTTCGGGCAATATCGGGGTCTCGACTGCGAAAAAAAAGGAGAGAGAATGCCGAACTATCAATAAGCGGCAGGCTGCCAGTGCAGAGACAGGTTAGGCTAGGCCTTACCAACAGTGCTGAAATGAGGTCCAGTAAAAGAGCAGACACCGTAAGGAAGCTGACGGCAATATAATTATGGCGTAGTTACGGCTTTCCTTATCTAATATACTTATATCGACACTAGATCAGCAGGCCGACTTGCAATCCCACGTGCCAATCTCTCAACAAGGAGCATAACTAGCTCCCTTGGCAAAAATATCTTGATGGGCGTAGTTTGAAAAGGCCACGAATCTCAGATAGATAACATAACCTGCTCGGGATATAGACGTTGGCTATAGATAGCCAAGCCTAACTTAATACGTTCGGTGTTATCTAGTGGACCAAGTTCAACTTTTCGCCCAGGACGGGACCCGACGGCGTCTTTCACGAACCAATCCAAGGGCGCAAACGGGGATCCACATTCCTATTCAGGCAGCCGTCCTTCAACTCTCGACCTCGCCGGATAATAGGGTAAAGTGACGGAGCATGGGGCTGGTGTCGATGCATCCGTTAGAGCCGCTGCCGCGCTAATACGTGCTCGAGATCGTGGCCGGCCATCAGGCATTCAGATGGTAGGTATACCTGCCTACCTGCCATAGGTAAAACGTAAGCACCGAACGGGCACTGGGAAGAACCAGGATCCGCCCGCTCCTAGCCCGCTCCTGCTGTACTCGAGTATACGGAGGCAAATCGACGAGATAAGAATCGAAACGCAAGGCTACTCTCCTATATCGGTAGCCAGATAGGTGACTGAAAGGATGCCTTATACGACACATCCGGTGCCCCCCCTCTCCCTCCCTTAAAAAAAGAAAATCGAAATTACTGGCCCGACAGCAGCCGTACTGCTACCCCGTTATACGACATATTACACGATACGATGGGTGACTCCGCCACGCGCGGGCCCGTAGTACCCAGCCTGCTTCTTTGTACACCTCCTGTAACCCCCCTTTACTTATGGTGGTCTCGGTCTGCCCGACTACGTAAGCCGGGGACGCGCGGCGGTAAAGGGGGGCGGAGAGGCGATACCGGCCGGGTCGCCCTACGAAGGCGAGGTAGGTATCCGTCGGGGGAGCGAGAGAAGAAAGGGGAGAGCGGGCGCGGGGAGGCGACTAGGTAGCTCGGCTTACCTATCTACCTATATACCTGACTTAGGTACCTACCTACGTCGGGAGTGAGTAAGCACGGGCGTAGGGCGTGCCGCAGGGGCCGTCGATCGAGGAGAGCGGCAGGGAGCAAAAGGAAGACGACGGTGTTGGGTAGGTAGGCGATCGTGATCGCGGTCGATCCTGTGGCTCCCGTTCCAGACAGGTCCGTCGCGTAGCGAGTTAGACGAGGGCGAAAAACAGATTCGAGGCCCATCCCTGGCGGATTCGCTACGAGGATGAACCGACAGGCCAACCGAGTCGAGCGTTGCATCGACGATGCAAGACAGATCGGCCTATCACGATCGACGCAGTCTCGTCAGACTGCGTCATCGCGGCGCTTCCAAGGTAGAGAGAGCTTCGCCTGGGGCCCCTAGATAAAATATATACCTATATTAACCATCGTCTCCTTGCCAACGGATACGCATCGTAGCCAAACCCCTTTTTATACGACCCAGCCCTATATAAATAGTGCACGCCTATGTGGAGACGCCTGTTTCGGCAACCTAGCAGACGGCATCCCCTTTCGTGCATCGCTCTTGTCTATTAAGCGATAATGATGCTCTCTTGGTACGGAGACTAAGTCGTCGCCCACGTGTTGCAAAGGCAACGATTACGGCGACGCCATCTAATCCCAAACTGGACCCTCCGGCGATGACGACGACGCACCTACATACCATTTCGCTGGGTTTTGTCCTCCGGGCCCCCTAGAGAGAACCGTATAACACCGGCACACGTACACAAGCCCGGGCCAAGTATCCACCGATGCAAATGTGCGCCCATGCACAGGTACAGTGCCCTCTTCGACCCTAATCGACGCAAGGAAACAAGAAAAAGCGTCATCCCTAACGCACATAAAAAATCGCGACGGGCGCCGCCATGTGAATAGCCAATGTAGAAACGAGGGGGTAAGTTGTGAGATCACCCTATCCCCTCATGAGCTAAGCAGGTCCCTGACACTCATTCCCCTTCCCGGACCGCCATGAGCCATTCCCCTACGGTCTACATTCAGCATCAGGAGCGCCGCCGAGGCCTCCTGATCGATCTCCTGCTGGGGCCGAAGAACCGGGCTCGTAAGAGCGGAATGCGACGTGGACGCTGGCGCCACGGGCTGTGGGTAGGCCTGAGGCCCAAACGCCGGCGACGCGGTGGACGGCCCGCTGTAGCTATAATGGCGGTACTCGGTCGAGGCGGACGAGTAAGATTGCCGCCTCCCACGGGCATCCTGCGCTACGAGCGCCGGCGATATCGACGACTGGTGGGAGCGCGCAGGTGTCTGCGCAGAGGCGGCCTCCGAGCCTGTCATCTCGACGTCTTCTGGGCCTCCTTCCTCTTCGTCCTCCTCCTTATCTTCCATATCGTACGTGGCATTGTCATTTGTCGGAGGGAGCCTAAATTGGGTTGGGTTTTCCGTGGCTGCCCGGTCGTCATGTTGCGACTTTAATTTTGAGATGCAGTCCTCGAGATACCGGACGTACTCAATAGATGCCTGCGAAAGGGGGCGGGTCAACACAAAGGTCATCGATGTGCGGCAAACGAGACATACTTGGAGGATAGCGAGCTTGTGCATCTCGCCGGTGCAGGCGGGTATCAAGCCCTTGAGTACCGCAAACTCTTCGTTCATCTTGGATCTCCGACGTCGCTCGATCAAACTATGGGCGGTCTTCCTCGCGATCTTCCTCCCTGCGGCACTGGTAGCCGACGGCTGCTTCTTCTTGGACCCGGCGCCGCCGGTAGTGTTCTTGCCCGAGCTTGCCGATGATGCTTTGTCCGGCGCGCCCTGTTCGGCGAGCTCCTCCTGGGGACGGGGCTTCATTTGGATGATTCGGCGGGACCTAGTGGGCGGAGGAGGCAGCGCGAAAGTCTCCTTTTGCGCAGCAGAAGAGCGCCTCCTCGACTTGACCGTCTCGCTGGGTTGAACGGGATAGGTGGTAGCCTTGGCGGAGGGCGACCCGGGCGACCCGGGCGACGTCTTGGCTGCAGGGCCCTGCGACTGGGAATTGAGATGGGGGGTTATGGCGGACGGGGGTAACTCAAAGGACATCTGAAGCGTGGACAGTTGGCGCGAATGGTCCTGGCCCTTCATCTCAGTGGAAGAGGCCGGAGTTGGAGGCATCTTTAACCGGGTCATATTTGGGCAGCGATCTATATCTACCTATACCATTCGTGCCAGTCACACGACAACAGGGCAGGGAGGGTGGTGGTAGCCGAAGCGGTGTTTACCCCGGAGACCAGTTCTCAAGGTCCTTAGGGTCGGCTCGACACCAAAAGACGGCTTGCGGGTGCGGGCACCGGAAGGTCGCATGAAAAGGCCGGTCACCAGATTCGGAGGTCAAGCACGGTCACGGGCTCTAGCGTCAAGGAGGAGTAGAAGTAATGTAACGAAGGATGTGTTCTGCGACACGGAGACTTTCCCTTCCAAAGCTTATGGGACGACGTCGACGGAGGCGAAGGACGGACAGGAGGCGGCGGCCAGGCCTCAGTATCTCGCGAGAAGGACGGGCATGAGGGAAGATGTTTTCGACCAGGGAAAAGGCATCGGTAGGAGGGGTCGGAGTGCAGATGTATGCCGGACATAGTGGAAAGGGAAAAAAAAGGGTCGTCGACAAGAGGAAGCATTGAAAGGTGTCGAGTCGAGGCACGCGATCAATTCAAGCTCTAACATTGGTTGATGTTGGTGACGGGCCAATCAGCGGCCTCAAAGCGACAACGTGCCGAGTCGGACAGGTCAGTGCCTGCCCGTGGTGAGGACGCATCCCCATGCCCTTCTTAGGTAACTGCGATACAAGACTTGTTCTCGGCTTTTCAGCATTGGCGGCCCCTTCCCACCTGCCATTCTTCCCTGGGCTTACTTAACCTTTGCGCCTACATAGTACATGCATAGCCTTCACGCTTGTCATCCCTACGGCACACACAGTTGACTTTGGGTAGGTGCTCCCCCACCTACCTAGGAGGTTACCTAACGTGCTAATGTGGGCATGTAGGTACCTAAGGTATCTACATAAGTATACGTGTACACACACACGTCCTATGTTAGGTACGACCTCTTAGCGGAGCAGGTATAACTCACCCTAGTAATACGCGGGATTACTACCAGGTGGTACATATATGTAGTCGTTGTGTGTACCACACGTATACATACTTACCCCAGGTAGGTGCCTGAGGCAAGAGGTACTTGCCTGCCTAACGTACTCGTATCGATACCTCTCCTACGTAGGTACCCCATCATTCAACTTTCTGTAGGCATACCTGGATGGATGTGTTGCGCGATGGATCGATGGGGCACCACACGCAACGCGTAATATCTGTGGGCTGGCTTCTTATCTTTTCGAATTCGCCAGGCCAGTTTTCTCTCCTCTCCGTCTTTTTATACTCCGTGTTCCCCCCCCTCCCCCCTCCTCTCAAATTGGGCCTGACGCCGCGCTGCGACGAAGCTGACGAGTCTATCTATCGGTTTGCCCAGACGTCGAACCAGTTCCGTCAGCGGTCTGGCCGGTGCCGCGCAACCACCAACCATGCTCGCCGAGGCCATTGGCTCTGCTCTATCGTCCCGACCTAAAGAAGCGGTGGTAGCCCGATAACGACTATGTATGCGCATGTGTCTTCTCCCAGCTGGGACACCCTTGTTTCCATCGCCAACGTAGGCACGTGAACGGCACGACTGCGCTCAGGTGTAGAGACGTCCAATAGCATCGCGTGCTTCGGCGGTTGCATGCTGTAGGTCGGAGTAGCAAGCAGGCGAGAATATTTAATCCGAACCAGGTCTGATCAGGTATATTACTGGGTCACCATTCGGCCTGCCGGGAACGAGCGGCCCGGAAGGTTGAAACGGTTGGATTTAAATCCCGTCGATTCCTCGGAAAGTAAAGGGGGAAAGGCGGGAATTTGCGACACCCGAGAAATCAAAATCAAAAGAATCCGTATGTCGTATACCTACATTTCCGGAGAGACGGTCAGCCTATGCGATCCCCTCTACACCGCATGTCGTATACCTACATTTCCGGAGAGACGGTCAGCCTATGCGATCCCCTCTACACCGCATGTCGTATACCTACATTTCCGGAGAGACGGTCAGCCTATGCGATCCCCTCTACACCGCATGTAGAAATGCACACACGACCGAACTTACTGGAGGTTTCGTCCATGCGACTTACCTACCGATCAATTGCGTTATCCGGTATAGCTATTCAACGTACCCCCTTGTATGAAAGTATCGGAGCTAATGGTTTATGAGAGTTCCCAGGTACCCATGGTCCGTCCGAGAACAGCCAGGAAATCTGCGACTTTACGGTGAGGTCTTCCTCACAGTACCGATCGCAGTAGTCCAGGAAAGCCGAAAATTAATAACTAAACCAAAAAAAATAGATGGCCAGGAGACACAAGCTGACGTACTCAGCCCGTTCTTGTAGAGATCGTTGGTGCAAACCAGCAGCTTCGGCCAAGAGTCCCTTTGAGGGGCCGAAATCTCGATATGGTCCCACTGACGACAGGGCCAGAGGACCGATGCTGGTAACTTCTTGGCCTGCCTACCTAGCTTTTCCGCCCTGGTCGCCGCATCGAGAACGACATCAGTCCCGACCCCAGGGTTCCGTCGCCTGCGTATGCGGCTGTGCGGAGATTACGTGCTTTGCTGCAAGCCCGGGACGTGCACGGCATGGCCTCGCCTCTCGTCGACTGTCACCCGCTGATGAGCGCACGAAAGCGCACACATACACAACAAACCGATTGCATACGTACACAGACGATATAAGTCGCATTTCCGAGAAGGCGGCGGCGGCGAGCCGAACGCGGACACTAGGTAGCCTACGCCGCACGCGTCGCTCGTTTTCGGTCACTCCAGCCCGTAATCGATCTGACCACTATCGATGATTATCGACAGCCCTGAATCCTTTTTGTGGAACACGAAGGGCAATGTGGCTTAAGCCCGGTCTTGAATTGGCTAGGAGCAGCTTATGGTAATCGGTGGCTACACCACAGCGGTCGGCTACGAAGTCACGAGCCTCCGGGGGATCATCCTGTTACGAATGGATATCCGCTGCTGAGGTGGGATTCCCCTATCAGACCTTACATATAATGAGGGGGTTGATCCCTTGTGTGAGCCTTTGGCTCAACTACAGACAGCGAGGAAAGCATTCGACCTTCACGATCGGCGAGGAAGCATGCGACCACTTTCCCTGTTCGGCACATTGGCCCTGTGCGGCGGCGGCGCCGTTGGGGCCGCGATCTCAGACGGTCCGCTAGCCGTGGACTTGAGCGGCGTTACATACCGCGGCTTGCGTCGTAACGGGATCGAAGTATTCCTGGGCATCCCGTACGGGCAGGACACGAGCGGTCCTAACCGCTTCAAGCCTCCGCGGCCTTTTGTACCCGTGCCGGGGAGCACCTTCGATGCCCGGTCCTATGGTCCACCCTGCATCCAGTCCCTGGGAGAGGGCATCCCGCCGCTCACATTGTCCAATACGACCGAAGTCTCGGAGGACTGTCTCAATTTGAACGTGGCGCGACCAAGAGGTCTCCCCTCTGGGAAGAACCGCCCGCTGCTGCCCGTAATGGTGTTTATTTACGGAGGTAGCTTCGTGGCCGGCCAAACTCAGGAACTATCGACCGCACCGGACGGCTTGATTCTCGAGTCCGTGGAGAATGGGCTCCCCATCATCCACGTAGGCATGAATTATCGCGTAGGGGGTAAAGAGCCTACCCATCCCTCTGTTCTAGAATTCAAGTCGGAGAAAGTCGAAGGCACTGTCACGGATTCTAAAAATGTCACTAGTCTTCGGGTTCGCGCAATCCGACGCCCTCGAGGCAGAAGGTTCGGAAAACGCTGGCCTAAGGGACCAACGCCTCGCTCTCGAGTGGGTGCGCGACAATATCAAGCAATTCGGGGGCGACCCCGAACGGGTCACGATCTTCGGCCAGTCTTCGGGAGGTAAGCTCGGCGTCCCTCCCTCTTGGGTTGTAAAGTACGCGAGGTAGGAATTAACACAGGGCCCGATTTTAGGTCTGGCCGTCACCATGCAGATCCTCGCCTATGGCGGGGCACGGCCTGCGCCCTTCCGGCAGGTCATCGTCGAGAGCACGGCGCTCGAACCCGGGATTACGGGCACCTTCAGCGCGGACGCCTTCCGCGCTATTGTCGAGGACGTTGGTTGTGGCGGCACCTCGAACTCTACCGGCGCCAGCCCCGAGACGGCTGACGTGAATTCGCCCGAGACCGTGGCTTGCCTTCGCGCGCTCGACGTCTCCGCCCTACAGGCTGCCGCCGAGAATACGGCCGTCGGTGATATCGCGCATAACAACGGCGATATCTGGCTACCCGCTGTTGACGGGGACTTCCTGCCGGCGGCACCGTCGCAGCTCCTCACGGAGGGCCGGTTCTCGCGCGGCGTCACCTCCGCTATGCTCGGCTGGTGCGAGGACGACCTGGCGCTCGGCGCGCCCGAGGACGCCACTACCCCCGAGGACGTCCGCGCCTTCGTCCGCGCCTACCTCCCGGGCCTGTCGGCGTCAGCGCTCGACGCCCTACTCGCGCTGTATCCGTCGGACTCGTTCCCGCAGCCCCCGGCCGACGCCGCGAACGGCATCGCCAGCGAGTTCCGTCGCGCGGCACGCATCTACCGCGACGTGCTCATGACGTGCGGCGCCGTGCGACTCGGCGCGGCTCTCGCCGGAGACGGTGCCGCCGCGTACCTGTACTCGTGGAACCAGACGATCCTCGACTCCATGCTCGCCGAGCTGTACGGGCTCCGGGGCCTCGGCGTGGTGCACACGTCCGAGTTCGCGTACATCTTCGGCAACCTGTCGCGCTACGACATACCCGGATGGGGCTTCGCCGCCTCGCCCTCGGACTACGCGCTCGCGTCCCGCGCGTCCCGCTCCTGGTCCACGTTCGCGAGCGTCGGGGCCCCCGGGCTGCCGGGCCGCGACACGTTCGCCGGGTTCGCGCCCGCGTTCCCGATCGCCGCCGCCGCCGAGGGAGAGGCAAAGGAGGCCGGCGGGGAGCAGAAGTGGCTGGGAGACTACTTCCTGTTCGTCGCAGGCGGGCCGTTCGAAGGCCTGTCTGCCGTCGAGGGCCCCGCCGCGGAGCCCGCGGTCGCGGCGCAGAAGCTGCGCGAGCGCTGCGCGTTCCTCAACTCCTATGAGATCGTCCAGCAGCTGAGATATTAATGCGTGGGTGGTTGTCTGGGTGCTAGCTATTTCGAATCACCATGACGTGAGTCGTCTAGTGCCTACAGGAAGAATACAAAATAGGGTTTATCTATTACCAAGTCTGACTTGTCGCTCTCCGTCTCAATCAAGGCCTTACGCTACTGATAAGCTCTCCCTCGGGCCCCTTTCGTAAGGTTTTAAACCTATATCTATAAATGCTATATGCCATGCCTAGTAATGCTACAATGTCCAAAAACGCCTTTGATGCATGCTTTCGTATTAGCTTCGTCATTCATTATCGCCCGTGAGCAATCCACAAATATCCTGACCCAGATCCCCGACCGATCGGATGTGGTGATGTCTAGATCTCGCGGGCCCTTTTGCAGACTCTTCAGCCAAGTTCATCTAGGTCGTCATCCCAGCCCAGCCGCTCAAAAATAGACAGTTTGCCACGCTGATCTCCCCTGTCTTTAGCCATGGCGGTTGGACTTTCAGCAAATGCCCTACTCTGATTCGATACTCTTCTGATAGGTGTAACTGCTATGAGTCTTTCTGACGATACGGGGGGAGGGCGAGGCTTGATGGGGGTTTCGGTGATCTCATCGATGGGAGAAGTCGGCATCTCGATCCCGCTGTCCCGAAAACCCTTGAGCGATGGCTTCCGGGACATAGGAATCGGCGATGACGCGAGAATCGGCGTCTCGTCGACTCTCGGGACGGACAAGAAGCTCTGTTTTAAATTCGACGGCCTGGAGGGCGTCGCTTGGACGAGGTCTGCCCGCGCCTGCGAGCTCGGCGGCGCTGGGGACTTGTCAAACGCAAAGGATACTTCGTGGTTCCGTCTCCTAGGCACCGACGCAGGAATCAACGAAGATGAGGGGATTTGGTCCGCCTCAACAGACTTTGCATCCTGGGGCCGAGCTCGCTGATTGTTCCCTAGTACATCTATGGAGCGCTTCCCGATCGGAGTTGCTTTCACAACACTTTGAGAATGTGGATGTTGGGTTGGTTTCCGCGACTCTATGGACTCGTCAGTATCGCGACCAAGGCGTGAGGTTATGCTATAGGGATAATATCGACTTACTCTTCAGTTGAGAAAGGCTGATTGTAGCTCGCCTCTCAGCTGCCTCAGCCATAGCTTTCCCAACAACTTCCCTATTAGGCCGCCTAAGAACGGTGATGGCATCTTGCAGCTCTGCGTTAACCAGAGCCTCCTTCTTCGCTTTCTCGGCCTCCGACTTTCGTCTAATAGACGTAGACATGAACGGAGGCGCCGCCTTCTCTTGGGATACGGTCGAGTCTGCTTTGGGAATGCCTGTCATAGATAACGGCTCGCTAATCTCCCGTTTTAACATAGGAGTCGAAACAGATCTCATCAAGGCGATCACTCCGCCAGGACCTCGCGATATGCTCCGGCGCTGCCTCTCGGTCTCTCTGGAAAGGACTCTTTCAAGTGCCACGGACGGCCTAGAAGACGCGGGGCGTTTTGTCACTAACTTAGACTTTGGTACGCTAGGTTTTTGTTTCGGTTTTATGGGAGTTTCCGACTTCTTAGATTTGAGATGTGTTGGTAACGGCGGCGGCATCATAACTGGCCCACCCAGCTTACGGTTGAGTGAGTCGCACTGTTCTGGTAACCGGGCAGAGAAGCTGTGGTAACTTGTCAGTAGTCTGTTTCGGAGCTTAGTTATTGGCAATCTTACAATGGCACGATGATATCGACGCAGAAGTCTCTCAGGGGATCTGACACGGCCCCTAATGGTTTCTGCGCCTCGGAGCCGCTGCTCGCGTGAGGATCGGCCGATAATTTAACTCCTTCTAGCGCAGTAGACTGCCAGATACACAACCGGTCCGCGTGAATATCGAGGAGAGATGGAAAGTTGTGCCGACTACGTTTCTTGGCGAGTACGTCCTTGTTTACCTCTGTAAGTCCCCCTTCAGGAGCAGACAGGCCTGGCAACTCCGAATCTTTGCTATTCTCCGGTCTTGTCAATGGCTCCAACGCGAGGATCTCGAGGATCATTATCATCTGCAGTTGCGTCTCCCTGGACCGTAAGCACGCTATCTGAAGCTTTATCTCGTGAAGCTCGTCTGTCGTCATCGTCTCATCACCCTTGGTCTGTGGTTTCTGAGTAGTCCACCACTTCCGAATATGATCAGCTTCCATCGGATACAAGCCATCTTTACCTATCCTCATCTTCTTCGCTTTCCGTTTCCGGGACTTGATAGTGCCTTGCTCGACATCCGAATCTTGAAATATGGGCTTCATCTTGGATATGATGGCCGGAATTGTCTCACGGTATTTCTTGTCAATCTGAGCGGTTGTCATAACAAGGCTCTTCAGGAAGTCTACCAGGTCGTTCATTTCAAGATTTGAGTCACAATCTAGATGGAAAGTAGCGCGCGCTCGCGACAGAGGGCCCTTGGCGAAATACCCTAAAGAACCCTTGTAGATGTTAGACAGCTACTGGCGCCAAGTTTTAGACAGGAGCCTACCATTGAATGATAAAGCGATTCCAAATATTGAGTTCGAATATTGTCAAAGATACCACTCGCAGTCGGGGGAGTAAGGGCATCGTCCAATTCAGAAGGCGCCGCTGCTTGGGTTCCGGGCACCGTAGAAAGGGATGGGCGCTGGATAGCGTCATTGCTCTCGGGGTGGGATTCTGCATCGGCCTGGTGCAGCGCAGAAGACTCGGCAGGGGGGAAATTTTGCGTGGGCGTCGAAACAGAACGGGATCTCGCCGGCCTTTTTACGAGTGCCTGTATGGCTTCTATGGCCAGTTTCCTTTTCTTGGTGTCGTGATGTAACTGGGGGGTTGTCAACGGGTGTGACGTGCTCATGTCCCTCGAAGTCTTTGGCCGGCATTCGATCAACCCAGGGCAAGACACGGTGGCCAACCGCTCCAGCTCTTGGAGGTCGACCCAAGACCCAAGTTGACATAGAGTATAGAGGCAATCCTTCTGACGCTCTAGTACATAAAGCGTCTTGTCGGTTTCCAGCCGAGCAATGAGCACAACGGAGGCCATGCGACCTTCGAGGTCTAGAATCTTGATGTTAGATTCGAAGCATCGGGAGGGTTCGAAACTGCCGTGGGGGGAGGAGAGATCTAGGAAGGAAAGCTGAAGATATTCTCGAGGGAGAAGCATCAGAGGCTGGAGACTCCGAGGCTTGAGGGTGAGCTTTGGGGGATATGGCTATAATTCGTTCAGCGGCGAGGCGACCAGCGTAGATAGGCCAAAAACAGCATAAGGAGTGGCCAATTGGCTTCCTACCTTGACTACAATCGAAGGCTTGAGGAACTCCTCCATGGCCTCAGAGTCCCGTTTGCGCTTCCGGCCCGGGGGTGCCGTGGCAGCGCCGCCACGGCTTTGGGGCTTGAGGAAGGCTTCGGGCGACGACATCAGGATCCCGCCGGGCGGCTGACGCGACGCGTCTGGACCGGGAGCTCCCAACGGCATATAAGGAGGCAGAAACAGGTTCCATCTATTAGCACGCTTTACGAGAGGCAGGAGGAGGGGGGAAAAGAAATAGGCCAAGAATATCAATCTAGCAGCGAAGGACGTCCGCCTTGAGCAGAGAGAGGGTAACGGAGTCTATGAACCCCGGCTTGGATTATAATGGGGTGGTGGTTTTGATGGTGCCGAGAAGAATTATCATGTACTGGTAGAGAGGAGTGAGGTACAACAACACGGGGAGTAACCGCACGTAGGTACCCGTGTAGAAGATTCCGTGCAGGTATGTACTTAGAACAGATGCCTTCAGGTACCGCGGTACGTCGTGTGTTTTCGACGTTACAGGCCGCAAATGCTCGAGGAATTGGGAGGTGCACAGACCACACCGCTTCCCAAGAGATACCTCTTTTTATTTTTTTTAGTGATGGGATGTGGTTTCACGCGTCACGTCTTCGATAACACGTAAAACACACACTACACGCGATGAGGGGTACATAGGCACGTTACAGACAAGTGTTGTTGCACCCCGCCAGTCCCTCGGACACAGCGGAGTGAGAAGTACCATGTACATACCTGTATTGGTTTAGGTAGTTAGGCACCTCCTCTACCTATGTGTAGAGGTACAGACCTATAGATCATCGCAACTGCTGGAACCCCGCAGGAAAGAAGACGTGGTATTGGCAATATGCCTGCTTAAGGTGCCTACATATGTAAAGCGTCCTAGGAGTGTTGGTTCTGTGTGCTAGGTAGGTTAGGCACGTGGTGTCCTCTAGATTCTCCTCAAATTTCCAGGACTTTGCCATACCTGTATGCTGCCCCGTCTTCTCGCCGGCCGGAGAACTTATTCCGAAGGTGTGACATTGTGGGGTTAAGTGCCTGAGACGGTCCGCTTGGTACCTGCCATAACTCATGTTCCATGTTCCGACAGCAGGAACGACAGTAAAGGGAAGCTCCGAATCGACTATCAGCAAGGTTGTACTATAGGTACCTAGGTACCTACGTATCGAACCAAATGTGGGTACGTACAATTATGTTAGGTATGTACATCTCTACACTCATAATCTTACCCTCCTCAGGGTGTACCTACCTACCTGCCGGTCAAGTCAGGAGGTAGACTTACATCCAATCAACGCCACTAGATTTATCCCACGCCTACAGCCTGTCTACCAACTTCCCCCCTTATCCTCAGCGCTTCCCTCGTCCGATTAACCATGAGCAGGGAAGTTGCATATGCAAGTTTCTTGCCCGACTAATGAGGACGGCAGAGAAATAGAGGTAGGTACCTTATCGTGCGCGTCACTGGCTCCAGCCTACCCATGCACCTACCGGTAAGCAGGACGGATACCTCTTCTCTTAGGTAACTACAGGGATCCCTTCTGAGGAGGTACCAAAGGTCAGGCAGGTTACGCGCCTATCCGTGCCAAGAAGGCCCTCCTAACCTGATCTGTATAGGTGACATGTACATATACATGTGCACACATTGCGCTTTGCTAGCACCGGAGGTGCCTCTGCCTCAATGAACCTTAGCTATTACATGTACCTAAGGTAGGAGGTAGGTACCTACCTACCTACCTTAGGTACCTACCTTCGGTAACCTCCTCCGGACAGACGCAATGGTGTAGAGTAGCATCCTCACACTTATCAGCCCTGCCCTCCCGACCTCCTCCCACCTCTATCCTTTCCTGATGCGACGGGATCTACGTTGCTATCAACCTCTTATCCATCCGCCCATCCGTCTTCATCGTATATCCTCCTCATAGTACCCACTTACATTGACGCGCGCGCGCCCACATACATACACATATACAGATCTGCATCGCGCTGGGCATCGTCACTATACTCTACCATCCCACCACCTCCCACCCTATTCCACGTCCATCACCGCCAACAGTCTGCCTGCCCTCTTACTACACCATCCTATCCCAGCGATCCCGCCCTGTAACACGGTTCATTTGCTCTCTCCCCTTCTCCTCATATATATAGAGTCGACCAACCTCGCGTAGGCACATATCACCTCAACCGGAGCGAGTCATCTGCTCGTCGCCAGAACCACTCAATCTCTTAGTTGATCCATCCGGCAATCCAGCTAGCTGCCTTTATAGAAACCCGCCGACTGAATTAATTGGAAGGGCCTGATGGTGTGCAATCTTTGCCGCGGTGCCCGAGTCAATCCCACGTCGTCTTAAGTAAAGTGGACGGCGAAAGGCTTTTTTTTTTTCCCTCATGGATGACCCCGGCTTGGTCCATCGTGGATAGCTACAAAGCTGACTACGGTCCTTGGCGGCTTGTTTCGATAGCAAGCTAATAACCCCAATCCGACCCTATCGTCTGTCCCTATTGACAACCCTGCAACCATCACGTCGGACAAAGCTCGTTCTCGCCATTCGGCTTGACAAGATTAGCAAGTGTGCTGCCTCCCGGATGACCGGCCTGATCACTCTCCAATTCCGGATCCCGACTCTAGCGAGTTCCGTCCCTCATCTCCTCGACGATGTCGGCCGAATCACCACGTGCCGTTCGATTCTCCCAGAGCGACGCCGAGCTGGCTCAAGACAAGGCCAAACCCCCGAGACCTATCGCTGTTTCCACCGATTCTGATGGCTCTGGCTCCTCTGAAGATTATACCGCCGATCCCCACGAACTCGAGCGACAGGATGAGCTTAGCTCTCTTCCCCCGTATGGAGACGGAAGCGTTTCAACCTCCATGGCATCGCTTGCCCCGAACTCCGTTGCCAACAATGCCGGCCGACAACGAAGCAACGCCGCCGACACCGGCTCCAACGCTGTCACAAATGGCATCAGCGGCCGCCAGCAACAGAGACCCCACGTAACTCGAACCCCGTCCAGCACCTACGCTCCGCAGAGAGGCCCTCCTCCTTCCCAAGCTTCTTTCGCGACAGCTCGCTCTACCTCCCGCCGACGAGATCCTGCCGACAAGTTTCGCGACCAAGAACCGGCCTACCTGCGCATGATGCGCCAGGATCGGCCTTCTAACGGATACTTCGACCCGTACACGCCTAGCCTGGATTACTCCGACGAGGAGTCGGAGGGCGAGACCCCTTCGTCCGAAGGCGTTTTCGACGACCGGTTCCCAAACGACGAGACCATCATGTTCCAGAATTTAATCGACGATACCCAACCTACCGAGGAAGACATCAAAGATCCGGTCAACCGTGAGCGGCTAGAGTGGCACGGTATGTTGGCAGCGGTCCTCACCGGCGACGTCGTGAAGCAGGAAAAGAAGCGGCTCATCGGGACATCGGAGCAACAAGGCGGAAAGAATACTTATAAAGCTGAACTATGGCTCGGCATCCGGTCCAAGATGACCGGTCGGCCTCTCGCCGTACAGCGGAGGGTGGTGGAGGAAGCACGGGGAAATCTAGACCGGACTATCGATGAGATTACTCGATTCGAGGTCCAAGGCGAAACCGCAGCTGGTAAGCCTGCCGTCGAACAAGTCCGGGACGTCGTTAAGAAGATCGAAAAATGCGAGAGTGTATATCCGTCGTGGCAAACACTGGGCCTCGCTCACCAGCAAGTCACGTCGCAATCGTTCCAAGAAGCCTATGACGCTGTCGTGTCTTGGTATAATACTAACGAGATGATCAACACGGAATTGTCGATCCTCAAAAAGTGGGTTGGAAACGACGACCTGGACTTCCAGAGGACGAGGTCGAGGTCGCCGAGCACCAACGGTCTGAGCGATGAGACGTCGTTTCTCGATCGGCTTCTGAAGGAGGATGGTCTTAGGTCGCTACATGAGGATGACGAAACTACGACGCAGGAGAATGCGCTCAAGACCAAGTCGCTCATTCGGAGAAGCATGCTGACGCCGATATCGACCACGATCGCGAAGGCCAAGGAAACGCTGATTATGAATTCCGCAGCCTTCCACAAGCGGCATCTACCGCCGTACATCGAAGAGCTACTTACACTCATCAGCTTCCCTTCGCGATTGATCGAGGAAATCATCAGGGTCAGGGTCGCCTACGCGAGGAAGATGAAAGAGACAACTCAGCAAACGCCCATCCTTCAAGACCAGATGATCTCGCAATTTGAGATCCTGCTAAAGCTCGCGATCCGAATTAAGCAGGAGAATCTCATGGTTTCTCAACCCCAACCTGGATGGAATCTGCCTCCCTGCATCGACGAATCGTTTGATCAGGTCGTACTCGATGCCCTGAAATACTACTTCAAGATGTTGAACTGGAAATTGAGCAGGAATAAGAACACTTTCAAGGAAGCTGAGGTTCTGTTTCAGGAGTGGGATTTTGCTAACGAGATTGGCCGACACCTCGTCGGGGGCGATATCGAAGTCGCTGAGCAATTCAGCAACCTCACATACAAAGCTCTGAATCGCCTAAGCCAGACCTTCGAGCGCGAGCTCCAGAGGAAGCCAAAAGAGAGCTCAGACGATATGAGCAAGAGATACACGCAAATGCTGGACTCTGTCCGAGTCAGGCAGAGGATGTTGCAACGATTTTCGAGGATGCTGAGCGAGCACTACGAGAACGCGTCCGACATGAGTATCGCTTTGGGTGCCGAGGGCCTCAAGACCTTGTACGAACGACTATCAGTCACTGGTCACTTCCTAGTCGATGAAATCGACGGTATCCAAATCATCGCATCGCCAACCCTTACCAACCGCGATGACGAGGTCCAATCCATACTCCGTACTTGCTTCCACGAGCAGATTTCCGAGGACCCTACGGATCCGTATGTGCTGATACTCCGTCCAGAAGCCCCATTGCATTGGTTTGGCCACCGACGCACTCAATCCCTCAATTTCGAATCGACCGATCTCAAGCTGGGTCAGATGCGTCTCATTGCAGACGGCTCCCAAGGCCGATTGGCCAATGCCAGGAAGCTCTTCTTGGACACCATCGATATGCATCTCGATCTCATCGTAGAAGCGCGCTCGAATCTGCACAAGGTAAACACCAGGCTATTCGAGATCCGAAAGGTCAGCTTCAAGCTGTCCAACACCTTCATGGACAGCGTCGAGATCATCCGAAAGCAAACCAAGGGCCTAGACTGCCAGGAGCTCATCCAGACTTGTTTCGTCTTCGCGACCGAGTTCGGCCAGCGGTCGCTCCTCTACATGGATAGCAACCGGCGACAAATCAATAATATGAAGCTCACGAAGCTCAGCTTGGATTGGGTCAGCTTCATATGCGACGACTGCAAAGTCACCGACCGCAAGTCTTTTCGTTGGGCGGTGCCCGCGTTGGAGTTTGCGATGGGGATGACGAGAGGTCGGCACATCCTCGGGCTCGGCGACGACGAGTACGCGAAGCTACGGGCCAAAGTATCGGGCTGCATGTCGCTTCTCATCTCTCACTTCGACATCTTAGGCGCCAAGTCGAACCAGGCGGCACAGTTGGAGCGGGACCGCATCGAGAATCTCGTCGGGAAATTCAAACGATTTGACAAGAACCGAACGCAAGAAGACGACGAAGCTATCAAGGATCTACAGGAGCAGCGCTTAGCCCGGCTCGCCGACATCGACGAGATACAGAGACGGACGGTCGAGGAGCGTCAGGGACTCGGACGAGTGCTGGAGGTGTCTAACGAAGTCGATCGATCGCTGGCGTACTTGTCTTCATCTGCCACTAATGTGACGATGAGGTGGCAGCAGGGACACTTTGTCGGCGGTGGCACGTTCGGCAACGTCTACGCCGCCATGAACTTGGACACGGGCCATCTGATGGCTGTTAAAGAAATCCGGCTGCAAGATCCCAAACTGATACCGCAAATCGCGACACAGATCAAGGAGGAGATGGGCGTTCTCGAAGTTCTCGATCACCCCAATGTCGTCTCTTACTACGGCATCGAAGTGCACCGAGACAGGGTCTACATCTTCATGGAGTTCTGCTCGGGCGGATCGCTAGCCGGCTTATTAGAACATGGTCGCATCGAGGACGAGCAGGTCGTTATGGTTTACGCGCTACAACTTCTAGAGGGGCTAGCCTACCTCCACGAAAGCGGCATCGCGCATCGCGACATTAAACCAGAAAGTGCGTTTCCCCCTCCCCCTCCCTCTCTCTCTCTCCTAGTTCGTCCGTCCCAACCTCATCTAACGTGTTTACGCAGATATCCTCCTCGATCATAACGGTGTCATCAAATACGTCGACTTTGGTGCTGCCAAGGTTATCGCTCGTCAAGGACGCACTCTGGTCCACGGCCTCGCCGCCACGAAGCCCAACAAGTCGATGACCGGCACGCCCATGTACATGTCGCCCGAAGTCATCAAGGGTGAAAACCCGGGCCGTGCTGGGGCGGTAGACGTGTGGTCGCTGGGCTGCGTGATTCTTGAGATGGTTACCGGCCGCCGGCCTTGGTCTAATCTCGACAACGAATGGGCAATCATGTACAACATCGCTCAAGGCAACCCCCCGCAGCTCCCGAATACGGACCAGCTCAGTGCTCAGGGGATCGACTTCCTGGAAAAATGCTTTACCCGGGATCCCAAGCGGAGGGCGAGCGCGGTTGAGCTGCTTCAGCACGAGTGGATCATGTGCATCCGCAGCCAAGTCGTCGAGCCGCCAACGCCAAGCGATACAAGCAGTAGCTCGGCTCAGAGTACGCCACATCCCCTTTCGGCAGGCAGCAGGGGAAGCACAGGTGGGGACGGCTTTTATTAGGGATACTGGCCGCCCGAAGAATTGCCTCCCGTCGCTGAGACGAAAGGGGATGTGGAATCATCGTCCAGCCAGGATGGACCGCCAGCCCCAGGCGAGGCCTCTAGCGTGATGCCTTCTCCGAATGCATACCAACCAATCGACGCGACTTCTTGGCCGAGCCTATGTGGTAGCGTACAGGCCGCCCAGGAGTCGGCGAGGAGAGCGGAAATTCGAGAGTCCATCTATCGAGCGCGCTCGGAATCGGAATCTGCCGTGCCCAGCGCCTCGCAGTGCGACGGTTTGGAGGCAGACTTCGGGTTGGCTTCCTCGAGGAGCAGCCCCGACATGCTGTGACGACCGAGGACAGGTTTTTCTTTTCGGGATAGAACGCAAAGACACGAGTTTACTAGTGCTGTATACGGGTGCACATCCACGACGGGATCGGGTCCAGCGGGGTTATAGTATTGTACGCCTTGGGATTACATGTCACGTCCGGTTGCATGAGCGACGGCGCTGGGTGCTTTCTCTGCATATGTATTTGGACGGCGTTGCAAAATTCGGGGGGACGGGACACGCCGGTATGTTAATACGTTTCTTCTAATAGCGTCACCGTCTAACCTATACCTCTCGTTTATCGGAAGAATCGGAGGTCTTTTTGGCCCGGGGGGGGGGACTGATGATGATGAGGTTGAACAAGGATGTATCCGATGAGAGTGGCACATCTATGAATGAATGTCCCGTAACAATACCCCTTGGTGAGATTATCACATTGGGATATATCGGCTTTGGCGGGAGCCAGCCCGCTCTCGCATCCATCCGCGGAGGATGAATAATAATTAACTGCTTGTTTCGAACGTCTTGGGCCGACAGCCCCGTGATCATCGCGTGGACACGGAACATTGCTTAGGCACGCATAGGCGCGCCCGAACACAGCGAGATTTCTTACTCTAGATGATACGACGGCAGGTAGCCCGCACTGACCTACCTCTTACCTACTATACGTGCCCACCAGTCAGGCCTCCTACGCCTGCATGCCTAGCTACCGCTGCGACGGTGCCGGCGAGGACCCGCGCCGCCCCCTTCGCCCCAATCGGCAGCGCGCGCGCGCGGCGCGGCGCGACGTGGCGCAGAACAGTCCCCAGGCTCCCCCCTCGCGAGGCCCGGTCCACGAGGTCGAGGCTGGGCGTGATTAAGGGGGGCGTGGCGCGAAGGGGAGAGGAGGGGAGGGGAGGGGAGGAGGGAGTGTCTAGGTAGGTAGGTAGGTAAGGTAGCTAGGTAGGTTAGGTCCGGACAGGATACAAGATGCACATACGTCGGGTACCTTGGACAGCGTAGCTAAGGCTGGTAGGAAGCCGTAGATGAGTATAGGGGTTAGGCACGTGTGCGCACGTGTGTTTATGGAGGGTAAGTAGGTAGGTAGGTAGGTAGATATATAGGTAGGTACACAAGACGACGACGAAGACGATCCATCTGCAGCTGCTCAGGTACCCAGGGTGGTAGTACGTATGTGACGGGGGATGCGCGGTACGCGTAATGGACGGACGAGCTGACCGACCGACCGAGGTTATCCGGGTAGGCCAGAGGCGACGGCGATGCAGCAGCGTGCCGGTGTCCCTCCCCCACCCCCAATAGTCAGCACCTTTGCTCCCCTCCTCCCTCTCTCCTTTCCAGAGCGTGTGTCTCCAGGCTTCCTCTTGCGGAACTAGCCTCGGAGCGTGCGCACGCGCCGGCGCCGAGGCAGTAGAGAACCAAAATAATCCCTACTACTCAGCTCCGTCACTAACACCCACCCGAGGGAGGAGAGTCGTTCCCGTGTTGCATGTGAACGGGGCTTGTCGTGGGCTTGAGCTGCCAGGCAGGTGGGTGCGTGAGCGGGTAACGCGGTTTGACCGTCTGCTGTGTACGTAGGTATGTATAAAGCGCCATGTTCGGGTGACGGCAACAGGGTTACACGCATATGCGCGGGCCCGCACGGGGCGTGTCGATGCCGCATCAGTCACTATCACCGTCGTCGAGGGCGTCGTCGTGGTCGTCGCGTGGCTCGCGATTCTCCAGGCGGTCGTGCTGCTCGTCCTCGTCTTCATCGTCTTCCTCGCCTTCCTCCTCCTCCCCCTCCTCCTCCTCCTCCTCTTCTTCTTCTTCTTCCTCGTCGTCCTCCTCGCCTTGCTCCTCTTCTTCCTCTTCCTCCTCTTCTTCCTCCTCGGCCTCGCTGCCGCCGTCTATCTCCATGGCCGAGCCGTCGTGCGTGTTGGGCTTGTGCTTCTTGGACCGCGGCGCCGCGGCGCCTACGCCTCGCGACTCGGTAGCGTTGCTCGCGGTCGACAGCACCGAGGTGTTGGGGTCCGCAGAGGTACCGCTCGCGCCGCCGACCTTCTCGGCCTTCTTTGCAGCCGCGACCTTGCGGCGGTAGGTGGTCCGCTTGTTGGTTTGGATCTCGTTGAATTCTAGATTTGGGAGTCTCCGGCGTTAACCAATATATCATAACCACACACACACACACACACACACACACACACACACACACACGCACACACACACACACACACACACGCGCATACATATATATGTGCGTGTCTGTAAATAATATAGACGTAGGGCGGGGCCAGACAGAGAGGAACGCGGCAGGCAAGACGTACTCTTAAATTCGGCCTCCAACCTCTCGCGAAGGAAGGGGAACTCGATGTCTTCGAGCGCGGCGAACACGTCGGCGGGCATGATAGTCTTCTTGTTAGAGTTCTGCGTGTGCTCGTTCGCCCTAGATTCGCCCACGCCACGCCACCGGTTAGCTACCACCATGATCCCCCCCTCCCCGGAGGCCAGCAAACGTACGCGTTAGCCAGATGGCTGATGAAGACGGTAGCGCCCTTGCTCATGGCCAGGGTGGCGTTGGCCTGGATCTGGGTATTGGGCGGTAGCACGCCCTTGGCGAGGCGCGTGATGATGGACTTGGGCAGATTGAGGTCCTGCGAGAGAGAGAGAGGAGACGATTAGATGCTATCCCATCACGCGGAGGCGGGCGTGGTAGATTTCGCGTACTTCTATGGTAACAGGATCTTTGATGCTGCTCTCCCTGGCCGCATCCTTCTTGTCCTTCTCCTTGTCCTTCTCTTTCTCGGCGGACGTCGGCGCCGCTTCGGCAGGACGGTGGGCATCCATCTCTAGTGAAGGAGCCGGCTTCGGGGCTCCGGCAGGCGTGGCGGCGGGTCGGAGGGGGGTGGAAGAGGTGTCAGCATCGGTATCCGGGCCGTCATAGACGAATTGAGCCATGGAAACGTTGCTGCGCCTCGCCGCGGTGGCATCGCTTTTTCTTCTCGAGACCATAGTGGAGGGCAGAGAGCCGGGACTACCGACTCGCAAATTGGCTAGGGGTCGTCAGGCTGGGATAGCTTTTTTTTTCGGTGGTTCTACCCAGCCGATTCGCGATAAGCAAAACACCAGCTACCGCTCTAGTCGATTATAATAGATAGTGGATAGATTCAGCGACTATGGTTGGCTCAGTGGTCGGCTTATTCCTCGCAGAATCCGTAGTATAAACACAGGCTGATATTCTTAATGGAGTTGTGGAATCATAGAATTGAGGTCGTGGGTAAGAAGAGCTACAGGGCGAGAAGACGAGGGTTGAGGGGGGGCACCAAATTGGCCGTCGTCCCCAAGTACCCACCACCGTAATAGTACATGCTTCCAGATAGTGAAATATGTGTCTATCACATTCAGAATGCTAACAATATATGCCGCACATGCATGTATATGGTACGTTCCAAGACGTAGTACCCATCCACTGCCCTAATCCACGTTGAGGAGACGACGCGCTCCAGACGCGTAAAGAGCCCGGCTGCTTCACATACACGTATAGGTCAGCCCTTTCCCTCTCTTTTTTTCTTCCCCAGTTTTCATCTCCCTTGATAATCTCCCTCGATAACCACAACAAGCACAACGCAGCATCTCCTACCTCTACCTAAAACCAGGTAGTAGGATATCTGTATTCTAGTATCTCTAGCAGGCATCATCCAGTCATCATGTCGGACCAACGCCTCCCCCCACTTCTCGCAGACCCCCAACAAATCTCCTCTCGCCAAATAACGGACCCAGGCCAGAAGCTCCGGATCTCCCCCGTCCCGCCCCATCTCCCATAGTAGCACTCTCCATCGCCGCGCCGTCGCGAAGAGATTCGTCACGATATGCCAATTACGCCAGCCTATCAACTCCCGCTGTACCTCCACAGGCACCGCGCGTGCCGGCGGCCGACAGGGCGAACCAGCTCCCGCCGACCCATGCAAGAGCCGGCGAGATTGGGAGGGATTCCCGGGATGGCGGGAGCAGGCACGGCATATGTAAACATCCCCTGATTACGGCATTGCTGCCCTTCGCCATGATCAAGGTGTGCGTATCCCTACACACAACCTACCTACCTACTTAGGTTATGTACAGAGTAAGTCACCCCCCATGTCCCATGTCTTCCCGGCCTTCCACTCATCCGCTCGCTCTGGACTCGCGTTACGAGCAGAGGCCTTCCCTTCCCGATGCCTGGTCCCCCCGTTTGATCGGCGCCGGGGTCGGAGGCGCGCCCGCGAATAGACTAACTACCTCTTCACTATTCGTCAGCATACGTGACCACGGTGTGTTTCATATGGATGTAGGCCGTGTATGTACATGCATACCTAGGACGTAGACTATGCTCATGGACATACTATGCATCTACACACCTACCTACCCGCGCCCAACAAACGGCCTGGCAGCGTGGCAGCAACGTGGCCCAGCGCCCATGTGTGCACAACCTAATATCACGAAAGTGTGATCTGATCGTGATCCGCGAGATCCGGTCACCCCCTCCTCTTTCTTCTCTCTCTATGTCGGGTCGACCTCCCCTTTTCTCCCCTCATTTTGCCCTCCCCTGCAATGTTCCGGGGCCTAGACCGCGTTTCAAAATGATAGGAGAAAAAAAAGAAAAGCTTGAAGTCATAAACGAGGACCCTTCTTCTTCATTAGCAGCAGTGGCTCCTAAGACGAGAAGCGATATGCACGATTGAGTCGACCGGCCGAAGGGAACTACGCCCACTCTCCCCTCCTTGGGTGCTAGGGTTGAGGTAGGTCGGTCCGTCGATAAACGTCCCCATGTGCCCAAGCCAACGATTCGTCACAACAAGCGTCGCATCAGAAAAGTAGAAACTAATTTGCTAGTTTCGACTGAGAATTGTTGATTTTGATTTGACAGTCAGCTTCGAGCCAACCGCAAGGGTAGGTGGTAATTCTCGACTACATGCCGCCCTACGCTTATCTCGGCAGGCAGTAAGAGTCAAGGGGACAATTGAATAGTGCTTCCCTTCGTCTTCCGATGGGCCTCTGCACAATCCCCTGGATGTAGGTATGTATGTTGTCTCCCTGCCAGGCAAATCTGCCTCGAACAAGGATAACACCGTAACGACCCCCCCACACAATATAGTCCCTTTCATCTGCCTGTTCATGCCATACAATATCACGGCTCCGGCGAAACACGGAAGCATCGCGGGGAGAGGGTAGAAAAGAAAAAGGGATCCCGCCGTGCTCCTAATCAAAACGAAAAGGGGGGATGGGGAATCGTGAAGCCGTAAATGCTACACCAGAACTTGCGAACATAGAAAAAAATTGCCTAGGGGTATATCCTCCGTATCTCGCCTCCTAACATCCGGGAACTCCTCAGAATATGAATAAAACTTAAAAAGAAAGAAGAAGGAAACTCTGCTGTCGGTATCTGCGCCGCGGCGCGAAGGGGAAATCGATTAAAATAGATATTGTCGTGAAAAGGCGATGGGGAAGGCTGGTGGACGGTAGTTGGTTGAGATGAGAATACAGCCATGCCATTATTGATTGGCCGTCACAAATTTGTGAGGTTGAGAGGTGTCGTTGGTTGGTGCTCGCCCCTGATGACCTTACGTAACGCAATGCCACGCAACTCCGGGAGTGGTCAGCTGTTGCGCAAGGATAGTCGAGCCGACCCTTCTCGGTCCTCACCCAGAGTCTCGAGAAACTGAAACAGGAGTGCTCGGGCCTGCATCCCGGCGGTTTCCAAAATTCGGGGAAAACATGGAAACGGCGGGGGGGGTGGGAGCTCGGTTGCTCGGTTGCCTGAAACCGGACAGTCGATCGATCTCCATCGACATCAACCGACGGCGAGTCCGATTATGGTGTCGTTCCGTCGCGACGGAGGCGGGGACAGACCCGTCCACTGATCGTTTTCGCTGAACGACATCCTCGGCGGCGGTGGTATGGACGAGGATGAATAGACACGGCTGTGGCTGCGTGGGCGGTCCCCCGAGCCCCTAGCGGGCGAGATATCGGCTACCCCATCTCGCCATCCGCCTTCAGGGGAGCTCTTCAAACTACTACTCCGCGAACCCTTCGCTCGAGTGTGCATGCTTGGTGTGCTCGGCGGTAGTTTGTGCAGCCTCGACGGATGTCGCTTGGGAGACGGCAAGAAGGGGTCGTCTCCGGGAACCATCTCGTCCGTAAGACCTGATCTCGCATTTGGCGCCCGTGCCAACACGGCCCCCGGGACCTGCGGGAGGTCGAAACTCTGCTTGCCGCCGATGAACGACCTCGGTGATGTCACCTCGAGAGACGGCCGGCCGCCGTTCTGATACTGTATCAAGCTGGGCGCTCTCCTGGTCGAGGTCGAGATAGACGCATTCTGCGAGTGGCTCGGCCGCCTCGTGTATCGGTCAGTCTCCTTCTCGGCTGGCTTATTCAGTTTCCAAGTCGCTATCTCGTCGTCGCCAATCGGGGTAATGCCTCGATTCAGCATCGGTATCCTCCTCCGCCGGTTCCCGGTGCACAAATATGCTGCCAACGCGACCATAACTACGCCGGTGACGCTCAAAACCGTACTGAGCACGATAGTCAAGGTAGAACCGTTACCTCCGTTTTCGTCTGAGTTAGTACCAGTCGACGTCGGGACAGTGCCAGACATCGTGGTTGTGCTAGCAGGCAACGAAGCAGAATCAGACTCGGAGGCGACGGTGGTAGTTCCCAGCTCCTCTCTCGCTGTTGAGATGCCGACACTAGGTGTAGCTTTCGCGGTAAGAAGGGTTGTCGGTGGTGATGCACCCACCGAAGAGAAGGTTGCCGTAATGATTGTCGTAGGGTTGGCCGAGGCTGTCTCGGCCGTAGTTGCTAAAAACGGCGAAGACGATGAAAAAAAGGACGTCGTCGTATCAGAGCCGACCCCTATCGATGTCGTTCCGAGATCAGCAGGTCTCTCTTGTAGAGATGACAATCCCACTGAAGTCACACTTCCTAGAGTCGGCTCCGGTGAAAATTCAGGGGGGCCTGGGGGAGGCGTATCAACACCCTCAGGTTCTTGGGGATCACGTCCCTGCCTTGGGACAGACGGCGGGATAATAACCTGTGCCGGAGGCGTTGTGGTGATGACGGCTATCAGTGAAGTCGCCGCGGGCTCTACATAGACAAAGGTTAGTCTACCAGTTCTCAATTGACAAATTCGAGAAATGTGACGCTGCTCATTAAGACGAACCCTTCTGGCTGCTCAGAGTTTTCGAAGATAAAGGGAGAGAAAAATTCCCGCTTGGGGTATCCTGTCTAGCATTTAATTGTAAGGCTCGAGCTACACCAGGTAAGCCGAGTATTAAAACCACAGACAACGGAAACCTCATGGTGGGCGGTCAGTTCTCGGCTGGGGACCACACCATAAAAGCTCATTGTCATCCCTCGAAAGAAGAAAAAGCAATGGTCAAAGAATCATCACTCAGCCCTCGGCCAGCAGCGGCTATCATAAATCACTCCCATTCAGACGAACGAATTCAAGGCAAAACAGAGTAAAGAGGAGAGAAACAGAAAAAAAATAACAAGGGAAGCAAGCAATGAGAGCGGCGTTGAGAAGGGATGACCGGCGGGTGAAAATTAACTGACGTTTTTAGTGCAATTCTCTCTCGTTCTCTCGCTCAATAACCCGTTGGCATCGAGCGAGGGTCGCGGAGCAAGGAAGACCAGACTTGCGATCAATCTAGGTACGGTAAATAAAGCCGGGTCCCTCGCGCGAGGGGGGCAGAAAGCTCCCACGGAGGCAGAAGACTTGAAACGAGAGACTGGCGAAACACGAAATTAGGGGTAGTTCACCGATATGTATGTATAGGAGCGGGCGTCTTATACCTAGAAGGTTTCCCGACAAAAAAATGGAGCCGTGCGTCGAAGAACCCGACACTCGAAGGAAATGACGGGAGGTAGACAGGACGGGCGACAGATCTTGATATTCCCTCTTCGCGGAGGAGGCGAGGCATGCAACCTGGGCCGGGTCTACGAGGGCTTAATAACACGTCCTGCTGATGATGGTGTGAACGAGGAGCGCCTAGAAGCGTGGTGTGGTGATAAGAATGTAGGTACGCAGAAGGTAGTGGACCTTGCTGCGTGTACGTACGTACATAATACCTACATACATACGTACATGCGCAATGTATGTAGGAGGCATGTAGGTACCTCTGATGTAGGTAAAGAGGGATGTAGGTAGAACCTCACCTGTGTAGCAGAGAAGCGGGTGTGCTAATAAGTCAAGTGTATAAGCCCAGGTGTGCCCGCACCGGCACCGGGGAGGGGGGGGGGGGAGGAAAGGGAGGGGAGAGGCTCGAGAATACGTGGTATGCAGGCGTATCTTAAGGCCTAATAGGGGAATCCATCACAGGGATCGATAAACGAATGAGAGAAAACGAGATACCGGTCCTCGCAAAAGCGTCGTCTTTGGCGAGAGCTTCTGTTCGGTTTCTGACCCGGATGCCGGATGCCGTATTGGTTTGGGTAATGATGGCAGACGTGTCGGCCGACCTGAGATTTTGACCTGTGTAGGAGGTAGCATCGCTGACTCGAATCGGTACAGTCCCTCGTATATATCGCACCGGACAACCTGTTGCACCTCATGATGCTGGCGCCTCTGATAAACTGATCTCCCTCTGCTAGCTCCGCACAGGGACCGTCTTAGTCTCAAGTTGGCGCCTCTCGGATAATAGAGAACCTAGTCAGGGAACCCGGCAAGGGTCGCATTCTTGGTCAGACCCACGACCGTTAACGTGGGCTCGTTCGAAATTCGTACCGTACTTTCTAACCGTCTGCACGGACAACCAGGCCAGGGACTCCTCCTTCTTAGGACATAGGAAATTTGCAGGTTGACGACTTTATGGTCTCTTCTTACAAGCACAGGCTCTACAGAATCACTAATAAGCGTTAGAGGTTTGGGGTTCTTCGGACCTATGTATGGTCTTAGGTTCCAAGAGTACTATTTCTCTCTTTTCCTTTTTTTTTCCCTTGCCTTCTTTTCCTTTTTTTTTTTTTCCCCTGTCGAGCCTCGATCCTGGCTCGGCCGTAGGTATGTGTGTGTGCTTCTGTCTCCCTTCGTCTTGGGGACCTTGATCGAGCACATAACATGTCTGCTACGTAGCACCTTTTCCTCACCTGGCATCGAGCTAAGATTCAGGTACGCGAGGCACAAATGACGGCGACCAGCGAATCAGGCACCTTGCACCCCCAAAGGTCACCCTCGTGGGCGGCGGGGTGGTTTGGCTTGCTAACCTCACTTGAGTTAGCGATAAAAGCTACCAAGAAAAAAAGGCCTATAAGCAGAAGGAGGACGGAGGAGGGGTTCTCTCCAGATTCGGCGAATGGCAGCGCCCAAAGCGCCATGTCGAGCAACCTCCTATCTTTCCCTCCACTACCGAAGACAGGGTCTCCCATCCTCTGGTCAGGACTTGGTCGTGGTTGGGTTGCACGACGCCCCCCCCCAATCGAATGCGCAAAGTTATCCGAGGCGGGGGGTGGGGGGTGGACGGCCTGTCGGGCGAATTCTCCCTCACCCAAGGCGCCAACGTGCAAGAAACGTGCTCCCTATCGCGAAGGCCGGATTCGTCAATCGTCGCGCGCGTCGTGTCTCGGAGCCGTTCGCTGACTCTGTCCTCATATGCTTTCGGGCACAGCCTTGAGCTAACTATACGAGGCCATCGTTGGTACCCGTTGTGAATGTACATGCGTGCGATGTGTGTATGCTGGTGTATGGCATGCTAGTGCTGGGCCTCGGCGTGAGCAATTGCAGCGGCGAGTCACCCAAGCTAAGATCTCCCGCGGGCGTAATGACTCTGGCATCATGCAGCCTCTTTAACAGAGAGCGAGAATCTCGCCCGACCCCGGGCAGGCTAGATGCGACCGCGTCCCGCGCGACGTCTCCGGGCGATCTTTGGTTATGCTTGTCGATCATGCACTGCGTAACGGACGCCTGACTGGCGGCAGCGACTGCGCAGAGCCACCCCTCTCAAAGCCGGTGTAACGCTTGATAATAGCGACCAGCGGGACGACAACCACGACTCGGTGTAGAAGCCGACGCTGGTCTGCCCAGGCTTCTACTGCTGGGTATTCCTTCGAATGCGGGCGCAGAGATAGCTGTGCGTCATCAATAGTAGGACGAGGGAGGCCAACCGCAACGCTGGGCCTGCTCTGGTGCCGTGCCGAAGAGACGAGGCGCGGTTTCGGTCCAATAGTGACCCGATTTCGACGGGGGTCAAGAAAGGACCTAGGCAGGACAGCACGCCTACGATTGGGCAATGCCCTCCTCTTCTCTCTCCAGACAGACCACGTACGTTATGGATGCCATCCATGTATTAGGTTAGGCAGTCCGGAATGTTCGATCCCATACGGGTATACACACGCGTACCTATTCACGTACGTGCATACCCAGATACATCACCTATGAGTACACGCTCGACTGCCAACGCCTGACACGGCTACGATAACCTTGCTCGGCCAGGGGTATTTGTGATTTCAAGATCTGTTACCTGTCGAATCGCGGCAGATCGCGGCCGACGGGAGCATCATGGCTGTTGCCAGCCCGCAGGACGTGAAACTGCATAGAGCTGTCGTGTGCGAGCTCTATTGGTCTGTCCGGCCGAGAGCCTCATCCAGCGCGGACTAGGAGGCTAGTTAGGGCATTCGAAGCGTCAAGAGACGCACCGTCCGACTTGCCGGGATACGAGAGAGAGAGAGAGAGAGAGAGAGAGGAAGAGGCAAGGCGTCGTCCAACTAGGTACCTCTCGCACCTCCATCCCTCGCATGCGCGCGCACACACGCGCAGATGCCCAGGTGAGGGTGATTTGGGAGCGACTCAATTCAGAAAGGCGGTCAAGGCCTAGGGAAGCCGAGTCTGCTGAGGCCGTAGATGTAAGCTGGGTGGATGGCACAACGCAATTTCGAGGAGAGAGTAAGCGTGAACAAGCGGCGGATAGGTGATTTGCGCCAACCTCGTTAGTAGTCGAGTTCCGTCTGCTGGGATTTTAGCCCAAGGGCCGGGGGGAGGGGGCGGCCTCGATTGGATGTCCATAGTTACCCCATAATTAACCGCAATTGATCCCGTCACATCCGTCGAGTCGCAACGGCCGGTCCTGACGGGAGCCTGGCACCAGCAGAGCAGGTTACCTCTACAGGTACGCCCATGCCCGCGCCGAGCACTGCGACCTGTTATAGAATGGCAGTAGTACTCCCAAGTATCTATATACATAAGTTGGATGCTGATCGACGTACTCTACACACGTTCTGAGGGCAGGTACCTAACCTATGGAAGGTAGTGACGGCGCTGCTGCGCGCGTATCGAGGTAGCAACATCATGTGCCTTCCGCAGCTCTCTTGCGCATATTAAGGTTACATAGTGAGTACAGATAGGAGGGGGTACGTGCCCTAGCTTATGTGCCTAAGAGGTAGAGGCACCTGAGGTACTAGGTAGGTACTACGCACCTACCTGCCGAGGTAAGTTAGGAGGGATTTATTTACCTTAGGTAGCTTGGGAAAGAGGCACCTCCTGCTCCGTTAGGTACCTAGGTAGGTACCTAGGTAGGGTATGAGGTTGGTACCTACCTCCTGCCATTAGTGCCATAGAACCTATCCGCATACCGAGGTACCTACCTAGGTATGTATACCGACCTAGAGGAGGTACCTGATCTTGTGCCTACCTAGGTAGGTAAGGTATGTGTATGTGCACATACCTCAGATACCCTAGGCAGGTACACCCCAGGCTTGTTTCCATACAGGTACCCACATCATACGTAGGCAACATGGCTGGCCACGGGGCTAGGTAGTATGTAGGTACGTAGGTACATGCCTAGTGGTATCCTCAAAGCTCCCCTCACCAGGTCCGAGCTGCCTCAATGAACCAAGGTCCCGATTTGGCAGCAATTAATATCGAGTGTACTACAAAAGCAGAAGAGGCGAGGAAGAAACAGGCAACAAGAGGGACTATCCCGAGCAGGAAAAGCAACAGGACATCGCAGAGTAAGACATCGTCATCTCCAAGACGTCCAGACTTGTCATTGCGGTGGCACCATCACCCCGGTTAGAGACTGCCCCTCCTTTTTCTCGGGATGTTTATTCTCTACGTCGAGCGTCTCTGAAGGGGGACCCGACAAACTGCTCCTACGGTGATGAGATACGAATACCCTACCAGGCCCGGGGTAGAGCCACCGACAGGCGCCTCCGGTACCAGAGAACAACGAATGTCTACCTCCCAGGCACGTACCTATCGTGTGGTAGGTAGTATTCATATGTGCTGACAAGGGCAGATGTATGCTGGGGGACTATATATGTATGCGACGTCGAACGGCAGGACTAAGCCTAAGATCGGCATCGCCAACGTCGATCGCGCGGTTTCGCGGGAGTCGAGAATCCTCGAAGGAGGAAAAAGAAAAGGAGGCTTGGGGACCACACCTCCTCATTTGCGCATACGCACGCATGCC